CGGTCTTATATATGATACCAAGTGCAACATTCAAAGTTATTTGGCAACCTGTTAATAGGTTCAAGGAAGATGTCCATGAATGATACCTCGGCACTTGATTTGTTAATACGTTGATTATTATTCTTGGGCTTTAAACCACATGCAGTGTTTCTCCCATAGATAAGAAAGGTATCTACGTACAATGTACTCCATACCTGGCAAGGAATACCCTTCCCAAGACCTTGAATATCAGTAACGGACAGAAGAGTAGTGATACTATTCCCACTAGAGAAAGAGAAAAGTTTCTTACGAATAAACACGCAGCCATATGTAGGCCCTGACTTTTCCCATAACACCAAAAATCAAACCCAGGCACCCAAACGAGAAAAGACACAAGGAAAAGCCAGAGAGGAAGAGGACTTCCAAAAATAATGATCGTGCCAAACAGCAAGACATATTAGTCATAGCAAAGCATGGATCACAAATAGACAGATAGAAATATAACATGGGCAATGAAACCTTGGAACCAAGCAAGACGATAAGTCGCCACTGGGTACATAACATCCTTGTTTTCCAGTATGATCATGACGCCGGACCAGTATGGAATAACATGGAGAAGATAAAAAAAAAAGAGTAAAAAGCAACTGAGATGAGGTCTAGCTAGTGTACATCGATAGGACGAGAAAAGCAAATTAAGATGGGTATCGTGGTGCGAAGCAGCGGATAAGCTCAAAAGATGAGATGGAGGGAGAAGAAGAGTGAAACCAGCTTTGCGGTCGTGGGGGAGACTACCGTTCTCCAAATTTGCCGTACTCCTGCTGCCACTTGAGCAGATGGCGAGTGAGCACGTCCATCATTTCGACGCTGCTGAGATCCTTGAAATCCCTTTCGTGGTTCGTCGACGACTCGCCGTAGCTGCCGTCTGTGGTTGCGGCGCCGGACTCACCGCCGTCGCTGCGTGTAGATGGCATGGCGCTGTCAATCTGATCGACCATGCTCTTCAAAAGTAGGCCCTGGGCCCGGTCACCGTTGCCCGTAGGTGTAGAGTTCTCGCCGGCAACGGCCATCTCCACTTGCATGCGCGAGATAAACTCCAGGATAGCTGCTACTCGGCGTTTCATCTCGTTCATCGTTGTTCGCTGAGGGTGCATGTGGCGCGGCTTGCTTGGCCGTCCTGACTCTCCACCATTCATGTGTGCTCCGTTAACACCGCTGTAGCCAACTCGAGGGGACTCTCCGCCGATTTCGTGTGACTGACCGCGGCGAGGCGAGTTCGCCATATACCCGCCATCTCCATTCCCATTGGTGTCCCGGTCTTTTGTATATTGGTTTCGTCCAACACGACCGCGACGAGCGGGAGGTCGCCCGGACTTGCGAGTTGACGGTCGAACAGGTGTGGGCTCTTGCGGGGTAGGGGTGTTAGGGCTTGCTTGGGATGGCTCAGGCTCTGGCGGTACTGTCTTGGTCGGGGAACCGATTTCGTGCTCGGATTCTGTAAAGGCCGTGTTAGGATGCCACGATTTGTACACTGGGACTGTATAACCTACCATCTCCTTTGCGCCGGTTTGATCGTTCTTTCCGACGATGTGCCGCTTCAGGAGCCTCCGCTTCGCCCTCATCGGGGTCGTTCCCGGGCTCTTTATCAAGCTGGCCTCGAGACGTAGCTCTCTGTCTGCGAGTCCCGTTGACTGCAGGTTTCTGTTTTGTCTCATCATCAGAAGGCGGGTGAGATGCTACATTGCTATGCTTCGAGACAGCACTAGGCGAGGGTGAAGTAGTTCGCGGACGTTTCGCTCGTTCTCTGTTCCTAGGTAACTAGTCAGCCACATTGTTCGAGCCAATGCCGTTTTGCCTGGGAAGACGCACGTTACACTGTCACTTCGACTTCGCTTGCCGAGATGTGTGTCCGTCTCATCCGCATTGCTTTTAGTCTCGGCCTTGCTCTCCTCAATTGCGCGTCGAATCAATTCTTCTTCATCGTAAGCAGCATCCCGGCTGTTCATTGTTGATCGTCGCTTGGCGTGCGCAGCGGCACTCTCGCTGCTTCGCGATTTGGGGTCCTTGGAACGCCGTGATATATCCCTCGACGAGGCACGAGAGGACGGACCAGGGGACGGGGCTACCGCCGGAGCAGCTGGTATAACTGGTACTTCAGAGACCTCAGGTACCTCGGGCACTGAGGGGGCCTGGGTTGGGGCAGGGGGTGGTGGTGGAGGTGGAGGTGGCGGCAGCACAGATTCTGGTGCAACAGGAAGGTAGGTGGAGGAGCGTTGTCTGCGGGATTGTCAGTATTACTCATCAACACATTCTATATAGTAACATATAGTAGTCATTTGTAATGTATAGCTGCTTGGGGAAGTGATTATGCGCGAAACTGCGTCAGAAAAACAGCCCCTCCAAGCAGCAACAGGAAAGCACAACCACCGACATATAGATAATCGTAACTGTACGAGTATGTAGGGCCGAGTACAATTCAATGATAACGGGGTTTCACTCACCCTTGAGGTTCGTCTTTGATCTTGTGCAAATCCTTCCGGCACTCCTCGCAGAAATATTCGTCAGGACTCGTTGCCTCGTCCATGATTCCAACGCAACCACCATGTTGCCAGACTTTACACAAGTCACACTGGATGAACATGCTCCCAATATCATCTGACATAGGATCAGATGGATCAGCAGGAACTTGTCCCGACTCCAGCTTGATGGTGCCGCGACCGAGGGCCTCGCGACGAGAAGGAGGCAATCCCGGATAATCTTGCTGACCGCAGAGACATCGAGTTACTTCCTCCTCCTCATCATCTAGGTCATCCTCATCTTCTTCACGGGGTGGATCATCGTCGTCGTGAGCGCGCTGGCGCTGCCGCGTATGTGGAAGGTCTTTCGAGCCACCCTCAGCATCATCGATGGACTGAGAGCGGTGGCTAGTCGATTCGTGAGGAGAAGGGTTTTTATGATTTGATCGAGTGCTTCTCTCTCGAGTAAGTGAGTTTGAGGAGCTGGAGGAAGAGTTGGTGTGTTGTGGGAGGGCAGGAGAGGGCTGGGATGTGCGAGCCCGAGAGGAGCGACGAGGAGTCATGGTGGGGGAGGGTTGAGGATTGTGAGAGAGTATAAAAGAGCTCTGAAGGTCAGATTAGGGAAAATCAGCAGATTTTTAAGGCGTTGGCTGGTGTGGTTTCAGCACTCGAGAAAAAAGCCGTTTGCGAGGGAGCTCTCGCGCGCGATTGAGAGCTCTTGGGAAGTGTGCAGAGTTAAGTCAAAAGGAGCAGGACAATTGAAAATCGCAGATCTGTATAAAGTTGTCACAAGGCTCGATGAAGAGCCCGATGACTACATAGTCCGAGAAATGATTCCTTGTAATGGCGGGGAGGAAGAAGAGAAGGAGAAAAGTGCCGGAATGGGACTCCAAAAGATCCAATCGCCGGTTTCCCCGCTCTCGACGCCTCTTCGACGCGCGAATCTTTTACCACTCATGCCGTTCGTGTTTCATTTCTTTTTCCCCCATTGCCTACAGAGGACTTTAATGAAGTTTCTTTCTCCTATAATTTGCTGTTCTTTCAACCCAAATATTTACAGTTTATAATGGCTTTGTGGCCCCATAACTATTGGGAGTTGCTTTTTTACCACAACAGGATAAACCAACCAGAGAGGCTTACCAGCCCAAGAAAGCTAGCTAGGGAACAAGGAAAAACATCCAATACTGTATAGTGCTACTGGCGTTTTTCTCTGAAAGCCGATGATATGTCTCCTAGGGGAAACAACGCAAAGAGCACTGTCGAAAGTGGTAAAAAAAAGGTCTCCCACGCTTAAACGGCCTTGGGACGCTTAAGCCGCAAAATCCGACGCTTGAATCTGCCTAAGTGCTAGGAATAATAGGAATGGCCAATATACATAATGATTCCTTTTGTCTTAAGTTTGTATATCTGGACCATGTTCTGTACCGATTGTTTCTCCCATTCCGAGTCAAACCCGAACCCGTTTTCGGTGCCGGCAAGACAACTTTGGTCTAGGCGCGAGTTGAAACTTATGGCATCGATTCTTCCGAACATCTAGATGATGTAGTTTGTAGTTATTCCTCCGAAACGTACTCCAAGGTGTGTTGGTGGTAGGAAAGGCGAAATGAGGTTCGAGGGGTTCAATAGTTCGTATCATAACCGATTGAGGTTCGTTGCATAAGTTAGGGCTGCAGTTAACGGTATAATCAGCAAATCTATGGACCACATTCAAGTAGTTCTTCACATTAGCTCTTAGATGCTGTTTCCCCTGTGAGTTCAGGTACCAGGAATACCGATCTGAAGATCGGAGAGCAGGATCTCTTTTTCCCAAGTCGAAGCCATCAGTGCAATAGTATCATGTAGATCGATAACCAAATATGCAGTCCCTGGTCATAGAAGATACACCAAATATGTACTCCCTAGGTGTCTGGCCTGCAGAGAAGTTTTTCAGAGTCATATGTTGGGTAATGCCAGTTCGCGCCGAAGTCATAGGCAGTATTTCCAAAAGTAGATTAGCGTGATTTCTAAACTCCCGTGACTTGTCTCTTTCTCTTCATATCCCTCAACCCCTCTTAATTAGTTATTCAAGTTATTCCCTTGCCTTGACTCTAGCACTGGATCTAGGTTCAGGTTTTGCTTCACCTCTAACTTTGGATCCTATACCGACCTTGAATTTGTGAGGTGCTGAGTAATAGCACTATTTTGTGGGTAGGTCGATATTCGTGTCCCCGAGATTGTGGAAAGCAGAGTAACGCGGGGATTGGATTTGATCCCAAGTTACATGTTGACCTCACCGCATATACAATCCTTGGGAATTCGTTATTGAATGGAAGCTCATGACCGCGGATCACAGACATTGAATACATTACCCCCTCAATTCGACCCTCGACATCACCCCCAACTTTTTGGGTTATTGGCCTCTTCAACAGCAAATACGGTGGCGGGGGATAAAAGGATAGAGCCAAAGGGCTGGAATATCATCCTTCTAGCATTGTCGGCGGTTGATGGCGAGCGTGGATATCTTGCATGATGACAGCTACATTAAGTATGTTCAGGGACATCTGGTCCGGATGAGATCGGGAATTCCCCAATTCAAGATGACGATCAACGAGTTGACTGAATACTGACGATGCCATGTAGATGGGGTGTTCAATTCGTCCCCTGACACACCCTCTACCATTTACCCCGATCGTCTGATCCGTCCTTTACCTAGACGGACCCTCCGTTCACGCCTTTCTTCAGATGCTGCCGACACTTTGTTCTATCCTCCTACGCCACCGGCGTCTCAAATATTTTATGGTGTCTCTGCGGACTCTGAGGAGGCGGTGAATGAATCCAAAGTGTATGTGCAGCAGACCGTGGAGACTGAATTGTCACCAGAGGTTGATGCCCATGAATTTGAGACGTCGGTAGAGTTGGAGAGCGGTGATGAAGGCGGTCCGATGGTTGTCCGGAGGAGCGGTGTTATTCGGAGGCCTTCCATGTCACCTCCCGCGTCTGGAAATCCACATGGTTTTCCCCGCGACACACCACAGACAAAATCTTCAACCGGGGACGGCTACGACGCGTTTGAGAATACGAATAACAAGAAAAAGCGAAAGATACCTACACCCGGAAACTTGGGAGGACACCACTCTGCGCTGTCTCCGGAGTTCGCCAGCATGGGTTTAGCAAACTCTACCCCCGCACGGGTTCCTACCCCGACTGATCCTACTGGTGCGTATTATGGGAGTGGGAACCCTGCGTCTCCTCTGGGAAATGGAATCTCTGGTTCTGGGAGAGGTCGATTGGGACGTCCTACTGTTCGTAGCAGCAGCAGAAACCCGTTGTCGCCAAATGCTCAGAATGGATGGATGACTGCCCGGACGCCCAATCGGCGGGATGGGTTGATGTCGTCCCCCGGCCCTTCTGGTATGTATATTCCTCTTCCGTTTCCCTACAATGTTCTAACTTGTTGCACCAGGTGAATCTTCTGACCAGGGAATTATCTCCACCGCAATCGCCAATGCCGCAACACACTCCTCCCCGCCTCGAGGTCCCAGCAATGTCAGCCTGTTGGAGAAAGAAAAAGAAAATACCACTCCGACCAAGACACAATTTACCTTTACGTGTGAGTCGGACTCGTCCAAGGGCATGGCTATGCAGCGAAACTATTCAATCCCTTATCGGTCCCCCACTTCACCACTCGGACCGGCAAGTCAAAAACAGAAGGGACCCTCCACACAAGGGACACAGACTGGCCCCATGAACCACCAGGCCCCACCTGGTACGCACGCACCCGCTCAAGCTGGGGAGCCCGCTCCCGTTGGCCCCAAGAAGAAACGGTCCCCAAGCAGCATATACGCACTGTCTGCACGTCAACGCAAGATCCAACAACAATACACGAATCTTCACCATCCCCCAAGTCTCGAAGACATCTGGATTTGTGAATTTTGTGAGTATGAGAGCATCTTCGGGACTCCACCCGAAGCCCTGATCCGACAATATGAGATGAAAGACCGGAAGGAGCGCAAGCGACTGGCGGAGAAGAAGCGACTCTTGGAGAAGGCTAAGATGAAGGGTCGCAAGACCAAGAAGGCGACAAAGAACGCATCCAAGAATGGCACACAGCCTTACCAACAGGGATACGACCGCGCTTCGGTGGACCACTCTTCCGCCGGTGGGTCGGGTCTTCCCGATGATGAATACCAAGGACATGAGTATGATGATGATGAGAATTCGCCGATCCCACCTTCCGCCCCTGCGTCCCCCAGCAACCTTAAGCCTCCACTACCCAATGGAAATCATCCTAAGATTGCGGCATCTGTCCCAGGCATCAAGAGTTCTGCGGATTCCGGAGCAAGTCGACCGGCGTAGTCGATCTTTTACGTTTTTATAGTTGGCATTTGCGATTTTTTTTCTTCTTACGGATAGGGGGTGTTGGGTATGTTTTGAGAGTGGCGTCCTCGGATTTTTGCATGGAAGGAATTCCCCTCTCAAGCATCTTGGTATGGCAACTGATCGGACGAAGGAGTTCCTTGTGTTTGTAATTGTAACGATATGTACTAAATCCGATGTGAAATGATCCGATATCCATTTTTGTAGTATGTACCTATGTACTTGATTTCCGGAGCAGCTACATAAGTTAGCAGCTCACCTCAATAAAATGCACCTTGATAAGCCCATCCAAATGCAGTTGTTCACCCGAACTCTTGACCTTTGTCCCCTTAACGAATAGCACTTTTAGTAAAAAATAGTAATGTTTTATAACTAGTGATACTATTTAGTTATGCAAAAGTTAGGGTTTCATTAGGGCCCTATGCGGAAGTCTACGCTTTTGTACCTCCTCGTCCCTAGATCGTTCATATCAAGATAATATATTAATCTAGCTTCCAAGTCGTCTATATATAGTTCCCCTTGGTATATGATAAACTAAAGATAAATCGACTGACTAATCAATAATATGCACTTTTGTGTGGGGTTTTCAGGCCTTCGGGCCGGGAAAATGGGCAGTGGGTAGATACTTAGTAGCAGGGTCTGTATTCACTTGGATTTAACGTTGTATACTTCCTATACTTCAGCTAAAAATAGAACTATTTTGATTGGACCTCGAGCAACCTCACTTGAAACCATCTCAAACCCGTGTTGGCGCGCGCGAACTAATACCCCAATTCTGCAAGATCTAAATTGGTGCTAGCCTGATGTAAGATTTGTGTTAGCTTGTGTTTTGAGGGGCTTTTGGCATTCTATTTTAGTCTATCCGTTTCATCTTCTCGTTCCCGACTCAATGTCTTTGGATGAAAGACGACGATATGCACACAGTGGAGAAACTTCAGGGCGAACCGCGCGCTCAAAGGAGATTCGTTTCATCAGCTGCAGATGTCAAGAAAACAGCAATAATTGGCCTTTGTCTTCAAGTTCCAACCAATATGCCTGGAGCACAAGAATAGGGCCGGTCTATAAAGAAGAGCCATTGACTGCGCCATTGATGAAATCAGACTCGTCTTTCATTCTATTTCCATTCTTCTTTCTTTTGTTCTCTTCTATATTCCTATTATACCTTTGAAAACGCAACTTTCTCTTTGTTCCCATATCGAGCTATACAATCTTGATAATAGCTTCTTATTTGGCATCTGGTCTGCCAAATATTTGAACTCTTCCTCTCATTCGAATTCATCGCAATTAAATTCTACCTCACATAATCTTTGCGCTGTGCGCCATATCGAACCGCACTTTCCTACAATCCCAACAATGTCCTTCTTGGCCATCCCACTCCTCAAACTCGGCTTCTCCCAAGCCAAAAAATACAAAGCCAAGAAAGATCTCCAAAAATACCAAAACGCCGGCGTCTATCCACCAAACTACGAACCCGAACAACACCCAATGAGCGGCTACCCAGCTGGCGCAGCGCCCGGCACAACGATGCACTTCGAATCACCCCCACAAGAACAAAGCAAGAACGCCAAAATAACCTTCATGCTCTTCTCAACCGTGCGCTTCCTCCAATTCGTCTTCGGCCTAACAGTCATCGGCCTATACGGCAAAGACGTCCACCACGACCACTCAGAAAAACACATCTGGCACTCGAAATGGGTCTACGCACTCGTCACAGCCTTCCTGGCAACCGTCACCGCAGCAATCCATCTCATCCTGCCATTCGTGATGCGCAAAGCCAAATCAGGCGCTGGTCCGGCGCTACTGCTGCCGCAGTTTGCGTGGGAGTTTGTTGTTACAGTGCTGTGGTTGACGCTGTTTGGCATCTTTGGGAAGATGTATATCGGTGTTCATCCTGTGGAGGGATCGGGTGCGAAGGTGGATGCTGCTATTGCTGAGCTTGGTGATGCGTCGAAGATTAATCGGATGCGTCATGCTGTTTGGATTGATATTATTAACTTGGGGTTCTGGGTTATGACTGCTTCTTGGGTTTTGGTGCGCTGGTTGAAGAGTCGCAGGTCGGCTGCTTCTGATGTTGATGCTGAGAAGGGGGAGCAGATTTAGATTCATCTTGAGGTTGCTCGCTTTGATAGTGGGCTTGTTGAGTGTGATCTGATATGGATGCCTTGATGGCATTGGATGGAAATGGGGAGTTCGATAGGGTTTACATTTTATTTTGTATCTGGCACTTGGGCTCGGGAGTCATGGTGTTAGTGCTGCCTATTTTTATGGATGGCGTTCTCCCAATACGATGCATTATGCTCTCTTTAGAGTAGCTCGATGAATTCATGTATGTAGGCTCACTAGTAGATATTGATTTGTTTTTGTCTTCTACTATGCAAATATTGAGATGGAACATGCAGAATAACCTAGAGTGAACACTGCGGTATCATAAGTAGAAATGTTTTTTTTTTTTTTTTTTTTTTTTTTTTTGCATTTGTTTCTCAGGTCATTTTCTTGATTTTGTGGCTATATTTGATATTGAAATGTTAGAATTATTTTAGTTGTTTGTTTTGGTTTTTTAAGTATAATTTTTTTTTTTTTTTTTTTTTTTTTTTTTGCATTTGTATCTCAGGTCATCACTTTCAATACAATGAGAGAATGCCGCATCCTTGATATCCATAGTAACCTGCATCTGCTGTGATGCTATCATCTTCATGAATCCATTATTTCTGGGATCTTCAGGCCAGCATGCTCTGAGGCATGGCAATGTACAATATGTTGAGGGCCGTCAAGTTCGGGAGAGACAGACATGGTATTCTGCCTCCAGGTCAAAGCTTTGTCTCTCAGTGATGAAAAATCACAGCTTCACTCTCTTCATCGCAGATGATAGCAATGAAGCCTTCTTAACAACGGGGGCAATGGGCTGTACATCCGGGGGGTCTTGATCAACAGTCTCATAATGCGAGACTAAGTTCTTGAAGGGCTGCGAGACAGGAAGTGTCGAATCAATAGCATCAATATCCGTCCAGTCCCCTTCAACATCCTCAGATGCGGCAAACTCCGGTCCACCAGGCATATCGAGGTGGCTCTCAATAACACCGAACGATGGCGTAATCTTGCAGAAGTCCTCGGGGCTCAACATGGGGCGCCGGAGGGAAGAAGCTCGCGGAAAAGGAACCGAAGCCGTCTTCGGAGCTGCTTTCGCGGCCTCCATAGTAGAAGGCTCGTCAAGGAATTCATCGTCGAATAGCGGACCAGATGGTTTGACGGGCTTTGGCTCAGGTGCAATCTCACGTCCCAAATCACGCGCGATCTCGTCTTCCTCATCGCGAAAGCTGAGATGCTGCAATAGACCCAGCTCAACATAGCTGTCTTCATAGTGGATGTCGGCACCATCAGCCTTGGTGGATGGCTCGGAGCGCCGGCGCATGGGGGGTGGTGTCTTTGAAAGAGATGTCTGCGAGGACTTGCGGCGGTTGAAGACTGGCCGGCGACGCGGGCCTCGTCCGTTTCGTGTCGCAGTAAGATACGTCTTCTTGGGAGCTTGCTGGCCCATGTTGTCTGGAATGATGGTAGGCTCAGCAGCTATGGATGTCTTCTTGACACCCTGATTGCTAGCCTTCCCTGGCATGGGAGTAGAATCGGAATCCGCCGAGGTCTTCTTGCGACGCTGGCCCGATTTATCCGGATTTGGGGAAGGGGTGGGCTTTGTAGCCATGTCTGTGGGAGAAATGGAGGGGTCAAGTGTTATTTTTGTACCGAGGGGAGTATCAAGTAGCAAGCGGGTTGTTGTATGTGTTTCAACCTCTGAAGGATGCGATTTCTTCAATATTGAATGAGGCGAACAAGCTCCGGCTGCGCAGCCTGGATGATTCTTATTCATGAACTTGCACCAATCGTCAATATGGGGGTGAAATGGTGCGGCGTAGAACAAACTTTTGTTTACCTTTTCTTCTTTGTCCCCATTCCTAGGCAACGGTGAGACGGTGACCCTTTGTCCGACAGGTAATATTGCCGGTGCCTTGATGCGTAGGATAAGACGATCTAGGGTATGGGAATTTATAGCGCTCGAGAGTTGCTCAGCACCCCATATCCTCCAGAAGAGATGCTCTAGGCGACGTTCGGTCTCATCTTTGCTAGCTAGGTGCGAGGTCGAGTAGGCTGTTTGTTGTCAGTTAGCCCCTCCAGCATAAGATTAGTGGGAAGATATACCTTGCCAAAGGTTCTTGTAATCACCGTTACTTAATTTCCCCTGCTCGAAGATCCCACTAGGATACACACTTGACATGGCCACAAGACCTTGGGGGAGCTTTGGTTCCATCTTGTAGGGTTGGACCGTTGAACTTGATGTGGCAGAATGTTGACTTTCCACGGAGAAGCTGTGAGATGAGTGACGTGAGAATGGCAAGACTAAGGAGGCGGTAGAATCAAGTGATACTGCTGAAATGGCGCGTGGACCAGTGCTGATGTAAAGTCCTGGCTTGCTATCATCCTTTGTATTCAGCACAAACAGAACGCTTTTGGCAAAGAAAAGGCCTAACGGATGAGCTCTTGAAAAGATAATATTCACAGTTCTTTTGACTGTAGTACTTCGAAGCTGCAAGTCGATATGGGTTCAAGATATTCAATGTTAAACTTGAAGCTGAGGTAGCACATCAGAGCAGTTCAACATGCTCTAGAGTTTTAGGTATGAAGATCATGGCAAAGACTTCATGTACTCCACAAGGAGAATCAAAAGAAAAATGCAGAGAAGTTGAGAAACAAAGAATTTGAGAAATGCACCCCAGGGTTCGCCCTTGCCTGTAGCGGTCAAGGCGGGGGAAATTCCCCTTCGATTCCCAACTGGGCCGAATTGGATCTATCTTCCTCTAGTTGATCTCCCTAGATCTCCCTGGATCTCCCTGGATTTCTTTAAATATCCCTAACCTGCCAAATCTCCTAATTCTCGTTCCTCAACCTTGGAACTCTACACAGTTCCTATAGATGTCAGAGTCTATATTGTACAAGGGACTACTACCAATAACATTAAAGGTAGTAAATCTACTGAAATCTAAAAATCCGGGGGAAAAAACTCTCCTAACCATTACATTCCAAATTGCGCGTCCTTTCGCAAGCAGGGAGCAGAGACAGCCCTATTGGCGGCTAACTTGCTAATTCTGACCAATACGACCTGGGGAAAATCCAGACCGAATCAGGGAGCTATGCCGAGGTAACATTTCTAATTGTTTGACTACATTTTTCAAGTATGCGGTATGCGGAGAAAACCCGGGGGAGGTTATGATTGGGTTTGATATACTTTCTCCAGGTTTTTCTGAAAGAATCCACTGCAAACGATCTATAGATCTGCTAGATACCATCATTGATGTACTAGGTCATAGCCTATTTCGGCCACAACAGTTCTTACTATTATTGCTTAAGAGATTGAATAAAAGATATCAATGAGAGCTGAAAGGAAATAGGAAAGTATATGAAAATATTGAGCGTACTTACAGACATATTTATCAACTAAATTCTTTCAACATTCGAAGACTGAAGTAATGGGAAATTATTAATTGGGGGGGTTTAATAGAGAATCAGCAAGCTATAGAAGTATTGAATGTAGAGTCTCTATATTTTTAACATTGCACTATATACAAGTCACTGTGCAATGCGAGGTAGTTTCGTCTCACGCTCATCCTCAGCCTCACTATCGCCACCTGGCCGAGGTCTCTTGCCCTTGTTGGCCAAAATATTCATAGCAAGCCTTTGTAGCGGAAACGCCAACCATTCGGACCGCCAAGCTGGATACAACACATAATCATTAGCGGCGTAGCTACCAACCGCTGCGGTTTCAAATGCGTGATCAACTTGGCGTAATGCTTCGAGCTGCCGGGAATGCGTAGGAAGTCTCTCTGTGTAACGACGACCCGAATATGGCCCATGAACGTCGACTTCGACAACAGCAGGAAGCTCTTGTTTGTCAAAACTTTCTGCTCGTAAAATGTATGATCGCATATGCTCGTACGCAATACTGAGTATGTCCAGATCAGGGCCACCCGCATCCACGATGCGGCGTCCGTGGGGATTAAGCTCCAATTTTCGCAGCCGACTAGATTTTTGGCTTGATGTAATTGTAAGCCATATTGCGTGGCAGATGACCGGATCAAGCGTTGTATTGAATGCTTTGCTAGCCACCACAGCCATCTTAGTCCCCACTATTTTCGGATCGTACGATCGGTCGGGCGGAATACTACATTCCATATCCAGGGTGAGGTTTTCGAGGGAAGGAAATTGACCATACGCTTCATAAAGCCGTATTTCATCATTGTCTCCGGTTGTGCGCCGAGTTTCCATATGCAAGCTCCTTAGATGAGGACAGAGCTTAGCATATTGCAACACCTGGTTAGCACAACCTCCTTCCGGCATCATTGGTGTCCATAACCTAGGATAGTTGGGTTCAGGAAGAAGCAGTAGACCTTGCAATGTAGGGCCGTGACGCATGAGAATCCTCTCGAAGTCGCTAGAAAACAAAGAGCTTCTGAGTTCCAGATGAGTTAACGGATTGATCGATTCAAACATTAGATGCATTGCTCCTATATTCAAGTCGTGGCTAAGGACGACAGACACCTTCCGCAAGGCACGGAAAGAATGTGTCGAGGCAATTGCCCTTGGGATACAATTCGATCTAACGTAATCCAAATTGAGTGACTCCAATTTAGAAAAGTCTGTATGTAGGCTCGCTTCTTGAAGTGTCTCTTCGCGCAATGACCTGCATCGCAATGACAGTGACTTCAGTGTGCCCATATTACAAGCCTTGATCGATGGATCAAGCCCTTCTGCTTTGGGAATAGCGCCAGGAGGACCCCATTCTAACGGATCCGGAACCCCGGCATAGAAATGTTTGAGATTAGGAGCAATAGACATAATCTTGTAGAGCTTCTCCCCATAAGAAATCGCCATGGTATTATCTTCCTCGAGCTCGCAATACCTATACCGAACCCCATGGAGACACGGGGACCGAATGAGAGCCATCTCGCAAGGTTCAAACTGCGGTGAATCGATACTTTTGAGGCGAAAAGCGTGCAGGTTGAGCCTGCATGCTGGGTGATACTGATGTAGGGCTTTCAATAAGTCCTGTGGAAACATATCCACAACCGCATAGTTGAGCTCCACCAGATGCTGCGTCTTGCCAAGCAGTGAGGCTAGTAGTTCCCACTTCGGGGTATCAGGGGGTTCAGACTCCCTCATGAGACCATAATGGATATCATCTCCTGGGATCGCAATTTGATCCATTGGCGTCTCGGCGCTGGAGCCCAGATGTAACCGTGCTCGGCCACAGACAATGTCAAGCTGCCGGAGGTGCTTGTACAAATTTTCCCTGATCGGGCTGGTCAAGACAGTTGTAATGACTTGTTCAAATTCCTGGTGGCCATTGAACTGAATTGTAAGAGTTCTATAGAGAAAACTCGCAGCCGTATCGTAGAACGCTCTATTGACTGTATTCAAGGCTCGTAGACTTTCAGGGTGCAGATCCCAAATCTATATTCTTGTTAGTAGCGCCGGGAGTGAAGCATCTGGGTGAACAAACTTCCGCAAAAATCAGAGGAAGGATTTCCGGTGGAAGCCTATTCATGATTGACTGCTGTTGAACCGCCTGATGAGCCCAGCCAGGCTATGTAGCTTGCGCAGGTGTTTAACAACTACGTTGTAAGTCCAGCCAAGTGGAATATTGCTTGCAAGCAAAGATAGCAATTCTTTGTCAAGATCTATAAAGAGACGAAAAGATCATGCACAGGAGAAGGAAAGTGCTGCAAACATGCGTTGGTGGGAAGAGGCAATTCAGGGGCCAAAATTGACACCCAAACTGTCAGGCATCAACGTTACAAAGAGATTAGTTTAGCGTAGTGGACTAGTCAACAAACTATTTATGCAGCGATTGTCTAGGTGGATTAAACATCAAGTTATTGAGAGTATCCACAGAGCAGGGTAATTTCGGTAAGATATGCAGCCACGAGGTAGACGACTCATTTTCCGCTTATGGCCATTGAGATAGCCGCAGAACTGAGGGGATAGGATAGGTTGGCCAATTTTAATAATGACTGTCGACTCGATACCTCTAGTGGGACAGTAAGGGTAAGTTGCACCATCTTCGGTTGGAGCGTTCTGATGACACCATTAGGGCTGCATTCTGAGAGATCTGTGACGTGATGCTCGATAATGGTCTTGACCTTGAGCAGGTCTGTCTCAATTGATATCTGGGGTTCTTTATTGAAAAGGGCATAAAGATACATATGTAGGTATTGCTAGATGCTTTGTAGAAGACATTTAGCCCTAGGTAAACATGACAATCTCTTTCTAGAAGATAATTTTGCAATTACCCGTGAAGTTAGGACTCAAGGTGTTTAAAGAAATGAATTTCACGAATGTACCGTTTACTGCAGACCAATCGACAGTGGTTTCGCAAGTGTTGATTTGTTGGGCTTTTTGTAAGTCAGGCCATATAGAGATGCAAACGAGACAAACATAAGCGGCCTTCATGGTGCCCGTCCCCCACGCGATATCAACAATCTCGTCAGCTGTACCTTACTTGTTACAAATGTCAAGATATGGCATTACTCGAAACGTACGCGTTTTGTTAAATGGGCTCAACCTATCGTTCGAGTTCATTGAATGATTGCTGCGCCTAAGCCCCATTTGGCTTTAGACAGGGCATGCAATACTTGATATTTATACATCCTAGGGAGGGCGACTATATAATTTACTACTGTTTCATTTACCGAATCTGATCCGAACGTCGATCCTGCGTGGTCCAAGGCGCAGTGACATTGTGCCTCAATCCATTTGCCCAGCACCACATTAGCTATATGAACTATATCCAAGAGGGATTGTCTATTCCATTTTTGAGATATGAATGCCCTCAAGAGTTGTACATCAACTCTCGCACTCACATATGTCTCATAGCAAAATGAGCCTTCCAAGGCCACTCCATCTCAATTATTCTCACTCGGCCTGAAACAAGACACAGAGTCTCTAGCATCTCTACATCATGCACTGCATGACAGGCGCATGCCAGCTCTCAGGGTGCGTCAAAGACCGCAGCAACGTCTCTAGTCTAGGCAAGCAAAACATGTTAGTTAACTTCGCTAGAAATGCAATAGGCATCAAGCTCACTTTTTGGTCGTTTCCTCCATCTGGACGTCTGTCAGCCCGTCGCCCAGCAGGTTAAGATATACCGTATCGCCATCAGGTCCACCGAGCCCAGCCCTGACAATCAGCCCGACTTGCCACCGGGTCACAGACCTGAGCTTTTGAAGGTTGGCAAATGGTTCTTTTAGGCCACCTCCTTGGGCCCCCATGCCCGGGACCCAGTTGAATACCTGCGATGTAAAAACCCTCCTCATCAGTCCGCGATGGCTGCCAGACGATCCCGTGGCATAACGGCTACCGTTTGCCTTGTCGAGTGCCTTTTCTATGGCGGGCCATGGTGCATGCGCGTGCTGCGTCAAGGCCTGTTGGTCCGCTTGGAGGCGTTTGAGCATACCTAGCACAGACTCATCAGGCAAAATTTTGATTAGGTTCGTCACTGACTGGAGCAGCGGTCCGGCGACGTCCGTTGCTTCATCAAAGAGCCCCAGCCCGTGGTTGCTCGCAAACATCGTAGGCATAAAAGGCCACGCAGTCCGTCCGGCTTGCACGTTGGAGAAGACTGCGTGGTCGTGCCCAGTCTGGTGCACATGCAAGAGCGCCAGGGCCGCCTTGACGATGACCGGAGCCGATATTTGCGGATGGTTCTTCCGAAGAGCTGCAAGGTCTGGGACTACGAAACTGTGTTGGGCTCCGCTCCCGTATCCACCCCCTGTGGGATCAAAAAGACCTCGTTTAGGTATCTGAGGCCATTGGGCCTTGTCGATATGGCTGTGAATACCGTCGAGATAGTTGGTGTGCCACTGTACCGATGCCCTGGCCTGCGGCGACTCCCGGAACGAGTAGTATGATTCTGCCCAAAGTCTATAGCTTGTATGGGGAAGAAGCTGCTGTGGCACCGGGCCATTTAGAGCTTGGTCAATGTCCGAAAGCAATTTTCCTGTGTATGTTGCGTCCATGACGCCGTGGCTCACTGCATGACAAGGTCAGATCAGCAGCATAACTCAATCAGAAAACGGAAAGACAATCTTACCACTCATTATGAACCCTACTGTGTTTGTCGTCTTAACCTTGAACAAAAGCACTCGAAACAGGATCCCAGGGTACAGCGTCCATTCCGGATGTGGATGAGCGGACGCTAGCTTGTCTAAGTCCTCGACTGTATTTACGGAGCCCCCGTCCTGCAAGACGTGCTCATAGAGGCTCTCGCTGGGCTTCAACGTGACGTGAAGGGCAATGTTGTCTTCGGTGTCTCTCGGGGTTTCTTTGTTCCAAACGAGGAAAGACGGCAAGAGTGAGTTAGCTCGCAGCATTGCCTTCAACGCAAGCTTTACTCTCTGCAGTTTGTTTCGCTGTTAGTACTTTGATATGCAGCAACAAGCAGTGACGCGTTCCAAAACTTCAGTTGATCAACTCACATCGATACTGCTCTCCGTCTTGGTAACAAAGGCGTTCTGAAACTTGGCGCTGTCGAGTACGCCTTCCCTGGACAGCTCATCGACAAAGTTTTGCGCGGGAAAAACACTCGCCACATCGTCCCACTGGAACCCGTGCTGGCTGATGACTTCCATCACGAGCCTCTTAGTTGAGTCAAAGAGGTCTTCCCGAGCGATAGTGTGAACCTGATATTCCAGATTAGCCTCTGTGCAAAAGGAAACTGCGAGAGATGGGGGAAGGACTTGCCATATCATCTGCACTTTTGGGACCCTCAATCTCAGCTTCCTCTCGGCCCTCTTGACTGTTTCCTCCTCTCCACCTCTCTAGTATAATTTCAATCTGCGCCGACAGTGTATCGTCCCCAGAAACATCTCTCACAGAAAGCTTGTCCAGGCCGGGAACCACGCGCCGGAGGTGGCCCCTAACTCGTGCTACCGACAAGCTGTCGGCATATTGTGAGATATTTACATCAAGAGGCAGCTGGTCCTCCTCCAGTCCTGTGGAATTTGCCCAAGTCCTGAGTATCTCATCTCTTACGCGCCTCTCGTTCCACGCTGGGTCAGACTGGCTTGCGGCCTCCCTAGCGGCCTCTTCAGCCAAGCGATCCTGATATCGCTCCAGCACTAGCTTCCGAAGCGTAACCCTGTGGATTTTGCCCGCAGATGTACGCGGCCAGTCTCCAAGGCCTAGCTGCTCCAGGTGGATCACGTCGTGGAGAGCCCACATCAGGCCCATGTCATCGCGGATAGTGCGGTAGATTTCAGCCACGGTATCGTGAAAGTCTGGACCGTTGGCGATGATAGCAACAGGAACCTCTCCGCTGATGGGATCCGGCTGTCCAACGATTTGAACTGACTTAGACGCTAGTCTCGGATTGTTGGCCAGCCGTGCCTCGATAGCCGCCGGAGATATGTTCTCGCCTCCCCTAATTATCATGTCCTTGATCCGGCCGACCACGTACAGGCGGCCCTGCTCGTCTATAATGCCCTCATCGCCTGTGATGAACCAGCGCTTGCCTTGCTCGTCGGTATAGCAGGTATCCTTGGTGTCCTTCGTTCCGATATACATGGTTTGCGCGCCCCATGAGGAGCTATAGTGAATCTCTCCGGCGGTACCACGGGGGAGAGGTACACCGAGCTGGCCTGTCTCGTTGGGCCGGCAGATCTTGACCCCGTCTCTACCCATTGGTCGTCCCACAGTTAGTCGACCACTGTCGCCAATAAGCTCTTGAGCGTTTGCCGTAATATCACTAACGCAGGCCACGCCTTCGGTGCTGCCATAGCGGATGCAGACGCCGCGGGTGCCCAGGGCGTCAAAGCACGTGTTAATGTTATTAGTCGTCGGCGGAGACCCGACTAGCATCACGGCCTTGAGGCTTGTGTGCATCTTGCCGGTGTTCTCCGCCAGATACTCCGCTATGAGGTTCACAATTCCTGGCACCAGGAGTATGTGCGTGCATTTTTCACGAACCAGTGTCTGAGCCGTCGCCGCTGCCGAGAAGCCTTCCCCTGGGAAGACGATTCCGGCACCCACCAACATTGGTGATATCGCGCCGACACTACCAACGGAGTGATTGTTTGGCGTTACGGAGCACCACATGTCTCCGGGAAGGGTCTTGTAACCAGGTGTCTGGAACACATCGCGGGCCAACGACGCCTGGCGCTCGTGACTGCGCAGGACACCCTTGGGTAGGGAGGTTGAGCCGCTGGTGAAGATGATGCAAGCACCGTCAGTTGGTGAAATGTATTTGTGTTCGAACTTCCCATTTGTGTTATCATTGTCTCGCCGGGGAAGCGCCATTATGTCTTTGAACGAAGCATGGCTCTGAGATACCCCAGCGGTGGCCACAACGACTGCAGCTCGCAGCGGCACTGACTCAATGGCCGGAGCATTGAGGTATTCTGGCTTAAAGGCAATTATGACTGGCGGTTCGTTATTTGTTGCCACCATGATTGTCTCGAGCATGTACGAGACCTCGCTCGAGTTGGACAAGCGGCGCGGATCTAGAGCCGCTAAGACGGCCCCCAACTCCATGGCAGCCCAACACGTCAGGACGAACTCGGCGCAGTTTGGAAGTAGCGTGATTATGGCTGTGCCTTTCTTAACACCCAAAGACTCCAGGCCCGCCACCAGGCGGTCGACACCCTGCTTCAGGTCCTTGAACGTCCATCGAAGATACGGCGTACTCTCAGCATCGTTGTTCTGGCCATGAGGATAAGGGCCGGAGATACCGTACAAGTCAGCGTCTTGATGTGTGCATACAAGGGCGATATTTTCTGGATATTTGGCTACGGAGTCGTGGAACTGCTCCACGACGGATGGCAACTGGTTCATGGGGCCATCCCCCCAGACCTCGCTCAAGGGTTTGCGCATGAGGATGAGTGATGTCCGGATAGTCAGATAATAAAGATGCGTTTGAAAAGAGCCAGCAGAGAAGAGGAAGGAAGTGGTTAGACAAGAATTCAAAAATTACCATAGGCAGGTCAATGCTAAAGTATCAGAGGATCTTAGCTGGCGTAAGGGAGAGGGAAAAGCTTGATTTCTTCTGCACCGCTTCCTCGTATGTGATACATCGTCTTTCTAGTTTATATATTCATTTTCCTGGAATGTCTCTACGGAGTTCTCCGTAGCTTGCATGTAAAAAAAGGCATTTAAATCTTTGGAATATGTTTCCGACTATGCTACATCTCATAGTCTTGCATGCCTTACCTTGCAATATCTGTCTCAAACATATCTTGCACATCAACACGATCCCATCTAAAGCATATCTTTAACCTTATCCACCTATCGTGTCCCAGGATCGGCTGTCTAGAGTCCATTTCAGGGAATTTAATAATTCCAATGTGTCTTATATAACAAATCAATAGCCCTATGGAGTCTAGGATTCCTTAACCCCAGCCAGCCACCAGATCACATTCCTATGAGCCCTACGTAGGCAGCAATATTATGTCACCTGCAGTTTTACACATCAAAACATATGGTTAATGCAATATATTGTGATTGTATTCATAGTGGCTTTCAGAACGAGCGAATGCCAAGCCACATTGAAATATTCGCCAACTGGACGTCTCCCTAAAGGTGACAGCTTATAGAATTATTTATCACATTTTAATACCCCGATCATCACTCATACCTGAATTCCATCATTTTGGGGAGAATCAGATAAACAAGGCTCTTGACTCACTATTGAATCAAGCGAAACCTAATTATCACCACGCAGAATCTTAGATCTCTTACTTTAAAAGTCCCATGTTGGAAGTACAACATATAGTATACAATTTTATCAATTTAAAAGAATATTCTAGCTAGTCATAGCTAGTTATATATCGAAAAGTCGTATAAGTTAAGCCTTTTTTTGCCTTTGTTTTTCAGCCTTCGACCTAGAAAGTTGAAAAGATATCTAAATAGAATTGTATCCAAGACATCCGGAAAGACATTTCTGAAAAGACATATGAGAAGACATCTGAAAAGATAAAACAAGGCCGCTTATACGGCCGACTATTCTTATATTTAAATTAAATCTCAACAGCCGTTGAGAAAATCCGTTAATGAATATACCCGTCTAGCTTCGAGGATACCGAACGATCTTCAGGGCTTTCCGGCATCGCCTTCATCGACGCCAGCGGACCAGCCCGCGCCCCACCAAATCGCCCTATACAACAACCTATAGTAGAGGGCGACACAATGCTACAGCCCTCACCTCCAAACCCTAACGTCACTCAGGCTACTTCTCACCCCCAGCATCCGGCCATAGAAACAGCGAGTGATTTGCTGGCTCGGCCATTGCCGATACTCAAGAAACTGGGACCTACCACCCATCAAACTCTCGGTCATTTATTTCAGTGAGATTATTCCATGAATAGACGCTGTTCGTCAAATAATCCAAAACACTGATCTGAATGGGCTTGTCCCATGCACAGATGTCACTGGTGATGTGACACCTACGTGGTTGGAATTGAACTTGGTCACACCGGGCGGTTCAACAAGCATGTCTGCGACGCCGTTTCTCTAGCGTGCAAGTCTGCTGGGCTGCCTTTGCTATCCGGCGATCGTCAAGCCGCGCTTCCTCCGATCGACGTGGTTCCTAACGTCGTTCTTCTTCAACCTAGCCAATATCGGAAGACCATCCTACCAATCGAGCTGAAGATATTCTGGACTATCTATACTGCTACGTTCAAGTCACTCTCAGAATAAAAGTATTCATGAATTTTGTGGCTTCAAAAATGCAAAATCAATATGGCCAAATTATACACTCGTGCCGTAACATATAACCAGTCCTGTCTATATCAGATTCACACCCATGACAGAAATGGCAGTATGATGTAGTAAGAAAATAACAAAGAAATAATAACTAAAGAGCGCATAAATAACATGTTTACGTTACGGTGTAGCCACCGTCAACACGGAGATCGGCTCCGGTGATATACTTAGAGGCATCACTAAGCAGGAAGGTCACGGCGCCCATCAGGTCCTCCGGTGTACCCATCTTGCCGACAGGAATGAGAGAGGTCCACTGATCTCGAAGCTGGGGGTTCTCATCGAGGATCTTGCGGGTTCTGAGAAATTATTAGCAACAATGGTTTCCAGAGATTTCTCTAATCAATTCTATCTCATCGTTCGTGTAGGGCTTACTCACAGAGCAGTAAGCATGTAACCGGGGCTAATGCAGTTAACGCGGATATTATGGCCAGCCCACTCCACAGCGAGCGAGGCAGCAAGGTGGCGCACAGCAGCCTTCGCGGCGTTGTATGGAGCCTGGGGCTGGGGAACATTAACAATAGAGCCGGACATGGAGCCGATCATAACGATGCTACCGGGCGCCTTGCGCTCCATCAGATGTTTGGCAACGTTGATGGCAAAGAGATATGTACCGTCAACATTGACGCCCCATAGCTTCTGCATACGATCGAATGGGTAATTGATGGCCTCGAAGTTCTCGGTGAAACCGGCCGAGGTGACCAAGTTATCAATCTTGCCGTGCTTGGCCAGGACTTCGGCCATTGCGTTCTGCACGGAGTCAGGACTGGCAACGTCCGCGTAGTGGGCGGTGACTTTGGGCATGCTGTTTGGAATTAGCAACCATGGTGAACTGGAATGGTATGAGAATGGACTTACTCTTCGAGACCGGGATTCTCCTTACGGAACTGCTCGACCAGCGAGGCAGCTGCGGATTCAGCTTCATCCTCTGTGGTAGATGTTAGGATAACTGTTTGGTCCGATTATTTTTAGTATAGGACATACTGTTAAGATCTATAATAGCCAAGTCCGAGCCGGAAGCGACGAGGCCTTGGCCCATGACTAGACCCAATCCACGAGCACCACCAGTTACCACGCTGACCTTCTTCTCAAGTGAGAATTGGGCTAGAGTACGTTTGAAATGCATCCCACCGCGTCCCTGAGCCACCGGTTGAGCGGGCATCTCGCTATCGGGAGGGTATTCAATTTGGACGCTTTGGTCAGTACGAGCGAATTGGCCCTCAGTCGCACTAGAAGCACCCTCGGGGGCCTTGGTTGTAGCAGAGAGGATGGGGTCCTTTGCAGGGTCATTGCTCTTCTTCTTTCCGAGTGAGGCAGTGTATGAGAGAGGGCGGGTGAAGCCCGTGGGAGCCGCCAAGGCAGGGCGGGCGGTGTTTAGAGCTTTGATGGCATTGCGTGCAACTACAGGCTTGAACATTTTGGAGGGCACGGCTTCAAATGGTAGAGCTGTGGAGGTATATAGAGTTAAGAGAGGTTATGTAGACCGAAATTAAAGGAAATGGGAGGGAAGGGTCTATGCAGGGGATACAAAACAAGGCAGGTCATCGGACCTTTTTTTAGGGCCAAGGAGATGGGGGAATGCGCGGTGAAAGTATTCAAGGAGCTTAAATTGTCCTTCCTTTATTTAAGTACTCCATATAGCTTTTTTCAGATACAGGAAGCTAAGGCCGTCAATTTTAGGAGATACTTTGCTCTTTTTAAATGGAAAATAATCATGTATTCTTGAATACTTGTCTAGATCCTGAATATGTACTTTCTGCTAAAAGGACCAGTCACTTTCTGTTCGGGTACGTGCATCGGCCAATTGGGAGCCTTGGCTTTACCTCTGTGGTCATTTCTGTGTCATTTTGCCACCGGGCGAGTAAGAAATCGTTTAAATAGAGGGAAGAAAAACAGTTACCAAGTTCCCTATACGGAGTATCTGAAGGGTAGATACTAGGAAGTACATATAGTGGACATAGTGGATATTGTGGACCTTTATATGGACCCTGGCCACAGTTTTATACTATCCGGGGTTATTTATTTGCCTTAGGGTATTATCACGCTTGATCCATTCCATAATTTTTGGGTCAAACATCAAAACATATCTAACCATGTGACTTTACTTGCGCTCACTTCTACATCTTCTTGAACTATCTGGATATCGCAATCCATAGATGTCATCGAATATTGTATCTCGATCAAGATGCCTGCGAGCTTCTTTAGTCTACCCGCCGAACTCCGCAACGAGATATACATGTATCTCCTAGTGCGCAGACGGCCTATTATTGATCTCTGGTACGGATATCGTGGCCTAACACCCAGTCTCCTCTCCACGAACACGAAAATCCTACAGGAGGCTAGAACACTACTCTATGGTGATCATGGATGGATACTCAACGTGATAGTGCCGACAGAGAACTGGGTCAGTGACTACGTCTTTCCCAATCAGAGCTACAGCTATGAGAACTGCGACGATGAGGACTACTACTATGATGACTACGGATATGGGGTCTACAGAGAACTACGACGATGAAAATTACTGATGACTGGGTGACCCTAACTACAGACAATGATAGCGAGTTCTAGAGAAGGAGGGCGGATTAAGCATCCGAAGGTGAGCAGCCATTTCCAGAAAGTGCTACGTCCAAAGCTATATATCCAACAATGGCCCGAACCATCCAGCTATCTGGCCCATCGCACTTCGAGACTGCAGCTACATTTTTCCTTGAGTACTCATATCTAATTTGAACCAAGACTGATGATCGTATTCGATCCACGGTGGAATAAAGCTGTGATGTCCATAATCATATAATTTCGACGGAAACACTAGATCTGCTTCCAACACCAACACGATCCATCTACACAATTTCAAGGATAGCTAGCCGTATACTCTGACTATTCTTGTGAATTCTTTTAAAAAGTTAGACATACTATTTTCGACTCTCACTGGAATCGTAAGGCGAGATCGAAATTGACAGTGGCAACTCCAACATCTGTGTTTCAACCACAACAAGACATATATATCTTAAACAAAATCCTACTCTATTCGGACTCGGCGAATTCCACAAGCGGTGTTCCACTTTTGCATTGATCCTGCAAGGTACATGATAGTCAGTTCTTGAAACTTTGTAGTGTCCAGCTTTGTGTTCCGGTGAGAGAAACACTCAAACCTGAACAGAAAAGACGGCATGAGGGAAAGGCGCATGACTTACTCCTTGTTTATGCACAACCCGCGCGATGGTCCCTTGCTGTGGGCTGCGAATCACCGTCTCCATCTTCATGCTCTCGATAACAACCAACGGCTGGTCCTTCTCCACCACATCTCCCGCCTGCACCTCCACCCGCAGAACTTTACATGGCATTGGGGCCAGAACACTGTTTGTCACATCCTTCAGTCCCAACGCCTTCTCCATCCACTTAGCCCGAGGCATCGTGAGCCGGTATTGGCTCCCACGCTGGAACGCGATAATAGTATCCTCGTCTTGAACCACTGTTGTGTCTAACCGGGTGTGTGCGAAAAAGGATGTGACGATGTGCGACGCCGGATCCATGCGACTCACCACCTGCTCGAAGACTTGTCCGCCGACTTCTACGTTGAATGTGTCATCTGCTGTCTGCTGCACACGAACACTGAACGTGGAGCTGTCGCTAGACCCCGAGCCGGTAGTCTCGGTAAATGATAGCTGTCGCTCTTGGTAACTGGGAGTGAACCCGACCGTTGAGCCAGCAACCCCTGCCGAGGATCGTGTTTTGGAGACGCTGTCGCGATGGATACAGGCCAATGCGGCCTGCGCTAGCACCTCTTTGTCAATAGTCTTCGCGGCGAAGAGCTCTTCGCGGTGTTTCTCAATGTAGCCGGTTTCGACCTCACCAGCGATGAAATCCGGGCTCTTGCAGATGGATTTCAGGAATTCAATGTTAGTCACGGGCCCTGCAACTTCATACTCTTCCAAAGCAGCAGCTAGCTTGCGGAGAGCCTCCTCACGATTTGCACCACGCACAATAAGCTTGGAGATCATGGGATCATAGTGGGCTGAGACATCATCTCCTTCCACAAATCCTGCATCAATGCGGATGTCCTCCGAAGTGGCAGGAGTCCGCACATGGAGCAGACGCCCTGAGTCAGGGATGAACCCCTGCTCTGGATTTTCGGCGTAGATTCGGGCCTCAATGCCATGGCCACTCTGGGCAATACGCTCTTCCACTTCCTCTTGGGTAAGGGGCAGCTTGGCTCCCTCAGCCACCAAAATCTGCCAGTGGACAAGATCCTGTCCTGTGACCATTTCGGTCACAGGATGTTCAACCTGGAGGCGTGTGTTCATCTCCATAAAGTAGAAATCCCCAGAATCATTGTCAAAAATGAACTCCACTGTACCAGCACCTTCATAGCCAACGGCCTCTGCAGCCGCCCGTGCCTTTGCCCAGAGGTCCTTTCTAGTTGCATCAGGGAGATGAGGCGCTGGAGATTCCTCTAGAACCTTCTGGTGTCTCCGCTGAATACTGCAGTCTCGCTCTCCTAGAGCAACGGAGTTACCATGCTTATCTGCAAATACCTGAACTTCGATGTGTCGCGGTGTGGTGATATACTTCTCCACCAGTACATTGTCATCACCGAATGAGTTCATGGCCTCTGACTTGGCCGACTCAAGCTGAGCTTGAAACACGGCTTTGGAGTTGGCAATACGCATGCCCTTTCCGCCACCTCCTTTGACGGCTTTGATAAGCACTGGGTATGTAATCTGGTCTGCCTGCTCCTCGAGGAAGGCAGGGTCTTGGTTTTGTCCGTGGTAACCTGGGACGCATGGCACACCAGCAGCTGTCATGATCTCTTTGGAACGACTAAAATGGCACATCTGGTAAGCGCAGTGATCATTCTAATGGCACAATGAACATACCTCTTATCGCCCATATCCTCAATAGCCTTATACGGCGGACCAATGAAGACCAGCCCAGCCTCGGTACATTTTTGAGCAAATGCAGAGTTCTCACTCAGCTGCGTATCAGGCTATAAGTTAGTATCTCAACTGAAATCTTAATAGACATAACCAACTTACGAAGCCGTAACCAGGGTGTATAGCTTGACACCCTTCTTTTTTCGCAATCTCAATAATTCTATCACCATCGAGGTACGCCGACACCGATCCCAAATTAAAGGCGAATGGGGAGCTCAGAGCATGTTGAGCTCGGCTATCCGGGTCGGTGTAGAGCGTTGTTACGCGGATCCCACGCTCCGCGGCAGTGCGTCCAACTCGTCTAGCATGTAGTTAGCACCATCAATTCCACTTAACTCAATTCCAACATACAAAGCAATTTCTCCCCGATTGGCTATAAGAATTGAGTCCAACGGTTTAGTTGTATTTGATGTGTTAGTGGCCGATGATACAGCTCGCGATGTTCTGCGGGCCGCGGTCGGGGTTAAGCGGGGGGTAATGCGGAGAAGTGATGAGAGGGTCATGACGGTGGGAGAACAGCCTTCTCAGCTGCAATGAGGTCTTTGTAGAGAGTAATTTGAATCACAGTGTAAGCATAATCGAGATATTTCAAAGGGATAAAGTAAAGAATGGGAAATATTCAAGGGTTTGGAGAAGCTCTTGTTGAGCCGACGCAAAGCGAGATGCGGGGAAAGCCGAGAAGTTTACATAATCAGCCGCTTTGGGAGATGTTTGGTCACGAGGTCTTTCAGCCGATGTCCAAAATCCTCTATGTCTGCCGAAAGGGGAGACGGAATTTGATCTTCAAGTTGTCCTTTGACTCGAATCAGAAGTACTTGAGGAGCTAGCTCCATGCGTACTTGAAAAGCACAATAGAGACCCGAGTATGTGTTTCAACAACATTTGGAGCATCAAAAACTGATTGCCTCTCAAAGGTGGCGCCGTTGATTTCGAGTCTTAGATTTACGGAAGAAGTGGAAGCGGGGTCCATTATTATGTGGAGTGTGAGCCCTAGAAATATTTGCATAGGAAAGTAATTCAAGCACAAATGTTGGGGGTGTCTAGAAGGAGATAGTGCAACTTTTCTTACGATCTAGGGAGATTTACCTAGACTGAAAGACTTCAAATGTCTAACACGAATTTTAGCAATGAGGAGGTATTAGAATCGATATAAGATATATAGGGCTTTGGGAGACATTCAAATTAAATACAATTACGCTGGGCTGAAGATCTTTTGAGCAACAAGTTTGATCGGATGATAATCTTAGAACCTGGGAGGTTCTTGTACTGAGCTTAGCTTCGAGTGTATTACCAAGTGTATTGAATCAATATGTTGTGAAGCTGTTTCAATTTCATAAGAAATCTGTAACGGTTACCATACCTTGAGCTTAGTGTGCTCGAGTTCGTAGCGTGCACATCAGCGGGGGCTTGTCCCATAACGTATAAGATTTTTGATCGTTCCATGCCTGACTTTCTTCACATAACTCCAAGTCAAACTTCCAAAGTACTCGCGCAAGGATAAGGCGCATCTCATTGTAGGCAAGGTTTTTCCCAAGGCAGTTTCGCGGGCCAAAAGAGAATGGCTGCACAACGTCTCGGTTGTCGTGATAAAATGGAGAGGAAGAATCATTTTTGGCCTCTGGAAACCAGCGATCGGGAATGAAACGCCCTGGTTCGTAAAAGTTTATCGAGGACCAGTAGGCGGCGCTTTGATGGACAGCGACTTTTGTCTATTATCTGTTAGCTTAGTGCTTGGAATGAAAGTTCAGCAGCTCACATTCGGGGCTATTCTATAGCCAGAAACTTCTATTGGGGTGGAGGGGGTGAACCGCTGCAACCCAGTGGGGACAGGAGGATACATTCTGAAAGCTTCGTTGATGCAAGCGTTCATGTAGGGAAGACTGGCAGTAACGTTGTTGAAAGTTATATCTGCCTCAGACAGCATGACTGACCGAACTTCATTGGTGACCTTCTCCAAAACTTCAGGGGTTTTCAGCAGCCAAAAAGTCAACCCTGAAAGTAATGTCGCGGTAGTTTCACTTCCAGCAATAATGAGAATACGGGCATTTGCCACTAGCTCTTCATCGTTAAGCCCATCTTCTCCCCCGCGATGGCGCAGCATAGACTCCATGAAATCGGCCTGACCACGGGTTTTCTGTCTTTGCAAACGCTTTTGCGCGGTAGCTCTGCTATGGTCCAGCTGTTTAGTTTGAGAATCCATCAACTCCTTCGGTATGAAGGGCGCCAAAGCTTTGTAAACTAGCGGATATGCGTCCTCAAGTTTGACGAAACCTAGTAGTCGTATCGAGTTGAAGATTGCCAACACCCAATGATGATACTGTGACGAGTCCAAGCCGCCAAATGATTCACCAAACGCAAGGTCACCGATAAGGTCAAAGGCGGTTAGATTATACCATTTCACCAAATCAACGGGCATTTGAGACTCTGCTGCATCACATAGCCTTTCGGTGAGTTTGTTTAAATATTCAAGTATTACAGGCCCCTGAGTCTGTAGCCCTTGGGCCGAGAATGCGGGTGACAAGGCCTTTCGATAACGTGCGTGATTGGCATCGTCAGCGCCGACGATATCCATTGGGTTGCTCACTGAAGATCTCACTTTAGACAACTGTTTGTGGCCGTGACCATATATATCTTTCCAAGCCTGGGCAGTGATGAAGGAGACCTCGTCTGGTCCAAAACGGACAGCCTCCCCGTATTTATCATGAAAGGTCCGAAGGTCAGCATCCAGCCTTCCCCCCAAGTCAGAGAGATAGCGTATGATGGGGAAGGCAATCCATAATTTGGGCCCTGGAATGTGATGGAGAGGGTGCAGGAATATGGCCCAGACAGCGGAGATCGCAGTGTAGAGCAGATAAAGAGTTACAGCGAGAACAACAGCGGTGAACATGTCAAACGTTGTGCAAGGAGAGAAAAGATCTGGAAATGTGCAAGAAGGCTATATACTAGCTCTGTTATATAAATCAGGTTTTATTTGACTCGTCGTCATAAAGAAATGCATAACACATGATATTTCTGTGCCGATCTTAATGCACTTGGGCGAGGATTAGCCAAAGATTGTACAACATAAGTCATGGCCAAACAGAAATGAAAAACCACTGACCAGGGCTCATTGCCACGGTTCGTCAGCCTGTACAACATACCTTCTGGGCAACTTCTGGCGCACACGGTACTGGTGGGACAAAGGCGAGGTCATCGGCCCAACAAGGAAGAACCGGTTAACTTGATTCTACTTAGCTATAACTTGTTTGTAGATCCCTTTTTCCCGGCACTTATTGACTACGCCAAAAGCCGCAAAGCTGCAGAATCGCAGAATCGAACCGTCCTAGACTACAATTAGTGTGAGTTTTGGAGCGAGTTCTAGAAACTATCTTCGCTACGCTCAGCTAACAATGTGATTAAGGGTCAAGTGCAGGTCCTGTTTTCGATTTAAGGTTCCACTTTGGGGGTAGGTCACGCGACTCTACCCCTATAGTAACCTTTTATAAAATACATCCGGAAGAAGACAGAAGATAATTCTTGTGAGTTTCATTTTAGAAGATACAAAGAGGGGTAGATCTATCTCTTGCCCACTAGGGTTATAGAATGATATCAAACTCACAGCTCACACTTTGATAAGAACAGCAAGCGTTCAAAAGTGGGCATGCGATCCTATAATATGCAACTCCGGTGATATACCCGGACAGACCTTCCTGGATAGGAATGGCTTATCTGAGATGTATCGCACTGCCTAGGTGAGTCAATCCAAGCAGAGTACTTTGTAACTATAACTCTGGTTGCACCAACTTCTAAATAATATATTTGGGCATCAAATATGTTCTTCTTGCTCCTAGAACTCCAGCTGTTAATTTGAGAGCCATCGGCAATTACCTTCTTACTCTGGCTATATATTATGCCCATGATGAATCTTTTCATCCTATTGAAGCAATATCTCGCGGACGCTTCCCAGAAGACCATAAAGGAGGAGGTATTTGATCCAAGAGTACGTGAATCAATCTAGACAAATTTCAACGCTTAAACAAAGCTCCACTTCTAAGATTTCATCCAACAGGTGCACCTTAGCTACAATCCGCCTTCAAAGAAATTCACAGTGCAAGACTTGCTTCTAAATCAGAGTCCAACCGCATCGCCTATTGCAGGGACAGTACCATTTCCATTATTGTCAGCCGAAGGTGTCAGAGCCTACCGAAAGGCTTTATTCCAAAAGAATGTTATAGACAAATGTGCCAGTTCCCCATTTCCAGGGACTTTGGTGCTTCGTGATGCGGCGAAACAGTCAAGTTTTATCAATGACTTTTGGACACACCGTGAGACAATGAACATTGTTTCCGAGGCAGTCGGTGTACCTCTGGAGGTGGTGATGCCAACAGAAATAGGACACACTAACATTCAAGTTGAAGGCACTACAATCGCAGAAATGGCCAACAATCTAAAAGTTGAGCCGTCTGTGGAAAAGGTCGAGTTGAGTCCCGAAGATCGAGCATACGACCCTTTGAAAGATGCCAGTGCTATCATTCCGTGGCAGTAAGCTCATCCCCTAGCAACCTTGGACGTACTACGAGCAATACTAACTGGCCCTAAGTTATGACTCATATCCTTACGTTTGTGTACTGATGCTGAGCGATACTGAGGGTATGATTGGAGGCGAGACATATATCAAAAAGGGAGACGGGGAGGTACAGAAAGTAGGAACCTATTTTACTGAAATTAAAATACCCTCGCTAACTAAGCCCTAAGGTTGAAGGCCCCAGAATTGGTTATGCTGTCATGCTCCAAGGCGGCGAAGTCTGTCATCTGGCAGCCCGGGCAAAAGGTGTGAAGGAGCGGATATCGACCATCACTTCATATCGTTCTACATTGCCAAATATGTATGACTCCAGCTATACTACCAACGTCCGTCCTTATGCGGATACAACCTCTCTCTATCCTGAATGGACACAATACCGTTTGCGAAAATTGAGAGATGAACTTACATATTATCTCGACAAGACGGAGAAAGAAGATGATTCTGCACAGGAAAGAAACAGCGTACAAGCTCTTATAGACTAGCAGATTGATTATCTACGACGAACATCTCGACAGATGGTTGATCCTGAGTTTACTCAGCGAATTTTGAGGAAATATGGCAGACCGTCATACTATGATGCTCCTACAATTTGGGAGGCTGTTCAATCCCTGCCAGAATTCGACAGACTTGCGTCAGCTGCGGATAAAGAACAACGTTGGCAGCCGGAAAGTGTTTATTGGACAGATCTCCTGAGCTCTAATGAAACAATTCGTTTAGGGAGACCTCTTCAGAGTGTTCTTGGAACCAGTGTGTGGCAGAATACGAGGAAATACTACATGGGGGATGAACTTCTCCGACAAGGGCTTAATGAGGTTTTCTTGGATTGGTTAGGATATTCAGGTATCTGGGAACTTTACTGCAACATGTTTAAAGAAATTGAGTAATGCCGCTTTTCGAATCGCACGAAGATATTCCTGAACAACACCGGCCTCGCATCGAACTTCAAAACAGAACTCAGCTGCATGATGATTGTCTATCTATATTACTATGTATAGGCAGTATACTATCTACAGCACAGCATACAAGTAGAAATGATAATAATAAACTTAATTGTGTTTCACCAGACAATCCAGAAGAGAGGTGCCATGCCCTCCCCTGAACCATCCAGCAACAACTATCTAAAATCCTTTCGGTAGGTCCCTAGACAATCCAGAAGAGAGGTGCCATGCCCTCCCCTGAACCATCTAGCGACAACTATCCAAGCCTTTGGGTCCCTAGACATCCCGAAAGAGAGGTGCCATGCCCTCCCTGGGAGTGTCCAGCAACGCCTTCCATACCAATAATTGAGATTCACACATTGAAGTCCAGTTGACTCGATAACCATTCCTCAAACATCAATTCGAGGCCTCGTTAAAACCAGCTGGAAGAAAACCCTATGGGATAAAGACAGCCAGCTGGAAAGAGTACCTCGTACATAATCCAATTCCCCAAGGTTTGTTTTTGCCCTGAATTTCCTCCGTTTTCTTGTTTTGCTAGTCCTTCTTTCTTCTGCTTTCTTTTTTTCTTTCTTTTTCTCTTTTTTCCCTTGTTTCCCTTGTTTTTCTTTTTTTGTGATTCGTTTGTTTTTTCTTGGGTCGATTTTATGGGACTTAAGTCCTTTTGGTGGCCTGGGTTGCCATTCTAATTTGGTATGGTGGGATGGCAACCCCTGCCGGCTTTCTTCCTCGATGGGACCTGAGTCCCTTAGATGGCGTGGGTTGCCATGCCGCCAAACGAGTTTACTGAGATCGGTTGGACGGGACTTGGGTATTTTGTCCGGTGGCATAGCAACCCCTGCCTGCTTTCTTTTTCGTTCAATGGGACTTAAGTCCTTTGGTGGCCTGAGTTGCCATGCTATTTGGTATGGTGGCATGGCAACCCTTGCCTGCTTTCTTCAATCGGTTTGATGGGACCTGAGTCCCCGGGATGGCCTGGGTTGCCATGCCTATTTTGTCCGGCGGCATGACAACCCCGGCTTACTTTCTTCTTCGTTCAATGGGACCTGAGTCCCCTGGGCAGCCTGGGTTGCTACGCCGCCAAACGACTTTATTGAAATCGGTTGGATGGGACGTGGGTATCTTGTCCGGCGGCATAGCAACCCCGGCCTGCTTTCTTCTTCGGGTCGGTTCCATAAAATTGAGTCCTCCAGGTGACATGGGTTGCCATGCCTGTGTTCTTCTTCAGGTTGGTTCGATAGGACTTGAGTCCTGGGTGGCATGGCAACCCCTGCCTGCTTTCCTCTTCGGGTCGGTGCAGTAAAATTTGAGTCCTCCGAGTTGCGTGGGTTACCATGCCTATCTTCTTCTTCAGGCCCCAATTCGACGGACAGTTGAACCTTCCTCTTTAGTGCTCATCGGGTGACATGGCAACCCACGCTCATTTTCTTCATCAGATCTGACCGGCTTCATCCCCAAGAGACCTTCCGCATTTTCAGACGGCAGTGTCGAGCCGCCCATATTTTTAAGAGATTGCTTTGAGTTGGTACGAATTGAGGCCTCGTTAAAACCGGCCAGGAGAAAAACCCGCGTGGGGAAAGCTTCTCGGCCGGAAAGAGTGCCTCTAGTGGTTGTGTGTTGTAGTCACATTTTGGTATCACAGACACTGTAGTGAATGTCCAACCGGGAAAAAACCACATGGGAAAAGTTCCCGATTGAACGTGAAATTGCTCACCAAGATGTTCAACATGGTTGAACGTCCAGCCGGCAGGAAACCCTGTGGGAAAAACCGCCGGTCTGGATGGGATGAGAGAGAGACTTAGACAGTGATCCAATCCCACACCATGCCCGCCTCAGCCCGAAAGTCCCGAGATGTTCATTCAAACATTGAAGTCTTAAAACATGGAAGTAGGTATCGGTCAACAGGGGATTCTAGACGCTGAGCTATCAGCCCGAATGAAGACCACAGGCGCCGCAGTCTTCATCCAGTGCATGAAACCCAGGTATCAAGAACGCGGATGCTCGGTGTTTGAATAGAGACCCGGGCCCTGGATCTCTTCCCAAACACCGAGCAAGAAGAGATTATGAGAGTCTAAGTTTTCAGCCATCAGCAAAGACCACAGGCGCCGCAGTCTTTACCGAGGACATCAAACCCAGATATTGCAAATTGCGGATTCTCAGCACTTGAGTAAAGGCTAGGGCCCCTCGCCCCTACCCAAGCACCAAGGTGATGAAGTTTACGAGTTCAAAATTCAAAGCATACAGGTAATTCCTTCCAAAAGACTTTGGTGGGTTTGTTAAATTCAATCCTCTTCGACAGATGGGAGTCCCAATGGGGACGAGGCATTGAGGGGCGTCTGGGGCACATGGTGTGGGATGGTTGTAGAAGGAAAGAAAAGAAGAAGAGGGCAAGAGAACAGGAGGGATATATATAACTTAGGATGACGCAAACCTCGATAGCGTCCGACATCCAGTTAAGTAATCCATGTATGTTCTATGAGATGAAGTGGTTGTATAGTTTAAATGTCCGGTGCCAGATGAAGGAATTATGTACTGTAAAAGGCATAGTCCTTTGGACTCACTTGATGACTAGAACATTCGAAGAATATCAGCTGGCCATTTGTTGTACCAGAAGTAGAAAGTAGATGAAGTTATTTGAAGCCCGAATCCTAAATGTTTCATGCATTTTGGAAATGAGTGTTGGCCGCTGCTCTATACAGAACAGAACGGAAAGCGAAGTCAAATGTATACGAGACTAATCATCTCATGAACAAACCCAAAGGCAATGTTTTTAAAAAAAGAGATTTAGAGAATTAGGACAATATCGAACTGAAGAACTGCATTGATACCTTGTTTCTCAGGCCTCAAGCCACTATTCTTCTTAGACAGTGTCTATTGTACATCCATTAGGTGTAACCTGACCCCTATTAGTAGAATAACAATTTTCTTTTCTGTCTAGTCTATATTATGATCATTAAAATCATAGCATAACAAAGACGAGCTCATATGGTAAATGCAATGTAGATCTAGTTATCTAGAGAAACGCCAAGGCTTATGTTAGCAAGATTGCAGGTATCTTCTTCAATGCACGATCAGTCCGATCTTCACTCTGTCACGTCAGCCGTGCATCCTTGTTTTGCGCTGTACATACCCTTGCTTGACTTACTTTCGTTCAAGGCTTATCGTTCATTTAAGCAAACGTCTCCTCGAAATACTCGCCACTCGATCTCTTTCAACTTTTTTTCCCTTAGTATCCACTCCAAGATGTCCGACGACGATGAGTACTATGAGTTCGAGGATGAATACATGTATGAGGATTTAGTCCCTGACATGGTCGTAAGTCAACTCCTCGTGGTTTCATCTAGACCAACTCGCGCCATCGGTTCTGCACGGGAAAACAACACCAATTCAGACTCTAACCAAAACTTTGCTTGTCCAGGACGATCTCGCCGCTTCCTCATATTACGAAGCTGCCCTATATGAAGATCCAGGGATTGATGTCGAAGACTATTTCAGCGACTGGGACTATTATTCAGACGATTATCACGACGATGACGCAACCGTTGAACAAAGCGCAGAGAGGAAAAAAAGAACCGAGATCGCTGCGACAGCACCACGACGAACGAAGGCATCTTCCCGAGCAAAGAGCCACATCACCAGAGTCCCACCGACGAAATCCCCTTTGGTGCCGGATATCGCCTCATTCCAGGGCGTGGTGTGGAAAACGCCCGCGCTGGACCGGGACCAGGATGTCGCTATTTTGTATGAGCCGGACACAGGCGAGAAGGTTGCGCTCCTAGAGAACTGGCGGGAGGTGTTCAAATTCGCCCAGCCAGCGCTAGATAAATCACGCCTAAAAAGGCGACACGTTGCCGAGTCCAAACCCGTCGACTCGCCGCTGGCTGACGATGAAATGGTCGCCGATGACGGTACCGACGACGAGGCAGATAGCTCGGACGAGATGTCTGATGTTATCTCATGTGATACTTCGGGTGTTGATGCTGGGGATACTGGGGATGCCTCAAACACAACCCCGGACCCGGATCCGGACTCTTTCCGCTCGCTGAAACTATCTTCACCGCCGAAGGTCGTGATTCCGTTGAAGAGAGGGTGGAAGCGGAAGACTCTTGAACAGAAGGATGACACGGATGAGGATACGGTGTCGCCTCGCCCGAAGAGGGTGCAGGTGCGGAAAGGCGGCGCTGACAAGGCTACAAAACGTGCGGCACCACCGGTGCGCAGATCGACTAGGCAGAAGAAGTAGTTTGTTGGTTGATAAAGGGCCATTTATGACATGTACAACGACTAAAATGAATCTGCATACACTCTGCAAAGAGATGATATTTTCCCAAATGAAATAATTTTATGTATCGTTCTGCTATATTGCTTAAGCGTACTCCTTGTTGAATGCGCGGCCAATGACCATCCTACGGATCTCGCTTGTACCGGCACCAATCTCATACAGTTTCGCGTCACGGAGGAGGCGTCCAGCGGGAATCTCGTTGATGTACCCGCTTCCTCCCATGAGCTGAATAGCATCAAGAGTGCATTCAGTCGCGCGTTCAGCGGCGTAGAGGATTGCACCAGCGCAGTCGTGAGTGCGGACGGTCATCGCGCCAGGCTCCATGGCGGCATTATCTACCTGCCGTGCAGTAGCGTAGGTGTACGCGCGCGAGGCAGCCAGCTTAGTGTACATGTCCGCAAGCTTGCCCTGGACAAGCTGGTTGTGGGCGATCGGTGTACCAAATTGCTTGCGCACGTGCGTGTAAGGAAGGACGAGGTCAAGTGCGGCTTGCATGATTCTAAGGAGAGTTAGAATGTGGTAGGTGTTATGGTATGGATGGCTCACCCTAGTGGTCCTGCACTCAGAACAAGTCGCTCCAAGTCCAGACCCTCCATCAATACGCGGACGCCGCGGTTCACCTCACCCAAGAGATTCTCCCGGGGAACAAAAACATCCTCAAAGATAAGCTCGCCTGTGTTAGAGCCACGCATACCCAGTTTGTCCAGCTTACGTGCGCACGAGAAGCCCTTAAAGCTCTTTTCAACTATGAACGCTGTGATACCTTTGGAACCTAGTTCAGGTTCTGTCTTCGCGTACACAACAATGTAATCGGCATCGGGGCCCTAAGAAAGTGTAAGCAGCGAGTTCGGAAATTTCAATCCCATATATATCACCAAACCGACTTACATTGGTAATCCACATCTTGGTTCCATTCAAGAGCCAGCCTCCATCAACTTCCTTTGCTGTGGTCTTCATGCTGACTACATCGGAGCCAGCTGAATGTTCCGACATTGCAAGAGCACCAACCTTCTCGCCTGATAGGAGACCGGGAAGAATGCGCTCTTTTTGTTCCGTCGAGCCATTGAGGGAGAGCTGGTTAACGCAGAGCTGGGAGTGGGCGGCATAAGAGAGACCAATGCTTCCTTTTTATCCAGAATCAAGGTCAGATCGATCATTCCACTAAAGATACACAGGAAAACCTACCAGATGCTCGGCTAATCTCTTCCATCACCACGCAATGTGCCTGGTAGCCCATTCCCAAGCCACCGTACTCCTCGTTTGCTGTGACACCAAGGAACCTTTATATCTGTTAGTATGGGTGCTGTAACCCACTTCGTCCTTTTAAAGAGTCAACCACTTGGGAACCCATACCCAGCATCGCCCATTTTCTTCCACATTTCCGCTGGGAACTCATTCTGTTCATCTGTCCGTGCAGCAACATCGGCTGGGATCTCCCGTCCTACAGAGAGGTTAGAAAATGCGGCCTCGGCACGAGAACGGGTAATTTACTTGTGAAATCTTGCACACGCTCTCGTAGCTCTAGAAGCTCATCCTCGGACGGAGGTGTGAACCCCGTCGGGTGCTTTGTTGAGATGGAGCGGAAACATGGTGTGAATGCGGGGATGCGGTTCAGCCGAACCGCGCGCGTCGATGTGCGAAGCAGAGAGGGGAGGGTTCGAGAGGCCATGATTGTATGAGAGAATTGATGTAGAATGCAAAATCCGGGGGGGTATTGTATTTGAGGAAGTGGACCTTTTAAATATGTGTGCAGGGGGCGGTAGTCCTCGGCGCGCAATCAAGGACGGACTTATATGCTGTACAACGAGGTTCCCACCTTAGAACATGCAAAACATGCAGATCTTTCACATTTTTGAATTTCTGATTGATACTACAATATATCTATAGGCCAATTGATTCATATATTCTCTGCTTTTTCTGTCTTAGCAATTGTCCAACTCATTTTGGTCTTTCTTGCCATTCTCATGGGGATGATGATGGGCCTCGGGTAGAAGCGGCAATCATCGCACCTCCGCATTTGGGGAAACCCCAGCTTTGTCCCTCGCTTCTCTTCTGCCACTGTGAATACAAGTTTAAATACTTCGGGAGACTCATAATATACCCATCACTCTACATTTTCGCTTGAGCTATATTCTACAATCTTCGCCTCAGAACCAGTTACATACTCCACACTCTTCCCCGCAATGCGTGCCCCGTCCCCGCTCGTCCTTCGGAGCTGGGGCTCACGACTCGGACCGCGCAAATGTCTACCAAGCTCATTTTGCCAGTCCACAAAGATTACACGGCCAGCGTATAGAACAGTAGCAAGTTATACACACCCTCACCATGCCTCAGCCCTCTCCGTCCTCCCAACAGCAGTGGATACCTCCTCACAGGAGTACCGCGAAAACACCGAACAAATGCAAGAACTCCTAGATCGGATGAGCAGCCTACACACATCAATTGCACGTGGAGGAAACGATAAAGCGCGTGAGAAACACATCGCCCGCGGCAAAATGCTCCCAAGAGACCGGATCTCCGCTCTAGTTGATCCAGGCACCTCCTTCCTGGAGCTATCAGCACTCGCAGGACACGGGGTGTACGAAGGCGAGGATGTTCCAGCTGGTGGTATCATCACCGGAATTGGGATGGTTGAGGGTGTGAACTGCATGATTGTTGCCAATGATAGCACCGTCAAGGGCGGCACCTACTACCCCATCACAGTGAAGAAGCACCTCCGCGCACAGGCGATTGCGCAAGAGAACCGCCTCCCATGTATCTACCTCGTTGACTCTGGTGGTGCGAACCTTCCTCATCAGGCAGATGTGTTCCCAGACCGTGATCACTTCGGCCGCATTTTCTTCAACCAGGCCCGCATGAGCTCCCTCGGGATCCCACAAATTTCCGTTGTCATGGGTCCCTGCACAGCAGGCGGTGCATATGTGCCTGCTATGAGTGACGAGACCATCATCGTCGAGAACCAGGGTACTATCTTCCTGGCAGGCCCGCCTCTCGTCAAGGCCGCAACAGGCGAGGAGGTATCCGCCGAGGACCTAGGTGGCGGCCAGCTCCATTCGAGCATTTCCGGTGTCACCGACTACCTGGCTGTCGACGATGCGCACGCTCTTGTACTTGCTCGTCGTTCCATCTCAAACCTTAACTACCCTACCACCACAACTCCCCTCCAGCTGGAGAACGGTAATGGGAATTCACTTGTCGTGAAAGAACCGTTGTACGACCCCAATGAGCTAAATGGAATCGTTGGCACAAATTTGCGCCGTCAGATCCCCGTTCACGAGGTCATCGCGCGCATTGTCGATGGAAGTGAATTCGCCGAGTTTAAGCGCGACTATGGCTCGACCCTGGTAACGGGCTTTGCTCGCATCCACGGCCATCGTGTCGGTATAGTTGCTAACAATGGAATTTTGTTCTCCGAGTCCTCGCTCAAGGGAGCGCACTTCATTGAGCTCTGTGCTCAACGACGAATCCCTCTTGTCTTCTTGCAGAATATCTCCGGCTTCATGGTTGGCGCTGATGCTGAGAAGGGCGGCATCGCGAAGAACGGCGCTAAACTTGTTACTGCTGTTGCGTGTGCCGATGTCCCCAAGTTCACTGTTGTATTTGGGTCCAGTGCTGGTGCTGGTAATTACGGGATGTGGTAAGTTTTATCTTTGGTCTCTCTCTAGTTCATTTCTAACATTGCTTTTAGTGGTCGTGCCTACTCGCCCCGTCTTCTTTTCATGTGGCCCAATGCTAAGATTGGAGTTATGGGCTCTGAGCAACTCTCTGCCGTTATGGAGGCTGTTGGACGCACCGCTGATCCGGCTTTGAAAGACCGCATTGACCGTGAATCTGAAGCGACTTTTTCGTCAGCCCGTTTGTGGGATGATGGTATCATCCCGCCGTCTCAGACAAGGAAAATGCTAGGGTTGGGTCTAGCAGCTGCGCTCAGTGGCAAGGCTGAGCCGGATGTGCAAACCAGATTTGGCGTGTTCCGAATGTAGATTGCCACCAGGTTGGAATAAGGTATGCAGATTTTCATTCAGGATAATTCCGAGAAAACATAGAATGGAAGACGAATGTTCATGTGCCATTAACTTGATGTGACATGTATCAAATGTAGCCTATACTGCCCCTCCATACTATCGTTCTTCACTTTGTAGTCTAGTGGACCTTTGGAACTGTACAGTACGGTCCAACAATGAGCTCAAAGTAAATGGCTTGTATTGCAAATGACATCGGGTACTATAAATCACGCCTATGTGTTTATGGCAACGGGTTCCACCACGTATCCAACATTCAAGGGATCTAGCGCAAGCCTATCAACCGAATGATAATAGCAACAGGACCAAAAGAAAAGAAAGCACTTTTTCTCCATCTCGGGAAAGTAATCGTTTTAGAGTCCAGATCAACCAAACCTCAAATAGTCAAATGTAAAACAAGAGGAAGACACCAATTGTGTACAACCCAAAAGAAAAGATACAAATCGGTAGCAGTGAAGCATGGTTCTATAGGGAGAAGAGGCGCAGACATATCGGCAACATATATAGAAAGAACATCAGTCATACATGGCATGTCAAGATGCATAGCAGCGTCGGCAGGGCATAGGTCGCAGAGGGTCGTATCGCATGAAAATGAAACAAACGAGGGCACTCATTCAGAGAAATGGCCCCCTCGAATTGTTGAATCAAAGGATGACACACGGCCCACGACGATGTTTCGGGCGGCGATTATCTCTCTTGCGGTCATGGCGATTTGGACCCTCGCGCTTGCGGTTGGGATCACCGCTGTTTCTTGACCCCTCGGAGTCTTTGCGGATGATCTGTCGGCACAGGTCGACGAAGACTTCGTTGACATTTGCACGGCGGCGAGCAGATGTCTCGTAGTATGGGGCGTTACCCCATTTCTGGGATAGAGCGAAGGCGCGGGCGCGTGGTACGGCTCGGTCTTCTTCCAAATCAGATTTATTGCCCACGATCACGATTGGGACGTTTTCGTCGTCTTTGATTCGGATAATTTGCTCGCGTAGCTCGGAGAGTTCGTTTAGGGAGGACGTGCTGGTGATGGAGAAGACGAGGAGGAAGCCTTGGCCTTGCTTCATGTAGAGCTCTCTGCGGAGAGCGTTGTCAGTACAGTGTGCGTTTCTCGGGGTCGGGCCGCGGCATTGATCGTGATGGATTGCCTATATTTACCTCATTGCAGCTTGTGGGTTGTTAGCTTTGGTTTCACGAGTAGATATCTTGTTTTGGGGGATCCTTACTGAACTGTTCTGTTCCTGCCGTGTCGAGACTTCGAAATTTTAGCATCATGCCATACCTCAACCACCGAATTACTCACATCTCCAGTATACATTGGCGACCCTGTCAATCTTGGTTAACATCCGAGCAATTTCCAGCGCATTGTAGACAACTTACGTCTACCTCAATCTGTTTCCGGTATGAATCCTCGATCGTTGGGTCGTAACTTTCGATCCAAACATTTTGAACGAATTGAGCTGGATGGTGATTGTTGATCAGCTTGAGGACTCAGGGCCGAGCTAGGAAGGGAACGAACCTGTTAAGCAACTTTTTCCGACACCTCCTGTTATCGCGGGAATGCCTGCGGTCAGCCTGTGACCTATGGGAATATCTCAGGAGAGGTTCGTACCAGCACCCAAAACAACAATGTGGTATTCGCGTCTGAAGGGAATTAGAACTCGATCTTGGGAGTGCTGGTTGTAAACTCACTGTGTCCGCATTGAGAAAAGTGTGTAATAGTCGGGAATAGGAAAACGAAACCGTGTGGATCGTTCCACGTGGTATATATGACGATCTCAAATAAATTGGCCCAAGTTAAATGCTGAAGATGGAAGAGCTTAGAAGGGCGGCGGAGAATGCGGTTTACATGGCCCGCCTTTTCGGTGCACGGGATATGGAGATTCGAGGATCCACTGAAGACTATCAGCCCATATAAGATATTAAGAACGGTCCTGCATAAGTTTTTTTTTTTCTCAAAGAGGGGAGAGAAGTAGTTAGCCTAATTGTGAGGGCTTGGTTCCTGAATTTCATTCTCTTTTTAGCCTGACCCAATCACATCATATTCCGAGATCATCTCTGGCGGTCAGCCACTTGTTAAGTGTATGCCTTCTCGGCAAATGTTTGTCTTTTTTTTTTTTCTTTCCCCCCTTTTTTTTGGGTTTCAATTGCTCCCAAGGTTTCTTTACCTTGTAATTGACAGCCTATCAATATGTGTCACGTGACTATGTGATGTTATCAAGACGATGAAACACAATCAAGTCACTTGTGTTTGAAGATGTTTAGCATTTTTGTTTTGAAATTGATACCTCAGGTCAAAGAGAAAATAAGTGCCGTACTTCTATGAAGTGTTCCATAATTGGTCAATGTTGATAGGCGGGACCTCGGGAGATGCATCACAAAGACCCGAACGGACCAACTGCTGCAGGGGAGGCCCACAAAGGAACCCTCCCCGGTTTCATGATGGAAAGAAAAGAATTATTCGAAACAACAGGCCGGGCATGATATACATATTTACCTGGCAAACCAGTCTTGATAATTTTGGAAAGCCGCGTACGTCATGCGTAGGATGTTATGATTACGGAGTCCGTATACCTCGGGAGATTTATGCATGAGGAAAGCAGACTAGCTCACTCTGATACACTCAACTTCATTATGTTCCATTTGAGATCTGTTTCAAGTCACCTATGTCCTCTAGGGCTAGTATTTCTAAAGCTTAAAACTCGCCTACATGCTAGGATCATATGTTTGCCTTGGCCCCTCAGTTAGGCACTCCAGCAGATAGTTATTTTTCTTTAAAGACACAAGTGACCAAATATGCATAGCCTTCAAGGCTGGATCTTCTGATGCAAGGTATCTACTGATAATGAGAGTATATCAAACCAATAACAATTTACTTGGTGCAGCTTCACATGGCACCTGCAGTGAACGAATACGTCATGCTCATCACGTGATACACACAAGCTAGCCTCTGGCTTCTTGCCGCCAACACAACCGGTCGCATTCTCACCATCCCTCGCTCCATTGTCATCCTAATAGCTCTTTGACTTGTTTTCCCACAAACGATACCCTTTAGAAGCAAAAATGGCCTCTTTCCAGGAGCGTGCCCAGCACTCTATTGCTCAGCTCGACAAGGAGGTACGTTTCCAGCCATTGTGTGTGTTTCGCTGGGGCCTCAGGTCTAGCCCTCGCCTGAAGGCTACAATGCTCCTAAGCGCCAGCGACCACAGCAGGACAGACTGCAATGGCATTCTTTGATGCCCTGCTGGGCACTTTACTATGCTATCTATCGCTGTGATTTTGAGCTGACATCCGTCATTTTGTAGCTCTCCAAGTACCCTGTCCTTGCCAACCTTGAGCGTCAGACCAATGTCCCCAAGGTCTATGTCATCCTCGGCCTTGTCGGAGTCTACTTCTTCCTGGTCTTCTTTAACATTGCTGGCGAGTTCCTCGTCAACTTTGCCGGTTTCCTGGTTCCCGGTTACTACTCCCTTCAGGCGCTTTTCACCTCAAGCACCAAGGACGACACTCAGGTAAGGATTTTTTTTTGTAATCATTTCCCTTTCCATACGCAAATCGCTAACTTCTCTTTTTCACTCTCGTAGTGGCTCACAGTAAGTTCACCTGATTCTATCACCTGGTTGTCGCAATCGGGCGGATATATGAAATCACCGCCGATTCGGGGTTATCATACACCTTCCACGTGACATCTTTCCCGCTTGCACACGACCAATAATTCTAACATATGACTTGATAGTACTGGGTTGTCTTCGCTTTCCTGACTGTCATTGAAAGCGCCATCAGCGCCGCTTACTGGTTCCGTATGTGCCCACAAGATGCCTATCTTCCCACTATTTTGCTAACTGATCCCAGCCTTCTACTACATCTTCAAGTTCGTCCTGATCATGTGGATGGCTCTTCCCCAGACCAGGTATGTTACTATCCCAGCAAGTTGAGGCCGATGACTGACTTTCTTTTCACAGCGGTGCCCAGGTTGTCTTCCACTCCTTCCTCCAGCCCGTGCTTGGCCGTTTCTTCTCCACCAGCGGTACTTCCTCCAACCTCCGCGCCCAGGCCGAGGCTGCGAGCAAGCCCCACTCCACCTAAACGGGTGTAGTCTCACCCCTCAACCGAGAATCGCATGGACAATAAAAGCTCCGTGGAACCTACTTGGACGCAGGTCGCGGATCCGATTCTCTGTGCCTTGCGGGCACTAAGCACGAAGTGATGTGGTTGGCTCAAAGCTTCGTTGCTATGATTAAATAGGAGCAGTTCAATAGCTGGGACATGAAATAGAGAGGGCCCGAGAAATGTTGCGACGGGTCTGGGGTTGGATATTCGCTGAATATGAGAATGTTTTATCTTGGTTTTTGCCACTTTGTCACTCTCGAGTGGATTAGTTGTGTAGTTCATAATACATTGTGAATGTGGATGCAACTATCTCCAGATGTTCGAGCTCCATATCATCTCCATGATCTTCGGGGTGTTGCGCTGTGCGCCGCGTGCGTCCCACGAGAACCGCACGGGATGTTTGGGCCAATCTACAGGTTCAGGAGTATACTGGGATGGTCTGCTAGTTGCGTTGCCACTTATTTTATGTGTATGGATCTTGCCCCCAAATCATCCCCGAAACCACCGGTCTATGCTATTTCATACCTCATACATGTCATATCATCAGCATCACCTGAGCACTCCCATGACCCCATGGCCTCCTCAAAACACCTTGCGCAACTGTCCAGCGAATACATCCTCTGATAATGCCCACACATCTCAATAAACTTCAACAAAATAGTTCTTCTCAATATGCGCCTTGCAGCCATTCTTCGCATACCAGATCAAGCATGCAAGAACCTGGCCAAACCGTATGCCTCGGCATGAATATCAACACGGCCAGCATCCCCGGGCCAGATTCGTATTAGACTCCTTGGGATGTCATATACGGGCGGACCGAGCGCGAGGCGCGAGCCCCGTGGGAGGAAAGCCAGCTAGCCAGTGCTAACAAAGATACCCCCCACCACCCTTATCCGACGAGGATTTCAACGCTTCTAGTAGATTCTGGATCTCCTCAGCAAGCAACTTAGAATCATTGCACTTGCGCGCCGTGTCAAAATCAATCAAAATAGCCCTCGAGTCACGAATCATGAAGTTGAACCGATTCACATCACCATGCTTAATCCCTAAAGCATGTAACCGAGTAAGAGTCTGTTGGCAAATATCAAGATTCCGAAGCCCAGCATGTCGTGCATTGGCAATACGCTCCACCAAGAAACCAATAACACGACCATCTTCAGTGAGATGTCCCAGGAACCGGGGACCAATCTCATAACCCTCAATCAACTTGTAGGCAGCAGTCTCGCCCTCCATATATCCAATTTCCCAATCAAAGCGAGCAAACTTGACGACGACAAGTTCCTCAAATTGGGGACATTTAACTTCGTAGACGCCTGTTCGGAGTCGCCTAGCCTCTCTCAGGTCCAGATAATCAACAAAGGTGTTATGCCATGTATTCGTAACTCCAGGAAATGAGGTTCGAGCGGCGCGCGCAAAGTATGGTTCGCCGGTTTCTGGGTGTTTGGTCACTAATCCGTCGTTCCAATCACCTGTAGGAAGATCCGGGAGAATCGAGGCTAGAGATGGACCGAAGCACATATCCTCCGTGCTCCAGATGCCTTGGACAATGGTTATATACCTGACTGACCCATTGATCAGAAGTCGGAAATAACTCTCGTTGTCTTCGTCGGCTTCTGCCTGGAGCAATGTGATGCTTCTTTGGTTCTGCATTAGGATGTTGGCGCATTGCATGGAGGGGTGAGTATATTCGCGGCTAAGTATTGGGTGTTGTGGGATCAAATGTAATATCATTGGCTCAGTCATACCATTTTGCTTACAGCATGCAGGCTTGTATGCAGGAGGGACCTTCGGTTGAATTTGCTTTCAGAAATACTTCAAGACAGATACAATGATGATCTGGTTGAGACATTGTACACCGATATCACACGCCTTTATGGTCCATGATGCCTCGTTAGGACTCAATAGATGGCCTGGGATAGGATATTCGTATTGATGTTTGTAATAATTGAGTATAAAAAAAATCCGTATGTACTTACGCCGCATTGTAAACCTAACCAGCCTATCCCTCTCATGAATCCAAAAAAATAAACACCTAAACACTGAACTCCGTACGGCCATCGCTTGGAAGCACAAGCACAGCACATGAGGTTTTCGTAGGCTCATAGTAATGGCCCTTTTTATAATATCTGACATAGTTCGTAAATCATATCGGGTCGATCGGCCGCAGCCATATTCCAAGGGAAGTAAAAGCAATGTGTCCGGTTGGTTGAACAATAATCGGAGTGGGAACATATCAAACTTGACAATTCTGGGCGTATCATCCAGGATCTTATAGTCAAGCCGCATAGCTCAGTAGAGCCCGATGCGATTTCCCCAGCCGTCAGCACGAGGGTTGACGACAATCCGATAGGGGAACGGGTTGGAATCGCTAGTGGTGATGGGCGGAATATGATCTTTATCTCGATTGACAACGCTCAAGATTTTTAAAGCTGCCTTTTGCAGCATATTCCCCATTGCCTTGCGCACCTTGGCTCGTTCTATAATCAAATTAGCTCTGGATAAAGGGACCCGCAAACTGTACATACCGGACTCAGTGCGCGGTGTCGCGATCGTCACATCAAGTGTCCAAATCTCCCAGCACACCTCTTCCTCGCCTTTCCCTGTCAGTCCGCCAAACCAGTGTCCGGAACGACGTCGTTTCTTCTCGTAGAACTCGACTGCGATCCGCCCTCGCACACCTCCGCCACCACCAACAATTTGGCCATCCTGCCCGCCGGCTGCGGAGGACAGGTGCTGTCGGACCAGAGCAGATATGCGCGATTCAATCAGGGTCTCTAGGTCTGCATCGTTTATAGCAGGGAGTGTGAAGTCGAGCACGTCAAAGGTGACCGGCCGGATAGAAGGGAAGTAACGGTGGAAGAAAATGAGGTTCAGGACACCTGGCAAGAAAAATCAGCACTAAGAACATGCTTCAAATATCCTTAGACCACGGCTAACCCTTCAGTACATCTCGCACATGGGTGGTGTCTGCGAAGATCTCCAGGAAGTACTCCGGAGGGGTTTTGCGGGGCTCCATCCCCGCCATGACGCAGCTCGCAACCAAGCGGGATGGGTGAGAGTGCAATGTCCAACGGTTCCTGTGGAGGAGAAAGTATTATCGTAAACACAGAATAGAGAGACTGTTCGCAAGAAAAGTTATTCGCATCGAGGGGTGTAAGGTTGAGGGATGACTCTAAGTCTATGGCAAGGGGGGGCGGGCCTATATCGGAAGCCGGCTGAAGCTTATCGCTTATCATCGAAGTCGGGGGAAACCAGTTTGAATGAAAGAGAACATATAGATTTCATGAACGGAGTGTCCGGAGTATGCGGAGTATTCAAGAGAAACGAGAAGATAATCTTAGAAAGATACAGGGATCAGCGGGCTGTTGCGGGAAAGCCACACTGAATCCGGGAGCTCTAGTGGGACCAGTTGATATAATTATTGGATGATTTCGAGAAATGAGAAGCTATTCAAAATTTCTATATGTAGCCACAATATGTAGGTACTTTAGGTACTTAAAGCCTCTGTGGTGCTTTATAGGTTCGGTTCACTGCATGAGGGCGAGCTCTAGCCGAGGCCTGAAATTGGCGATCAGCGCCCGAAGCCTCTCTTCCCCATCTATCGAACCATCCATCTCCCGGATCTATCATGATTTGAAATTGCATTTCATTTTGACTTCTTCTGAGAGAAGCACCAAACACAAATATGATCGGTGCGACAAGGCGCTGGTTCCAGCGCAATCGCAAGGGTCTTGCAATCGGGGCTGGGGTGATAGGAGCTGGCTACTTGGCCGGACAATATGTACTATCCAAGATATCCGAGGCACGGGAGCGTATGAGCAGCGATCGGATTGCTCGCGAAAAGTCAGTTTCCCCGTGTTTTTGATGACTTTCTATCCCTCCGCTAGCAAGCACGCGAGCTTGTAACGCGTGCAACCCCAACCAGACTACCCCGAACCGGAATCACTGACCCGTGGCAATAGTCTACGCCGACGATTCGAACAAAACCAAACCGACTGCACATATACTGTCCTCGCCTTATTGCCAACCGCCGCAGAGAATATTATCGATGCTCTCCCTGTTGAGGAATTGACCAAGGAGCTGCAGCAGAAGCGAGCAGAGAGATTAGCTCGGCTCAATGCAGGGGAGGCAACTGGGTCAGATCTGAGCTCAATATCTCCGAGTCTACCGGACGATGATCGAAGGAGCCTCTCCAGTTTCCAAAGTGAGGGATATGTGCACGCAAGCCAGGTTGGAGACACTTCTCTGAACTCAGATGAACCACCTCGGCCCAAACGGAACAAGACACAGCTCTGGAATGAGGTGAAGATTACTTGTGAGTCTTTATTCGGCTATTTCCATAATAATTCCACGTCTCTCGGTAACTAACATTCTCTAGCTGTCACTCGGTCTTTTACTATGGTCTATACTCTCTCCTTGCTCACCGTCTTCACTCACATCCAACTTAATCTGCTCGGCCGTCGGAACTACCTATCCAGCGTGATCTCCCTTGCTACGCCACCCGCCAACAGCTCAACAATCAGTCTGGAAGACCATGATGATGAACTCACTCAAACATTGGGCGATGACTTCGAGACCAACCGACGTTACCTCGCCTTCAGTTGGTGGCTGCTTCACCGCGGGTGGAAAGACCTGATGGGGAGGGTGCAAACTGCCGTAGAGGATGTATTTGGACCTTTGAATCCACGTGAGGATATCAGTCTGGCCAAGCTCTCTGAGTTGACCTTGCAAGTCCGAAAGAAGGTGGAAGGCAGCACTGAGGACGAGCGACGGTCTCAAAAGTGGCTTTCTTGCTTGCTTCCCCCGGCAGAGGAAGAGGAATATGTCCTACGCGAGTCGGGTGTGGAAGGCGTAGCTGACCCGACCTCTTCCCAGACCGCGTCAAAGCTCCGACACCTCCTAGATGAGACAGCAGATTTGATCGACTCTCCCTCTTTCTCCCTCGTCCTCACACTTCTTAACAACGAGGGATTCTCAACCCTTATTGATCAAAGATGTGCTGCTGACGCATTCAAGGCGCCCACCTCCGCACCGGAGACCGCCCTGCAGTCTTTTGATTCAATTGCCACTGTTGTGCCCCTTGCTGATAACGCCGAGCGCAAGACGAAGCTTGCCAATCTCCTAGCTGTCATGACTCGCCAGGCACATGTGATTGGCAATGGTGCCCACCCACCAAACGAGTATCTGGTCGCCATGGACCAGAATGTGCGTGAACTCGAGGCCTTCTCCGCCGTGGTCTATAGTTCGAACTTTGACCTGGAGCTTCTTGGTGCCAAGAACAACCAAGTACCAACCAGGGAGACGGATCTCGTCGATAACGAAACTACTTCAACATCTTTCTCCCAAGTGATTGTTGAGAAGGAAGTTGGAGCTGATATAACGAAGGAGATGATTGAGCCACAACCAAGCAGTTCCATGCTCAAGGAACCATCGTTTACTGAGCCTGAGCCTTTGGCGGACTCGGCCTTCGAAGAGGCTTGGGGCAAGGCCACGGATGATGGGAACACCTCAACAGAAGAAATCCAGCCAGCACACTGAGGCAATGGAGAGACATTGAACTTTAATGGCGATTCATTTGATTCTCTCTACATCCTTATACCTTTCTTTTTTTAAGCACATCGCTCTGGATTTTCTATCTCCGCATACATTATCTCGATAGAATTGAGTTACTGTAATGATATATGCCAATTCAGTTGTTCCTCTTATATCTTCCCATTGCATGTTTTTGCTATGACGAATTAGACATTAACGAGCGGGTCATGAACGCGCTATAGTTTAGCGAGTTGTACGATTTTATACTCCGGACCAAAGTAGACTAGTGTGGGTGGAGCCGGGGCCCTACGCTCGGACGCATATAGGGACTTTGCCATGTGAGATTGTAACTGCAAATAGAAACCCTGGAAAGTGAAGATATGAACTGGACATATCCGGTAATATCCACTAGTCTCAGGCTATGAATTGTGACATGCAGATATGCAACATATGTTGTACTTCGTTCGGAGTATATTTTCTATTTACAGAGTAGTTCATACTAGCGTCTTCGTAACTTGTTTTCTTTTCCCCCCACTCTCACAATAATTTCCATCTCTGGCTTGTGCCTTGTTCTGAATGTCAATGTATCATCAGGCACAGGCACTTTTTTTTCTTTTGTGTGACTTTGTTTAATTCGGATACACTGAAACACCTTGACGTCACGACTTTAATTTTCCTATTGCTGCTTCCAGGTTCCGAGGTCCACCAATGAGCTAATACAGCCCACTTATGTGGCGCAGTTATCTTCTGTTGAAATTTCATTGTATTGAACTATGGGCATTAGCTGTTTTTACTAGAATATGGTATTGATGTGCTTTCAAGGGGTTGCACATCGATGATCTAAAAGGGGTTGGAGCATCGTCTTATGCCCCTTCTTCCAATGGTTCAATTATGAGTACAGCCTAAATCAGAGGAACGAGTACGAAGTACGCCGCGCTCTGACTGGGAATATTTCTTCCGGCTATTTTAAGGGCAAATCCCCTATGCAATATACATAGCAGTTCTTTTTCAACGTTACCATTTCAGGGAGGTATACCCCGCATTGTGCACAGGTCAATGAAGGCCAATGATCAGCCCGCTATCATCGCTCCTGGTCCCTATTAAGGATTGCATATACAACATAGATACTTGAACTTGCCAGTTTGGGAACAAGAAGCTAGCACATCCCGTAATAAGAGACATTATTTTTCTCTTCGTACTCTGTAGCTTATACACAATTAAGTACGACTCCGTACTTCGGGAATATAGCACACAATATAAATGCTGGTGATATTGTTCATATTAACTCTATTAAAGTACCATGATTCATATATTTATGTGCAATAGGTGATCTATTAGCTAAAAAATTTCTTATAATTGAAATCATCATTCATGTTACAGTAAATAATATAATAGCGGCAGTCCCCACTCAAGTGATCATTCTGCCTATCAAAGAAGACTTGAAATCGATATTCCCCTAATCAAGAGGGCCAGGGCTGGTCGCAGATACTAGATGTTCTAGGGTGCGGGCCGGTATTCCGTCGTCTCTAGGAACGACATGTGGAGGGGTTGAGTTAGGTGCGTCTTCGTATCGGTGAGTGAATCCAACGAAATAGGCGTCGCCTTGGGCGTCTAGTTCCTGCCAATCTACACCAGCATTATGCACATCTCGCATGAGTAGCAACAAATTAACACTAACTTTAACTTGCTCAGAGTATCCCACGATTGCTGCCATATCACGATTTTCGAATTCGAGCCTAACCGAAAGCCCTAGGGACACGGGGCGCCTATACCCACGATGGCGATCTGACCGCAGATCCCAGTGTATATGTACAACAGTAACGATGTGTGCACTATCAACTAACATTGTCGGTAGTGTTCCTGTTGCAGGCAGCTGAATGGTGGAGCCGGTTGGAGCTGTAGCCCCTTATGTGGTGTATGTCGGCTGGGTGAGTCTGGAGACCCATGACACCTACCATTATATCACATATTTTCCGCAGACAAGCTGTTCAATGATATCTCCTTGAGAACAACCAAGAGTTCCCTTAATATGGCCAAAAGCGTTCACGTGCTCAGCGGGAGGCAAATTTGTAGGGCTGGCATGTCAATGTAACATTGGTCCACGACAGAGAGCCTGCGAAAGAAATAATGACATTTAAATATGAGAGCTGAAGAGAGACAACAATCTGAAACAACATTTGAATCATTGAATGTATTATGTATTGAACTCTGAACCTTGAAATGTAACCGTTTACCGTAAGTTTCACCCAGCCTCATATGTGGCTGAGCTAAGTACTCCACCCGCCAAATTGTGTGGGAAAGTACATCCTCCGCCGTGTTCCGTATCGTCCAATCAATTTACTGAACCAGGGAACGGCCGGTCAAAGTCCTCCCCGATCTGCCCTGCCTCCCTTAAGATTCGCCCATCCCGACCACTCCTGCCCGTCTCGACATTTATTGGCAGACTCCAGGGCTGTTATTTGCTTCTTTGCAATCTATCCTTTTTATTACAGCCTCTGAGATCACCTACCGATTGAGTTGCAGGACCTCGTGTGTGCGCTCCTACCCCGTCACCTTCGCCTTAAAACTACCCCGAGGATCAGTCCGAGCATCAATCCGAAAATCAGCCCATTGAACGTCCACAACGACTTGGTGTCACTACATATTTTAACGCTTCGACTCTCTTCCTTCCGCTTAAAACCCCCCCAAAGCGGATTGTGGCGGCTGCATACTGCAGTGGGCGCTGAGGCCGCATTATCTCCCTATCCGTCAGCCGCGCGCGCATCCAAAACGCCATCTCCCAAGTCATCATCACGAATCAGGATCTTACCTCCTGAAATAATTCCCGGCACAATTACGAGCAAACCGAACCACTAGAACAGCGGCCCCGCAAGCTGGGATTACAAGGCTGATATACTATTCCGCCCAACATGACTGACTTTCGAATGCCCCTCCACCAAGGGCCTCCTGCCCGGAAGCCCCTCTCTGGTGCCCAGCATGGATATGGTGGATATCAGGTGTATGATTCTCCACGGCCTCAACTTGCGCCTCATCTAGCAAGCCCCCAGACCACACATAGTCGGACTCGAACCACATCCTCCAACGTGTTGCCCTACTCAAGCGGCTCCCAGCACTACCACGGCGCTCCTCCTCCGCCTCCTATTCCCCAAACCATGACTCTCCCTCACCACGCATCCTCTCGACGCATGTCTAGCACCACTACGTCGACCTCGTCTACCGGCAACCACCCGACGCCCCACGCGGGGCAAGGCGTTTCTGACATCCGGCGAACTGCCTCGTCTCGCTCTGCCAACTCTCAGCTTGGATATGTAGCCCTCATGCGGCGGCAAAAGGCTACCGTGTGGTGTGACCGGGCACAGCCCGAAGACCCTAGAATGCGAGAACAAGCCTTGCGAGACAAGAAAAGAGCGTACCTTGAAGTCCATGGCTCAGGCGCTGGCCGGACAGGAACCTTGGGTGGTGGCAAGATCCGACATGGTCCTAAGGGAGCTGCTGATTTCTCGCCCTCAAACCTAGTAGGCGCTAAGGTCCCCGTGCGATTGAGCGCGAACGAGGTCGGCGATGGGGATGATGACGCTCTCAGCAGTGATGGTGGCGCAATTCACAGACGGACCGGCAGTGGCCGTAGCTCTCTAGGAAGTGCCCACCGCTATCCAAGTGGATACTCCCGGACACAAGGGACGATGGGCAGCAACAGCACGCCACCGAATGAGAAGACCGACCTTCCAGAAGTGTCTGAAAATACACCCGCGGAGATTCATGAAGAAGAAAAGAGCCGACTGTCGTCTCTACAAAAAGATGATTTCGCGACAACACAGCGCAGCGAGCAAGAGCAAGAAGACATTGTTGGTGACATGAAGGCTCCGAGCGCCGCTACCTCGGCGGCCGAGAAAGCCCGCAAGGCAGCCGAGTTGCGACGACGAGGCAGTGTAGACGAGCGAACTACTTCTATGACCAATGTGCGACTTTTCGTCGCAAACCCCGACTCGGACAGCGACTGAGGTCCTTGTTTTCATACAGCATCTGCCAACTCTTCTATCCTTCTTCTTCCTCATATCCCGCCTTCTTCTATCTTTTATGATCTCTACGTGATTTCTCTTACCGCCTCATCAATTGCACATAATACCTATCACGTTGCAACTCCACACCTGACCCCATTCGGCAAATCTTGATGATTTAGACCAATGCGTCCTCCTGCTTTGTCTATATCTTTGCACGTTTGCTGTCGGATTTACTCCTTTTTATTTAAAGCGCCGCATCTTTGTTTTTCTCCAGGCTTGCTTCCTCTTGCTGTATATCCTCGATGACACTGCTGGTCTTCATAGACTGGCTCTCTGGGTTGTCTTCGTCCTTCTGCGGGTGCATACGGGCCGCCGTCGTGTTGGGTACCCGGCATAGCTTCCTTTAATCTAAGAGTAATTTCAAACCGATGATTATCCCAATTGCTCTCTCATTTAGGATCATTTCCGTCGTGTGGTATACGGAGGTTTTTTCTTCGTTTTAGCTGTTGTATACTATAGTGCAGCGCATATTTGAATCGTCTTATAGTAACAAGGGGAATTGAGCATCTGGAAGACTAAAGGACAAAGCATCATTCTCATTCCAGGTCGTACATAGATCAGTTGTCTAGACATTTTATGCTTTTTTTTCCAAAATATTCAAGAAAAAAAGCCGCCAGTACAGAAAGGATATTTGCGGAAACTACTAAAAAAAAAAACTTTACAAGACCACATAAGTGTCTGGCTATTGTTCCATGTTAACCTTAGAAGTCCAAAGATGCCCTAAATTGTATTCCGTCCACATTCAAGACCCCACACAATAGCCTGGGGTCGGGCACGTATAGTGGTTACATAAGCCCACACGTGCTTATCGGTCGCGCGCGAAACGATTAACGCGTCCCAGTGTTGGCCCAACTATCACTGCTCTACTCCGTACGTTCATTAAACAGTGAAGTCGACACTCGGCAGTTCCAGACTAATTGTCTAATTTGAGTGACGTCTGTTTGTCTCTCCAAATCGCACTTTCCCTTGGTTGACACGACCAACCCATCTATGAACGGAAGTCGCGATCTATCACACGACAGCCTGTCCCCATCGCCCCTTCCCTCACCTACCCTCCTGAAACTTTCAGGTTCTTGACCAGCTCTTTCCCAACCCGGGAGTCAATGGTCACCAGCACATCTCTCTCGCCGATGGAGTCGGCCCCATCCTTTCCCGCATCGCCTTCATCCGGTCCCCGAAAACGCTCTATTCACGAGATTGATGATGTCCAAATACCCTCGCCAACTGCGAAGCGACCATTGACCGAATTCGCCGGCGAAAACCAAGAAAATTACGATCCATCCTTTACCTCCCAAACTGACGCCATCACTTCCCCGCCAGTTGAAATCAAGCGTACCCTTCCTCCTCCCCCTTCGGTGGAAATCGTGATGAGAAAAACACGTAAACAAGATGAAGATGGAGCTGGTTCCGGGGGGTCAGTATCCCCGGGCACCAATGCTACCTCTAATGAGCCTAATGCCCCGGCCTCCAAGAAACGCAAGGTAGTCTCTGCTGGCACAGATTCCAAGCAACAAGAAAAAGCGGCCAAGGAACGCCAAAAAGCTGAGGAAAAGGCGAAGAAGGAGGAAGAGAAGGTAAAGAAGGAGGAGGAGAAAGCCAAGAGAGAAGAAGAGAGACGCCTCAAGGCAGAAGAGAAAAAGAAGCGCGATGCTGAGCGCGAAGAGGAGAAACGACACAGAGAGGAAGAAAAGCGCAAGAAAGATGCTCAACGTGAAGAGGAACGCAAGCAGCGTGACGAAAAGAAGAAGGCAAAGGAAGACGAAAAGGCTGCTAAGGAAGAAGAGAAGCGCAAAAAGGACGAGGAGAAGGAGAAGAAGACTCGAGTAAGTGGTATCCATCATCCTAACAGGAAGATACCCAATGAATTGACCAATTCAGTCACAATTGAAATTGAACTCCTTCTTTGCCAAACCACCGCTGCCTTCTACTTCGTCAGGACAGGTGATCACAGCTCCTTCGCCTAAGAAACCATCTACTATAGCCGATTGCTCTCCCGAAACTCGTAGCGTGCAGTCGGACTATGAGCGAGAGTTTCCTGCTTTCTTCTTGCAATCTCATACCGTTGTGGCACCTCCCCATCGGTTTGAGCGTGATCCCGAATCCCTCAAGCACGTCCACGAAGTGATAGATAAATATCTACACAACGAAACCCCCATCCAAATACATCCATTCCGTCCGTCAGAAGTCTTCCAAATAATCCCCTTCCGTCGTGGACGTCGGCCAACGACCTCTGTCAGGGACATACTATTGCAGCTACAAAGATCCGAAGATTCAACTCAGACTCAAAATCAGACCATAATGCCATCTCCGAAGCCACAAGAACTTCTACGCAAGGTCGCAATGAAGTCTCTCAAATTTGGTGAGGACATACGCCCTCCATATCAGGGAACTTATACCCGGCGCGTGTCTGAGTTATCCACGAGAAGACTCGCACGAAATCCCTATTACCGAGGCCTACCGGATACCGATTATGATTATGATTCTGAGGCGGAATGGGAGGAACCCGAGGAGGGTGAAGAGCTAGACTCTGAAGAAGAAGATGAAGGCAGTGATGATGGCGAGGATGATCTCGAGGGTTTCCTGGATGACGAGGATGATGCCCTTGCTGAGGGCAAACGGCGACTCATAGTTGGTGATTTAGAGCCTGTTTCTACTGGAATTAAGTGGGCTTCTAATGGGGTCGAGCCTGAAATGGAGGCCTATCGGATGGAGACTATATCCGATACGGTCAAGCTCCCCATCGACCCCTTCTCGACAGCATACTGGGAGAAACCCAAGCCTGTGGATCAAGCTCCTGCAAAAGCGCGACCCACAACAGCGATAGACGGTTTCCTTGTTCCTGCAGTCCCTGGACAAATGACGGGCAGTGCTTTACCTCCTACTTCGAAAGCGAAACGACCGTTCCCGCCAGACCAACTTGCCGATTTCAAGGAAGCAGTTGAAGGCAGTGATCTCAGTAAGATTGGGTTGGTCGAGATCTTAAAGAAACGGTTGGTTTCCATGTCCACTTCTATTAGAGCATATACTAATCTGGATGTATCTAGATTCCCCAAGGTGTCTAAGGATACACTCAAAGCCACCCTCGATCAAGTTGCTGCTCGTGTCGGGCAAAAAGAAGTTGACAAGAAATGGGTTTGTCGGTGATATTATGGATTTCTCTACATGAGTACCTATGAACGGAGTTTTTGGTGGGGGATATCTATTTGTCCATGAACAATTCACTAATCGTGTTCAAACATGTTTTTAGCTGCATGAAATAAATGTTGATTGTGCGCGTGTCGTAGTACATAACATGTGAGAATATTTGCCACTAGATATTTAGATCTTAGTCTCAAACGACTAAATTTAATAAGATCTAGTGAAATGTACATGTACACGTCTATAAAATCTGAGGGGCGCATGAGGGGCGCATGGACACCTCATTCCTGCACTGCCAACGCATCATTTTGTTGTACTCGGTACATGTTAACTACCCTTTAACTTACCCTTTAAATAAGCCACTTAGAAGTCTTTTCTACTTAACTTTTAGCACTTTGGTCTGCAACTGTCCGTTTCGAGGGTTCTTTTATCCTTTTTGTTTTCGTTTTATACTTATTTTCTTACTTTTTATAACCCTCTCCCCTCCCTTAATTTTTCCCCTTTCCTCTCTCCCCCGCCTTTTCTCTTCCACCTTCATCCTGGAAGTCAACTGTTTATCCGATCGAGTGAATCGTCACTCTGAGAATATTTTCATTTCAGAATGCGATAGGCATTCGGCTAGGGGGGGTTTGCGACTGTCTGTCGCTAATGGCAAGATGATAGAACCCCGTTTCCTTGCAACCAGTACGTCATTGTATTCTCTTTTTGCGCTTTTCTATGGAAGAGAGGGATATTCAATTATACTTTATGATTGCAGCCTCTAACCAGCCCCAGCCGAGCAAATACTTGCTTTCCCCAAAGCTAATACACCATGTGACTTGTCGCATCGGGCGCAAGATCCCACATATGTGCCTTTGCCTCCTTCACCTCCGGGATCGCCCATGTCGTCACTTGAATCGTTGAATGGAGGTGAGTTGGGCTCGGGCCGTGCCAGTCCCATGGTAGAGGCCACTTCCAATGGACACAATCCCGGGCCCACAACGGCTTCTATACCTGCGCTTGTGGATGTCCCACAAATATCATTCGAGGATTTGGCCACTCTTTATCACCAGAACCAGCGCAAACAAGCCCAAAGGAAGCGACTGGAGAAGCGCCTGCGTGCCACCAAGGTGTCTATTGGCGTCTCTGCCCGTATGATTCGTGTCGGGCTGACTGCACAGCGGGGTCTCGTTGAAGCTCTCCGCCATGATGACAAGGCCAGTTTCGTTACTCTCTATCATACACTTCAAGACCTCCAGGAATCATGCCCTTCATCTGCTCCTAACGATAGCCACAATGACTCCATGGACGGGGAGCTATCCTTAGGAACTGACATTGGCCGTTTGCCGGATTTCCTTCATCAGCTGAGCCCCCAGTCGCGGACGGACTTCTTGGAAATTTTGCGGCTGGTCCGCTCTGATCCCCAGTTTTTGGTCGACCGGTTACAAAGCCTGTCTTCGTCCCAATTGGCTGCTTTTACTTCTCCAGCCACTATTTTGGATACCAATGATCCCGCGTTCCCTTCAACTTCCCGGGCTCGGGCCCAGTCTTTCTTAAACAGGAGCCAGGCTCAGTCCGCTGCCTTTAAGGATCACGCATATGCCTTTGAGAGGACTGACCCGCTATCTATACTGCTGTTTAATGTTTTTGCTGCTCCTTTGGATCCGGAGACGCCTGAATCCCGTTTGCGTTTGGAAGTGTGGTCGTCTGTCTGCGCTCAACTAATCTCCAACGGAAGTAGTAGATACTATCCTCTCATCGGCCAGATCCTTTCTTCCTGGACTACCGGCAGCACTTGGAAAGCGCGCCCCAAATTTGAACTTTACTTAATGGACATTTTACAAACCGGTGCTTTTCTCCTAGAGCCTATAGCCACACCACCCGGGTTGGATTTTGCCATGGATTCTCTGGACCCCATGCGAACGGATGTTGCAGAGGAATTCTTTGCTTCTGCCGTGGATGACTTGTTCTGTGTACTTGATGACCCGGATGGCGGCTTTCCTCAGGCCGTGCTCCAGTTTGCAAAGGCCGTTTTGCGGAAGCTGGATAATCCCGAGGCTAGCAGTCGTTTCTTGGAGTTTTTATTCCTCCAGTGGTTCTTTTCAAAGTTCCTATATGGCGCATTGACGTATCCTGAGGTATATGAGCCTCTAGCCCTTGGTGAACTTGAGAAGCTGACTTCAATCTGCTATTTCTGTAATAGACCCACGGACTGCTTTTAGACTTCCATATCAGAAAAGATGCTCGCGAGAAATTGCTGAACCAGGTTGGGCATCGCGCCTACGCTCAAGTCTTTGCTGTTTTGCGTTCAATGTACGTCATCTACCTTGAACTCTCGAGATTCCGACGTTGTTGCTAATCTCGTTAAGGCATCATTTCTCAATCCCTCGTCCGACAATCAAGGGCCGTGTTGAAAATATGCTCTCTCGGTTTCATAACACGATGTCGCCGAAGGTATCGGCAGACCCTTCTATTCCCTCTTCACACACGCCACTTCCTTATCAACGAAAATCTGCTTCAACTTTCCTAATGATGTCTGCTTTGGATGTTCTCACACTCCTAGACGCTCTTTTTCAACAGAGTCCCTCTTCATTGCATTCTTCACCAGCCTCTACGGGAGTTCAATTTTGGCCATCCAGTCAATCACCATCTATCAACATTCGGCCAGACTCAATTTCGGATTCTGGATTCACTCGTTTCAACCAAAATACAAGTTCAAACCCTACATCACATAATGGTTCCATCTTTTCGGTGGAAACTCATTCTATCTCAACGCCGGAAAATAGCCTGTCTGAAAAGGCTGCTCGCATTCGATTCGAGTTAACTGATTTAGATCATCCTAATGAGCGGTTGAGCTTAGAGCACCCCTCCGGCGAGCATTGGACCATCTTCTCGGTTGCAGCAGACGGCCATGGCTTAACTTGGAGTCTCCTCCCAGATACCAGATATGAAACGTCAAAAGGCCCGATAATTGAAAGTGAAGATGACGCGCACTCCACGACGCTAGGACTGGAGGAAAATCACGAAGCATTACAGACAGCGATAGTTCGACTTGTCAAGGAGAACCGCATTCAAGATGCGGGCGACTATGGGTTTCTTTCACACCATACTACGCAGCCAGCAGCCATGTCCTTAAAGCAGCGGTTCAACGAAGCGATGTTCTGCTGCCATCATGACTCTGATTTTGTTGGTGCACACTACTGGTGGAATGCTTCACGGCAACTTGGGCAACGAGGAACACCTAGCTCGTCGGGGGCCACAGACGATTCATGGATTTTAGGCCCGATGCATGAGAATTATAGTCGCTCACTGAACCAATCACGAGCTATCATTGAGCGTTGCGAGAGCGACTTTGTGTCTCTCGATCACAGTCTCCGCCGACTCCAAACTCAAGTGAAAGACATGACAGCCACTTTTTGCAAGATCCGAGACAAGATGTGGTACATGAATGACGTCAAGAATTCTATAAGATATGAGGAGGCTAAACATGTGGCTATGGCTTTGAAAACGATGATCTACTCGGCCCGACTCTTCAGCCAATTCCCTGAAGAGCAACGTTCTCGTTATGGGGCGAAGTCTTTGGGCGGTTCCTTGTTCCAGAAACCCGAAGTGCAAGTTATGAATATGATGAAGGCACCCAGCAGCCAGGGTGGACCAAATAAGCTTTCTGACGAGCAAGTCGAGCTGACTCGGAAATGGTTGTCGCACAACGGAATCGACAATTTCTGCAAGGGTGAAGAAAGAATCCATCGATTCTGTTACGAGGTCCGAATGAGCATCAATAAGCTAGTGGGTGAAACAATGACTGAGACACCGGTGTTATGGGCAAGTGAGCTTTTCCAGAGAGAACGCTCAAGATTTGAGGGTTACGGCTCTCGCACCTTCCCCGGAATGTCTATGCCTAGCACTCCTCGGCCCTCAACAACCACAAGCGAGGACACAAATTCCGCTTCTCACTTCTATAGTGCCAATATGCCTATGCCTGATCCCATGCCTCGTCTTTCACAAGATACACCATCATTGGCTAGCAAGCCCTCTATCCAAAGCATAATCTCCGATAAATGGAGGCCTCAGCGTGACTTACCTTCGATTGACATGTCCTCTCTCGGTGGTTCGCCTGGTCGTGCTGCTTCGATATCGACCGGTGACACCTATAGTACATTCTGGTCTGCACCCCAGCGGCACCCTATGTATGCCACTAGCGCGTCGAGCGTGTACTCGCGACCACCATCTATGTTTAGTGAGACGGCAACCCGCCAGCCCCGTCGTGTCGAACGTAAAACACAGGGGAAGACGGAGTTCATGGATGGCTTGAGACAGACACTGACTAGCTTGCTTCTAAGTGATTTGGGCTCTCCAGTATGGAGTTGTGGTAGTGAAACTGACGCCTGGTTCACCAATGCGCTAGGCCAGAAACGCATTCAGGTAGAAATGCGCCGACGAGCTGCTGTGCAGAAATTCTACGTCGATTATGAAGAGCGCTCCAAGCACCTTGGTCAGCAACGTGGTTCATTGAAAGGTCGCCGGAGCAGGTCTCTGGGTAACCTGCGCATATCTCAACACAATGCTCCTCGTGTGGAAGCCTCGTCGCAGCTGCCGCAAGCATCTTCGGAACCGAATGGGCAGTCGGACTTTTCATACAAGGCAGTCTTTCATCGGCTGATCGAAGTATTCTCGCGTCATGGAAATCCCTTCGTAAAGCTCAACGCGTTGCGTGACCTGCGTTCCTTGGTGGTTGCATCGCTCATTTCGCCACAATATGCCGATTCCCCTGCTACTATCAGCTCTTCCACCGGAGAAGGTGACAGGATGCGAAACAGTTCTCGACTCCATCGAGCCAGCCGCCACAGTTTCTCAGAGGGGCGGGCCAACAACCTACCACAGATGGACCCAGTGCTACCTTCTTCTGCTCCTCCCGAATCAGTTACATGTGGCTCCCGACGGTCTGATTACTCCACTCCGTCGGAAACACAAATTGTAGCAGCCTTGCGCGATCTGATTCTAGAAGTGAAGCCGAAGACCCTTTTCAGAGACTTGCAGTTTATCTCAGCGTTCGTCCCAGGAGATCAGCTAAACAAAACGGACCGCGGGACAGCATTCCTCCAATTCGGACTGGCCGCACTAAGTCTCAAAGAAGAGATCTGCCACAGCATGGTCGAGATCGCCGACAGAATCGTCTTCCAGGAGCTGTCTCGTCGCTATCCTCCCTTCGCCTCGGACTTCCAATCTCGCCCTGGCCATGCTATCCAAGATGCAGCAGGAATGTGGATCATCACTGCTAAAGAGGGCAATCCAGTTGCACAGCGCGAACTTGCAATCCTTTATCTAACTCACCCAGAACTTCTCCCACGCGTGACACTCCCTCTGACCCTCCCACGGGATACCTTTAAGGCGGAGATGATGTACCGACGAGACAAAGACTCTAAATCGGACCCACAGAGTATGTGCCTGGCGCTGCACTGGATGCAGCTGTCAGCCAGTGGTGGCGATACCCTTGCTCGGAATCGACTCCGTGAGCGTGAGGAGTTCGATTCCATTGCATGAGAGGCTACTTGGCCTGTATGCTTCTCTGGTCTTGCTGGGTGTTTATCTTTTTTTTTTCTCATTTCTTTCCTCGCAGGCTCGATCCTTTTACTTTCTTTCTTTTCTTTCTTTCACTTTGATTTTGACTTTTTTCTTGTTTATTTGTTCTACATCGTGATTATTACCTCGTTGCATATATATCCATATACCCCTGTTCGGGCGATCTAGTTGGGTGTTTTGAGGCATTCATGGACTTTGGGACTCTTGCTCGGGTTTCTGGGCTTAGCTCTGGAACATGACTGGCGTTCTTGAATACATTGAAAGACTGGACAGTTTGCTGTCTCCATCAGTTTAATCTTATATTTCCTTGCCTATCCATCTACAAGTATTGTTCGTATCTCTCCATTCTAGTTCTATATATCTTGAAGCTCACGCGAAAACGTCATGCACAGTTCGGGTTATTCTCGGCTAGCATACAAAATCAAGTTATTACAAGGTTACAACCATGTAACGTGACATCCAACGTCCCGTATGTCTAGATAATACATATCTCTCTTGCCCACCTGGACAGGTGAATCTGATAAACGTTACCTAAGCTGGATTCGTCGGGTAGATGATCGGGCCGACGTCATCGAGGCATTTGCACCCCACCACTTGACCTTATATTCTTCCTTTTCTTTGCTTCAACTCGTGACTACTGTGAGCTGATATCTATCTGAGTCAGGCTGATGTTCGTTTGATTTATCCGTTTCTACCCGCCCTACCAACCATATCAGGCGGTACTCAGCCTCTTCTGTTCTTCTCGCACGGATTGCAGAGCAAACTTCGAGGCTTGTGATAGAATAAAAATAAAACAGGCCACACATCCTCTTCATTTCCCTGATTCCTACCCCTGGAAATCAAACTTCTTATTACATCGTCCACTTGCAAATCGGGCGACATACGGCTTTTCCTATCTATCATCCCACCATGACTACCGCACCACACATGCCGTCCAAGGCGCACAGCTCCGATGATGTGCATCATCGGCCAAGAGGTGAGTTCAGACTATGTCAGCACCAAACGGCGACCAAAAGCAACGATGATATCTGACCAGTGCACTTTTGCGCCGAATACAGGCATCCTCAAGAACTCCAACTCCTTCCAAGGCGCCTCCGCTCCAATGGCAGCCACCTCCCCACTCTCTGTTCCAGCCATCTCCCAGCCAGAGGAGACCAAGGAACTCACCATCCAGAACACCCTGCAGAACGCAGGTCGTCGGCGATCCTCGTCCACTACCCACCCAGGCTCTAACTCGCGCCGACAGTCGTCAGCCAGCGCCTATGACGAAAACGAGCCCCGTCTAAAGTGGGACGAAGCAAACCTGTACCTGACGGAGCAGGAAAAGACAGCGAAGATGAAGATCGACGAACCTAAGACTCCTTACGCCCCTCACTACGACCCGAGCGAAGATGATGAGCTGATGCGGCTCGACGATGCGGCTGCACAGGAAACCCTACTTAATGCGCAGGGCATTGTCGTCGATGAGCTGGACTCGGCCAAACCCACTCACCACCGGAAGACTGTGTCCGAGGATGAAATCCCTGACCTGGAGCTTGGTGAACCTGAGGAAACCATGCAGGACATTCATTTGAACGACGCTCGTGTGTTCCGTGACCGTAGCATGAGCACGGACTCGCATAAGAGCGAAAAGCATGTTCATGTTGGCGTGGATGATGCGAATGGTGTCCATGCGCCTGCTGATGACCCGCTCTTGACGACTGAAGAAGCTCGCGCGAAGCACGCTCATTTCGAGCAGCAGCGCAAGAAGCATTATGAGATGAGGAATATCAAGGAACTGCTTGCGTATGTTAATCCTGGTCCAGCCCTAATACTTTGATTCTATACGCTAACTTTCCATGTCTAGCCATCCCGAGGATTTGGATGAGGAAATGGAAGATAATGACGGGCCAGAGCCTGGTATCCCCCCGTCTATGCCTCACATGCCTGAGCGGTTTCGCAACAACGGACAATAAAGATAGGCTTCTGTGATATTGTATCTTTGGGTCTAGTTTTCTCCATATGGCGGCGTCCTAGTTGATTTCAGATTGCCCTCGCACCAGTCTCGCCTCTTTTCTATTCTGTGTTCTCTTCTGTGTATATTCCCCCAGCGCTATCTCCCCTTACCGGGCTTTTTATTATTGCTCATTTACCCGTCTGAGTTTCCACTTGGCAAATGATCTCTTCGCTCCAGACTAGGTCTATTACCTTGTGGTCCTTTGGTGGGAAAGGAATACATGATTTTATACGTTACCGGACCTTACATGTAGCGTCGTAGCATTATACCAACATTCTTGTCTAAATAAGCTCTGAGGATCTAAAGATCGTCCCGGGGTTTGTCCTACATGGATATAAATGCGAAAGATATGGTGTTTTGTGTTACTAGATATGTACCTCTATGGTCTTTGTACATAATATTACCAAGTAATATCTGTAATTTAAGAATGGCCTGGATCAAAATTGGCATCCAGTCGGTATTCGCTAGAGCCACTGGGTATCAATGCACCAGGTGCACCAAGGCTATGTTCGCATTGGTCGGAGAGGGAAAAGCAAGCATAATTAGATCTTCCATGGAGTACGGAGCGCTTCCGTGTCTCATTGTCTGCTTGAGAATTGAGAAATATAGGCGATGTCCCTCCCAGGCCATCTACATATGTACTTCTGATATATTTCGTCTGAAAGTTTTCGCTCAATCCCCATCTTTTCTCTTTCCCTTATATTGATATTAACAACACATGCTATCTAATTGATAATCAGGCCTTCGAAATGTTTCCTTTGCCAGATACCAAGAAACAGGTTTCCTGGCGAACATGGGGATCTCGCTGGCGCTCATCCGATACATTTATTCTCAGCAGCATGTCCATGGCCCTATTCACGGGTTCGTGCATTGAACTATTACAGGGGATTGGACTTTATCTTACCGGAATTACTTTCTTTAGATGAAATGCTCTTCGCCTTCATGGTCCCACTGCTGCCTTACATCTTCGAGAACCGCCTAGGGCTAGACACATCCCTCACCCAGCGACTGACCTCCATTTTTCTAGTTGAAGGGGCATTGATATCTATTGTCTCGAGCCCATTTATCGGGAATATAGCCGACCGAGCCAGCTCCAAGAAGGTTCTACTCCTGGTATTGCTGGTTCTGACGCTAATCAGCGTGTTATGTCTATCAATCACTACATCCCGTAAGTTCTAAATACTGCGCATCGCCTATTGTACTGACCAATTCCTAGTGACTGGGCTCTTCATCGGTCGCTTCTTTCAATGCATCGTCAGCAACGCATTATTTATCGTCGGCATGGCCACTATGGCCGAGAACATCGGGTCAGAACATATGGGCAAGATAGCAGGTTTGACCTCGACTATAGTATCAGCTGGAACATGCGCTGGTCCTGTCATTGCTGGGTTTCTTTTTGGCTTTGGAGGATACTGGACGGCATGGGGTGGCGCGGCTCTGTTTCTCGTCGTGGATATCATTATGCGTCTTCTCATGATTGAAAGACCTCAGAAACGCCGTGATACCGCTAGTCAACCCCACAATGGATCTCTATGCGCCGAAGAACATAGAAACTCTGAAGCAGAGCCACTTCTCAACGGAGATCAGTCTTCGACTACTGAGGAAATTGGCGGTTGGCGTTTCTACGTCTACCTTTTCCGTCAACCTCGCTTTACGGCGGGAATCGTCAGCTATTTTGTCTTTGCGCTTTTTATTGCTAGTTTTGAGTCGACTATTGCGATGCATGCCCGAGACACTTTCGGTTGGGGCGTTTTCCCGGTCGGGCTTTTGTTCGCTTCTATCCAAGGGCCGGGGATGATCCTGGCTCCTCTTGTTGGGTTGCTGAAAGACCGCGTGGGATCAAAAGTTCCCACAACCATTGGATTTATCTCTATTGCGCCTTTCCTTTGGGTTCTTGGTGTGGCTGGTGATGAGCGCTTTCCATGGGCGACTTTGGGAACTAGAGGGAAGATCATCTATGGTGTCTGTACGACTATGATTGGGTGTTTTATGTGCTTGCTTATGGGGGTTGGAACGATGGAAGCAACTAGTAAGTTTGGTATGTCATTACTATGAGGTGGAATACTGATCTGCTTTTTGCAGGCACCGTCGATGAGTTGGAGAACTTGCATCCTGGTATATTCGGTCTCTATGGAGGGTATTCTCGTGCGGTTGCAATCACAAATATGAGTTGGATGTCTGGTCTATTGGTGGGACCCATCTTGGCTGGATTTATGGTCGAAAGGTTTGGGTATCTCGATCTGCAATGTGTACTGGGTAAGTCATATATCGGTGGCTTTCTTCTATTCTCACTCTAATGGCTTATAGCGGTCACTTCCTTGCTGGCTAGCGTCAACGCTGCATTCAACCTCAGTTCAGCCAGTCCCCAAAAGGAAGAATGTGGTAGTGACTTTGGGACTGGTGAACCCTAAATGCTATGGAGTACATGTTCAAGAGAATACAAACTCCTATAAAAAATAATATTGATTCAGCTTGTTTGGCAAACGCCTTCAATGTGTATAATAACCCATTCACATGAATAAACAGCTGGGGAAACATGCCAACAGACACAAGTACTAGTAATTGGGCGCCACATTGTTGGCATCTGCACCTGCTCAATCCCGTCCCTTGCTTGGTCAATGTGATTCCGCATATGCAAGTTGAAGGTTTCGGTCACATCAGCCTGCATCCGTTTTTGAACAGGTGGCTTGGCTGAAGCTGACTGCATATGTTTGCTTTTGTTACTTCGCAGGTTGACATAGCTAGATTTGCATAGGAATTTATGTGTCCGGGCATGCAGAGTAATCATCTTCTAACCCATTTTTGAGGAATGACCTTTCAAGATACTGCCCAGATATCTACTTAAGAAAGCAATATATGATAGCGAGAATCAATTTCTTTTACAAAACCTTATAACCACCTACTGTAAGCCATTCGTTCATCGTAGTGGCTGAAGGTGTAGAAATCACCCTGGCTCTGGATATGACACACCGTATAGCTCCTCGGAGATATATCTCTAAACCAAGTACACGTCTGGCTAGGTATTTGCCATCTGGGATCTAAAATGGATACTGGAGCCTACTACTCCGTATATGGAGTACAAATGATCCCGCTAGGTCGCCCGATGATTATCATTTGCTACTCTGTACTAAATATCTAGGTCGCTAGCACTGATGCAAGACTGATTAAGTGTCATGTTTCTCACCACTAGTGCTGCACGTCTTGTATGGTATTACGCAGTATATAGCACTCAATGTTACGTATACTCCGTACGGAATACACTCCATTGAATTCTGGAGGATTATTCTCCGTATAAGTGGACACTTTTGATACCAGCTCCTATATTTACTCTGTGAATATATATACTCGTATTCCACATAAATGGACACATTTCTTCTACATCCCAGAGGCTTAAAGGTCAATAAAGGTGTGTAATTCGGAATATTCTAATTGGTAACGGAAAGTACTGCGCAAATAACTCGAGCTTGAAATCTGCGTAGGAATCTGTGGTAGATCTCAAAGGAGCATTTTGCTAGAACACGCAAAAACTGAAATTGGAAGTGACTCTGAGCAATTAATAGCCATTTTGAACATATAAAATCAAAGCCTACTAAGTCCATAGGGTGATGACAGTCTCATATTAATTCTTATCGAGTCTTACCAGAAGTGTCCACTGGTACTACGAAGTGGTATGTGAGCTACAAAGTCGGATAAAATCTAGAGATAGTACTCCCTATGTATACATACTATTATACATAGTATGGTTAAGAAATAATCTGTGATATTCCTACTTGGTTTAGGAAACATATGAAGATGATAATTATTGAAGTTATTGAATGCTATCTGTGCTATACGTGCCAATGGGGAAGGAACCTTCTCACATCAAATTAACCTTGGAAATAATCCCACAGCTATAGCTTAACGGTTTTCAAGTGATGCCAAATATAAATTCACTCTAGGGTACACCCATAAATGGAATCAAAATAAACACCCGGAAATTAAAAATAGTAAAGTGGATGTGATATATGAAACAATAACATACGGATAGCTCCAGGGCTGTCAGGTGGGGAGATTGATAAGTGGCCCGATTATTGACAAGGCAACTGCCCCCCCCTGTGAATTCAAATCCCCCTATTTCTTCTTTCCCTCAACACAATCTCTTCATCTCTATCAACCATGTCGGCTGATCAGAACGTGTCTGCGCCTGTTGCGCCTGTGCCCGAGAAGCGTGAGGAAACCATGGAAGCAGTCGCTAAGCCCGTGGAAACTCCCGCGATTGCTGCCGAAAACACCGGAGAGACTGTAGCTAAACATGAACCTGCCAGTGCCCCGGTCGAAGATGTAGCTGCAAAGGATGCGACCGCCGCCATTGCGACCACCGAGCCCGAAGTCGCAAAGCCTGAGCAACCTAAGGTTGAGAAGCCAGCTTACCTGACCAAAACCCCGGCTCTGGGAGAGTTGTTCAAGCGCCTGCCAACCATCCTCGGAAAGGTTGGTCACCCTGAGATGTGGGGAGTGACACTCAAGGATAGCGACGATATTCCCACCGTCAACGTGTTGATCAAATTCCTGCGCGCAAATGAGGGCAATGTCAAAGCCGCCGAGGCGCAGCTCAGCAAGGCACTCCAATGGCGCAAGGATGTGAATCCACTGGCCTTGGCCGAATCCGCTAAGTACAGCGCAGCCAAATTTGGGGGCTTGGGATACCTGACGACCTATGAGGAGAATGGACGGCCCTTGGTGTTTACTTGGAACATCTACGGTGCCGTGAAGGATATTGGTGTGACATTTGCGAATACCGACGAGTAAGTGCCCATCATGAAAAGTCCTATACAATTGAAATCAATACTAATTGGCTGCAGATTCGTCCAGTGGCGCGCCGCTCTCATGGAAGTCGCCGTACAGGACTTGAAAATGAAGGATGCCACCGAGGTAATCGACTATGATGGCGAGGATCCCTACCAGATGATCCAAGTGCACGATTACATGAATGTCAAGTTCTTCAGTATGGATCCGTCTGTCCGTGCCGCGACAAAGAAGGTCATCGAGGTGTTCGCTACCGCGTACCCAGAGCTCCTGAGTGAGAAGTTCTTCGTCAACGTCCCTGCTATCATGGGCTGGATGTTCACTGCCATGAAATTTCTCCTGAGCCGTAACACCACGCGCAAGTTCCATCCGATCACCAACGGCGCCAACCTGGCTCGCGAATTCTCCCTTTCGATTGCTGAAAAACTCCCCAAAGCTTATGGTGGTAAGGGTCCGGAGCTGAAGGAGAACGCTAGGTTCATCCCACTGATCGAGGATGAGGAACAGGGTGCCAAGGACAAGGCCAAGTCTGCCGAGGAACCTACTGTTGCTGAGCCCATCAAGGAGGATGCGCTGCCAAAAGAAGAATCCCTCAAGGCGGAGGCTGCCAAGGAACCCCAGGTGGAGGCTGCTAAGGAGCCAACCAAAGAAGAGATCCCTAAGGCTGAGTCTCTGAAGGATGGATCTGCAAAGGATGGAACCCAGTAGATCAATATCTGGCTGGTGTTATCTCTTATGATACCCGGAGGAGCAGTGAATAACGCTCCCCGTTCTGTTTCACCTGGTTTCAGGTCATTCGTGTGCTTTCTCAAGATGCACTGTATTTTCAATACCCTATCATTAGCTGAAATCAATCCTATTATTATCTGTTTCTGGTGAATCTTTATTCATATTTTTGTGAAGTAAAAGTATCTGAATGTAGGACATAGGGCAGCTTATACGGGTGACTGTAAAACCATTCGCGCAACTCTTATCGCCAAGCTTTCATCTCCCAGGCGGTGCTTCAAAGGTTGTCCACTTTCTTTCTTCTATCCATTGGACTTGCCGCGTTGAAGTCATCATATAAACACAATACTGACTCGGAAGAAAGGGGTGTTATTGTCTAATCTGTGGATCCGCTGGCGGTGGCCTCAGAATGCGCCTCGCCGTCTAACCTTCCTCGACTGTCCCTCCTTCACCTCACTTTTCGCGATAGCACCATTATTGTCTAAACCCGAATTTATCTCCATATTCCCCTCATACACCTTCATCTCAGACTACAACCTCTCACCATGTCTGTCTGGAACCCCGATAACATCCGCGATGTCGCCGAATCCGTCGGTATCCTCAACCTGAATAATGATGTGACCGAGAATCTCGCCCGGGACGTTGAATACCGAGTTGCGCAGGTGCTCGAGGAAGCTCTGAAGTGTATGCGACACTGTAAGCGCACAGTTCTTACTACCCAAGATATTGCGCTGGCTTTGCGCAACCTCGACGTGGAGCCATTGTATGGCTACGACTCAACTCGTCCGTTGAAGTTCGGCGAAGCCTCTCTAGGGCCTGGTCAACCACTGTTCTACGTCGAAGATGAGGAGGTTGATTTTGAGAAGCTGATCAATGCGCCTTTGCCAAAGGTTCCCCGCGAAGTCTCCTTCACTGGTGAGCGGATGCCCTTCCCTGCTTAGATATGCTATCCAGCCACTAACTTTTACTCTAGCCCACTGGCTGGCTGTTGAAGGTGTGCAGCCGTCGATCCCTCAGAACCCAACCGCTGCCGATTCTCGCAACCTCGAACTGGTCTCGAAAGGCCCGAACGCCAACTCCACACTGGCCGCAATTAGTGGCACAGGCGACGTGGCTGTCAAGCCACTGGTCAAGCATGTGCTTTCAAGGGAACTCCAGCTCTACTTTGAGAAGGTCTGCAGCGCATTCTTGCACGAAACAAGTGAGGATTACCGCACCTCCGGGTATTCCAGCCTCCGGGAGGACCCAGGTCTGCACCAGCTGGTGCCATACTTTGTCCAATTCATTGCCGAGAAGGTCACACACAGTCTCAAGAATATTTTCGTTCTCACCCAGGTGATGCACATGGCTGAGGCGCTGGTCCAGAACCAGTCACTTTACGTGGACCCTTACGTGAGCAGACCCTACCATCATAGAAGAACATCTCCAGAAGTTAACCGTACCAGATCGCATCCCTCGTACCATCCATTCTTACCTGCCTCATCGGCCGACAGCTTGGTGGACCTGCAGATCTCGTTGAGTCCTTCGCTCTGCGCGATATGGCCGCCTCTCTCCTAAGTCTCATTGCCAAAAAGTACTCCCATTCGTCTCACATGCTCAAGCCTCGACTCGTACGCTCCTGTCTCAAGGCCTTCCTCGACCCTTCAAAGCCATTCGGTGCTCACTATGGTGCCGTCATTGGACTCCAGTCTATCGGTGGTGCTGAAGTAATCCGAGTACTCGTCATTCCTACTCTGCACGAATACACCAAACTACTCAGCGATGGCTTGGACGACGCCGCCCGTCGCCCAGCTGCGGAGCGTGTCCTGAATGCACTTATGGCTGTGTTGGCCTCGCTGCGTGGTAGCCAACCATTTTTGACCAATGGTCATACTGTCACAGACGATCTCCGCGCTAAGTTAACTGAGAAGGTCGGCGATATCATTGCGGCAAAGATCGTGGAGGCTGGTGAGGTACAACTAGCACATATCATTGTGGAAGCATGAATGGGGTTCTAGATTTTCTAGATGATATCTCTCGGTGCTTTAAGAAATGAGGTTGCAAGGATTTGTTCATGCGGCATGGCGTTATCTCGGGCGTTGGTTGAGGGATTATGAATAGCTAGGTAGACATATCCAGGCTCTGAATATGTTTTTTTTAATTGCATGACACAGCCATTGATCAGATTGCTTCGTATAATAACTCCATTCATGTATATTTTTCCTATGTAGTGGGATGCCACTGTGATATTTTAGCTATCACTCTGTTAAAGATAGTAGAAAAACGGCAAAAAATAATCGACGGTCCTAGCCCACAATGGGTGGACTCTAGTAATTTCTTTATACTTTGGTGAGGGGCTTTCCGCTCTTATAGGGCTTAACAATCTTGGGTTTTTGTTGCTATATCCAAGGACATATACCAGTACAATAATAATCACATAGATCAATGTTGATAACATTCTTTTGCCCTAATATTACGAGACATTCAAAATCTCCCCGCTTGGGCCTCCCCGCTATCTGCTGAGTCAGGTGAACCTTACATAATAGCGCCAGGAACAAAGTTTAATTCTGCTTTCCTTCACCGCTCTGAAGAACCGGGGAGTCTCGCCCGCTTTGGCTCCTTTTTTTTTGCCTATTCTCTCTCTGACAGGTCAAAATCTGCAACAGTCTGCATACAACACTACTGCAGCTTTCAGCTTGCCCAATATGTGTGTAACAAGATTACAGTTTAATACATTCCTGCAATTGAGACACCGACTAATCTTGTTCCCTGATGTCAGACAGATTTTGGTCCGTTTTGCCCCACCGAATCGCGGGCCCACAGAGAAAATCACTCATTACCAACCGAACTGCCAAACATTTTGCAACCCCCCCTCCTAAAGGTCACTCAAGGCCACAAAAACTGCATCGCCCAATATTTTTTTAAGGGAGATTTCTTATTCTCTCCATCTTCCGAGTAATCAATTCCAGATCTCGGGCACACATTGGGCTTCTGGGTTAGACTGTCGTACAGTACCCCGCCGATGTTCACGATTGTGGCTCTTCGCTACCTCGTGCTGATCTAAGTCGAACTTGTCTTCGCCTTCCATGAGCCCAACTGATCTTCTGCGATTTTTGTCCAAGCCCGCGAAGTAAGTATGATTTTCCCTCTTTCTGTGTTTGGAGAAACCCGCTGCCAAAAGCTATTCTTGCCAATGGATCGGAATATATTGCTTAACGCCATAAACTCAAATACAACAAAAGAATTTTCATTTCTACCTTCCCTCATAGCGCTTTTTCTAACTATCCTCCTTCTTTAGGCCTCGATAACGCGACTCCCGTCGTCACCAACTCCCACGTTTTCCAGTACCTTTTTTTTTCCTTCCAAAGCAGAATTCTCGTCTGCTAGACCCGATACTTTGACCGGTATCGGTATCTTCCAGAACGAGGGTACCGACTGCTAGTCAACATTTCTCTTACGATCTACTTCTTGTCCTTCGCCTTCCGGCCTCCTTAGCAGCCCTTCGGTCTGTGGAGATTCTATCCGCCTGGTCTGACCAGTTAAACTTTTACTTCAGGGCCTTCTCTTCTCAGACGGGCATCGCCCCCTTGTTCGTCTGGGTAAGTAGACAGTGCTTCTACAGCCTATCTTCATCGGAGTACATAGGGCGGTCCGACGTCACTGTTTCTACTTCGTATACCACACACAAGTACAACAGCTCAAGCTACATCAGTCATCATGGTTTACGTCGGTATTCCAACCAACTACACGGCCTCGCCGTCCTCATTTGCGGGAACCCCGTCTCTGACAATCAACTACGAGGCCACTCAGGATCTCGACTCGACCAATGCTTTCGAAGGTCCTGAGAAGCTTCTCGAGGTATGGTTTGCGCCGTCTGCCAATGAACTAGGCGCTGCCGGCCCCGAAGGCCTTAAGAAGGTGCCCGGGGAAATATGGAAGGATATGTTGGACCTGGTCAACTGCCAGGTGCTTTCCATTATCTCCTCTGATGAGATGGACGCCTACCTTCTGTCAGAGTCCAGCATGTTTGTCTGGCCGCACAAGTTGATCCTCAAGACATGCGGAACCACCACCCTGCTTTCGGGACTCCCTCGCATCTTGGAAATCGCTGCCTTGTTCGCAGGGTTCACACGCGCCACGGCTCCTCCATCCCGGGGTATCACAGTGGCTGCGGCTCCCTACCGAGTCTTCTACAGCCGAAAGAACTTCCTGTTCCCTGACCGTCAGCGTGGTCCTCACCGCAGCTGGCGTGATGAGGTGCGAACCATGGACAGGCTGTTCGTCAACGGTAGCGCGTACATGATCGGGAAGATGAATGGAGAACATTGGTATCTCTACCTTACCGAGCCTGGCACCATGCTCACCCCGCCGGCGAGCCCCAAGGAGGAGGTTGACTTCCCCGAGACCGAAACTAAGGTCCTCAACTTCCCTGATGCCAACCCGCGCACCGACTGTGATGAGCACGATGAGACCCTCGAGGTTCTGATGACCGACCTTGACGAGGAAAATGCGAAGCAGTTCTACCTCGAAAACGCCACTGCTGTGGCCGAGAAGCGTCACCGTAACTCGGAGAAAGACGATGGTACTGATCACCTCGACGTCTTCAGCAACACCTCCGACATAGATGAGGAGACTGGTGGCATCCTGCCGCCGGAGCTAACCACTGAAGGCCATGCTCTGGGCACTGTCGTCTCTGAGTCATGCGGCCTGTCCGATGTGTATGCCAAGAGCAAGTTCCCGGATGCTCGCATCGATGCATACCTCTTCACCCCATGTGGCTTCTCTGCCAATGGCGTTGTGCCGGCTCCTGATGGCAAAGCCCCGACCCACTACTTCACTGTGCATGTCACACCTGAGCCTCATTGTTCGTATGCATCTTTTGAGACCAACGTCCCGCACTCCCAGAACGGCAAGGCCACCGCCGACATTATCCAGCAGGTTGTTGCGATCTTCAAGCCTGGCCGTTTCAGCATCACTTTGTTCGAGACTAAGCCCGCATCGGACGAGCTCAACGAGGCGAATGGGCAGGCTGATGTGGCGTACGCTCAGCGCCAGGCTGTTCGCCGCAGCAACAAGATGGAGCACGTCGAAGGCTACCGTCGTGTCGACCGCATCGTCCATGACCTGAACGGTTATGATCTTGTGTTCCGTTACTACGAACGCAATGACTGGAAAGGGGGGGCACCGCGAATTGGAGAGCAGGGATTCTAAGGTGAATTGGCTCTTCCGCCATCCGCCATTGGACCGTTCACTCCTCGCGGTTGCGACCTTTCTATCCATTGTGTTTCTGTCAACTTGACATTCAATTTGCACATTTTTGTTTTGCTCATTCTTCGTGTCAATTTTGTTTCCTTACATAGTGCACAGCATCACCTGTTTAAGCTGAGCGACTCATTCTTTCTCATTCGTTGAAGTGGTTCATTCGAGAAATCTCGAACCATAGGTACTTCGAGCTTCGATTCTTCTCAGATTTTCGTCGTTCTGTCACTCCTTGGATCATACATCATCATACCTAGTGTTATGAACTCATCTACTGCGTTAGTACAAGCATCTTGAATCAAAATATTGTTTTCTGCATTATATTACCTTCATTGTAGAATGTAAATCCTAGGGTTGCCAAATGCGTACAATTGTCCCATGTCCATAGGGCTACAATCTGCTAAAGATGGAAGGCGGTGAGATGCGTCCTTATCTCGTGTCTCTACCAAATTGCTTGCAAACGATTGTAACCAGCTACTTTCACCCAAACCCCGCCGCAACATCATATCGCGATCTACAGTCCTTTGAGACATCGGTTACTATCACTTGAAAGTAGAATTTATTTGAATCCGAGGTTGATCTCCAACTTTTTCGCCTGGCGCAACGGCGCAGCGCGAAACCCTCGACCATCGACAGAGCTTCAGCTTGCGCTCATAATCTATCGAGTGGATTAAGCATCCTCGCAGCCGGCTATTTGGAATAAGAGTTTATTGATCCATTGAACGCGCAATACACCTACACCCATATTTATCCGATACAATCTTTCAAAATGTCGTCACCACCACCATACCAATCATCATCCAACCCTCTCAAACGACCCTCCATCTCCTCTACCGCCTCGATGCCACTTGGCAAAAAGCAGCGCATGCATCCACTCCGACAGACTTCATTCCCGACTGGCATTGATGTGGGAGATCGCAGTTTCGGTGGTACTAGTGACGCCGGGAGCGTGACAGGCAGTTTTACAGGGAGTCTGGGCGGAGCAAGTGCAGACGGAATCTTCTCCGGTGCCGCACGCGGAAAGAAACGAGGACGCAAGAGCAAAGCTGAGAAAGAACGGGAACGGGAGCGTGACGATGCTCTTAGCGCTAGGGCGGGAGATTCTACACGGTTCGGGTCAGTCGATAACGAGGGCTCACTTAGAGGTGGTCCTTCTGGCAGTGGAGGTGGCGGTGGGGGTGATGATGCGGACGATTATGACGATGAAGATGAAGCAGAGCTATTCGGGCAACAAGAAGGAGCTACGGATACAGAGGCCGAGAAAAAGAATCTAGCGTATGTTCTCTCCTCCCCTCTTCTGGATAACATTCGATGAAGCTAACATTGGTCTTGATAGGATCCTGGTTGATGCTTTCAATCCTATGCAATCGGAGAGGTATGATCTCTTCAAGCGAGCGAAATTGCGCAAAGAAACTCTCCGCCGTATCGTCAACCATGCACTCTCACAATCCGTCCCAGCTAGCGTGGTGACGACCGTCAACGGTTTCACCAAGGTCTTCGCCGGTGAAATGATCGAAATGGCGCGAACAGTCCAGGCCGAATGGGCCGAAGCACACGACCTCGCTGCGCGCGATGCGTTCGAGGCCGAAGAAGCTGCAGCCGAAGCCGCAGCCCAGGCGAAAGCCTCAGGTGCGACCGCAAATTCAAAACCCTCTACGCCAACCCCTGCAGGCACACCAGTCCCCGGCTCAACGCCAGCCTCTTTCACCAACGGAATCAAGAAAGAACCACATGATTCTAATCGTACACCTACCCCCTCTATCCCTACTCATCAGAATTCGACAACATCCTCTCCACGACCAACTCCCACTCCTCTCCGCCCTAGACGCGAGTTCCGTCCTCCACCAAACCCACATCGTGGCCAGCTTCTACCATCACATCTGCGTGAGGCAGTACGGCGGACAAAGCGTAATGGCGAAGGTGGTGGAGTCGGTTACTCGGGATTGAGTCTGGAGAACCTGGGAGTTCGAGGCTCATTCACGTGGAATTCGGGAAGTGCAGGTGGAAGAAGGCTTTTCCGATAACTCAACAGTCTTTTCAATGCATATCAGCGTGCGGGCTTTGTTTTACTTTACTTTCATGTTTAATACACTAGGGTCGGCGATCTGGGCTAGAGGAAATTGTTTCGGCTTCTGGCAGGCAGGGTCTGTTTCGCTTTGATATCATCCATGATTATTCTCTTCCGCAACATACTATGTAATGAATACTTGAGATATGTACCTTGATTGTGCCCCCATTCACTGCTATCCTTCCAAGTTCTGGAAACCCGGTCCCAGATTTAGAAGATGTAAGCTATGCATTCCAATACAGAGTAGATCTGATACATCTAACCAGGGCGTTCTCAATCTTGGCAGGGATGAAAATGCCCACGTCATTTACAACGTATGTATGTACTCCGTGCAGGTAGACATGATTTGTATTGGCTACTCCTAGTAGCTAGTGTCATAAGGCTGTGTCTGGGGATAACTATGCACCATTCCCTTCATATCTCCTGCTTGCGATATGCTATGTGTCAAATAGCACCATCGCAGTTGTTCTCGGAACTTCCATACTGCTGCCTAGATAGTCTGATTCGGTACATGGCATGTCGGAATTAGGGCTTCAATGTTGTACAACAGAGTATGAAATACTGAATGCTGAGTAGAGATGGACTAAATAGCAATAACAATGATATACTGCCCTATTCATTATTCCACAGAAATCCAGATCATTCGACCCTGCAGAAAGAGGCAGCAAGGGCTATTAATTCATTCAAATATCCTGCAATGTGGGACTGCACACTGTTCACAAGCAGGTCATAAAAGAGAAGTGGATAAGAAAAAAAGGGCACTTGCATTGCCCCGTCGACCTCCTTGTTCTTGGCAGGTGTCTTGGCAGGCCCTTTGTTGATATGATCGCCAGGATATCCAACTTTCTTCAATATCATCACTTTCCCTTATCTTTTTATACAGATCTACAATTCTCTAGAGCTGGTCGACGCTCAATCTGTCGAATATCTTATTATATGGCCTTCTGGTTCAAGTTGCATTTTTGACCTTTGTTTATAATGCAATACCTCCAACCTTCCCATCTATACACTCAACTAATAGATACATTACCGACATCTTTATCTTGGTCCTCCCAAAGCACAGTGAAAGGAGATCCCAAAAAGAGTGTCAAATGGATTGATGTATGTTTTTGAAGGAAAAGAGATATCGCATGAATATAACCTAACATATTGAACTAGGGCCTCCGAGGAATCGCTTCATTCCTAGTAGTGCTAACCCATCTCTCTCGCGGCTGGGACTATGAACTATTCTCACCACGCGACAGCGAAGATGTCAGCGCACGACTCCTTCAATGGCCTATCCTTCGCATACCCTGGCAAGGCCGCCTGGGTGTGACCATCTTTGCCTTCTTAACCGGCTACGTCTGTGCACTAAAGCCGCTCAAGCTATCGCGGGCAGGTGATACAGGAGCAGCATTCGAAACAATAGCAAAGAGTGCCTTTCGTCGACCGCCACGACTGATCTTCCCCGCGACTATTGCTCTACTTATTTCGTGGATTGTCGCCCAATTCGGCGGGTTCATTGTTGCCAATAGATCCGATTGTCAATGGTGTAGATATGCCGCACCGGATCTGGAGGATTCCTTTTGGAAGGAACTTATTCGTCTGCCGATGAATTTCTTGTCCACTTGGACGACGGGGTATATGGCATACGATGATCATCAGTGGGCGCTTCTACCGCTGCTTTTGTCCTCTATGTTGGTTTATCTTGTGCTCTCTGCGACTATGTTCGTGAAATTTAAGTATAGGGTTGTGATATATATTGGCATGTTGTTATATTTTCATCAGGATGCGAGCAAAGATGCAGGTGAGTGTTTCTGGTGGAAGAAAACATATGACCTTTCATCTACTAGGGACAAAAATGCTAATGCCGACTCTATAGAAACATTCCAAATGCAAGCCATCTTCGGCATGCTCCTCAGTGACTTCTCCTACCACAAACCTCTCAAAGACTGGATTGAAAACAACCCGCAGAGCCGGAAGATGCTCACCATCCCACTGACTGTTGTTGCATTGTTCCTCGCTTCATACCCAGGTGAACATCCCGAATGGGCCGGTTGGTCTAACGTGATGCTCAATGCAAGCCATTACATATTCCCGCCAGGCGTCAATGTCGGGAAACGTTACACCGCACTCGCAGTTGACATGATCATCCTTGCGATCTATTTCTCCCCTTCGGCCAAAGACTTCCTCTCCAGCAGACTCCTCCTCTGGCTCGGAAAGCAGAGTTTTGCCGTCTATCTCATCCACGGCACCATGCTGCGCGTTGTGCTCTGCTGGATGCTATATGGTATTAGTGGTCAGCCGTGGGTAGGTCCTGAGGCAGCGACTGACGACCAGCGCGACTGGCTGCCTATCCGGCCGCCGTGGGTCGTTGCTATTAGCATCCCGGTCTGGATTGGACTTGTGTATCTTGTTGCTGCGCTGTGGACAGCGTACGTGGATACATTCTGTGCTTCTATGACCCAGAAGCTGGAGAAGGCTGTTTTCGCTGAGGATGAGAAGTTGCCTTTACCTGCGGTTTCGATCCCTATGCAGACGACCTGATATTCTCTTGCTCTACGTGATGCATCTTGATACCATAGATTATGTTAATTCGACCTGGGTTTGTGGTGTTGTCCGATTAGGGGACTTGCTTTCCGACATGGCTGGTCCATGGCCATGGGTGTAAATATGATTTTTTTTTTCTGGTGTTTCCGTTTTCTGGCTTTCTGAGTTTTTATCCAATACAATAGCGAGATGAGTGATGCAAAGCTTCAATTCAAGAAGTGTACATAGCCAAATGGAGATTGTGGTCGAACTATAATTCTATCTAATCACAAAAATCAATGCAAATGCCACTGCGCCATATTTTACAGTATAAACACACACCGATCATGCACGGGGAGAGCCACGCCGCCCGGGAGATTTGCGACCAGCTGACTGGCTATTCTTCAAAGAATTGCTGGCCTTGGTCCTTTCGTTCTCCAGGGTTTGCATGTGTTCCTTGCGGCGAGCTTCGTTACGCTGGTTCCGTAGGAGCTGATCCTCCTCTTTGCGCTGCTGTTCGTATTCATCCGCGCGCTTCTTCTTGTCCTTGGCAAGACGTTCCTCGAATGTGGCAGTGCCGAAGGATTGTGAGACTGATTTAGAGAGACCGGTGCCGGCTTTTCCGAATTTCTTGTAAATGCGGTCAATGAAGCTAATTTTCACACCTTCCTGTGCAGATGGCGCAGGACGCTCCAGGCGTGCTTTCTCATGGATGGCTTTTTCCTTCTCAAGACGTTCCAGCAGGTTGCGAAGACCCTTGCTTCCGGTGTTTTTAGTAATTGCGGAGAACTTCGCATCGGACGGCTTCTTAGCGATCGACAGGTCCATCCATCTCCGGAAGGAATCCGAGTTGATCAAGTATGTTTGACCCAGGCCGAAAAGACCACTTGCAACAAAGTAGAGCTGTAGGGCACTGGGCATGAATGCCATGAAGATAAAGGACATGACAGGGAAACCATAGATGATGTACTTTCCTGCATCTGTTTGCATCATGGGCATTGCGCCCGATTCACCACCTTTCTGTTATCTCTAGTTAGCGTCGCAGTTACAGTAGACCATATGAAACCGACTTACCCTCAGAGACAGGCAAAGTGTGCCTGCGGCGATCATAGGCAGAACGTAAGTGGGATCAGAAATGGTCAGGTCCTTAATCCACGCCACTGACTCTGTGGTCATGGCAGGCACTGGCAACGAAGTCATTGCTCGCACGACTCGGAAGCATCCGAAACCAAGTGGAATTTGCAACATGGGGACAAATGACTTCCATGTCTTAATACCGAACTCAGCGTTGATCTTCTGGAGCTCGCCCCGCACAACCTGGGCCTCCTGGTTGTTCCCTGAGGCCGAGGCAGCGACCATTCTTTGTCGGAGGGGTTCACTCTTGGGTTTGGCGTTGGTCATTCTTGCTGCGTTCTCGGATGCGCCAATGACTGGCTTTAGCATTGCTAAACGAGTCAGAAGACCAACAGCCACAATACTAGCCCACCATGGCATGCCGGTCCAGATATGAGTGTGCTCGATAAGCCATTGCATCGTCGACGTAAAGCCCCATCCAAAGTTCAGCCCAAGCTCCTTAAGATACCCAATGCCCTCCGGAATGGTGGTAATATCGTTTAGGTTGACAGCATTTTTCAAAGTGCCATCGAAAGCAAATTCGGGGAGTACTGTGTCGGAGGAGGTGGAATTGAATCTGACTGCAGCCGGGCCGGCAATGGCTGGTGTCATGCGCCAGGGAGCGCTTCCGGATAATGCTGACTTCAATTGGCCCCGCTGGCTAGGGAATCGCATGCTTTGTGACCGCAAGGTGGACATCTGCAAAGCCAAGTCAATTTCGATGTTTCGGCAAGTCCGAGTCAACGGGAGAACAAACAGATCGAGAGGACCGGGACATGGCGGTCATTCTCTGACGTGCAAGGGCAGCGGCTGCGCTGGACCCTTTCAGGCCAACAGATCCCATCATTGTGGTTCGAGATAATTATTGATGGGGAGATAACCAATACGGAAGAGTTGTTCTCCTGCCTTTCGGCGCGACTTTTTCTGCCCGGGCGGTAAATATATCCCCGGATCACGGCTACGGGACAGGCACGGAGACCGGAATATGGAAATATGGAAATAATAGACTTGGATATTCTAATATTGTAACGAAAGCTGCTTGCAAGATATAAATCCTAATTCGCCAAACGCCATCCTCCTGAGTCAACAGGTCTATGTACAGCCACTAAATTCAGGTCTGCACAGAAAGCCAGGTATCGATCCCAAATCACATATGCTTCGGTTTTGTCTCCCGCGTAAATGCAGCCATTCTCGAACGGATCAAACAGCACAAGGAACATCAATCGCTTATTCCAAAGAAGCAGTGTCCCTCAGTCCAGGGCGTCTCCGTTCCGAAGGAAGCTCCCTCATTTCAACACCCGGGCCCACTGCATGTGAGCGGCGGTGGTTAGGGAAGATCTATATCAGAGCAGAGAATCAGCCATCAGGATTAATATAAGCTCATATAATGTTCCACATACCTTAGTGTTAGACCATCCAAGTCGGAAAGCAGCCTCGTGTGCGAACAGCTCTCCAAAGCCTAGCATGAGACCATTGACAAATGGGAGGAAGAGGTTGATGGCCGCTCCGCGCACAAGACCCCAAACACTTGGCGGCTTGTAAAGCATCATGGGTGAGCTTTCGGCTGACTGAACCGAGGAGGACATTTCATGGTTCGCGGAGTAGTTCTCTGAGTCGGAGGGGACGGTCATGGTAGAGTCGTAGAGCTCGGCGGGCGAGACGGAGACGGCGTCGGAGGCCATTATTGGGTCAGAAGAAATCGAGAAGTCGTGTCGTATCTTTAAATAGGTGAGTCGGAGTTGGTGTTGACCCTTGATCTCGAAAAAAAAGGCAAAGTAAAAGAGGCTCAAGTTGATACGATGGTCCTGATGAGCGGCCCCAGGCCCGGAGCAACATGTGTATTATGTCAGCATATTGGCGGGGCCCTCAGGGCTGTCACGGGTTCTGAGCTAACTCTGGGTTCTGTGTTCTGAATAACGTCTTCTTTACTGAGAGAGGAAATATTTCAGGGATCCCTAACTTTCAGTTGTATGATGCTCCCGTGGGCTAAGATTGTGCTGGCGACATGAGACCTCCTTGAGATACCCTAACAGTCTGCCTGTGGCTTACAAGTGGTTGGAGAGTGTGCTGTCTCCTTATGCAAAGGTAATGAAGAACCTGAGGGGGTGTTGCATTGTTAGCGTACCCTGCTTTAAATAGTACGTTATTGAAATTGAATGTTAATCCTACGTGTACTTGCGTGGGCTTGATTCTACATTGGCTATATGGTCTTAAAGGTGTACAACTTTAGCACATTTTCTGGAGTATAGATGTGACGAAACAGTAGTCAAAGAATCATATCTGGTAGGCAGAACGAGCTATATATCGAGGAGGCCTAAGGCACCTATGCAAACGGTCCATTTTAGGAAGGTACGTGAGAGTATAAAAGGATTCCTTCCACCTTTCTTCGTCTGCTCTTCTTCCTCTCCCCAATCCTCCCTGTCTCACTGTAGCCCACCGAGGCAGCGCAGAGGGTGGTCCTCGAAAGACATCAACACCAAGTTGTTGAGGCCTTCGAAGGTCCGAATACAAATCAAACTAGTTCTCGTGCGAGTCCTGATAAGTTGGTGACTGAACTCCAAGAGTTCAGTAGTCACTGGCAGATCCCACGGAATACATGGGGGGTTTCACTACTGTGATATCCTCTTATCCTCTTCACTCAGATGTATGTAGCCATCTATGAATGTACTTAGTTACGCGAAGACATTTTTCTTAATGACATTTTCGGCCCGATTGCAGCAGTATTTCTAATTCTCCACTGCTTCAATATTTCCCTTCATATAGGCCTAAATGGTTTGATTATATGTGAAAAATATAAATACCAGCCAAGTTAATCAGTATGATATCTAGACGAAATGTTTCCTACCTCCTATTAGAGGTTCTACTGTATCAAACTGTCCCGGTAGTTATGTGTGTTAAACAATTTTTGTATTAAGAACTATCAATATGTCAAAATTAGACCAATTATATATGCAATGGATATCAAAAGACGCCGTGCAAATGTCTCAAATGCTTTTTCCACATCAGTCATACCAGCAAACCATTTCCATGATGCCGGACAAGCTAAAAATCACCTCCTCTTTTTGGAATTTTCCCGATATCAAATTTTTATGCCTTGACAGGAGTGTTCTCTTCATCGTCACTGAAGGCGAACTTCGAGAAACGACGAATGGACTCTCCCTTGAAGTAGAACACATAAGGAATGGCACAGCAACCCAAGCCGATGAATGCAAGAAGCGAACTGGCCCACTGATCGCCCAGGCGTTCATACATTTGCTCTGTGAACAAGACAGTGCAGGCACCCCAAATAGAGCGAATGAAAGTCTTGGCTGCGAGAGCAGATGCTGCTTGGTGCTGGTAGGTATCAACAAGGTAGTTGTTGGCAGAGTTATAGAGGAAGATAATGCCGAATCCAATGAGGAAACCTCCCATAGCCGGTCCCATCCAGTGAACATCGGGGTATGAGGTCCAGGCGAAGATGAAAAGACCAGAAGGGACGCACCAACAAGCAGCCATCATGGGAAGGAGACGCTTTTCGGCCGGAGGCTTGCCGCCGCATGCCGCAGCGACCTTGAGGTAGTGCTTGTTGACAAAAGGAGCGCATGCTGCGCTCATGACAACACCGATAGCCAGAGGGATAAACATGAGACCGGTGTTAGACGCGCTCCATCCTTTGCCTCCCTGGTAAACAATTGGATAGGCAACGAAGAACATGTACAGCAAGCCATAAATGACTGACATGTAGAGAGAGATGAATAAGACGATAGGCTCGAGGAACAAAAGCTGGAAGGGGCGGAAGAGGAAGATTCGCAGCTTCTCGCCCATGGGGCGAGCATCGAGCTCGGTTTCGGTGGTATACTTGGGGTCGTCCTGAGACTTGCGAAGTTTCTGGGCTCGCTTCTTGAGCAAAATTGGTGCGAATGTCTCAGGGACAGTGAAGGTGATCATGACCCAGGCGACAAAGGACAGAATAAGCTGGATCCAGTAAAGCCAACGCCAGCCACAATTGTCAGCCAGGTAACCACCAACAAGCGGACCAATGGCCGGGCCAATGAAGGGAGCAGCGCTGAATGCTGCCATCGGAACACCACGCTCCTCGCTCTTCCACAAATCGGCCAAAGTACCACCGACTAGAGTCATGGGAGCACTGAAAGCGATTCCGTCAATCAAACGACAGACAATGAGAGTTCCAATGTTCTTGGAGACGGCACATGGGATGACGAAAATAACAGCGAGTGCAAGGGTCAGAGCGTAGACAGGTCGACGTCCGAATATCTCTGACATTGGAGCAAAGACCATGGGGCCTAAAATGGAGTTAGAACTATGCAAAACACATCAAACGTCTGAGAAGTACTTACCAAGACCGAATCCAATAACGAAAACCGTAATAACAAGCAAACTGACTTCACGACCGATACCGAATTCCTCAATGGGTCCCTCAACGTCGGCTGTAATGACACTACTGCAAAATGCGACGACAAAGCAGGTGAAGGCGACCACCATGGTACAGTACCACTTGTATGCCTTTGACCAATTCTTGGGGTTCTCAGGGTCGTCGATGGTGAAGGTCACCATCTTCCAATCTTCGAGTTTACCAGTAGCATTGGACTTGACAGGCTTGATGATTTCACCTGTCCTTGTCTCGGTGATGTATTCGCGTAAATCGGCGCCATCATTGACTTCGCGGATTGGTAGGTCGAGGTAATCGTCAGGTTGTGCCTGTGCACGGTTGTATTCGACAGACCCGATGGAGGCTGTCCTGCTAGTTGCATTTGTGTGGGTCTGATCTGACCGAGGAGTCTCCATGTTGAAAGATATCCGTCGGTTGATGCGCGCTATACCCAGATAAGACAATAGTAAGGAGTGTTGTAACGAGTGTTGTAGGTGGTGTAGGGTATTAGTGGCAATGTTTGGTCATACAAGATAGTCGGTTTAGACCCCCGGGGGGGCATTCTTTTATAACTCATCTCCAATAAAATTCGGCTCCGAATTTTTTACGAGTGGATCATAACAAAAAAGGAAAAAAAAGGGAAATAAGAACCATCCATGGATGAAATGTCCATACATTCCCTCGCGGGAACTTTTGATATCGGCCCGCCCCCAGATGGGTTGCCTGATAGGGAATGGTCGCGCTAACCTGATTAGGCAATATGCTACGATGACCCATTGATTCTATCGCCAAGATTCGCGAAGCTTCATTTTCCTTAGAAAAAGAAAATTTTCATTAGCAATGCACTGGAATGAAATTGGTATGTAGCTCTACTCATGGTATCAGTCCTGGGACACTACAAGGCTGGTCTTTCCTTCGAGTAAGGAGAATACTACTTTCACACTAGAGAATGCGCTATTTCATTTGTCGATCAAGAATATCATTGATGACCAGGAGTAGCTAGGTAGTATATTTTAGCCTGAAAACCTTGTATTTTGTACCTGCGTATCTTTTTCAAGGTACTTTCCCGAGTTCCAGCTTGGCATCATACGAAAGCGGGTCTGACTGTGACCACGAGCAGCCCCATCAAGGAGATATGTACATAGCTTTCATCAAGGAGATAGCTTTCTATGTAGACCGAGTTCAGAGAGGTGGAAATACGATGAGAGGGTCATATTATATGTCAATATTGCAGATTAGATTAGACATTAGATTAAATAAATCAAAGGAATCAAAGGCGCACGTATTCAATAGTTCTATCTACCGGTGAAGAGTCTCGGAAACATTGAATTCTTTAGATCATCTCAGGGGCTTAACATGAATATGCCCCACAAGTAAAATGTCTGTTTCTGGTGACACGGGCCCTGGGCCGCAGTGGGTCAATAACATATTCTCTTTTTGCAACCTCGAAGAGGACTGTATAGTTCGGAACATATTGCCAAATCTGGAAATTGAGGTGGATTTCCTTATTGGGAACCGAACTTCTGGCGAGGCCTCCATTCGCCACAGCACTTTCTATATTGTTCTAGATCTTTACATCAGACCTGGGCTATTCAGCCCACCAGTAATACCTCGTAACGGCCGCGGGGCACTTCTAATATTCAAACATATGTTAGAGAGCCTCTATGAGGTTAGGTATCTTTTGTATGTGTCGTCCATATCAAAGATACAACTTGTGCATTCACATCCTATCCTTGCCACCCCACAATTAGTGGGAACATGTGCTTTCCGGGTTTGTTTGAAATGTGCAATTAGTGTTGTTTAGAGGATATGGAGTATTCCATACCTCTTGGCGTAGGCTTTCCCCCTATTTTGGTAATAATATGCCTTGTTTCTTTGCAATCCTGTATTGTATTAGCACGGAGTTCAATATCTAAATTGCGAATGCCAATGTCATCCCACTATCTGATGTGTTTTGTTCTGTTGAGGATTGCTTTTAACAGAATGAGAGCAAAGGAATGTGGAAGAGCCTGCGGCATGTTTGGCACGTACAAAACGCCTTGGAAATGATAGAGTACATATCTATACTCCATACATCATTAGGCATTACAATCATTTCCGGATGACCCACACCCTGCTGTGCGTAATGGATCGGCATCTTGTGAAAGCCGTTTCGGCCTGTAGCTAGTAGTGTCACTGATAGCAGCTTCCAATCTCTAGTCAATTATCACTCAAACCGTTTTCTGTCAATCCTTGAACTTGATACGTTGAAATAATTAATATACATAGCTCCCATATCTTCAGAATCTGCGCCTCCTCCCCTTTCGACCTTCGCTGAGAACTTGGATCGATACTAGAAGAATGAGTTCAATCCTTTCACCATCGTGCTAGCCTCAAATGTGGAAGATACTGAGCCATTCACAAGCTAGAGTCTGGGCCCTATAACACCGTCTAGTTCAGCAGGAATAACTTAGAGCTAGAGCTTTAAAGTTGCTGTTTGCTAGCACCTCTGTTGATTATAGGGAGCGTTGATATTACAAGAGATTACTAAAACCACGGTGACCAACAAAGGCGACTTTGTTTCTCAGCTTCTCGGCCGTTTTACAATCGAGGGACTCAGCGGGCCGGCATTTGTGCTTTGTGGCTTCTATGTCTGAAGGTGGATTAAAGTAAATTAAGTTGCTTACAACCTACATAGTATTGGAGTGAAGTATTGGAGTGAGCCATAAATTATCAGTCTTCAGAATGTAGAAACCTTGAAGTATCTTCACGCCTTAAGCCTTGCAAACAGAGTCTTCGTCTTATTCGGGTATTTGTAGGAAATACCCAGATTTGATGCAGATTGCTGCATATCTACTATCCTGTTGAAGGTTCCTGGTACACAACAGTTTCAGTGCTTCCTACATATAGCTCGTTAATGTTTGACGTTCTAACTGTATTTTCTATAGCATAGCCCTTTCCTGTCTTAAACCTTTAAGGTGTTCTGCAATTGCTTGAGAGTATAGGGACTAATTGAACTAAGCCCAAGTACCAAGCAAGATGGTAGAAGTATTTCAAGGTTGTTATATGAAACCATGCTACTTCCACCGTCTGAAGTATAGCTTTCTCTATTCGTTTTTGGGGATAATGTATGGGTGCAATTTTTCTGGCCCTTTTTTGCTCTTAGCATATTGGAGATTACCCTTTGACGAGTTTTCACGGGCGAAAAAATTTCCCATTGTTATGGTGATTTTGTACTGATCATTGTACTGGGTGGAATTCCCCGGGCTGATGTTCTGTTGACTGATCCCCCGGGCCCCACACATTCCGGAGCAAAGTCCTCCATTCGATTCTCTGCTTTCGAGACTGTGAAATGATATAAGCGTACTAATTGTCACATTTTAAAACATTGACAAGTTTCTTATAAAGAGAAATGAATGGATAGATCACCATATAAGAAAAGAGAACTGCCAAGGTGAAGAATTTTGTGGTCAAAACTTTAAATCCGCTATCGGCACATGATCCAGCCAGATAAGCCGCAATGGGCTTAGGGCGGGGGAAACTCATTTCTCTTACAAAAAAAAAGGCGATAGAGTCATCGCCGGCCTCTTCTAGCGATCTTCTCAAGTCTACTTGAGATAGGCACTCGAGCCACTCGATCTCCATCGATACCAGGAGAATCACTTCCTCCTGTGTCATACTTGACTAATTGGGAGAATCCCCAATTTGCTTCACGATGACTTCCACCGATACTTATCTGGCCATCCCAGGCTCCGTTGCATTTTCCCGCTCCCGAGCCCATGCTATTGCTACCAGCATCGGTGTCCAGGATGTCCGAGCCCAGTGGATTCACTATGTGCATACCACCCAGCCTTTGGACGAGCCCCAGCGTGCGGTACTCGAACAATTGCTTCAGTACGGCGATATCACAGACATTCCTCCTACCTTCGAATCCACCGATGGCCAATTCGATACCTTCTACATTTTCCCCCGAACCGGTACTGTCTCACCATGGAGCTCCCAGGCAACGGGAATTTCGCACGTCTGTGGCCTGCAGAAGTATGTTAAGCGGATCGAACGAGGTATGAAGGTTTCGTGTCTCCGTAACGGTGCGGAAGACTACAAGCCGAACTACATGGATACGCTCCACGATCGGATGACTCAGATCATTGGCAAGGATGAGCCCGAGCTAAGCCTCATGTTCTCTGAGCACGCTCCCCAGCCCCTCAAGACCATCTCCCTCCAGGGCAGTACCAAAACCCCCAAGGAGATCCTCCAAGAGGCAAATACGGAGCTCGGCTTGGCCCTTGATGATTCAGAAATTGATTATCTGGCTGAGGCCTATGGTCCGAATGGCGCAATTGCCCGTGACCCCACCGATGTCGAGCTCTTCATGTTCGCCCAGGTCAACTCGGAGCATTGCCGACACAAGCAGTTCAATGCCTCCTGGGTGATTGATGGCAAGCCCATGCCGAACAGTCTGTTTGCCATGATTCGCAACACACACAAGAAGCATCCCGAGCACACCATCAGTGCCTACAGTGACAATGCCGCCGTGCTGGAGGGCCCCGAAGCCGCCTTCTGGGCCCCCGATCCAACTACCGGACAGTGGATGCACACTAAGGAAGTTGTCCACTTCCTGGCCAAGGTCGAAACCCACAACCACCCCACTGCCGTTTCACCTTACCCTGGTGCGGCTACGGGATCCGGCGGAGAGATCCGTGATGAGGGTGCCGTCGGCCGTGGCTCGCGTCCCAAGGCCGGTCTCTCCGGCTACTGCGTTTCAGACCTTTTGATTCCTGACTTGAGACAGCCATGGGAGCTCGATGTTGGCAAGCCAAGCCACATTGCTAGTAGCTTGGATATCATGTTGGAGGCACCCATTGGTAGCGCTGCGTTCAACAACGAATTCGGCCGTCCCTGCATTGGTGGATACTTCCGCACTCTGCTCACCGAGATTGACGTGGGCAATGGTGAGAAGGAAGTGCGAGGATACCACAAGCCCATCATGATCGCTGGTGGTGTTGGAACCGTTCGTCCCCAACATGCTATCAAGCACCCAGATGTTGTCAAGCCTGGTTCTTTCCTTGTCGTTCTCGGTGGCCCGGCCATGCTTATCGGTCTGGGAGGAGGTGCTGCCTCCAGTATCACTTCTGGTGAGGGATCTGCCGAGCTCGACTTTGCCAGTGTTCAGAGAGGCAATGCCGAAGTTCAACGCAGAGCTCAGGAGGTTATTAATGCCTGTGTGGCGATGGGAGACAACAACCCCATCAAGTTCATCCACGATGTTGGTGCCGGTGGCTTGTCCAACGCCCTTCCTGAGTTGATTCACGACTCGGGCTTGGGAGCTACATTCGAGCTTCGTGAAATTGATAACACCGACCGTAGCATGAGCCCCATGCAAATTTGGTGCTGTGAGGCCCAGGAGCGATACGTCATGGCCGTTGGTGAGGAGAGCATGAACAAGTTTACTGCTATCGCTCAGCGTGAACGCTGCGGCTTCTCTGTTGTCGGTCGCGGCGGCGGTTCGTCCGAGGAGGAAAAGAGACTCATTCTCCTTGACCGAGAGTCCAAGGAGTACCCGGCACCCATTGACCTTCCTCTGTCCGTGCTTTTCGGAAAGACTCCTCGCATGACCCGAACTGTTGATTCGCGCAAGTTGAAGCTTCCCGCTGTGGATTCTAGCCTCAGCAAGTATCTTCCCTCTCTCACCTCTAAGACGGAGATTGTTGATGAGGCTATCAAGAGAGTGCTGTCTCTGCCTGCAGTAGGCTCCAAGTCTTTCTTGATCACCATTGGCGATCGCACTGTCGGCGGCCTAACGGCCCGTGACCAGATGGTTGGCAAGTGGCAGACACCTGTGTCCGATGTCTCGGTTACTGCCACTTCCTTGGCCCAAGGCATTAAGACCGGTGAAGCCTTCGCGATGGGTGAAAAGCCTACCTTGGCTCTCATCTCCGCGGCTTCATCTGCTCGCATGGCTGTTGCCGAGTCACTCATGAACTTGGCTGCTTCCGATCTTGTGGATCGTCTCAGCCAAGTGAAGCTGTCTGCCAACTGGATGTCTGCCGGCAGCCACGCTGGCGAGGGTGCTGCTATCTACGAAGCCGTGGAGGCTGTCGGTCTGGACCTGTGCCCTAAGCTTGGCATCAGCATTCCTGTCGGCAAGGACTCTATGTCCATGAAGATGAAGTGGAAGGATGAGGCCTCCAATGAGGCCAAGGAGGTTACTGCTCCCATGTCTTGCGTCATCTCTGCCTTTGCGCCGGTTGGTGATTTCACCAAGACCTGGACCCCCGCTCTTCGTAGCTTCGAAGAAGTTGGGGAGACCGTTCTCATGTTTGTGGACCTTTCATTCGGTCGCAAAACGCTTGGTGGATCGGCTCTTGCTCAGGTCTTCAACGAAGTCGGTTCCGAGTGCCCTGACATTCGCGACGTTGGTCTCTTCCGGGACTTCTTCGATGCTACACAGCAACTCCAGGAAGCCGGAATTGTTTTGGCTTACCACGATCGCTCCGACGGTGGTCTTTTGACTACTCTTGTTGAAATGATGTTCGCCGGTCGCTGTGGTGTTGAAATCATGCTCGATAACATCTGCCCCTCTTTCAACACCAAGGATCTCATTGAATGCCTCTTCACCGAAGAACTTGGTGCCGTCTTCCAGGTCCGCAAGGAGCACGAGATCCAGTTCCGCTCAGCCTTCGCCACTTGCGGTCCTCCTCCAGGTCTGATCCACAAGATTGGACGTGTATCTCAACAGCCCAAGCAGAACCTTGCTATTTACCACAAGGCGTCTTTGATTTACCGCAACACCCGTTCCAGCCTTCAGCAGACCTGGGCCAAGACTTCCTACCACATGCAGAAGATGCGTGACAACGCAGATTGCGCGGAGCAGGAGTATGCTAACATCCTCGACGACGCCAACCCCGGTCTTTCTTGGAACCCTACCTTCGACCCCAAGGACAAGGGCTTGCCCATGATGACTAGCCTTTCCCAATACTCCCCCTTCGCGAACAAGCCCCGCGTTGCCATCCTTCGTGAGCAGGGTGTCAACAGTCAGGCTGAAATGGCCTTCGCCTTCAACACCGCCGGTTTCTCTGCCGTCGATGTCCACATGACCGACATTCTTTCCGGTCGTGTCTCCCTCTCCAGCTTCGCCGGTCTCGCCGCCTGCGGTGGCTTCTCGTACGGCGACGTCCTGGGCGCCGGCCAAGGCTGGGCCAAGTCCGTTCTGCTGCACGAGAACACCCGCAAGGAGTTCCAGGACTTCTTCGAGCGTCCGGACACTTTCGCCCTGGGTGTCTGCAACGGCTGCCAGTTCTTGTCTCGTATCAAGGATTTGATCCCTGGTGCGGGTTACTGGCCCAGCTTTGAGCGCAACACCAGCGAGCAGTACGAAGGCCGTGTCTGCATGGCCCGCATCTCCGACCCCGACCCATCCCGCCCCAGCGTCTTCTTCCACGGCATGGATGGCACGTCTCTCCCTATTGCCGTTGCTCACGGTGAGGGCCGTGCCTCCTTCGTCGCCTCCCAGGGCATCTCAGCTTCTGACTTCGTTCGCGAGGGTCTTGCCCCCGTCCGATTCGTCGACAATGCCACCCTCAAGCCCACCATGAAGTACCCCTTCAACCCTAACGGCAGTCCCGAGGGTATTGCCGCTGTGCGCAGTCCCAACGGTCGTGTCCTTGCCATCATGCCTCACCCTGAGCGTACCGTCATGAACGGTATTGCCAGTTGGTTGCCTCCGAACGCTGAGTCCTGGGGTGATATTGGCCCTTGGGGACGGGTATTCTACAGCGCTAGACGCTGGGTTGGTTAGAATGTTTAGTTCTCACAGAACCTTTTCAGCCCATTTTCTTTTTCCTATCTATCTGAGTTCTTGTTCATATATTCTCTTGGAGTTGGAAAAAAAAAAAGAAAGAACCAAAATGATTTCTCAAAAATCAGTATATATCAAAATTGATCAATAATATTTCCATTAATCCACTATTTTTAAATTGTAAATAAATATTCAGAAGTAGTAGATGTAGAGAATATGTTGCTCCTTCACAACCTGACTCATAGTATTTTGGAGATTAGCGGAGATAAAGGCGGGCAAATAAAAGGCGGGACTCGGAGTCAAAATTCACATCCCACCTTCTGCCGAGTTCTTTTCCTTTGGACTTTCCAGGACTTCTCTCGATTTGGTGCTTTGGGTCTTTATAACGTTCATTTTCTGCTCTTAGATTCCTGCTCTTCAGCCCATCATGGATCCCGCGACGCAAGCAAGATTCGATCTCGTAAGATCCCCAAATTGCCCTACTTCAACAGACACTAGACACTGACATCTTGCAGATTAACTCGAACCTCGCAGAATTCCTAAACCCTGAAATCATCGAGGATGTGTTGAAAAGTGGCCGCAACCCTAGGGTGTACTGGGGTACAGCTGTTCGTATTCCCCTAGATCTCTCGCTGTCGCACGGAATCGTATAAAAAAAATACATATCGCAACACAACTGCTAACACATACTCTCTTTCTAGACCACGGGTCGCCCTCACATTGGCTACTTTGTGCCAGCACTGAAGATTTCGCAATTACTACTCGCAGGCTGCGATGTAGTGATCCTGCTTGCCGATGTACACGCATTCCTCGATAACGTAAGTCCTTCCATTTAGAATGACTCATTTCTACCTCACTAACCCTTTACGATAAATAGTTGAAGGCGCCACTCGAGCTAGTGGAAAATCGGGCGATTTACTACCGAAACGTTATCACCGCTATCCTTCAGGCCGTCGGCGTCCCTACCGAGAAGCTCGAATTTGTCCTCGGAAGTACCTACCAGAAGAGCTCTGCCTATGTATTCGATGTCTACAAGCTGTCCTCTTTGATTTCGGAAGGACAGGCCAAGAAGGCGGGCAGTGAGATTGTCAAGCAGACTGGCAATGCCCCACTGAGTGGGTAAGTTGGATACCACTCTCGGTCTATATGGTTTGCGCAATATACTAACCATTCATCAGACTGTTGTACCCAGTTCTCCAGGTTCTCGATGAAGAACATTTGAATTGCGATGCTCAGCTCGGAGGTATTGATCAGAGAAAGCTCTTTACCGCTGCGACGGAATGGCTCCCTAAGCTTGGATACCGTGTTGTAAGTTTTCATCCAACTATATTTGAATATTAGAGGCTTACCTACGTCTAGCGCGCCCATCTTCTAAACCCTATGATGGCCTCTTTGTCCTCCGGCAAGATGAGCTCTAGTGATAGTCCAGGTATGTCCTCCTTTCTTATCAGAAGTTATCAATATGCTAAAACCCGACAAGATAGCAAAATCGACCTTCTCGACTCTGCCGAGAGCATCACAAAGAAAATTCGGAAGGCTGAGTGCGTCCCTAAGGTCGTCACAGACAACGGTGTGATCTCATTAGTCGAACACATTCTATTGCCCGCATCTATCCTAAAGGGCAATGGAGAATTCCGCGTCGAACGCAAGGACGCCGAGCCTCTTGTATTTACCGATATGGAGCAGCTGCGCGATGCTTACCGCGCTGATATTGTATGTATAGCTGTCTCTCACTTCGCATATCTCATTGACTAACAACGTTATAGTTAACACCACAGCTACTTAAACCTGCTGTTGCGGCCGCCATGGTCGAGCTCATGGCCCCTATCCAGGCGGCCTACCAGGCCTCCACTGAATGGCAGGAGGTTACATTGAAGGCTTACCCGCCTCCAGTTGTGCACAAAAAGGTCAAGAAGGTTAAGGACCGAGGCTCTCGCTTCCCGGGGGCCAAGCAAGAAGAGACAGCTAAGCAAGAAGAGACGGCCCAGCCTTCGGGGCAAGAGAGCGCTCAACCTTCAGAGCAATAAATAGACATTGTCTGCGGTCCCGGACTAAAAACGATTGGTCAACTGTTTGAGTTTCCGCATCGGATAGAAAACACGCTCATGGATATTTGATTATTTTAAGACCGAAATTTATGTATGTAGTCAAGAAAAGTCAATATTCCACTTCCTAGGGTTAATGCTAAAGCTATGGATGTAACGCCAACTCCCGCTAGAACTAAAACAGGGTATTCGTGTCGTGTATCACAGCCTACGCCAATTGCGCCTCCATTCAAGTCTGTCGGCAAGAATATGCCAACTTTCAAGTCCATCTGCATTAGCTAGCGTTTTCAACCCATCCGTGATGAAGGATGTCAGATGACTGAAGTGGCTATTAACCATTCTCATTTGCTGGCTGTAGGTCGAGTCACGGAATGAGACTGTGAGTGTATGTTCGTGGGTCATATCATCGTAGTCATCATCATCGTCATCGGAGTCGAACTCATCTTTTGAGCCTCGATTTGTGCGCGGCGCCTTTAGATTCTCTAGGTGTTGGTCTTCATCGCCAAGCAAGTGCACGGCTTGCAGATCTGCGTAATGAACACACAAATCTAGGAAATTGATGATCGCATCATGGATATGTGATAGATCTCTAGAGAGGAGGCACTGGGCTTCCAAAGAGGACATGTAGGATTGGTGCGCGGCTATCATGGCGTCAACATCCTGTGCGCCAGATAAATCTTTGTGCAGAGACTGAGTTGCCGTGGAAATGACAAGGTAGGTCAGATGGCCGTAGATGAAATCGAGAACCCATAGCATGTTATGGTGTAGAGCATGCACCAATTTGTCATTGTCGTCAGGTGTGATAATCCGGGCGTCGCGTATACGCTGTTTCACAATTGCATATTTAGCGCGCCTAATTTGCATCAGGAAGGTTGAGATCCGTTGATAAGAGTGTATTGCATCCTCGGCGATTATATTCGCAATAGGCCATGGGAGACCATAATCAATTGAAATTGCTTCTAGAATCCCCACAGTTCGATGATTATTCTGAGAAGCCTGAGATGGAGTACTGGCTGGCCGCATAGAGAGTCTTGAGGTGTCGATGACGGACACTGAACTGAAAGCCGTCCTTGATATCTCAGTGAGCAGGAACCTGTCATCCCAGGAACGACCACGATCGATCAGTTCAAAGATTTTGGCATCAACCATACTGACGGCGCTCATATCTTTGGCGAGATAGACATGCTGAAGAGCGTCAAGGGAGGTCCATAATCCGCATTGTTGGTCGAGTTCCGTTCGTAATAAGCTAGCACTGAGTGAATGATCCACATCCACGAGTTTTTCGAAAGTAGACTCTACTAATGCAGGGAAAGGAAGCGAAGAGTCCTTGGAATATAGGTCTTCGAATCTCATGACTTCAATGTCTGGTGGCGAATTTAGATGGTGCAGAAATACCATGCTCTTCCCCGCCGTGAAAACTTTCTGCACACTAGCCTCGAGGAACTGAGGAATCTTCTGCTGCCTGTTGCCCGTATCAAACACAAACCAGTCATGCCAGAGAGTTCGTAGATCACTGTGATCACCATTGGTTCGCACGAAAAAAGTGTTGTCCGAAGCATCGACCTGACCTGTCTCCATCCAGAGTCGAATTGAGCTTGAATATGTTTTGAAACACATAAAGAATAGCTCTGCCAGATGTTGAGACGAACTTTCGTCACCAATGGCCTCCAACATGCATATTAAGTCGTATAATAAATCAAGGCAGCGCATTGGCTGATCAGCCGAATTTTGGCCTAGCTTGGTGATCATTTCTGCGAGCAATACCAGCTCGTGAGAGTGTTGACGAACGTCAACAAGAAGTTGGATAAGACTGATAGTCGACCCAGCGGAAAGGTATTTGCACTGAACTTGAGATAAGACTCTATCAAATTCAAGAAGACGCTCTTCTAAGCCCCGGCAAAATGTTTGCATATATGGTATCGTCTGCGAGAGCTTGGTGAAACACCGTATAGTGCTTAGTTTGGCGCCTATCTCGCTAAAACACCGCAAAAGCGATTCCAGGGATTCCCTGGATGAATGCCCGAGCATGTATCTTTGATCCACTCCGAAATCGTCGTCCAAACATACATAAATGGACGTTGGGAGACCTTGAAGCATAAAGATAGTCTCTCTAGCAAATTGAGATTCTGTGATAAGTCGCGAGGCGGCTGCGTCTCCTTGGGGCAACGAAGGGTGATTTTCCGCTCTCCAAAACTGAGCTTTTGCTAGAGAAGCAACAAGATCCTCATCCTCTGTCTGAACAAAAACGTCATCTGGAATAGCGTACCCTTCGTCCACCGTTGTGGCGGACTGAGGCCTGTGCTTAGGAAGAGATAGATCACTGGCAACCGATGAAAAGTCGTCATCTGATGAGTCCCCAGCAAAGTCTACCTGTTCCCAAATTTCTTCGTCACTAAATGCCGTCCCTTCTGCATCAAGGTCCGACCAAGAAAGAGACTCTTTTTGTACTGGTGCCTTGGCCCCTTCCTCTGGACGTTTCACCGTTGACAAATCAGCGGGGCGATCTGAGAGTTGTAGTAAGAGACTCAGAATTTCTGGGACCCAGGAGTTCCGATTGCTCTCCAGCTCCGCAAGGCGGATTTGAAGGGCTTCAGCAAGTTCATCTCTATTCAAGATTTGAAACTTTTCCTGTAGTCCCTCGAGTTGCTTGGCGACTGCAAACTGGTCGGTGCGCGTATGAGAACCAGTTCTGAGACCCCCTTGTACACGACGCTTAAGATTCTGAACACGCGCAGACCCCTACATATATATAAGTCGTTGTGCATAATGATACGAGAACAGGAATTCAATATATTACCTTCTGATCCGGTGATATCTTAGCAACTGAAGTGATTAATGCATCAGCAAGGGTACTTAGATCAGCCGCGAGAGCCATTTTCAGACATAAGCTCGGATCTAGGATCAAAAATGAATCACATCGAGATGTCTCTAGATGTCATAAAGTGAAGAAGCATAAAAGTGAAGAAAGGCCCGGATGTTTTGCTTGGATGACGCTAGTCCGCATAAGGAAAGATGGCCACTCTTAATGCGCCGCCTCTCTCTCTCCCCGATCATCTCCCCCCTTTAAGCAAATACAACCATCATGGCTATTGCGCGCCCGATTCGTATGCTGGGTGCAGCATGCATCCTTCTATGTCTATTTCTTGTCTTCCAATTACACCAGAGCTCCTCTGAACCAGGTTCTAAGTTGGCTCATGGCATGAAAAAGGATCCTCTTGTAGATCGTGCGTGACCCCGGTTTCTTGCCACATCTCTTATCACAAGCCGCGCTTTAAGCGCCATACTAACTAGTTTTATAGCTACTGGAGAGCCTGCAGGGAATCTATGGCGAGCCGACGAGCACGATTACTCCCCCAATAGCGAACAATCCGCTCGCACGAATGCTGCGCTGATTACCCTCGTGCGCAATGAGGAACTGGATCAGCTGCTCTCAACAATGAGTGACCTGGAGCGAACATGGAACAGCAAGTTCAACTACCCCTATATCTTCTTCAACGATGTGCCTTTTACGGAGGAGTTCAAGAAGCAGACTCAGGCAATGACCAAGGCGAAGTGCCAATACGGTACGAATTCATATCCAATTAGAATGGGAAGAGCCATAGCTAACTTCAGATGCAGAACTTGTGCCCAAAGAGCACTGGGACGTCCCAAGCTGGATCAATATGGACCTCTTCCACGAGTCCGCAAAGATGTTGGAGGAACAAGACATTCAGTACAGCTCGAAGGTCTCGTACCACCAGATGTGTCGCTGGAACAGCGGCCTGTTCTACAAGCACCCAGCCCTCGCAGGCTACCGCTACTACTGGCGTATCGAGCCCAATGTCAAGTTCTTCTGCGACGTCGACTACGATGTGTTCCGATACATGGAGGATGGCAACAAGACCTACGGCTTCACTATCAACCTCTACGATGCACCACAGAGTATCCCGTCCCTATGGCCCGAGACTCAACGATTCCTCGCCGCCAACCCGTCGTACCTCAGCGACAACAACATGTGGGAGTGGATCACGGATGACGTGGCTCGTCCCGAGCACACCAAGGGTGCCAATGGATACTCCACCTGCCACTTCTGGTCCAACTTCGAGATCGGTGATCTTGACTTCTTCCGCGGCGAAAAGTACGAGGCGTACTTCCAGCACCTAGATCGCGCCGGTGGATTCTTCTACGAACGCTGGGGTGATGCTCCCGTCCACTCCCTTGGCATTGGTCTTTTCGCCGATGCCGCCAACGTTCACTGGTAGGTCACATACTCTTTCTCCCATTTATTAACCCTCACTCACATTTTATCTCTAATAGGTTCCGCGATATCGGGTACAACCACATCCCGTATCTCAACTGCCCCAATTCTCCCAAATGCTCCGGCTGCAAAGCTGGCCAGTTCTACCAAGGTGCAGACTTCCTTGCCAAGGAGGATTGCCGACCTACATACTTCAAGTATATTGGAACGCACTAATTAGCGCGTGTCCCTTTTGATATGTTCTCTCGTCTTTTGTCACTCTGGAGAGTGCCTCACGACTCGATTCCTTGCATCACCTTGTACACCCCTATGACTATATTACTGAAAATCAGTGGCTTGGTACCCGGCGTTTGAGCGGACACATACCTGTGTGTATTGATGATTTTGTGTTCCCTTTTTTCCTTATCTTTGGTTTTATTGCTTGTTGCAAAATACATTTTTGGCCATGTTGCTGTCTCTTGCAGAGCTATAGGGGCATCATCTACACTGTACTTATATCGGTTACGCATGGTCAATGTTTGAGGCTCTGTTTGTTTATGGTCTGGCGCCTCTTGGCCTGCTTATTGCAGATGTCATTTTGTGTGATATATTGGCTACTTAACGAAAATCGAGACTCGGACAAGTCTGGCTATTCTACCATTATGAAGCAAGGTTCTCCGTAATATAAGTGTAGGAAAGTTGAGATTTGAGGATTTGAGGATGGAGGGTCAAGGACTGAGGACTGACTTGAGCGGTTGATAATACAACAATGCAGGATGACTGAACAAGATGGAATCAAGATAGATTAAGCACCAACCAAGTAAGGCACAGAGGACCTTTTTCCAGACAACAGCAGCACTAACAACACAAGAGATCTCTAAAGTATGTATACAGTTTTCTCTTCTACCGGACCTAATCCTCAGCCAGTCAAACAGTGCTGGATAAACAACGTGCGAGGGGGTACTGTGTGTTTAAGAGAAAATTGACGTAAAAGTAGAATTGATGATGGGAATTTACGCCTCCTGGGGGTAGAGCTCCTCCCGGAGAGCAACGCCCAGCTCGACGCGCAGGCCCTCGAGAGACTCGAGATATTGCTTGTACTGTTCGGGGTTCTCGACCTTGGCCTTGATACCTAATCACGCAGTGACGTTAGCTTGAGTTCAACTATGGACAATAATAGTGCCCCAAGATAGGATGTTGTGGAAGCGTACCCTCGAAGACGCGAACAGCGGTGGGGAAGTCGTTGACACGGCGGGCGGCCTTGAGAGCGGCAGTGAGGACCTCAACGGAGGGAACGAGATCGTAAGCGAAGCAGTTGTTCAGGTTGCGCTGTTTGCAAAAGATATGCATTAGTCATTTGTCGAATTTATGCGGATATAGGAGCCGCATGTTGAGTGACGGGTGTGGCTGATGCCATGTATCGCATGCCGATCCATATGCCTCGGGTGAAGTCGAGATAAATCATACCTGGAGCTCGAAAACGTCCTGCACACCATCGAATTCCTTCTCGAATCTGCCATTGGGATACATAGTCAGCATGAAACGTCCCTATCATGTCCAGACGATTGCCGATGCTCGTTCCGGGAAGCGCCTAACGTGAAGATGCAGGGCGCCTTTATCCCGGTCCTCCGATTTCAATGGCTTGCGATTGGGGTCGTACCTGGCAGAGAACTCTTCGTATGTCTCATCCTCGTGGCCGGAGCGGCGCATGGGGGTGGTACCGAAGTTGTGGGCGCGGGCGGCAGCCAGAGTGACCGGGGACTGCATCCGGGACCGGGTCAATTGAGGAGCTCTAAAGAAGCCGGTAGGGCGAACGGCGCGGGTCGCCACGCGGAAGATAGATAGAGACGACATTTTCGGAAGGGGACCACGGTAGACCGGAGAGTAACAATGGTGAGGGGAGAGGTGTGGATGGGGACGGGAAGGGGAGGTGAGAAGTGCCTCTAGGATTTTGCGGGTGGTGTGGTGTTGACGCCTGAGGCAGCTACACGGGTGCTGAGTCATCATCCGATTGGCCCCGTTCTCAGCTGTCTGATCTCTAAAGGCGGCTGTTGATTGGCTGTATACTTGTCACTTTCAAGGTGCGTGTCATTGGCCGAGTCTTAAGGTCATGACAATTGTGTTCTTCTTATATGGTTCTTAGATCTGGCTGTATCTATATCTATCTCTCCTATATGATAAGATCAACCTTGGAAGCATTCGGGAAGGTTGTAGTCCCAAAATCTAGAAGAACTATAGCAATAATTGGATCAATGCTCAAGTATATATTTTCGTTCTAACTTTTAGAACGAACTCAGCTTGAAGAATTATTCAAACAATCAGTCCATATTCATTTCATCGCCCTTAGATTGGTACAATATAAGTCTAGAGAGATAGCAAGAACCGCAGAACTTGACTAGATACATGAGTTGTGGCTAGTTTAAACCTCGGAACAGGAATTGAGGTTATTCCAAGGTTATATACATAGTTGGCAATATCTCAATATAAGATCTGAAGTAATTTGAAATGGATATACTGCTAGCTTTAATCCGTACCTCGACAGAGAAACAAAAGATGAGAGAAAGGGTTTGATCTGCATCTCCTTCCGGACATGGTCCATCCATGGATATCCTATACTGTGGATCTACGCAAGCTGGCATAAATAGTGTATAAATCTGCAAACATTTGCTGGAGGCACTGCCAACTGTCAATTTGATATAATGACATTCAGTTGTAACCCTAATAGAAATGACTCGATAGATTTTCAATGCAACGCTTCGGGTATGAATCTTAAAGCGGAGACAATCCAGGGCGAGAGCCAAATGTAGTCCATTGCAGAAAATACATATGTTGTAGTTGATCTGGACAAATCCTCGGCAATCTTTATATACTTTATTTCTTTGTGTAAAGGTGTGGATATTTGACTATGTACACACTAGCATGTGATAAGTGTCACACCGAGGACACGATATTCAACAACACAGTACACTTGATCTCTTGTCTAAGTATACTATAGAATCCCACAAAAGACTTATAGTTACAACATTAAAGAGTTCAAATAATGTTTCACACATTCGGACAATATATTCCTTTACTTCCGTACTCCCGTCGATTCGATCGGAACCTGATCTTCCCCTTTTTTATGACACGCTAAACCCTTTTGGGCCCTCAACGGACGCGCCGGACGCAAAAAGTAATTGTTCTCCCATTTCTCCAGCTTTTCTCTCTCTTCTCTCCCCCCTTTTCCACTTTCATTTCTTTAGCTTTTTTTCCTTTCCTTTCCTTTCATTTGGTTTGGCTTTTCTTGTATTTGGCGGTTTATCGCAGTCCCATTACTGCCCGTCAAAAGAACAGCTTGCCTTTCCAGGGCTATCTCTATCTTCAATTCCACAATCTGACCCAATCCTTTCACAATGGCATCTGAAATCCTCAAACATGTCTCGGTCCCGACCATCGATCGACCCTTTGGTGTGCACTTATGGCCCCTCTTCGACCAGGCCTACGAGAAGGTCATGGGATATCCCGCAAGCGAATTCAAATTCACTGAGGGTGTGACCCCTCTGTCCACCTTGAAGGAGACTACAATGATGCTTATCACCTACTATGTTATCATCTTTGGTGGTCGTGAGATCATGAAGAAGTTGCCTGCGTTCAAGCTCAACACCTTGTTCATGATCCACAACCTCCTTTTGACCACCGTTAGCGGTATTCTGCTGGTCTTGTTCATTGAGCAGCTTCTCCCCACTCTCTGGAGACACGGAGTCTTCTACACTATCTGCGATCAGGAAGGTGGTTGGACTCGTCCCTTGATCGTTCTGTACTACGTAAGTTGCGAAGCGCTTGAACACGTAGTAGAAGAGAAACTTACAACTTCCCAAACAGCTCAACTACATCAACAAATACGTCGAGTTCATTGATACTATCTTCCTGGTCCTCAAGAAGAAGCCATTGACCTTCCTTCACACTTACCACCACGGTGCCACCGCCCTTCTCTGCTACACTCAGCTTATCGGTGTGACCGCCGTGCAGTGGGTTCCCATTACCATCAACCTGCTGGTTCATGTTGTCATGTACTGGTACTACTTCCAGAGCGCTCGCGGCGTTCGCATTTGGTGGAAGAAGTACATCACCATGCTGCAGATCCTCCAGTTCGTCATTGACGTCGGTAAGTGGCCCAGGCCCCCGGAAACCCGCAAAGAATAGAATGCTGACAGTTTTTCAAGGCTTCATCTACTTCGCCTCGTACACCTACTTCACCTCCGCCTACTTCCCTTGGCTCCCTAACATGGGCAAGTGTGCCGGTGAGGAGTTCGCTGCCATGGCTGGTATCGGTATCATCAGCTCTTACTTGGTCCTGTTCATCTCCTTCTACATTGCCACCTACAACAAGACCGCCAAGACTGGACGCCCCCGCCGCAACACTGGCCAGAAGTCATTGATCGACATGAAGAACTTCGAACTTCCTTCCCCTGCCGGTACCCAGAGCAGCGCCAAGTCCACTGGCCGCTCCAACGGCCCTGTGACCCGCTCCCGCAAGGCCTAAATAATCCACTGAAGCACCGTCGCATGTGAATCTTTTCAGCGTGCGATTTGGAAGAGTTATATTGTCCGAGTTTGTTGAATCATCGGAGCCATTGAATTAAAATTTCATCCAATGCCAAACGAAGCAGAAGGGCAGAGTGGCTGCTCTTGGGTGATGCGTCCCTATATTTGTTTAATGAATGACCTCATGATGCCAGGTCCATTACCCGGGCATGGGGTATGTGCCTCGGAGTTGTCGGAATGCATGCGCCGAAACTTGTCGAAAAACCTACAGGGGGAATTGCTGTTGGATTACCCCGGCGGTCTCGTCATGGTTGTATTTTATAATGTTTTCTTCTTCTGTTCATGTTTGTCGTTATCACCCGTTTGGTGGCCATTGGATTGCACCTTTCGCCCTTATTGTTATTAAAGTATTCATTGATAGACGTTAGTTCATTATATCAAGATAAATGTAATCATGCTTGTTCCTGAACAGTGTCCTTGATAGGTAGTAGTATATGGTTCGCATCTGGTTAGCATGGAATGTTTGTTTTGCCTATGCTGTCAGCGTCTTCGGTGTGGATAGGTTCATGATGCATGCAAACACAGTCTGTATCTCAAGAGACAATTCAGCCAGACCGCATCTCGAGGCTATCCACCCGGGCCCCATTTTGCACCTCCCAGAGGACTGGAAGGAAAACAAATACCTAACCTGTTGATATGGCAACATAAAATCTTGTATACTGCCTCTGTATCACAATGTGCAGTATCACACTGCGCGTTAGAAACGCAGGAACAAGAACTGCCATGTGGAGTAGATGCGCATATCATGATCTGTGCGACGAGGCACAAGCAACGCCACGAAATTGATGTATCACATATTCCCCGGACGTGACTAAATTAGCAAGACAATCATCGGAAAGTGCCGATAAAACGGGCAGAGCCTTAGTCCCCAGAGAGAGAGTAAAGCTCCCCAAAATAATTGGAAAGAGAAGGCGAGGAGGATGGTAGATTATATCCAGCCTCCCAGTTTGAAAGAGTGAAACAGCGAAACAGTGGTGCAGCCACCACGTCTCATCACAAGCCCAGCCTTTGACATAATGGGGCTGGGCGGAACTCAATATATCAGGCAAGAGGCAAAGTTAAAAGGAAAACCGGTTGTTCACCTATTCTGGTTAAAAGGAACGCCTTGCTTGGATGCCATGTGAGTGGTTTATTTTGAGACTGAACATGCAGGGCGCCGGAGCTTACGGAGTACGGAGTGGACAGTTCGAATAAGAGGAAATAAACAGCCATGGTATGCAGTAGCGGCCGTGTCGTTAATAGTGAAGATCGACACATGAACATGCCATGGCCTTTGGACTAGTTTTAAACTCATTTATACGGGTAGACGGAGTTATGATAGTTGAAGAGACCCACTGGTTATGGAGTAATCCACATGGAGTAATAATCAATATAATTAACCTTGGAAGTTGAAGCAATTGTCAAGAGTTTAGAAAGTGTAGTACGTAGTTGGAAATATTGAGTCCTTGCTCTAGTAAGTATTATTTCATTATATAGATATGACAATTGGAATGTTAATAAATGTAAGGATATAAAAGACTTCAATTTTCCAGTAAAGCTTTCTAATACAACATACTCTACTCTGTACGGAGTATATATGATGAATATACTACCCCAACCCCTCAAGGTTAACACCCCTGACATCTCAGTAAGGACACATTTACCCGACCTCCCGAGTATTCAGCGAAAAAAAAAATCTGTTTCAAAGGGAGTTCGTGGTAGCGTGTTTGAACTATATGGGGGCTCCACTGATCTCGGGATAGGCTTGGCAACTGTTGAGGTCGATCTGATTTGATGACTTTTCTCCTGTCTTACCAAGGGTTTTTTCAATTTCAGATCCCGGCGCCTACACAGATTCTTCAGTTGGGCCACATAGGGAATGATATCTCCCTTATTGGACCCTTGAGATCCCGTTATCTACTCTGGTAGTATGACCGCCCTAACTGATATGCATACATGTCCAATCAACTGAGACAGACGTCCATATACAGAGCACGGAGGATTACGCTGCTTTGACCATAGCTCATGGTGATCTATCAGATCGGGTCTAAATCCTCCGTACTTTTCCTTTTTTTTTCTTTTTTCTTTTTTCTTTTTCCATTTTTTAATCTATTTTGAAAGTTTTCCATGCCAGTGTAACACCTTTTCCCCCTGCTGAAACTGGCCCTTGCCAACCCTACTATTTTCGCCCCCCATGCAAGGGTGAGACCAATCACCACCCTCTTCAAGGTTCACTACGCGCCCTACAAATTTAGCAATACTGAAGGATTATAATGATTATTGAACTTTTTTTTCTACACGTGTACTCCGTACAGGGACACGGCATGGTCCCTAGGTGCCTCTTTCCCTGGTATTTGATATCCCCTGCCCACTCCTCCACTTCAATGAATATTTCTCCCTGGTGGATTTTTCAGATCTCCTTTGCAGCTTTGCACTGGAATATTTGATTACCCTTGAGTCTCCCTTATCACCCTAGTATCATTAGAGGGCTGGGTTTTTAGGGCTTCCCTTTACCTTTTGTTTCGGAACCGCCTACACTTTGGAACCACTCTTTCTTCTATTCTATCCATAGCATATGGCTGCCGGCAACATGTACGAACCGACTCCAAACCTTCATCGTTTGAGCAGACATAGCATCCAAGATCGATATGAGTCAGATGAGGAGGCCGTATCTGAATCGGACACAGGCACCCAAGATCTACTTTCTTCGCCCGTAGGCTCACGAGCCGGAATTTATGATTCAGATCTCAGTGCCGACGATAATTCTCTGGACCCTGATTCTGACCGGGATGAACATACTCTGGCTCCCCCAATAGTCAAACGGCCCCGACCCGTCTCTACTGCTACCATTAAGAGAAATAGCACTGCAACCTTCGACGAAGATACGTATGTGTTTGATCCGGAGGACCAGATGATCTTCGAACTTCCACCGTCAGATTCGCCGCCTCAACTGGCATCTAGCACTTTTCTACAGCCATCGATATACGTTTGGCCAAAACCACAGCCGGCCACCTCAAGATCTCGCTCTACTTCACCCTCGTCGGTCTATTCAGTAGACGAGGCAGATATTGAGGTTGCAAAGCAAGTGACGTTCATGGAGCCCCGAACTCGTCCTACCCTGGTCTTCATCAACACTCTGGGGTCACGATCAAAGCCATCAAGATCTCGTTCTACCCATTCCCGCTCCCGGGAAAGCAGCCGTAACCGCTCTGTGCATGTCAAGACCGACAAGTCACCACGATCCGAGAAAAGCAGCGTGAAACAGACCAAGTCAACTCCAACAGACCTGGAAGATACCCAGTTCGCACCCAGCGCAACCATAAACCACGTCTCCGAAATCCCCTCAATCCTCTATTTCCCAGCACCACCACGCACACTTCCATCCCAGAATCGAAGACCCCAGACCTCAGGCGCGGAAAAACCAATCCCACCACCGCTAACCCTGCGCTGTCGATCCCCCTCAATGCGCAGCACAAGCGGGAACAGCGTCTACTCCTATACCTCCCGCCCATCAACACCCTTCTCCGAGGACACGGGCCCATTCAACACAAATCACGGCGACCGTCTAGCCGGAGCTTACAGCCCGGCTTCGGTCTCATCCGCCTCACCACCGCCATACATCTCCACCAAGCGCAGACCATCAACATACAGCGTATCGAACATGCTGGCAAGTCGCTCGCCACTAATGATGCGCCGCATGACAAGGAAACAGTCTTCCTCCAGCGTCAATTCTCTCAGTAGTCTGCGTTCAGAGGTCGATGTCAATGGGCCCTCTTCGTCACAGATCTCCGTCGCTACTCAGCCTGCTGATTCCCATATCGTGCGGAAGTCCAGCCAGCGTCGTCATTTACGGCATAATAGCGTTGTGCCGAGGGGGTTTATGGGGTTGAAGTTGGGGAAGAAGGCGCATGCTAAGGCTTAGATGGTGTCTTTGCTTTATGGAATATATTGATCTACATAGTAGTAATGTTGTTATATTGTATGAGAATCTCGACTCGGGCTTTTGGGATCTCTGGTGTTTGGCTGGTGTTTTTGTTTGGTCTCTTTTGGCGCTTGTTTTACATCTCTTGTCTCTGTTCCTGATCGGTTAATTCTGGGATGGCTAATGTCTACTTCAATGTTTGGCGTATGGGTATTGGTCTTGGGAAACCATTGGGTTTTGTTCTGATTATGTTTATGCGAATAGCTTTGAAATTGCATGGCTAAATAGCTATCGAGATATCTATTGTGTGTGTAATACACGAACATAATGTTTCATTCAAAGCTTACTAGTATGCATCTCATATCAGATTAACCACGTATTCTCTACTTGCATACTAGACTTCCATTATTTCCGTAGAACGTACTTTGGTAAGTGATATCATATATCGAGGGGAAGTTACATGTCTTACCTAGCAAGGGGTAGATGATTTCCTGTAGCCCGGACCGGCTGTAACCGGCTTGGGCATGATTAAATCTCTAAATCGACAAGAAATTTTGTCTTCTGGAGGATATGCTATACCCCGTACTCTGTACAATATAGAACAATATACTCGACACGGTGGAATGTGACAATTTCGTTATTTGACCCACCTCCCGAGGTCGGATGCACAGTCACGGACTGTTATTGTCTCCGCTAGGGGGGGACTCCACTACGATGATCTTCATTAAATGCATTGCGCATTACCTGAATTAGGCATTTTCGTTTTTCTTCAGGATTGCAAGTGCGTTAAATAACTTGATCTACTGAAAGTAAAACTGAATATCAAATCATCCTGCGTGAGCAATGGAGAAATAAACAATGAGCAATTCAGACTTAGCATGCAGTCATAAAACTATGGGCTCTAGTCAAAGCCTACTTCCGCGCCTCTAGGGCAGCTTTGATGGCTGGGAATGAATTAGCACCATTTCTTTTTATAGTTATGCAAGTGACACTTACCATCGCAAGAGGTCTTGGCATCGCCGAATAGCATCCGAGTACCGGGCATAAAGAACATGGGATTTGGAACATCCGCTGTAGAACATGTTAGATGGATACATCAGGAATGACGGAAAAAAAGAATCATACCATATCCGCTGGACATCCCCCGCTTCATAACGATAACCTCCTTACTCTTCCATGCATGGAGGACAGGCATGCCGGAGATCGCGGAGTCCGGCTCCATGGCAATGGGGTTAACCGTATCATTGGCGCCAATGACGAGGGTAACATCTGTGTCAGAGAAGTCATCATTGATCTCTTCCATCTCCAAGACGACTGCATAGATTGTTAGTGAATGGATCTCAGTATAAGAAATATCAATGACTTACTATCATATGGAACGGATGCCTCCGCAAGCAGCACATTGCATTGACCGGGCATTCGGCCAGCAACAGGGTGAATAGCGAAGCGAACGTTGACACCACGGGCACGCAGCAGGCTAACAATCTCCGAAAGAGCATATTGGGCCTTGGCAACAGCCATACCATAGCCAACCACAATAATGACATTCTCAGCGCTGGATAGAGCTTCCACTGTGTCGTCGATGCTGGTTTGTGTGATATTGCCCTCGATCTTCTTCTGGGTTTGCGCAGCCGAATTCCCGATTCCACCGAATAGGACATTGGTCAACGACCGGTTCATGTTGACGCACATAATGTACGAGAGAATAGAACCGCTGACACCAATCAGGGATCCGACACTGGTGAGAAGTGGATTGTCGAGCATCAGGCCTTCAGCCACAAGGGCGAACCCGGAGTAAGCATTCAACACTGTGATGACGACGGGCATGTCGGCACCGCCGATGGCTGCTGTCGTCGTGTATCCCTTCAGGAAACTAAGAAGGGTGCTTGCTCCTAGACAGGTAGCTGCGACTGCAGGGCTCCCTGGCGCCATTGTAATGAACGCTCCCATGGTTGCAATGTTACTGCCCAATAGTGTCGAGTTGATAAGGTGTCGGCCGGGCAGAATCGTCGGCTTGGAGGACATGCGCCCAGCCAATTTCAGAAAAGCGACAATCGAGCCAGTAAAGGTAATACCTCCGATTAGAACACCCAAGTACGCTGTTGTCAGGTGCAGAGTTGTGATGTCACCAATATCGGCCATTACACTTCCGGCACTAGTCAGGACAGCAGCCAATCCCACTACCGAGTGGAGAGCAGCGACAGTTTGGGGAAGACCTGTTGGTGTAATGCGACGGCCAATCAAGCCTCCGACTAAGGCACCTACTCCAGCAACGGCCGTGAACTGCGTCAACGTCTCAGGAGAGAAGCCTACCGCAGCTAGTGAGGCCAGAATACCGGAGACTACTCCAAGGATACCGAAAATGTTGCCGCGTCGGGCAGTCACTTGCGATGCCAGACTAGAGATGGAGCCCATGCACAACATTGTGCTGACGAGATACCCGGCTTGGACCAGACCAGACATACCAGTGCTAGCAGCCGCAATGAAGCCACCACCAAACACCAAAGCGGGGACAGCGTACAGCCACGGGTACTCAGGCGGGTCGGTTGGACGCTTGAACATATCTAACATGCGCTTCGTGACCACAAAGCCGCCGGAGATATTCACAAAAGCCAAAAGCACAGAGGCGGCACCGAAGTATTCTGGGATAGTAGTCGGTACATAGCCTCCTCCCATGATGAATAGTCCACCAATACCGACCATACCCGAAATGGCGTTCGTGACACTCATGAGCGGCGAGTGGAGCGCAGGTGCTACACCCCACACAGCACGATAGCCGACGAGACCAGCAAGTCCGAAGGTCATCATGTTGCCCATAAAGACTGGACCAGCTGCTTTTCCTAGGGCCAGGGTTGTGCCCATTGCACCTGTAACCGCTGTTACATCGCGTGTTGCCTTTTGCCACGGCGTCAATGCGACTTCTTCCTTTGCCGTGACAGCTTGTGCCTCTGGCTTCGGGGTTGGAGGTGGAGTGGGTGGAGCAGCAGGGGGAATTATTTCGCCATTTAGAGTCACGATGGAGCCGCGCACGACTTCGTCTTTGAAGTCAATACCAAACGACTTTTCTTGGGGAGCCATGGACAGAAGATACTTGGTGATGTTGTTCGAGTACAGGGTTGAAGACTGGGTTGGGAGACGCGAAGGAAGATCTGTGTAGCCGATGATAGTAACATCCTTGTAAATGCTCAATTCCCCGGGAACAGTAGCTTCGCAATTTCCACCTGCCTCGGCAGCAAGATCAACAATAACGGAGCCGGGTTTCATTGCAGCAATCATTTCCTTAGTAATGAGCTTCGGTGCAGGTCTGCCTGGGATCAGGGCTGTGGTGATAATAATATCAACCTCTTTAGCTTGCTCCATGAACAATTTCATCTCGGCTTCGATAAATTCCTTGGACATTTCTTTCGCGTATCCACCCTGACCAGAACCATCCTCTTGGAAATCAACCTCGACGAACTCGGCGCCTAAAGACTGGACTTGCTCGCGAACAGCAGGGCGGGTATCAAAGCCACGAACGATAGCGCCCATGCGACGGGCAGAGGCGATTGCGCTCAACCCAGCTACGCCAGCACCAATAACGAGAACTTTACTCGGGGGAATCTTTCCAGCAGCAGTAACCTGACCAGTTAAGAAGCGACCAAAGTGATTGGAAGCCTCCAGGACCGCCTTGTAACCAGCAATATTGGCCATGGAGCTAAGAGCATCAAAGGTCTGGGCACGAGAGATTCGCGGAATGCGATCCATCGCAAAAGATGTCACACCACGAGCCGCAAGTGCCTCGACGAGGGGCTTATTCTGGAGGGGATAGATGAAAGAGATAACCGTTGAGCCTTCACGTAAAGCCTGGATTTCATTGAATGGTCCCTCCGACTGCGGGCTGCGAACCTTCAACACTATATCGCTCTGAGACCAGACTGCATCCCGGTCGACCATTGTTGCGCCAGCGCTTTCATAGGCATGGTCCAGTAGCTGGGCACGCTCGCCTGCACCGCGTTCGATGAGAACACGGGAGACTCCCTTTTTCAGTAGAAGGGCGACATTCTGCGGGGTGATTGCCACACGGCGTTCACCAGGAAATATTTCCAGTGGGACTCCAACAGTTAAGGCTGAGTAGGGGGTGGTAGACACGGGCTCAGATGGAGGTGACTCAGACGAGGTTGTAGCGGTTCGTTTGGAAATGGAGGGCCATCGCGGCTGGCAAATGCGTAGACGTTTATTTTGCGATGTAGAAGATGTGACTTGCCGAATTTGAGAGGCTATTTGGAGGAAAGCAGTTAGAAATCAGTTCAAGTTGAGCCTCCAACACTCGATTTGGAGAAGCTTACCCGACGCCACCGGAAGGAAAGATTTCCCCGCGCGAGCGATAGACGCCCCAAAACACGGCCGTAGGGCTGACCGCAGGGATACTGGAACACTCATTGTGAGCAATCCTGCAAGCTGCATGTTATTCCGGGTCTTTTTGTCTCATGGAATGCTTATTGGGCCCAGGAAGGGGTGAAATGACCGGGGTACTGCATCCAGTCCAGACTGAAAGGGCGAACAGATAGAAGTAATGTTTGAGATTTCAAAACAAAGAGCTTAAGAGCTACAAGAGCAGAAGACAGAAAGAAAGAAAGATAGAAAGAAAGAAGAGCAAGGAGGGGAAATTGTAGTTGAGTCAAAGCACCGATTCTCGGCAGAACGTCCAAGCAAAGAGGGGAAGCGGCTATAACTCCTACCTTGCGATGAAACCCCTCAGGATATTTATAATTTATATAAACTGTTCAGATGTCTGGATTTATTACTTCTATAGCCTGTTATCTATATCATCTAGCTCCCTCCCCCGCAATAATCAAACGCGGGGAGGTTGGAGAAGATAAGCCCTCGATTCTCCACATTGCAAATTTGGGCAACAAATTGTGCCTGATATTTTTAGGGTACTTTTTGTATAGCAAAACAATTTGAATTAGCTAGAATTAGCGAGAATATTAATGGTCTAAACCCGAAAACCATCTACTGCAATCTCTAAGGCATGATATGCCTGGAACTGGGAACTGGTACCTAATTACACACCGGCATTCCTCCACATCATCGACCGGTGCTCGACTCACCGTTATCGGTAGAGCTAACTTCCTCCACGGTCTCAGTGGCGCCCTTACTATCAATGAAGTGAGTGATACGTTCTCGAGGAAGCCAGGCACTCTCAGGCATCATGAAGTAGGAGATCAATGCCAAGATGGTGACTCCAGACATGATAATGGGGGCATCTATCCACGGAGTTAGCGATATCAAAATATATGAAGAAGAATAACGTACAATTCAAGTTCTCGCCAGTGACTGGGAACACATAGGGCGAGAACAGGATGGCGACAACCCAACCATTCCAGAAGACACCAATGAACTGGAACGGCTTACTCCAGCGGCCGAGACTCCACTGCGGCTTCGGGAACCGCTTCGGAGTGCATACTAGTCGACCCAAACATATCAGACCGTAAGCAGCAGCGCTGGGGACACCGGCTGCCGAGACGAGAGAAGTAAAAGCCGTGGCGGATGGAAGAAGGGTGCAAGTAACGAGGGCAGCGACAACCCAAACAACAATAACTGCGTTTCGAGGCTGACCATTCTTTACGCGAGAAACCCAACTCGAGAAGGGGAGTACACCATCACGAGCGACGGCGAAGACAAGGCGAGACGCGGCGATGATAGCAATCGCGGTATTCTGGGGCACAAAGTCAGCTGCGAGATATTAATGCACACGAATAGATGATAGCTCACCAGCCATAGAGCGAAAATGCAAATGATGTTCATGAAAATATGGGCGTGCTTGCCCAGAACAACAGCGTAAAGAGGCACAAAGGGTTGGGGCGAACCGAAGCCCATCAGTGTGTCTGCGTTAGGCTAAACGAAAACTAGGTCAGACAGCCGACATTGATTTGCAGGGACGAAAGGAGACAAACCGCGCAGAACAAAAAGAGAATAATCGTGGCCAAACCACCGAATCCACTGGCAACGGTACTCCAGAAGATACCACGAGCAGCAGTGATAGAGGCATTCTTGGTTTCTTCCGCAACGTGACCCGAGGCATCGAATCCAATTAGAATGCCAGCGGTGGCAAGATAGGAAAGACACCAGTTCCAGCCAGCCGGGGCTCCGGTTCCGTTGTACGTGGTCATGAAGGCCTCGTGGGGGGTACGGAATCCCCAGGTTTGAGCGGTGCCGATTGGCAGCCAGATAAGGTTCAGTACGAAGTCAAGCATCACAATTGCGGAGGACCACCAGAAGACGTATTTGAAGTACCGAGCTAATATGCTGTCAGATATGGTGATCAAAGTTCTATGTTTGGTACATACGAGGCAAAAAGTTCAATAGGGCGGCCAACGCAAGTAAGACCTCAGTGCAAATCCATTGGACTGCCCGGAATTTGACATCGCCTGTGTCTGTCGGGAAATCAAGGTTGAATACAGTTATTTCCTAAAGGCGATATATCAGTCTAAATGCCCAGGAAATCAAGGGAAAAAGAGTCATACCGAAAGCATATAGTTCGTCGCAGCTTGGGTATTGCCTATAATCAAAATTAGCATATAAGCCTTGGGGGGTAGATATGCAACATACTTGCACAGAAGGTCGTCCAAGCCGTTGTACTCCACCAGGCGACGATAAAGCCAAGGAGCCGGCCAAATCTAGGCCCACCAGCTTCGGCAGCCCACAAATAGATTGACCCAGCGGATGGAGAAGCCGAGCAGACCTCAGCGATGACAGCAGCAGTAATGAATGTGAACACCATGGTTACTAGGTAACTCGTCCAATAGGCTAGGTTTCCACCGGCGGCAATACCAGTACTGAAAGTAACACGGACACCACCGACAAAGTAAAGAGCAGCTAGAAAAAGGTCAGTACAAATGCGCCTATAAAATGGCAAGTGAAAAACGTACCGAATGTGGTCGCAAAATTCTCGAACAAGGTGTATGTTCGATGAAGAACCTATTCAGTCAGTTGCTGACCCCGGATCATCTTGATCTATATTAGACCTACCGGCTTATAGCCCAATGTCCGCTAAAATATTACTGTTAGCTTGAGGTTTACAAAAAGAAAGATGCACTACTTACCAGCAAGGCAGCATCATCCTGGTCCTTGCGCTCAGCCCGGGTACCTTCTTCATTGGTGAGAAGGTCAGCAGGACCGGCAGGGTCGTGAGAAGCCATATCTGGATATGACAAGAAGAGAAGGAGGTCTCTAGAAACCAGGGTGTTTTCCGAGAGGTCAGAAATTTCCAAGGTCAAGGTTTTGGGGTAGACTTTTAAGTCCCGCAGTAACAAAGTTCCCAAATGATCCACCGGGAAGATTAGAAGACCCACAGTGAGCCCAGGTTTAAGTGGGTTGATCACTGTGACTATATGACTTGTATAATAGATTACTATAAGCTATAGCTTTGATTTTCATCTTTGAATTCCTTGACTTCTGTTGAAAAAAATAGTTGGAATTAAGTTTCAAAAGCTTTGGAGAGGTACAAGTCGGAGCTGTCTGATCCGCATAAATTTTGGGGTTGATATCAATTACTCCCTACGGAGTATAGGAAGGGTCTAGCGTTTTAGAATTCGAAGTTATAAGTCCGGAATAGTTGCTATAATAATTTCCTAATACGATACAAACATTTTTCAATTACACGGACTAGAAGAGTCCGGATTTTGAGTTTTTTTTTTAGCAGCCCCATGGGACTATGACTAAATGCGCACTAGCCCTGTTATCCTTCAAATTTTCTCTTTCTCATTATATACTCCGTACAGAGCAGTAGTAAAATATCTGCATAGTTTGTTACACAGATCGTGTCCTACCATTCAGCCAGGTGGTCGGTGCAAATGGGGTTATAGGAGAGGAAGCCTGTAACTAGTTCACATAAGCGGCCTTGTGATGTCATTTCAGTGGTCTTTTCAATGGTCTTCAATGTTCTCAGATATCATGAAATTTTAGATGTCTTTTCAGCTTTACAGGTCGACGGCAAAGAAGGCAGAAAAAGGTTTAATTTGTACAAACGACTCTTAAGTATGAAATTTGATTTTTGGTTCAATATAATTTGATTCACGATGCCCTCCGAGGAGCATTTAACAGTTCTGAACAACATCACCTCTTCTGAACGCATGTGGATGATGTAAAAATGCAGGAATCCAGACCTTTTGCCGTTCCTTCCCTGATTAGAACTGTTGCCTGAGTTAATTGAAATAACCTTCCGAGGTTCCAACGGTTCAGGAAGGCGCGACGTCCCCACCTCTGAGTATAACCCCCCCCCTTCTCTTTTCTCCTTCAATTCCCCACGAACTTGCTATGTTTCCTATGTAAATGGAGCTCACATTCTGCCCCAGCTTATACCAAGAGGATTGATTGTTGGAACGCGATAGCATGCCATTTGGGCCATTAGCACTGTATCGACAAGTTGGAAGGGTACGGGGCTAGCACTATAGATCTCGGCGGGAGATGGGCTAGAATAGGATGGCATGGGTGAAGAGTCGTGGTCCTTGACCATATTCTCATTTGCCTGGTCATATACATTGCTTCATATACAGGCTGTGATATAGTAAAGCCATCAGACTAGGTCTGTAGCTATGAAATACTCAAGTGGAAGTCATGGGGTATCAAAGAAAAACATGGCAAGATAAACATGACGTCATCAGGGGATTGGAGGAGGCGACCTCGGGAAGGAGTTTAGAGATATCGACTCCAGCCAGCTTCCATCAGGGAAGAAGGATATTTGTCTGAACTTCCTCCAAGGTCTGGATCCAACCTCCAGGAAAGGAACGTCGCTTGAACCAGACCTCTTCTAGGATGTCGAGTGCTTTTTCGACGTTCTAAATTGAGATATTAGCATTCGGACGGAGCTCTTGAAGTTATGTTCCAGCATACCCTGAAACCAAACCGCTTCAACTCTTGCATAGTTTGGCGAACGTAGTTTTGCTCGCACTCACTCCGACTCTCTTGCCCGGCAATGAAAAGCGGCCACAGAACAGCCAATTGGCCGACATCTTTTGACAATTTAAAAACCAACAGAAGAATCCGACTGACAAGCATGCCCATATATGTCCAATCAGTGATCCAACCAACACGCCCAGCTCCAGCGACCTGAAGCAGATGAACCAATGTCGCCTTCTCGTATGCTTCAATGCAACCCGCATACTCAAGAACGTCAGGATACGGATACTGAGCAAGGCTCTCATCATCCAGATCGACGAGAAGCTGTAGACAGGGGGGAGCCGTGGCACGCCATACAACTAGCTGGTTGAAGATGTCTTTATACATTGCGTCTGACTGATCGCTTGTCATCCACGTTTTCTTATCCGATGCAAATCTACTGATAGATGCTTGCACCTCCATGAGGCTTGACCATGCCTGCCGCAGCTCGCTCATACGTGGGTTATCGGGGATTGAAGACAATAAGCTCGGCGTCCCAAGATTGTATTCCCATCCTCCACCCATGGTTTTCCAGTAATTACCTTCGACCATGGTACCGCCGGCAGTTGCGCATGCACCCGCCACATCGAGATAGGATAGCAAGGAGACAAGGAATGGGCGGAGTGGGTGGTTCGTCTCGGCGATGCGCTGTACTTCACGTGCCGAGTCTCCAGCCTGCGGGTAGAAGAGTAGGTTGTAGATTTCGCGAGCTCCTTTGAGATGTACCGCCCAGTTGTTGTGCTGGGAATCCATCATCTGTAGGATAGCCGGTTAATCTATTATGACTGGCAAGTCTGCAAGACAAGGTGAAAACAAACCTCGAATAATGAAAGTAGCAGACACGTCGCGAAATCCGTTAATCCAAGCTGCTGACTGGGATCTGAGTATCGTGCGCGGAAGCCCTTCACCACCACACCGTATTTGCCCATTGCCTGCTGGAAATGCCTATTCCGCTGTGACCCCACCGAGGTATTTGCGAGATGTAATGCACCCAATGCCTGCATTGCATTGGCCATTGTTGGAGACGACCGGGCGAAATCCGGGAAATGGGTGCGGTAGGGATTGGCATTGTGGGCGGTGTTGTAGATGATCAGTAAGGTTGAAACTTGATCGACAAAATGAGTGAGATAACGCTCGTCAACACGTTGAATTGATTTCGCGATACTGATCGATGTCATAGGATCCTGGAAGCGGAATGTGGTTGTTTGTGGCAGTCTTGTGGTGATCATAGTCTTGCATGTTTGCTTGCTGTCAACATCTTCCGTCTCCCCTGCTGGAGAGACTGCAGAAGCGTCGCTTGATTCAGGGCTGTATGTATCATTGTTCGGCCTTTTCGTTGGCGGTGAATTAGTTGGTGTCTGAGAGGGCCCGTAGACCTTGAAGGTTATCCGCCCTTGAGCGCCATCGCATTCGCGTCCAAGGCGAACGCAGTTTTTACATGCGGGAGACGTCTCATCGCAGCGAACATGGCGACTGCGACAAGTGGAACACCCTGTGAATCCTCGGTGATGCCATCGGCGGACTCGTTTTCGGGGTTCGGTGGGGTGTGTATCTGACGCGTCCGACAACGGTGCACCCTCCGTGCGTATCTCCATCGGGCGCGAAACTCGGAGATAAAATCAGACATGGACACTTGGAAGGCCAATCGTCATTTAATCATAGCAGATATTATAGAAAAAAAACCAAGCCTTTCGATTTGAAGGGGCGCTAACGGCAAAAAGCATCTGCTCTTGGCCAACTGCTGCCCTATTTGTGTAGTCATTTTTTTTTTATATTAAAATCGTTCTCAACATTTGAGTCAGACTCGACACTTTTACTCCGTACACCTCTGCCATACAGGGTTATTGGCGTTTAAAAGTTCTTAGCGCGACTTTAGCGTCAACGGTCCACACGTAGAGGCGAAGGTAGTGCCCTTCTTCAAGTTTGCTATTGGAGGAATATCGATATGAAGTTTTTAATTAATGAGCAATTCTGCAGGATTCATCTAGCCCTAACCTAACCCAACAAATTGTCACAACCAGCTTCTTTCTTGGGGAATGATCCCAACCTTGTAGTGGGGGCCATTTTGTGTTAACTATGACTCTAGTCATAGGCATCAAACTAGATAATCAGTTTCAATTCTAATGATAACACTAAGCTCACTTACAATGCACTGTTCAAAAGGCACGCTGGAGTTTAGAATGGCTCCCATGGCCGCCTGGGCAATTGTCACTGGCAACCCAATACGCGCCGCCTGCTGCTCTGCATGCTTGAGGACGGCCGCATTGCGTGAAGGAACGTTCACAGAAGCCCGTGTAGATTTAAAACGAGTTGCCTCGCGGACATACGCGGCTCTATATGAGTCAAAGTGTTAATGTCAATACCATACCTCAGGGCCATATGACAGTTGGTGTTAGACCCGCTTTTTTGATGGGACAACCCGAGAGGGTACAGAACTCGGAGTACGGAGTACTAACCGCCGATTTAGGAGATGGAGTATTTCATCATCGATATCATCGAGCGCGGTGCGAATCTCATCCAGAGAATTACAGCAAGTAATTAGCGTGTTGTTCAATGAATAATGGACACTCGGGGTACCCCATGGCACAGGGCGATGGTCTGTTGAAGGTTCTAAGGTCAGATTGGAACCATAACAGGTATCTATGTTTGTATTGGTATTAGCTGTTGAACCTGCAATAGCAGGAAGAGTTAGAAACCCAAAGAGAAGGAAAAGCATGACAAGAGGTAAGAAACGAATTTTCAGAGTAAGTTGCTTTTTTTCCTCTTGATTGCCTACCGCAAGGGGTTAGTTGATCATCGGGAAATGCCCGTAGGTGGAGTGGAAATGTTCACTAATATCCTGTGATATACATGCGGGGAAAAAGTAACGGATTTCATTCCGAGTCCGACCCCTCGGCTGTTTAGAATATCTTTTAAAGGAACTTGGTTTCTTTCTATTTTCTAATCAACTCAATATTCTCTTAAACTTCGTGAAGATGTCCCAAGGTTCAAGACTCCAAGGCAAGGTTGCTATCGTCACCGGTAAGACTACTATCCCAGATTATTCCGTCTTGGATGCTAATACCCCTCTTTTTTCTAGGAGGAGGTGCTGGGTTTGGTGCAGCCATCGCTCGACGATTCGGCGAAGAGGGTGCCAAAGTAATCGTTACCGATATCAACGTTGAGGGCGGCGAGAAAGTCGCTGCGCAGAACCCTTCAAATCTCACCTTCCAGCGTCAAGATGTTACACAAGAAGCAGACTGGAATATGGTTTTGGATTTGGCATTCTCCAAGTTTGGACGAGTGGATATATTAGTGAACAATGCGGGCACCACCTATCGCAACAAGGTATGCTTCATTTATTCCATTATATGATGAGACGCTAATTTCCTTCAGCCAACGTCAGAGGTCACAGAGGAAGAGTGGGAGCGCGTGTTTAAGGTCAACGTGAAGAGCATTTATCTCGCTACAAAAGCCTTGATGCCGCGTTTCATTGAGCAAGGCCAAGGCGGGTCGGTGATCAACATCTCTTCCACGGGAGCGAGTCGACCACGACCTGGATTGGTTTGGTATAATGCTACCAAGGGGGCAGTCACTAATGTGAGTGTGAACATTCTCAATATCTAGACTATGAATAAAGGACTAACAAAACATTTATATAGGCCACCAAAGGTCTCGCCGCGGAGTACGGTCCCCACAATATCCGATTCAACACTGTTGCTCCTCTTCTTTCTGGTACTGGACTGTTCTCTATGTTCACCGGTATGGAAGATACCCCCGAGAACAGAGAGAAATTTATCGGAAATGTGCCGCTAGGCCGACTCTGCGACGTGAATGATATTGCCAACATGTGCCTGTACCTGGCCAGCGATGAGGCTCGTTTCATCAACGGCACTGAAATGGTGGTTGATGGTGGAAAGTGTGTTTAAATACAAATCAACAACTTTATAAATTTAATATCCTCCCGAATTTACCCCGCAGAAACGTGGGGTAGAGTAAATTGTTATCTGCCGATGTAACTCTTCCATAAAGTGACAGCTACTGACTACATTGTACATATCATTCTGTATCCAAACATGACATACGACTTTAAATCCGTCCCTGTCATCGACCTATCCCTCGAGAAGTCACCCATAACTCGGCCCAAGCTTCTCCAAGAACTCCACCATGCCCTCACCTGCATTGGGTTCTTATATATCAAGAATCACGATGTTCCACAAGATGTAATCTCAAACCTGAAATATGCTCTCCCTACACTCTTCGCCCTCGATGCGGCCGAAAAAGAAGAAGTGGCTTTACACAACTCTCCTCATTTTCTGGGATACAGCCCAGTAGGCTCAGAAACAACAGCCGGGGTTGCAGATAAGCGTGAGCAGTTCGAATTTGCAACCGAGCTGCCAGATCTATGGCACCTGGGCCTTCCTCTTTATGAACGGTTAAAAGGACCGAACCAGGTACATCACCCTAATACCACCCCCACGTAGTTAAGAAGTCAGCTTATAACAATCGATAGTGGCCGTCAACAAACCCATCTCTTCGAATCATCATTGAAGAATATATTCATGAATTAACGAACCTCGGCGAGCGATTTTTACGTCTGGTCGCCGAAGCACTCTCCCTGAATCCCGAGACTTTATTCTCATTCCTTTCGGAACAACACCGTCTCAAGATAGTCCATTATCCCGCCTCAGATCCTAGTTCAGATTCCAACATGCAAGGTGTGGGTCCTCACAAGGATTCCTCTGGATGGTGGACATTTCTTCTCCAAGCATCACCCCCGACTGTGAAGGGCTTACAGGCTCTCAACAAGACAGGCGAATGGATTGATGTTCCTGCAATTGAAGATACGTTTGTTGTGAATATCGGACAGGCTTTTGAGGTGGTTACTCATGGCGTTTGTAAGGCGACGACGCATCGTGTGTTGTCAGGTTTCTCGGAGAGGTATAGTGTGCCCTTTTTCCAGGGAGTGAGGGGGAGTTTGACGAAAGAGGAGGCAGTTGGGACGCTGAGGAGTCATTTTGCTATGCAAAAGATGGCACTGGAGGCGTCGGAGGGAGCGAGTGTTGACTCTGCCTTTTTGAGGGGTAGGTATGATACTTGGGGCGAGTCGCAATTGCGGACGAAGATTCGGAGTCATCGTGATGTAGGGCGGATGTTCTATGCAGACGTGTTTCATGATTATGTCAATGATGATAGTTGAAAGAGAAGGATGGAAAAGTCGAGGGTGGCAAACTGTGAGGCTTGCGAATTGTTAACTATACATATTGAGAGAAAGGTGCCAATATGAGTAATATAAATGATTGGACAGCTACTGGACTGTTCGAGCTGCGAATGTGCAACATAAAACCTAGTCTACCCATTCTTCTACTATTCTAGGCACATTGGGCCGGACAAAAAGAGATAGTACAACATAGGCAAATAAGATAGAATTGGGATATATCGGAAGATTTTCGTACGAATCAACTCAATTAAACCTCAAAACTTCCCAGAATAGCCCGAACAGAAAACCCCGGTTGTATCTTCAACGCCTGGATGCAGCGTAGTATTCAATGGTGACATCCGTTCGATTTAACCTTTTGGTCGTATCTTCTACGTCCAAGCGATGTGTTCTGAAACAATGCTCTGCTCCGTAGACATATATAGTCTGGAAATTCCAAAATTTACAGGTCCAAGTAAGCACACGTCACTATGGGGTATCACGAGGTGCCATCACTCAACAAAATACATATTTAATCTAAAGAGTTAATCTAAGTGAGACCAGATCGAGTTAGAGATCATATAAAAATGCCCGATCGGCATTTGAGGTACATAAAACTCTGGAGATCAACGAATCGCATGCCGTCTTAGGAAGGAACAACGCGGGTCGGAAAAGAAATTTGCTGTAGCGCGAACTGAAACAAGTGATATTCAGGGACTTGACAGTTTTTTGTCTCGGTAGTTATGTATGCTTTATCTTGGATATATTGTAGATAAATCTAATGACAGTTGATGTCTACGAGATTCATAGCCCTAATTCGGTCTATAGACGTATATTTTGAGACTGAAGCTGTGTCGAATAGAATATAGGGAACATCCCGGGGGTCTATAGATACTTACCTGCATAAATAACTCGTATAGGGGCAATATAAAGTGCTTTATAGGACTTAGAGATCTCAAAGATCCTTGCCGGCTCCAAGGAATATCTTTTTCTTATGAACGATTAAGGCCCACTTATTAACCCCACCAGCGGATTCATCAAACCCCTACAGTATATCCCAATGGATGAATGGATGTGTCCAACATATCCCATGTGCTGGTTTCATCGTATACATAGCACAGATATCTCAGACTTGATAGCATGAAAACCTGAGGTGTCCTGTCTAGATTTGTTACCAGCTCTATATAAAAAATTGGCGAGAAATCGAGAAGCGCCTAATATATTAAATTGCCACTAGGCGTATACATCGATGGATATAGTGCATAGACATATAGTACCCCAGGAACGGACGGCATCGGCACGAAACAAGAAGTTTGCAGATCATCATTTAAATAACCGCTTCAGTGTTTCGTCTTTATCAATCCTTAGAGTGCAAAGTGCTCCGTAAATGCCGTAAATCTATATAAACCACGTTGAACCCGACCAAAGATTGCATTCCACACAACCCTCTCAAACAATCAACATGAAGTTTTCTCAATCCCTCCTCTTCGCTCTCCCATTCCTCCAGTCAGCCGCCGCTCAGGGCGGTGGTATGGTCGGCATTGGATGGTCCGTCGACAAAGTCCCCGAAGAGGGCCTGAAGGAGATTTCCTTCCCAATGGACATTGCCGGCGCTCCCCAAGTGGGCGGCTTCTACTTTGCCCAGCAATTCGGCTTCGTCAACCTAAAGGACGTGGGATACACCGGTCTGCAGCCCCGTGACAAAGTCAACGGCCTCCCCGTCATCCACGGAGTCTTCTCCAGCTTCAACGCGGGCACCACCTCCGACGACCCCAACTGCAGCGAGGGTGCCGATGGCGGTCCCGGTGTCAGCTGTGCTGTCGAGATCGTCAGCCCTTATGAGCACCAATACCAGCTCCACATCAAGAATACCGAGGGTACTAAGTGGGTCGGGTATCTCGTTGATGTTGTCAAGGGAAACAGCACTCAGATCGGCTCTTACACCCTCCCCGCTGGATCGAAGGGTCTTCAGAGCTCCCAGATGGGCTTTGTTGAATTGTACAAGTGGAACGACAAGAAGGAGGAGCACGTCTGCTCTGATGTCCCCAAGCAGGAAGTTATTTTCGGCGCACCTATCTCCAAGGGTTACTCTGGTGCTGTGAGCGAGCCTTATGAGTACGGTGACTGTGTCGGTAAGTCTCAGTTCGAGACCCACAGTCACTCTGATGGTAGCTACTCGGTCACTGTTGGTTGGTAAACGGAGGAAGAAATTGAGGGGTCTGCCACGTCTATGTTTGGTTTGTCAGGCACGGATCAAACCTGAGACGCCAAACGGCCAAACTTGTCAATGGATTTTTCATGAAGAAGATCCTGACTTCATTTCTCTTGTTGGACAAAACCATGTGTATATATATCTAGGGTCTACATATAGGTACAAAGATGGGTTTAATTCTTTCGCTACTCGGAATAAAAATATGGTCCAGTTTATTCCGATGTTATACCGTTTCCTATGTAAGTTATCTCCCTAGTTGATTTCGAAAGACGTCAGAGGGTATATAGAGAAGGCTGTCGGATTGTACAAACGGAAGCTATCATGTACATTTACTAATAAGGCATCTTAGACGTTCTGTCTTAGAAGATAACTAATACCGCCTGGTCTCAACAGCAGGCTTGTTCCCAACAGCAATCTCAATCTTCTCAACAACCTCATCCGTCAACTTCTCCACAATCGCCAAAGCTTGGATATTATCAATGACCTGCTGCGGCCTCGATGCGCCCGTAATCATAGACGAGATATTCGGGTTCTTCAAAATCCACGCAAGCGCCAACTGCGCCGTCGTAACCCCAAGTTCTTCAGCAACAGGCATCAACGCCGCAACCTGATCCAGCTGACGCTGCCAGGTCTCATCACCAACGGTCTTCCGAAGACCCTTCACATATCCGTCTTCAGACTCTGCCAGCCGCGACCCAGGCGGAGGGGTAGCAGCATTGTTATACTTTCCAGTCAAGACACCGCCCTTTAACGGTGAGAAAACGGTCAGACCAAGCCCATGTGATTCATAGAGCCAGCGGTACTCCTTCTCCACGCGCTCGCGCGCGAGGAGGTTATACTGCGGCTGCTCAACAACAGGGCCGACAAGACCGAGTTTGTCAGCAATGCGCCAGGCATCTGAAATCTCACTGGCAGACCACTCCGAGGTACCCCAGTAGAAGGCTTTGCCGTTGTCAATGAGGTAGTTGAAGCCGCGGACGATTTCTTCCATAGGTGTATCGCGGTCTGGGCGGTGTGCATACACAATATCTACATATGGCAGGTCTAGTCGCTGTAGAGAGAAGTTCATGCCTTCGATGATGTGCTTGCGGGAGAGCCCGGTGTTGTTGAGTGGTCTGTCTGGGTGGGCGCTGTTGGCTTTGCCCCAGTAGATCTGAAAAATGGGGTTAGTGGGGACAAGAAAACTCAGGGAAATGGACTATCTACCTTTGTGGAAATGACGAGGTCGTTTTGCTTCCAGCCGAATTTCTTGATTGCCTCGCCGAGCACGATCTCTGACTGTCCGCCAGAGTATACTTCGGCGGTATCGAAGAAGTTGACGCCGGCATCGTAGGCAACCTTCATGCATTCAAGGGCGGTTTCTGCTTTTTGTTAGCTTTAGTCGGTTTCTTCTATAGATGTCGTCATACCATTCCCGACGTGTCCGCCGTATGTGAGCCAGCTACCCAGCGAGATAACAGAGACTTTTAGTCCGGTTCTACCGAGGAACCGGTACTGCATTTCGGGAAGAGTGTTAGACATTGTTCAATTAGGTAGATTCAATTAAGTTGAAAGAAAGTAACTGAAGAAGACAGGAAGTCTTTATATATGTTAGAGCTAGACGGGCCGAGGCGGGGTTAAGGACGGGGATTAGCGCCCTCATGTTTCCCCGATTAGGACCCCGGGCAGGGTTGGACCTTCCGTGGCGGAGAAAAATTGGGGCAAGTTGGTTTAGGCTAATTAAATTCGAAACATGTGGAATCAAATGGTGCAATTCGTGACTTAAACATTAAATTGTGTGCTCTCGAATACTCCAGCGCTCCTTACCCATTACTTGATTCTCACAATCTTCCAAGGTTCCCATTTTCAGTGACATCAAGCACCCCGCAGGAAAGTCGAACGGACAAATATTCGCTCTGGATTAACTTCAAAACTCACACCCAGTTGGATTAGCACCAGGCCAGTCAGGGTAGACTGGAGTCTGCTCCGGGTAGGCGCATTGACAAAACTCGGTTTCTAGAGGTATATCCGAGCAAACACGCGCCGGCTGGGTAGCGCAATACTCATTGATTGAGACGGAGGTCGTCATACCTCGTGGACAGGAGCTGTATGGCATACAGAAGGTGTCATAGTTCGACTCCCCGGGTAGCAGGGTCATACTGTACCATTGATATGGAGCACAGGAACAGGAGACAGCTACCAGAGTGATGAAATTCAAGTTAGCCTTGGAACTCAGCTCTTGACTCATGAGATAGGGAATCGGAACGAGGGTGTCGAAAAACAAAGAACTTACCCCTGATAACAGTTGATTCCCCTCCCACCAAGGTGCCCTGATATATGGTCGACGTCGAATACGGGATAGCACCATTCGAACACTCGGTGGTAATCCAGGGTTCGCTGAGCGGGAAACAGCTCGATTGCTCCATGCAATGGTCTGGGTGCCACACGGACGGGAAGAATCCCTGTGAGCACTCCGTTGGAGGCTCTTTACTGAAGCAGTACGAAACCGGGGTTCCCAATGTACAGTCTGTCGTGTAGACAGCGGTTTCTCCATGGGAGCACCTTAGCTCGGGGTCTTGGGTTATCACCGCTGGAGGTGCAGACAAAGTGATCGAGGCGGTTTGTTGAGGGATAGCCATTGTGGCCGAGAGGAAGGTGAGAAAGAGATAGACCTGGTGGAGGTGTCCCATTATAGTGTCAAAGTTCATTAGGTACACATAAAAAAACTCGATATCAGACTTGTGATAGGGCGATGTGCTATTTCTGTGACTGATTCAGAAACAACTTTCTCCTTGGAGTCCAGAGCTGGATCTTGTCTTTTATATTGGCATAACTCCAACATCGAGAAGAGCCCAAATTGGGCTCCTCATTTGGAGCTCACTCAGCTTGGCTGATCAAAGTTACCATAGTAAAGTAACGGTGTCTGATGAATTCGCTGCATCAGAGACAGCGAACTTTAGCTCATACTACCTCGCGCAAGGAGTGAGTGCAACCCTTTTCATAGATAGCGTCAACTAGGCTGAGAATACGGTTTCCAAATGCCTCGGCAGCCTAAGTCCTATAAAAATAGCAGCTTACCCCTCATCAACAAAACAAGGTATCCTTATTCGGGAAGTCAGTGACAAAAGAGACGCATTCTCAGTAGGTTGAGTGGCTATCGAGGTCACTTAATTGGCCATGGGCTAAAAACTCTAGAACAAAAAATTGGTTTCTATGTTGCGCCATTAAGTGTGCTATCCATCGTTGCGACGCTGACTTGACTTGTCTGTAATTGAAGGCTTTGCATAGTTCTCAATGGTCGAGGTAGTTTTGATTGCTTTTATAGATTATCACGCAATAGGCACTTTTTCTTGTTCTGTCTTGGAATTGATGGTCTCGCCGCTGTTCTCAGACCTCGTTTATGTCCCATTTGTCCTACGGATGGTTGTACGGAATATGTACAGCATGGCCGTTCCCTGCTGTTATAAACTAGCCTAGGTTTTACTTTGCATGGAGATGCTGAGACACCTGCTAAGAGGTTGAATTGAGATGAAACATTGATAAATGATTTAATACGCGAGAGATGCAATTTGAGACATAGGTTGTACATTCGTTGCTGCTGTCCCATCCATGATATATCCATGTCAGACGAAGAGACCAAAATGATGAAATTCAACCTACAAAGCTTTACGCTTTACGCCCGATTCTTATCGACCAATGCGGTTCAATTGTGTACCAGCCAGGACTATTTAAATTTTTATCATAACAGTATGGTCAATGTACATCCCCCCCGACTGACTGGAGGATGTCCAACAATCAGAACAAAATAAATGTACATGAATCAAAGCTCCAGGGGTACAGTCCAGCAAGTTCAACGTGCAACTTGATGTAGAAGCATAGGGTATATCCTTTCAGTCAAGGTGACAGAAAAGAGAACGACGCGCTACTGCGCGCATTGGGTTTGCAAACACCCACAACGGAGGTTCTTAAACCTAGTTGTGACCGTGACGGTGGTGAAGGTGTCTGCGGGCATGGCCGGCAGCATGCTCCGGTTCCACAGGTTCCGGGACAGTGTCCTTCTTCACGTAGGAAACGGCGGTGGAGGTTTCCATAATAGTGGTAATGGTGGAGGAGACAGTCCGTAGGGGGCCAGTGCTAGTCGAGTAGTTCTCGCCATTTCCATCACAGAGGACGACAACATCACGTTGGAGATAGATGATCTCTTCAGTGATAGGATCGATAATAGTAGATGTGACGGGGGTCGGGGTTGGCGAGGGAGTCGAGGTGGTAGTGAAAGCAGTGGTAGCAGCTTCGGTAGTGCTGGGCCCCTTGAGGTTGTCAAGCCAGGTGTTGGGATCAATCGAAATATCACCAACAGAAATGGTGGGAAGAGTAATCAAATTGGTAGTGGTGGGTGCAGCGTGGTGGCCCTTCATCGAGGCTCGGGCTGGACCCCACTCGACAGGCATACCGCCAGGCAATCCGTCCTCGTGCATGTGGCAGTTTTCGTGCTCGATATCGGATGGAATGGGGAACTGACACTGGCGCTGGTCATCCTCCGACTGAACGGTGAAGACTCCGCACTCCTCAACAACGCCTGACTCGCTTGTGCAGGTTTCAATGGCCTTCTGGAGCACACCATCGTCCCAAGCGTTCATGAAATCACCGTGGTATCCGTATCCAGTGGGATCGCCGTTGGCAAGGGCGAAATATCCATCGACGCCCTTGAAAGCGTAGGTGTCCCAAATAGTCTCGTAGAAGAGTGATACCAGGCGAGTCTCGAAACCCTCGGGGCAGGTACCGTCCATAACAAGAGATGGGTACGCAACGTGGGATTTGTGGTCGTGGGAGTCGGCATCCTTGCCATTCCAGCAAGATGGGAACATCAACTCGAATCGGATTCCATCAGTGCAATGCTCATCGAGGTAGGCCTTATCGGGCATGTGGTGGCGGTGGAGGGAGTCTTCGGGGGCTTTCGCATAGTTCAGGCAGTTGAAACCAAGAGCCTTCTGGCGCAAAGCAGCCTGTGAAGCCTGCTTACCAGTCCACTCGGACTTGGGAGGGTCGGGAACTGGCCAGGTAAAGTTGCGCTGGAAGGGGTCACCTGCCAGCATGCGGAAGTCATCTGGGAAGGCATGAATATCCTCTCCATACAGAAGGTAGTAGCTAGTCGAGCGATGTTAGTGGAGTTCCAGTGCGAGAGCCAAATCAGACTTACGCAAGCATTCCTCCAACCTCGTCAACTACCTGGGCACTTCCATTGGTGTGCATGAAGTACAACGCAGGGGCCCAGTAAGCAGACTTGTCTTCAGTCACTGCGCATGAGGTGCAATCAGAATTGCGCAGCTCTGCCTGGCTGGAGCTCATGCCAAAGCCTAACGATAAGTTAGCACCTCCGTACGAGAAGTTCCAGTCGGGGCAATGCGCGGTTACCTCCAGCTCCATGAACGGCGTGGGCGTGAGATGAGACCTCACCCGGCTCCACAATGGGATCTATACGGGCGAGACCAGATCTTCCACGGCAAGGAAGACGCCAGAAAGCAGTCGCATAGCCTGGGAACAGCGCAAGACAGGCCATCGCAATGGCTGTCAGTTTAATGTCCTGCATGTTGGCGGTTGAGGACAGGCTCGAGTAAAATAACGAATGAATGATCTCAGGGACTTGTAAATGACAGACTCGCCAGCACCGAATCAACCGGTTAGGCGTGAATAAACCGAGTACGAGAGACAGGTGTACTGAGCAATATGTTAGTTGTAAAGTCAAGACATGAAGCACAGGTCCAGCGCAGATTGAAAAAGTCCCCAGCCATGTTAGACCAATCAATCGTCATGCAGACAGTCTTATATCGATGCTCCCTTCCGATACAAGGGTAGAGGAATGACCCCTTGCTCGGGCAAATCACTTCCCCATAGGGATATCGAAGAAACAGGACAACAAAATATGCGACTTACCGATCAAACGCGTTTTCTCCTGACGTCAGTAAATAAAGGTGCTAGAGATATCCCTAAAAGCGCCATATATCAGCCTCAACCCTATTTGGTTCAAAAATAGCCACAAAACAAGCAAAAACAAGCGACTCACTTGAATAGATATAGAAAACGAAAACAATAAATGAGTGACAATAGTAATGAGCGACAGACCCTGAGATAGGGTAAAAGAGTGAAGTACGAGAAAGGGGGAGGAGGAACACACGGGGATCAAGTACTTCCACAGTTGAAAAGGCAAGAAAGGTAGAAAAATGGAGGGCCCTCAATAATGAGGCGCCAATCCCCCTTTAGTGCTTGGAGAGAGGGGCCTGAGTTTAATGAGTTGGCCAATCCCTTGATATTCTGGATATTAGGTAGGCTGGGGATTTACCATTTGAACTATAGTCTAAGCCTCTACATGTATCCCTTTTTACTATTGGTCTGTAATTAAATGAACGATCCGTAGAAATTCTAGGGTAAAAGAGAGAAAGAGAGGGGTCAAATAAAGATTTTATCACTTCCCGTATAAGTCGATATCTGAGACGCTGAAACGAACGGCGCGTTCCTGGTCTAGTGGATTTAGAGCGGGTTAGAATTATCTTGGTGACCCACGTTGAACAGAGTAATTGGTTGAACCCTCGCAAGATGAAACGACCCGTAAATTATATCCCTTCTTGGTACTTATTTGGGGATCATTTTACAATTACCGACATGATTTGGTGGTAATTTGAAACATCTAAACTATCTAAACTATATGAAATAGTATATTGTTGTAGTACATGTTGTATAAGATAGTTGTGTCCTATCGGAGCTAGGGTATATATGCACATGTGGCACATGTGACTTCAATACATAACCTTGGTGTAAGATATTTATTGTTCTCTCTTGAATCCAACACTCCATGTTTTAGATCTTAGATGTGAAGCTTTTTTTAGTATCTAACCTTGAATATAAAATATAAGGCCTAACGCATGCGTAATACGATTGTACGGAGTAGGACTAACAAATCATGTTACAACCCTTGGATTAATGTGTCCACCCGTGATCAGAAAATTGTAATATTCCATCTTCATTATACCTGGAGGAATATATCATATACAGAAGTAGAAATAAAACACATTAAATGTGAAAGAGTCACACCTGCAGCTATCCACTTTCCTAAATGGGCGATATCTTCCGTTACATATCAAGGTTTATCCTAAGAAGGCAATACATTTACAGTACATTGATGTTATACAGGATTACGCCTTCACCTCCTCCAAAGCCTTTCTTGCCCTTGCAACGGACTTCCGTGCACGGGTGTCAGATACCTCCTCGATAGTCTTTCCGCCATTTCGCACAATATCACGAAGAGCAACCTCCGTTTCCAGGAGCGAGGTGCGGCCTTCCTCGCGGACCTCTTCCTCCCAGAAATCACGGGCGATATCCCACCTCTTCTGCTGGCGACGCATAGAGTAAATCAATCCCACAGCGGCAAGGGTACATGACTCATATACCCCGGCCGATGGAATAGCCACATACGTTAGAGCAGAGAGAGCAGAAGTCAGAGTGGTGGTGGACACGCTGAAAAGCACTAGACTCTGGGCGAGGGCTTGGAGAGATGGAACTGTCGAAGTGAGGAGCTTGGTGCGAAGGTCGGGGATCTGGGTGGGCCAGGGAGGCATGGCAGATTCCTTTGCGGAGTCAACGCTTGAAGATGCCTCTTCCAACAGGCCGGCCTGCTGGTACTTGCCCACGGTCCAGATGACCTCCTGCTCCGCCCGTGGAAGGAACTTCCTTTGCAAGATCTCAGATGTAATCATGCTCACATCGTCAACGCGCCAGAAGAGTTTCCACCATGCAAGACCGCGCCAGCGTGGACTGGCCAGTCCTTCATCGAGGGAACTACGGAGTTCAGAGTGAGCACGCTCCGCCCAGCTAGTCACAGCCCGATCCAAGCTGGACCGAGTCTTCTCAGGGGTTACGCCAGTAGTTTGTTCTTGGAGCGCCTTGGCGTCTCTGGCGATCACACTAGCGTCGGCCGCGTCAACAAGGGACTCCACCAGAGGGACCAATGCCGGATTCAATGCATTTCCCGTGGGCGCTTCCGAGGAAGTTGCAAGCCAGTCGATCAGAGGTTGCACACCACTGCCATTCCACCCACGTTCGTAGTCGGAAGCATTGTGGACAGATTCACGGAATTTATCTAGTGCTGTACTGGCGCGATCGACATCTACCACGGACAATCGCTCGTTTGTGGATTGCTGGTCCGCCACTGCAAGTTCAATAGCCCCGCGCACTGAAGAAGCCTCGTTCTTTAGGTCTGCCCGACCTATCATTGTGCTGTACGACAGCAGGCCATCCACTCCACGTCCGCATACAATGGTGCGGTGCACGGGATACCGAACAACATTATGCCGACCGGAGTGCGAGGTCTGGATGGTAACTGTGGGGACAAGGAAGGTGTCGGCGTGGAGCGTAGCGGCGTGGTCGGGCTCAGAGCCTAGGGTGCTGACTAGGATCTCTAAGTTGCCTTTCCTCAGGATGGGCGATGGCACTGATATCGTCGGTAGCAGGTCATTGGGGATGGATTGTGAGATTTCGCCGTATCTGAAGAATAAATCCTTAGAATAAGTACTGGTCATGGAGGGTCAACACTGCAGACAGAAGACTTGTTCATACCTGATCAGCAGTCCTCGGGATGAATCGGCATCGTATGAGTCGAGGATGTCTTCCCAGCCCTCCCGGGGTGTCAATGGGTCGGCAAGTAGTAGTCGAACGAGCTTTCGTGCAGAGGTCGCATCGTTCAATCCAAGAACTAGAATAGAAATCAGTCCCATGTTTGCTTTGAGGAGGAAGAACCAGTGCCGAGGAGAGCTATAGCCTGATTGTATAACAAGAAACTCACCGGCTACTCTAATAAGAGGCGTTTCAGACTCCAATCCCCGCAGTGCAAATTGCAGCCGACTGAGGTTCACCTGTTCCAGGGCGGCATCTTTCACTCCCTCGAGGGCGGCATGTAGCTCCTTGAACCGCGGCGGCACGCTCTTAGCAGTGATAATAGAGGATGTGGAAAATGTTCGGGGAGCCGATTCTATTGTGTTTTGGGCTCTAGTGACTCGTCGAGATGTGTCGGGATCGTCGATGCTGCGACTGGTGTGGGCGCGCGTGGACAAGCTTCGTCGCCAGATCGCGCACGAAGGGCAGTAGAAGACAGCGCTGCTATCCAGTTGACGCGACAGGCTCTTTGTGAGCGCACTGCGCAATCTTGGAGCCATTGGGGCGCAGTGAAGCGAGGTTTGTAGGGCAATTCTCGCAATGGCACTTTGGTGGATGAACGTTGAGCGGAAGTGGATGCGGGAACTGGCCTTGGCGTCCACGGGTTCATCACGAGCTTTGTAAGTACTTGACTTCTCAGAGGATATGTGTAGCTACCAGATGACTTGAAATGAGATTGATCATTCTTTCAAAATTTACAATGAAACTATTTACAATAGTTGCACTTGGCTACGAAACGTGGATGGAAAAGCACACATGTTTAACTGAACAGTCCTATTTGTCGCTAGAGTTGTGGATTCACAGGTTAAATCGCCAGGCGAGGGGTAGGATCAAGCAGATAGATAGGGTATCGTATCGATCGTGGACAAAAGGTGTGTGCGCTGGAGGACAGGAAGGAGAAATGCGTAGATCGTATCATAATATCAACTCGGCCACATAGTTTGATCAGGCATCCTTAGGAGGATCCCTCTGTCGAGAACGGGGACGACCTGAGCCAGCAGACCTGGTGATTTCAGTTAGTATATGTGAAATGGAATGGCGAAATCTTCCAAGTGAACACTTACATGCTGATCCGTCGAGCAACTGTGGCGAGTCCAGCATCGTTGGCAGCCTCTTGTTCAGCTCGCTCCAGGGCCACACGACGACTCTCCTCGCTCTTTGCGATAACTTCTTCTTGGCTCGGAGGCACGTGCTCATTCTGGATATCAACCTTCCGGGCATCCTCGAAGTTGTGAATAGCCTGTTTGATACCTTCCGCACCTAGCATGAGTGTTCCAGCAGGAAGACGACCGCCAGCCGCCGTCTTCAGCTCCGTGACACTCTCGGATTGCTCGCGGAGAACCTGGAACACACGAGAAAGGCGGCCAATAGCAAGAATTTTGTTTTTGATAGCACGTCTCTTAAACTCGGTGGATTCGGGGTCCATTGATGGAGACGAGACTGCATCCTTTTGTTCAGAGGGAGATACAGGCGTTGGTGCTTCGTCCTCCAACTCTTCCTTCGAGCAAGTGTTGAGGATCGCGATGAGCATATCAGTGATCTTCTCTCCAACGAATGGCAAAGACCAAGTGAAAACATCCATGAAGTTGGGTAGCCAATATGGGTGCGGGGTGCAGTTGAACTGGCGGATGTTCATCACATTGTTTTCATATTTGAGGACAGCCGCCTTGTTGTTGTAAACATCCAAGTAGTTTGGCGCGCTGAAAATTGTCATGACACTGGGGAAGCCGGTGGTTCGTGTCTTTCTGTACATGCGATATCCAGCATCCTGAGCCTCATGTGCTCTGATGATGGAGAGCAAATTGTTCTTCTCCAAAAACGCACATGCCGCAGGATAAGAGAAGAAGTACGAGCAACCACGGACACTGTTGTGAATGAAGAAATCGCCTGTCTTTTCTTGACCAAATTCCTCCAGAGGGTCGGCCCAAAGGATGTCGCACATAAGTCCGTGAGTTGGGGGTTCGCGGAAGCGATCAATCTATGTTTGTTAGTTGTCTGCTGATACCATTCCAAGTGCGGACGGGGCATATACATACGGCCTTGATGTCTTCGAGGGTATGCAGCTCGGGGCTGAGACCACCGTGGATGCAGAGGAACTGTTTGTTCATAACTGCCGCCAGCGGCAGCGCACAGAAGGATTCCAGGCATGCTTCGTAGAGCCGTTCACTATATTTGTGCTTGCACTCCAACTTGAAGGTGAAGTAGTCGGTCAAATGGCGACATTCGTGATTACCCCGCAGCAACCAAAGTGAATCGGGATACCAAATCTTCAATGCCCAGAGATAGAGGACGCACTGCGGAGACAAACGATTAGGATAGTTCTTCAAGATTCAAGACTCGGATGACCCACCTCAATACTGAAATAACCACGGTCCACATAGTCGCCCAAAAACAGATATCTCGTCTCGGAAGGGTCACCGCCGACCTCGAACAACTTCATCAAATCGTAGTACTGGCCGTGAACATCGCCACACACTGTAATAGGCGCATCCATTTCGAGCAAATTTGGCTCGGCCTTCAAAACCTGTGTACCGGCATGGATGATCCATAGCGCCTGTTCTTCCGAAAGACGACCCTCACGATAGAGGTGCTGCTTGAGGTACTGTAAATTGGGCTTGGAGGGATCCTCAGGCGACCAAAACATATCATCGGGAGGATAGCTGAGAGCGGGCGCTTGGACCTCTAATATCACCAACCGTTAGCGATCAGATCACCACATATCTTGTGAAAGCGACTGAAACCACATACCTTTGACTACCCTCTCCATTGTTGACACTTGCGTGTTGTCCTCCATCGTGTGCAATGTGAAATCGATCTCTGGGACCGGCTGCTTCTCGGTCACAGCGCGCGCTATAGCCCGATCCATTTTGGCTGAGATTGAAATGTTCGGATATTCTGAGGTCGGAGTAAGGGGGAGGGGGGGAATGGGGAAGACAAGCGCGGAGGTGTGGCGGGGGGGTCAAGTTCAGGGCGGGATAAAGCTCCCACGACTAAGAATAGTATAATATTAACAGAACCCTCAAGCCAAAGTTCTAAAAGGGACTGAATAAACGAAGCCCTTAAGAAAATGATGGGGTGTTGTGTGTTTTTTTGGGCGGGGGGATGTTAAGGGAAAAAGAGAAACAAATTGGATAAGCGGCTGGGCCGTAAGATCGGTGGGTCTCACAACAACTTTGATCGTAACTGTATCTGAAATGTTTTATGTATTTTGTTCATCGGAAGAGTCTCTTGAATGATGAAGAGAGAAGTAGATTTGCAAGTTCAGCCTCATGTTAACGTGACATGATGCCTAAGGCAATTAATCCCCTTTTACCCAATCATCCACATTTCGTATTTTGACATGTACAGTTCCGAACTCAGTATTTACTCTTATGGCATATGATTCAGCTTTTGTCTCAGATTTGATTTTTCATCAATTGCGATTAGCAATACCCCGATTTGCCCTGATTCGAGGTATGCAGGATTATATTATGTATGGGAAGCTCATGGAATCTTATGAAAAGGATATCTATCTTGAGAATGTAGTACCTGGCTATTTGGTACTATTGACAACTTCCAGCCCAGACATGCTGTGGTGGAGGCTAGATCTACTACAGTTCTATGTTGCCCAAAAGACACAAAGCCATTAAGGGTAGTGTTAATTACACAGAAAGGATAGCTTGAAGCACAAAGCAATAAGCTACATTAACTAACTAGTTAACCAGGTAGGCAGCTACTATTTCTTAACACCTCCTTCTTTATGCTTTCTTACTGTTAAGTCCCTATCTCAATATAAACAAACACTAACGTTCTCGTCATATCCATCTATAAGGGTGTTCTATACTAGCATAGGCTGAAGAGTAGCAGCCGTTCGACCTTCTTGGTCAAGATCTCAATTCACACGTGGCAAGGTAGGCCTTTGTTTTGGCCACAGTCGGAAGACGAAGGAGATTTCTTGTACCGACGATGCAACGAGAAAGGTCGTATATAGTTGATATGGCCACCCAAATTGGTACCATTTGTGGAATGGACTCGATGGACTATTCAGTCTGGGGGCACTTCTTTAATATTGAGTACTATGTGAGGCTTTGAAAGGACGGAATTGATAATGCAGCGAGAATAGAGCAATCTCCCTCTGGCTTCGACCTTCAGTGCAATAGTCTATGATAATTGACCGGTTGGCACATGGGCGGCCGATGCTTGCGATCCTGTCGGACGCGGGAACGTCCTGTATAGACAATGTCTCTCCGATGCTGCAAGCCCTTCTTATTACTGAGACTATATTTAGTCCTCAAAGCGCTGGTTCCCGAGCTCCCTGCCCTTTAGGTTTATTTCATCCAGAAACACCGAGGTCACCAAGCCCAGAGCGCTCAGTCCGGTCATCACATAAAATATAACACGGAAACACTGTAGATAGACACCTAATACCTGGTTCAACGTTGACATGGAGATCTGTATCGATCTCAACGAGTCAATGAAGCTCACAGCATTGGATGCATCTGTCAGAGGCGCTAATGCTCCCGTCAGCTGAACTGTAGTATGAGTAATAGTCTTCGAGAAAACGTTGTTGAAGATGGAGGAGGAGATAGTGAGTCCGACAAGACCACCAAACAAGCGAATAGTTTGAAACTGCGCGATAGCTAAACTTGTGTCATTAACATTCTTGACGCTCGCTTGCATAGGAAGAATGTTAAGACGTAGAAGTGCAACACCTTGACCCCATAGAATGGGAAGACCGTAGCACATAGACGCTGATGACTCTACATCAAATAGCGCTAGTAAGCCGGATCCTAGAGTAAGGATGACCCACGCAAGTCGCAGGAGCCACGCATAGCCTCCAAACAACGGTACCATCATCATTGAGACTGCTGCTACTGACACGCTGATAATAGTGGTGGGCAGTAGAGAGACAGCGGAGATTATTGCGCTTTGGAGCTCTACTGATTGGTAGAGCAAGGGCAAGTATTGTAAGACGGAGACTAGCACCATACCATGGAGGAACCCTCCTACTAGAGTGATGTTTCCGGTCTTCGAATGGAAAATGCGATGAGGAATAATGGGATTGGAAGGCTTTGCCTCGTAGAATCCGAGGATGACGAGCACCACAACTCCCAAGAACATTGGAAGGAGAGTCTGCCAAGAGGGCCATGGATATAAGGAGCCCGCCCAACTCAGGGGTATAACAAATATGGAGATTCCGATGATCAGGAGCGCCATGCCAACCCAGTCGAGACGCTTTAAGTTTCCAGCCAGAGTGCTATCGAGCGGGATAGGCCGAAGTTTGAGGAAGAAGATAATCATGGGTGTCCCTATTCCAAGCAATGGCAGGTTGACCCATCCGATCCACCTCCAGGAGGCATACGTAGCGAAAAGCGCCCCAACGATAGGACCCATGATATTACCAACAGCCGATGGAACTGCCATTAAGCCCAAATATTTCGAGCGTTCCTCTAGTGTTGTCATATCCGCGAGAATCACCATCGCTAGAACGTCAATTCCTCCACCACCCAAACCCTGGAGGACCCTCCCCGCAATGATGGTGTTCATATTTTGCGCCATGGCAAAAACGATGGAACCGATGAAGAACAATCCCATTGATACGTAAAGAGGTGGTTTCCGGCCGAACCCGTTGGAGATGCTGGCCCACACTGGCTGCATTACCAAACCACAAAGAGTATAGGCTAAATTTGCCCAGAATGACTCTAAATTGGAAGCCTTCAGGTCACCAGCAATGGTCTAACAATAGGTATAAATATTTGTGTGCCATGCGGATCAGGATGGATGTTAAGGCTCACTGGGAGGGCGATGCCCAGGCATGTTGCATCCAACTGGAATACAAAAAGACTCGCTGCGAGCCCTATGAAGGCGAGCTTGAAGGAAAGCGACTTTTTGCTCGTCGCTTCAGAATTCTCCCGTTCATTTTGCTCTTTAGTGGGGCGTGTGTCTCTGGTCCCAGTCATTATTTTCAAGTCGTCGGGTTTCTCTGAGCTTTGTTCTAATTTTGGTCTGTCTGGAGTGGCAGAGATACCGGCATCTGGGCTGGTGGCTTCGGGAGGGACCATGGTGCTTCCCGGCCACATTGACTCCGATGCGACGAAAATGCGCGAAGAGGCCGGAGGTTTGCCTGATCAGTTGCTCGGGAAGAGGTAACGGGGGGAAAGATATAGTCAGGACTCTCAAACTAGAGCCATTGGAATTTCTTTCGCGTGCCGGGATATTGATTCTTCCGGCTGGTGCCTAGGTATGGAGTGACTACCCGCCGTACGCGAGGGTCCTTGTAAGGGGCCGGCCCCAGGGGGACCGAGGGCTGAAGGGTCGGGGGCGGGACCTCAGGAGATGATATATTTTGGCTGGACCCTAATCAAGGCAATGGCAATATATGCCTTAGAAGAAGTTGGAGAGGTAATTTGGCAAGATCAGGGCTGGTAGACGCTCTGCTGTGTTTGCTGTATTCTTTCTATTTTGATGTTATTATGGATTCAAGGTCACAAGAATAGTCGGCTGCATAAGCGGCTCTGCGATGTCTTTCAGTAGTCTTCTCAATATAATTCTGTCCTGTCAGTATTATAGGTTGACGACAAAAAAAGGCTTAAACTGTGAAATAGACTTGTCCAAGTATAACCTTTGATTTCTGGATACCAAATGTCATTCAACTACTTCAAGTTTTGTGCCAGTTTAGAAGTAAATAACGCATTATACTTCAGGTCCTCTTCATTCGTTCTTAAGATTAGAACCCCATTGAAGTACCCCATTGAATTTCACTCAAGCCTTAACAACGTCAAATCCCGCTTCCCAATTATCTAGAGCCTGCCGGATCTCGCTGGCATAAGCGGGGATACCACCAGCGTAACTCACTGGCTCATGAACCTTGCCAGGGATGCTGCCACCCATGTACGTCGACTGTGTCGTGGGGAAGAGGGTCCGGTTATTGAGCTCAACAATATGATCTTTCCACTTATCAGCAGCCTCAATCTTAGGATTGATGTACTTGACGTTATTGGCCTCGATCTTGGCAATGGCGTCGGAAATCCACCGACCCTGCACCGCGACTGACGTCGGACCATTACTCAGGAGCGTCGGGCCATGTAGACCATAGATGTGGAACATGTTGGGGTAGCCGCTGACGGTGGTACCGAGGTAGGTCTTTGCGCCCGGAATCCATTCCTTCTCGAGCTCAGCGCCGTCAATGCTCTTTAGGCCGAGCTGAGTCATGGCACCGGTAACAACATCCTGTGAGTATCAGCGCAGGCTCTCTTGCTAGTGTATAAACATGACTTACAAATCCAGTCGCGACAGCAACAACATCAAGTTCGTGGTGAGTTCCATCTTCAAGAGTAATACCGGTCTCGGTAAATTCCTTAATCGGGTTGTTCTTGATGTTAACCAGGTGCACCGATTCCCGATTGAATTGCTCGTAGTAGGAATGTTCAAGACATGGCCGCTTGACGCCGAAAAAATGCGGCATCTCCCGCGGCGCAAGTAACTCCCTTGTTTTAGGGTCACCGATACGAGCACGGGTCTTCTTCGCCCAGAAATCGTATGACTCCTTGTTGGCCTTGGGATTGATCAAGTTATCCTTGTACCCAGCAACCCAGTAGCGGAAGCCACCTTCTTTCCAGAGCCTCTCGTACAAAGCCTCGCGCTCTTCGGGTGTATCGTCAAAGGTGCTCCGCTCGCACCAGTCATACATGAATCCGGCAAAGCTGGTCTCGCGATACCGAAACAGCTCTGGGTAGTAGGGCTTGATATTCTCTTGCTCTTCAATAGTAAGGTCTCGCTTGCGCATGGGTAAGGCGAGGTTGGGAGTTCGTTGAAAGACCTTGAGGTCTCCGGCCTCGGGGCCCCAAGCCTGGGTGATTTGCACACCCGAAGCACCGGTACCGATGATAGCACAACGCTTGTCTTTCACTTCGATTTCTTCCTCGGGCCAGAAGGATGAGTGGTGTACGACACCTTTGAATTTATCCAAGCCGGGCCACGAAGGAATATAGCGCTTGGCGGACTAGTCGGTTCATTAGCACGGTTTTCGTCTTTTAAGTGATGGCTCTATTTACTTACAAAGCCTGTTCCGAGGACAAGGTACTTCGCCTTGGTCGTGCGACCATCTGCAGTTTCAATGTTCCATCTCCCGTTGTTCGTATCAAACTGGGCTGCGACCACAACGGTGTTGAAAGCGCAGTCCTTCTTGATACCAACTACTTTATCGACATGATCGAAGTAATCACGTAGGTCTTTGTAGTCCGGGTAGTTGTTGGGCCAGTTCCATGTATTGTATACCTCGGGCCAAGAGAATGCATACTCGGGGACTTCGGAATCCACACCGGCGCCTGGGTAGCAGTTCCATCGCCAGGTGCCACCCAGGTCGTTACCAGCCTCGAAAATCACTGTCTTGAGGCCGCGATCGCGAAGTGTCTTGAGCATAAAGACACCAGCTATCCCGTTAGCCAGCGAATCAAACCTGGAATGCGAACTTACCAAAACCAGCACCGACAACCAAAGCATCGACCTCGAGATTTTCAGCATATGGCCCAGTCTTACTGGCATGGACTACGGAGTAGTCGGTGATCTCAGTGCTATACTTCTTCGGTCTGAAGACTGTCTCTTCTATACTACCCATTTCGATCAACGATTGAAATATGATCAAGTGTTGCAGTTGTAACGAAATAGGAAGATTGACTGTTGGAATGTAAAACTTTCTTTCCCGGGTACCTTCTCCCCCTTTTTATAGATGGCTTCGTTCATGTCTCACAGCTGAAGTTAGCTTGAGCAGTCGCAATCAACTGTATTCTATTACCGAGGCCTCATGATACAGGTAACCGCAGGGTTCCCCTCATTCATGCAGCATTTTGGGCCATCACCGAAACGTGGCTTGACCTGAAAAATCCATTCGGGTCAATAGACTATAATTTAGAGTCTGGCCTTTGGGGCCCTCCCGACGTCATCTATCTTGTTCATATGTGAATTTCAAGCTGTCCTTTTTCCATGCAAAAGAGCGTGAATAATAGTCTAATCCAAAATGGAAGCTCCAAACTGCAATTGTGATAGCCCCCAAACGCTGTAGACACGTCACATTAGGTTTATGCGTACCTGTGCATATTCGATCTCATCACATAGCGTGCATATCTAGGGCTATGATTGGACTATTATACGGAGCCGAGATCTTCCAAACTGCCCCCGCACCTTCCGCTGTCTGTTGTTCCGCAAAGTATAAGTTTCATATTTACAAGAAGGGTATTACTCCATATCAAAGGAGAAGCTTTCTTCCGCTTACTGTTAAATAGGTTTGGATTCTCCCATGGTGGTAGATCTGTCCTTTTGTCAATACATGATACATTTCCACTTTTCTATTCAACCAAGATGTCTCTAACTACGGAAGTGCATTCCCAACTCTGCGATCTCGTAGACAAAGCCTGCGAAGACCAACAGTCTGGAATCCCCGGGGCCACGGTCGTGGTCGTTGGCAAAGATGGCAACGAACTATTCGCCCACTCTGCGGGTAAGCGAGGTGCTGGATCCGAAGAGCCCATGACCTTGGACACCATCTTCTGGATTGCATCTTGCACTAAGATGCTGACTGGTGTTGCCTGCATGCAACTGGTTGAACAAGGTATTCTCAAGCTGGATGATGGAGAGCAGACAGAAGGTCTTTGTCCTGAATTGAAGAGTCTCGAGGTTTTGCAGCCAGATGGTACTCTTAAGAAGAAGAAGAATGCAATTACTCTGCGTATGCTATTGACCCATACTGCTGGATTCGGCTATACCTTTTTCAATGAAAGACTGAGACAGTGGTCGCACCCGGTTGGCGTGGATGAGTTCTCTGGGAGAATTGAAGATATGAAGGTGCCTCTGCTATTCCAGCCCGGTGAAGGCTGGGAATATGGCGTAAGTATCATATATCCAGAATTATGAAACTTATCGTTAATAAGTATAGGTTGGTGTTGACTGGGCAGGAATCGCACTGGAACGCGCAACAGGCCTGACGCTCAACGATTACCTACAAAAAAACATATTTGTGCCTCTTGGAATCAAGGAAATGTCCATGATACCGAACCAAGACATGCGCAGAAGGCTGGCATATATGAATAATCGAAAGCCAGATGGCACCCTAAACCCCCGAGACCATCTTCTTCGGGCGCCTCTGGTTGTTGACCTGGAGAATGACGCCGAAGTCGCCAGAGTGTTCAACAGCGGCGGCGGGGGTATATTTGCCAAGCCACAGGAGTATTGTAGTGAGTCACGAGTAGCTCCGAGGTTCTATCAAGATTCAATAAACTGACTTGTCTCCGCAGAGGTCCTCGCTATGTTGTTAAATGACGGAATATGCCCTAAAACGGGCAGCAAGTTGCTTCGCAAGGAGACTGTCGACGAAATGTTCTCTAACCAGATCCCTCAGTTCCCCAACTACAGCCGTCAAAGCATCCCAGCTGCAAAGCCGGACCTGACCAATCCTATTCCTGAGCTGTATCCAGTTCATGGGAACCCACCACAGGGTTGGGGCTTGACTTTTATGCTGAGCAATGGTGGTCCGACAGGACGATCAAACAGCGCAGCGCACTGGGCTGGACTGCCGAATTTGTGGTGGTGGGCGGATAGGGAGAAGGGCGTTGCGGGGATTGTTTGTACACAGATTTTACCGTTTGGGGATGCTCAGGTGATTGGGCTATGGGCAACAGTTGAGGCTGTGATAAACAAAGCTCTTCAGTGAATCTCTGAGATGCCTTGATGCCTTTTTTTGTCAAGCTCCTAGCTAGAATCCGTAGAGAATACTTCTTTGTCTGTCATCTATTGTGGTTCCCGTGTATTGAGTGTATAAGCAGGTTCTGTAAAAATGATGCCAGTGACCTTCCATCGGGCTAAGGGAGATCTGGGGAATGGAGGAATCTATGCGGGGTCAGGAACTCAAAAAAGCCCTAAAGGTCAAAGATCTGTACGGAGTTCCCCGCTTTGACGTATCTCATTATATATCGGGGGAAAAGAGGATAAAGCAAACAGTCAGCATGATCCAGAAACGAGTCACAGTGCACAGGGATCCAGATCCAGGCGTCAGGATAGCTCTTGTGATCAGAGTCGGTACAATGCCTACCTAGGCCGGAGATGCCGGATTTTCACCACGCTGTCAATGACACGCTCTTGACCAAGCCATGGACGAGAAGTTTGATCAGGGCGTTTACCAAAGCTTGTATGGTCTTTCTAGGTAAACAGATAAGCCCTTTCACTATGCTGGGACTACAATAGGGCATAGTAGCCATGATTTCGAGTGAAATATGGAGCTGGTCGAGGATTGTATGAAGGGGCTGTGGCTACTGGGAACAAAGTCCGATATGGCACGAGAGATTTCGGGGACACTTTCTCTTGTGTTAGGAGAATTGCGGAAGGGGTGCTATATAATTATATAGTTTCCAGAACTCTCTATGGTGACAATTTAGAGGAATCCTGGCCCGGATGTTATACTTAAAAAACTTCATTTCACAAAGCCTTTTCCCGCCTTTCTTTTTACCGTCGACCTGTAAAACTAACACATCTAAAAAAATGATATCTGAGACTACTGAATAGACCGAAAAGATATAAGGTTATTCGGCTATTCTTAGAAAAGTGGATCGGTTCCATATCGGCCAATTTCAAGTTAGCCGTAGCTTGCTTTTGAGTCACAAAAATATAAAAGTATAGATAAACAATCAACTATTTTATTCTCCCTAATACAACTACATACATGCCGAGTCAAGTCCAATGGCATCCAACTATACCTACTCCTTCTTTCGGGTCTCGAAGACAGATGGAGTCGCAGCCTCCGCTCAGAAATATCGAGACCTCCGCCTAAAAGCATTGAAGACTTCACCGAATTCTTTCTCATCTACTTATGATATCGAATCGGCTTTTACCGAAGCCGACTGGATAGATCGTCTCACACTTCCCGATCGAGAACTCTTCATTTGTGCCGCGACACCACTTAGCCATGATCCGTCATCCCCTGATGATGTCCAGTGGATCGGCCAAGTCACTCTGCGAGGGCCTTCATCCAGGGCTGATTTCGAGTTACCCGTGGAAGCTGGCCAGCCACCCCAGAAATCCGACGAAGAGGAAGAGCGATGGCAGATGCTAAGCTTGTTTACGCTTGCGGAGTATCGCGGCCATGGACTCGGAAGCAGCCTTTGCCGGGAGGCTATCAATTATCTTCGATCGTACCGGTCATTTCCTCGCCAAATTCAAGTGCGCCTCATCGTCAAGGCGGGGAACCATGTTACGGTGGAATTGTACCGGCGTCTTGGGTTTATCCACGCTGGAAAGGCGACTCTTGTTGAAGCTCTCATTGCGAATGGAGATGAGGATCTTGTTCCCGAAGATCGAACTTCGGAGAAGTACTCTGAGAGACAGGGGCTGATTATGATATCTCGTATATCACGCTCGTGAGTTTTTCATAGCAAAATAGATAATAGATATCAGACTTGAATCAACCATTTTCGCAAGTCAGGCTACAATTCGCTAAGTTAGATTCATATGCTACTAAGATAGGAAGTCCTGTGTCTGCTGCTGTTAGGCAAACAAAGGCTGCATTTTGTGGCAATAATAAATAGGCAGCGAGCGTAGCAATTACCTAACTTGGCATCAAACTGCACCTAGCCACAGGTGAGTTTGCACAGCTGCCGGTTGCCGCCAGCTGTAATGTAGTTGACGTCTAGCCAAAAGGGTCATTTTCATGAAGCCGAAACCAACCATTCTTGACATTTTTACTATCTCGCCAACATGGCCACCCTCGACATGCTCAAGTCGGCTCTTAGGCGACAAGCCACCATGCAAGAGTCATCCCCGAAACAGTCACTGTCAGACAGCCAGTACAGCGATGGCTTGGACATCTTGCTACAGGGAACAGGTTGGATGACGTACCAAGGCTTTATTATCCCTCAACTTTCTGAGCTGCTACGCTCTCTCTCCAACTCACATATGCGTATCTCAGTGCTAGAAATCGGACCCGGCTCCAAGAGCGTGTTTGGATATCTGCCCGCTCATACGAGACGGAGGATCAGGAAATATTGTGCGTTCGAGCGTAATGAACTGCTCGCTACAAGGTTGGAGGACTGGTTTCGCTCAACACCAGAGACGGAGGCCCCGCTGCCCTGTCTGGAAAGCCCGCCAAATATCCATCGAATGGCTTTCGATCTGGACAGCAAAATAAAGAGTGACACTGGTACTAGGACGCGTGAGAGCGAGGAAAAGTTCGACGTCATCCTATTCTGTCACAGCATGTATGGCATGAAGCCTAAAGTCGCGTTTATTAAACGAGCGCTAGAGCTTGTTGAGCGGTCCGCAGGAATCGTGGTGGTTTTCCATCGCGACAAGACTCTACACCTTGACGGGTTAGTGTGTCATCGAAGGGCTTCTTTCCCTACCGGGGTCGTTAGGGTGAGAAATGAGGACGAAGTGCTAGACTCTTTTGCTCCTTTCATCGCGGGGTTTGTCATGCAGGACGTGGAGGTGGATAAGGCTCTCCGAGTCGAATGGTGTGAAATATGTCGCGTTTTGGGCCGTCGGGAGGACGCCCACCCAGACCATCTCACATTTGAATCGCCCAACATAATGGTGGCCTTCACCCAACATGCGACCAGTTTGCCGGAGCTGATGGCGCAGGTGCCATTGTTGGAGGGGGACAAAACAGCCAAGAATTGGGAGGCTCGCCTTCACCATCCCGCCTTGGTTGTTAGGCCTGCAGAGATCACACACGTTCAGCAGTGCGTTCAATAGACTCTGAAGCACGGAGTCAGCCTGGTCGTTGTTGGCGGGGGTCATAGCGGCCACTGTCAACTTTCAAACGTCGTCTCGATCGACATGAGCGCCTTTGACAAAGTACACATTCTTAAAGCCGGGGATTGTGGACGAGAGTCTGGTCACGATGATGTTCCCTTGGTCATCGCCGAGGCCGGCTGTAAGACGGGTGATATTATCCGCAAGACCATGGATGCGGGCATGACCGTGCCCTTAGGGGCTCGCCCAAGTGTAGGCGCCGGGCTATGGCTACAAGGCGGCATTGGACACCTAGCTAGGATGTATGGGCTCGGGTGCGACGCTATCGTCGGTGCCGTGATAGTCAGTGTCCACTCTAGCCAGACTTATTACATCGGCCATGTGCCAATCCAACATCGACCTACCGATGCCGTGCGCCCGGAAAACGAAAAAGAGCTTTTATGGGCAATAAAGGGCGCTAGCACCAACTTTGGCATCGTACTCAGTGTCACTTTCAAGGCTTATGCGGCTCCGACCTTCTGGACTCGAAACTGGTTTATCCCGTTGAGTGACGGCCTTGAGATACGGCATATGCTTAGCGACTTTGATAGCCTAACCACTGGGAAGCTCCCCCAGAACTGTTCTGCAGATGGGTATTTGTACTGGAACACCGGGAAACTGCATCTTGGCGTGACCATACTCGAAGCCTGCACGACTGGGTCAAGGACTTTGGGGCCTGAAAATACTGATCGGGCTCTGGACAGCGTCGATTTGTTCGAAGCTGAGTTGTATATGACCGAAATGCGCAGCGCGCATGCCAAGATCAAGACCTCCTCGTTCAAGCGCTGTTTATTCTTGAAATGCGTCGGAGGATTGAACGTCGCTGGGATCTTGGAGGCAGCCATGAAGACTCGTCCCTCGCCACTCTTATATCTCCATCTGGTGCAAGGTGGCGGGGCTGTTAGCGACGTGGCAGCCGATGAAACTGCTTTTGGTTGTCGAGATTGGGACTTTGACTGCGTGGTAACTGGTGTCTGGCCCCGCGACTAAGACGGGACCGAATTGGCCCGATATGCCGTGCAGTGGGTGTACAACGTCGCTCGCGACTTACTGCCGGTGAGTAGCGGAGTTTACGGCGCAGACCTAGGGCCGGATTTTCGAGACGCCACGCTAGCTGTCAAAGCTTTTGGATCCAACCTAGCACGACTGTCTCACCTCAAGCATAGGGTAGACCCGCACAATGTGCTAGCTTATGCCTGCCCACTCCCGAAAGAGACGCGGAGACCGAAACTTATTATCCTAGTCACAGGAGCGAGCGGTGCCGGAAAGGACTATTGCGCCGGTATATGGGTCTCCGCCCTCCTCAACTGTACCCATAAATTCCTTACAGTACGCATAGCTAGCATTAGCTCTGCGACCAAGCGGGAATACGCGGCGGCTACTGGTGCAGACCTGAACCGCCTACTTCAGGACCGTGCCTACAAAGAGGAGCATCGGCCAGCTTTGACGGCATTCTTCCTGGACCAGGTGCACTATCGACCTCGGCTACCAGAGGATCATTTTTTAAATGTGGTAGACAGCGCCGGGGACGCGGATGTGTTGCTGATCACGGGGATGAGAGACGAAGCACCAGTCCCAGCCTACTCGCATTTAGTGCCAGACAGCAGAGTACTTGATGTTCGTGTTGAAGCTAGCAAAGAGACGCGGCGTGCTCGCCGGAGGTGTCACTCAGGTGACGGTGATATGCCAACGGTCAAGCCCTTGGACTACCGTCCCAGTCTCGTCTTCAACAATGACGCGAGCGGAAACGAGGAAGCGAAAAGATTTGCCGATGACTACCTGCTTCCCTTCTTCGATGAAAGCCTTCTCCGACTAGCCAACATGGTGCGTCCGGCACCCGATTTTCCACGCCTGGGTGTTGAGTTTCGTCATGTGCTCAACATCTCCCAGCAGCCGGGTGGCCTGGACTTATGTGCCTCTCTGCTGCAGACTCACTTCAGCGGTGACTGGACCAAAATCGGAGCGATCGCATGTTGTGAGACTGGCAGCTTTATCTTTGCGTCGGCGTTAGCCTTGAGGGTCGGTGTACCCTTGGCACTGATTCGCGAAGCTGGGAAACTGCCCCCACCTACTGTGTCTGTCCTCAAACATACATCACACATATCCAATTCAAATGAGAAGAAAATCGAGATAGAACGGGGTTTGATCCCCAAAGGCACATCGGTAGTAGTGGTGGACGACGTGCTTGCCACGGGAAAGACACTTTGCGCGGTGTTACAGCTTTTAGGTGAAGTTGAAATTGCTGACGCCAGCGTCATGGTCGTCGGCGAGTTCCCTGCTCATCATGGTCGGGAACTGTTGCGCCAGCATGGGTTTGGCGTTAATATCCAAAGCCTTTTAGTCTTTGATGGTGCCTAAAGGGGGGCACGTTGGAATCCTCAAGTCAAAGACTGTGATCAAATTTGTAGTGTTAATATGGTTTTTGCTACCCTTACCAATTTTATCTACAACTCACTACTAGAAAGAAAAGACGAATATTTACAGGTTGGCATAATTTGTATATTATCATTAGAGATCATTGTAATAGCGTACAATATGTGAAGTTGTGCTTTATGGCTCTCCCAGTGGTCACGCCCATCTCCGTTGCTCCGCTACTCCGCTACTCCGCACTTGATCAGCCTCATCTTCGACTCAACCATGTACGACTCATATCGTTAGTATTTCTATCCTCGTATATGTCTAAGTAACTAACAATTTTTTAGGTCCACACCCTCTCCTCGCCCAGGTCCCACTGACCGTCTCACCCTTCATCAACCTCCCTACCTCCGTCACATTACCCTACACATACAAATCCGTTCCTTCATCTCTACCCCCCTCAGTGACAGTCGATCCAAACAGCCCTGATAGTAAGGCCCGATATGTCATATCCCCAAGCGGTGAGCACGCAGCTCACCCTGACGATGTCCTCGCCGCGTGCAATTCCCTCGAACAACATTTGAATAAGGCCCGCAGCGACGCGGACCAAGCGATCAGCGCTTGGAAAGAGTCAATCAAACAACGCGAGTTAGCCGAAAAGAGACGTCTGGCTCCTGGGTGGCTTGATCGCGAGGAGAAGCTCCTTCAACCTAGCCGAACCAGCAGTTCTCCTGATGCACGGGACGATGCCCATGCAAGCCTATTGGATAGTTCTTCCCCTGAACAGGGCTCTTCGCAGTTGCCGACTATGGTGCCGCATAACGATGGAGAGGAGTTGGATAGAGCATTCGGTGGTCTAGGTTTAAAACAATGAAGGATGGTCTTGCAAGGGGGTTAATCCCCCATTGCTCTTTTAATCACAGGAGTGCTTGAGATTTTCAATTTCTCAATGTAGCACGATCAATCTCTGGAATAAGGTCTCTAAACGATACGCTATATTTCGGGCGGACTTTCCAGCACCGGCCTCTTCTGGGGCCTTGTCAAAGCAGTTTAATACTCCCTGAAGTCTGGGAGATTTCGCTTTGCCGTGGTGGCACTTTGATTGTCAGCGCTAAAGTTACCCATGGATGTTGTGCTTGGAGAGGATGAATGGAGCGAGTGAATTATAAGATGGTACATCAAGTACTCCTTGTAAATGTTGATCTCATCTCCCGTTGTTTGATAGACACCGTGTTGGAAATACCTTGCTTTCTCCTAGTTTGAATAATAACGGTTGTTCTTTCGCTTTCTCGTCTTCTCCAATAACCATAAGAGTAAATAATAATATAAAATTCCCACACGCGTAGTGGAATAGTACAATAAAAGCAATCAAATTATATATTTCCTATTCCGGCTCTACCAAGCTCGCGGAAAAGTTCCACCCCGCGCCGGAAGCTCATTTTCATTCCACCCCAACCCCAAACACCCTTGTCATATCATTCCTTTTTCCTCCCAGTCACACGTATCTATAAAATGGAGGTTATTCGAAGCTCCCCTGAAGCATCCTCGTTCATGCCGCTGGCCGAACACCAGTCGCGCACCCCAAGCTCCTTCTACTCCGGACCCCCAGTACTGTACCACCACAGCCAGCGCTGCAAGATCGTCATCCTCGAGCGCGAGCTACTTGCAACCCCAGCATTGAATGCCCTGCGCGGCCAGGAAGCTGTGAGCAACGGCGCCACAAACCAGGACCAGCAGGATGACGACGAGAAGGAGGTCGCAATCTCAGGCGTGGATACGTGGGTGACATCCGAGTGAGTCTATCAATTTTCCTCCCATTCTAAGGCTAGACACTGACTGATTAATTTATCACCAACAGCAAGTTCTTCATCTACTCCCCCGCCGCGTCAGCAGGCGTGTCAATCCCTTACCCTTCGATCTCACTACACGCACTCCAACGGCTTCGTGTCCCAGACACAGACGCCGAAGTCCAAGGCTTGTATATGCAGATCGCCACGCCTAGTGCGCCCTCCGCCGACGATGAAGAGGAATGCATCACAATGACAGTGGTGCTACCCTCCGATGCTACGCTACAAGAGCCCGTGAATGCGGAGACGGATACACCCACACAGCAGCTTTACGATGCTGTGTCGGCGTGCTCCAATCTACACCCTGACCCTGTAGAGCAGGGCGATGAGGATGAGGAGGATGGTCCTAAATTCATTTCAGCTGAGGAGCACGATGGTGTCTTCCAGCTTGGAAACGGTGATCTGCCTCCACCTGTTGATGGGAGCTCTGGATGGATCACTGCGGATAATATGGATCAGTTCTTTGACGCGGATGGGAATTGGATTGCTGCTGGTGAGCCGCCTTCTTTCCCGCTTGGGCCTGGAGCTGGGACTGTTAGGGCCCGAGAGGAGGAGAATGGGGTCGAAGAGAATGGAGGTGAGGATGAGACCAAGTGGCGCAAGACGGACTGATTTGGATCAAACTGCTTTGAGAGAAAATATGGAATATACGGTGTAGGATTGGCGTTCAAAATGCTCGAGTGGTCGCTAAGTTAACTGACAATGGATCATTCTGCTGGGGTATTGTTCAAGGAAACATAAGAGGAGATTTAGATTCATAACACTAATGATTTCCTTCAATATCAACCTTAGAGAACACACATCAAACATAAAAACAGAAGAAAAAGATGGACCACCAAGCGACAAGCGAAATAAGAAGTAATCGAACAAATAAAAACAGATAGAAGAAAAGGGCACTGAGGTATTGTGCCAGCATCAGTATCAGATACAGTGCATCATAAAAGAATCAAATGAATCAAAACAAAGATTGTCGCTTTCGAAGTCCACAAAAGATGGCAGAATTATGCTTATTCCCGTAGGAACCCGTCTCCGTCATAAAGGCTAGCAGGTGTGGCAGTTCCAATTCCGACGCCGAGCATCTTGCCATTTGGAGTCCTTCGGCGGGGAGAAGTAGGAGTTGATGGTGCATGCTGGCTGGGCATGTAAGGCGGCAATCGTTGGTTGTTTGGCATGGAACGGGGGCGACTATTTTTGGCACGGACGGGGGACGATTCAGGTGTGCGGAAAGACCCAGTGGGAGGTCGCACAGAGGATTTAGTCGGGGAGGTTCGCTTGGAATCCTCAAAGATGGTCACACGATCTTGAACCATTGCGAAGCGGCGTGGAGTGCCATAGAGTGCAGCAGCGTCACGAACTGGTTTGTCTAAACTGCATAGTGAATCACGAGCTCGTCGAACTGAGCGATTCGAGCCATCTGTTTTCCTGTGGTGTAGTGAGTCTCTGGATCGTCTCCAGTCACTGCCTTCGGTTCCTGTAATACTCATAATATGAGGGAGGGGGCTAGGCGATGTCAAAGGACTATCTAGCGCATGGTCGGGGGTTGACGGGACCCGAGTGGGTTGGCTTCGAGCTGCAGAAACACCGGGCTGGCTGCGAGGTCCCTTTACTGCTGAGCGCCGTGGGCTACCAGGGGCGTTCTCGTAGGATGTGAAAGGAGTTTCGGAGAGTCTCCATGCCGGTGGGACTCTTTCGGGAGAGGGAGTGTGAGAGAGAGCGTTGCCGTGAGACGAGGGGAGAGATGTGAACAGTTCAGGGAGAGCACGTTTGTTTTCCAATGGAGGTGTTTTGGAAGGCATGACAGATGGAGCACGGGTTCTCTTCTTGCAAGGGCTGTCATCGTCAATTGGGGGCTGCGGCTCCTCGACTAGTGGCCCAAGAGAGCCCAGACCTAGACCGGGTTTGCCATGTCGACTGCCGTACTTGCTGCGCCTCGAAGATGATTGAGGAGATGTTGAACTTGGTGGCAACGAAGGCAAGGATTTTGCTGGGTTGTTGATTGAGGTCTCACGTAGATCAACCTCCTCCATCTTGTCGAAATCTTCCGGTTCCTCTTCGACAGTAGGAGAGAAAGTCGAGGACCCAAATGTCATAGGTGGATGAATAGAAATACGAACACAATTCTGACGTCGATGGCCCTTGCGTTTTGAATTACCACCTTTAAGTGCAGAGGGAAGATTTCCCCTTTGAGAAGAGAGGCTGTCACGTTGTGACGGGCTTGGTGGCTTCATGATGTTCGATGCCTTTCCGGGTGATCTAACCTGTTGGAACATAATCCCACCGCCAGGCGAGTCAACGTAGAAAGGGTCATCCATACCAAATTGGAATTGATTGGCATGTGGCACAGAGGGCATGTGGGAGCCCGATGATCGCCAGTCAGGCGGGGCTTGATTTTGATATCCCAAATGCTTCACTGGAGTCCCAGACCGGGAGGCGTGCCTTGAAGGGGGATTAGATGAAGACATGGAGTCAGATCGACGTGAGGTACCACTAAAGCGATTGCTGGAACCCAAGTGATGAGTCGTCAAACTTCGTCGAGGTGACGAGGATGCAGATTTATGACGATTTTCAATGGTTGAAGAGGAGCGGATGGGGAAGTTGTGCATAGGCGGTATGGATGTGTTGGTTGCAATGAAACTCCTGCGACCATCCTTGACCCCAACGTCAGCAGCACTGAAAGGTACGGACGTTCCTGAGGGGAAGATGGGCGAGGTCATATCGGTATCAGCGGAACTGCCGTTTCTACCATCATCCAGAATTGAGCTATTTGTAGTATCCAGACTCATTGAGGAAAGCCTCATTACAGAGTCATTCCTAGCGTAACTAAATCTGTCTGGTGGATATGCAGATGGTGGGGGAGGAGGTATTGGGTGGCCAGGCATCAGCCCGGCAGTTTGACTGGCAATACTTCCCCCACGGAGACGAGTGGGAGATTCTTCAAAGGTGGTTGAATCAGACGGGCCAGATGAGTTACGCTCGTCCGAAACAGGAATTCGACTTGACCGCTCTGGTGCTGGTGCTGGAAGGGGCCATTCAGGTGAAACTGGTTTCATACCTAAATGGAACCCAGTATCATCTTCGTTAGGATCTGGTGTTTGCCTTGGGGTGTTTTCTGCAGGTAATTCCAGAATTCCTTCCACCGCCGAAAGTGCGATATCTTCTTTTGATATTGATATTGAAGTTTTAGGTGGCGGACTAGAAAGATGATTGGATTCAGTCACTTCACCTAACGTAGCCAACGAGCTCATGCGTTTGTGGGATGCTCGTGAGAGGCGCTTGGAACGAGATCGAGAAAGGGAATTGCGGAGAGATCGAGCTTTCTCAGTGAAAGATGATTCTGAGTCACGTTTCGGATGATGCAGACTTTCTCTCGACGTTAATTGTCCCCATTCTGTTGGTTTGCCGTATGGAAGATGACCATGCGCTCTCAGTATGCTCCCTTCTGCTTGACTCAGTTCAGTCACGGTATCCTCCGGGAAAGATGGCAAGCCCCGACTGCGCCGTCCCTGTCTCTGCGTGAAGCCCAACAGCCTTATTGCATGACGCTCCTTGCGATACCTGACCCAGACGACGATGCTAACCACCGTGACAGCAATAAAGATTGCCGCGCCGCAAGCGGCTATGGCAATGACGGCCGTCAGCCCCAGCATAGTCGCCTCGCTGGCGCGTCACTGGGCTAATCTCGAGGCTTTATGGACGCGATTGGCGGGTCTGAATTCCTCATCCGTGAGTAGCGGATGGGTTTGAACATGCGATGCTGCGAATTATCGATGTATCAAAACGGCAACAGTGAGGCTTCACAGGGCTGGCAAGTTCATACTCATGGAAGACAACAAAGTCTCACAGGAACAAGAAACAACAAGATTTCCCAGCATTCCATCACGCGGACTGCCACTTGTTATGGGAACATTGATTCCAGCCGAGGAATGCCCATTCATCACCACCCGTGTGAAGAATGTTTGGCGGCCACACTACCCCCTGTGATCCTGTTTCATTAGTGACATCTTAAATGGAATCTAGGGCTCCCCTTTAGACATATTTCTAATGACTAGATAAATAGCTAACAAACCCAGGAAAGTGGTTTAGTCATGATTATTTTCCCCTTTGACAATACGGCGATCAACACCAAAGCGCGCCCTTGACTAACCCTATTTTGTCCAGATATGAGATCCATTGTAATTTCAACTGGCTTTGTAAGCCCAGAAATATAGATTACATAGTAGTAATATAATTAATTGCAGATGTGAAGTTTGCGTTGGATTCTTTCTAACGTGACTGTCAATTCAGTAATATGTTGAAGATTTGTTTATAACTCGAATAATACGGGGGTGCAATCCCCATTCAAGCTTTGAAGTTTGAACTATGTATTTCTAGGGGGAGCACAGATTGCAAGTTCCATGATAAACAGTCGATCAATTCTTCAGCTCTCTGTTTTTACCCCATGTCGAAGAGTTGTTTGAAATTGGTTCATCTGATACCAAATATGATGGATCTTATTCCCCTCAAATGATAATTCTTAGACGCATAGCGTTATCCAATGCCATTGAGGCAGTTATCCACCAAGTTCTATACATAGTAAGGCAAGGCTATGATCTATTCTGATTTCCCCGCGCATCACTCACCGTCTATCGCCTTGTAATCCTTAGAATGGCCCCTCTCTATATTTAAGTGATCTCCCGCCCAAACTTGCCTTTCACTCTTTGTTATTTTCTCTTTACTCTTTGCAATGGCTGCTAACCCTATTACCAAAAATGGACACTTCGTCCACAACAATACTACGGCTCCTGAGCATCCTAACCTCATGAGCATGTTCTCCCTCAAGGGAAAAACTGCCATTGTTACCGGTGCTGGCGCTGGTATCGGTCTGGCCGTTACTCAGGGTTTGGCCGAGGCTGGTGCTAATGTGGCAATGTGGTATAATAGCAACACCAAATGCACCGAGAGGGCCGCTGAGATCGCTGAACAGTACCATGTTCAGAGTGCGTAACTCTACGCAATGTGATTGGCTCCACATTATTCTAACCTCTTCTATAGCCAAGGCTTATCAGGTTGAAGTCACCGATGCAAAGGCTGTTGAAAAGGCCGTGAATGACGTTGTCAAGGAGTTCAATGGCCGTCTCGACGTCTTTATTGCAAATGCTGGTGTTCCCTGGACTCAAGGGCCCATGGTCGATGGTCCACTTGACCACTACCGCGATGTTGTCGCCATTGATCTCGACGGTACCTACTACTGTGCCAAGGCTGCCGCTGAGCACTGGCGTCGCCAGAAGGAGGAAGGTACCGATGTCAACGGTAACAAGCTTACCAACTTCACATATGGAAGCTTCGTTGCCACTGCATCTATGAGCGGTCACATTGTCAACTTTCCCCAGATGCAGGCCGCCTACAACGCCGCTAAGGTCGCCGTCATTCATCTTTGTGAGTTGTCACTCAGACTCAGTCCACTCTCATGATTAACCCATTCTCAGGCAAATCCCTTTCTATCGAATGGGTCCGCTTCGCTCGCGCCAACACCATATCACCCGGCTACGTTGCGACTGAGATCTCTAGCTTTGTGCCCGAGGAAACTAAGAATATCTGGCGCGACAAGATCCCCATGGGTCGTGAGGGTCAAGCCCATGAGCTGAAGGGTGCCTACCTCTACCTCGCCTCCGATGCCTCCTCCTACACTACCGGTGCCGATCTCATCGTGGATGGTGGCTACTGCGCCCCCTAAATCCTCCATCATGACAAACAAAGATAGAGCGATTATACATACATCCCCTCTAAAAGCTTTGTAAATCTCCCAATACACACATACATTTCTTTCACCTATCACTCTATCAATAACTCCAATTGCTCTATAAAAAAAGTACTCGCATGCTTAGATAGAAGAGCTCTACAGAAATTTGTGGAGTAACAAGATAGTGGTTATAAACAACATCGGGTTCGCAACTATCATTATGGGATCTGGTATACGAACGACCTGCTTCGATGCTCGATTGCTCCGCGGCAATATATAATAACAGATTACAGTCACATTTCGGGGTTCCGAGGGGAGTGAATAATTATCAGTAAACTTGTCTGGTCAGAGGTGCGTTACATCGAGTTTGGACTGGCGAATCCAAGCATATAGAGAGACCGGTACCTTCACCAGGAAAAATGGCAGTAGTAAACGATCGTAAGCAGTTAGGATCAAGTTCCGTTCGAATCGCTGTCGAAATGAACACTTTCTGAACTATCTATTATTACACTGGCTCTCGGGGGTGCAAGCAACTATAGTATGGGAATAGTATCACTAGCTAACGTCGCTGCATCATATCAAGGAATAGATCTAAAATTACTTGTGGGCTAGGTATCTTTCACATGCTGTGAAAGCTTGGCATTCGGAGATATTGATGTCAGCGATTTTAATTTGAACATGACAATAGACGTAACGATCAAGAAAAAGTATTCCACCGCTCAGTAGGTATCCCTGGCATGACTCGCATGAATGTTGGCCAAACGCAGACATGTCAGAACCGACAGCATTTCCCCATCAGCACGACCAGCCAAATTTCAGCTTGAGCGCGATTGCCGAAGGACTCCATGAGACCGTGACATCCTTATAGGGCTTGTATCTTTCGACCCTGCAGGATGAGTATCCTTGTAGAAAGATAAATGGCTCAATCCCTTGCGTGGTGTTTGAGTAAAGGTTGACCCCGCCAATGACATATGGAATGCTCTCTACCCCCGCGTGACAGGGCCCGTTGATCGACTGTGACCGAGTCGATCAGCTGCTTTTTCACAAAACTCAAGCCTACAATGTATCAAACATGAACGTATTTCTAGGGTGGAATTTGAAGATTGAAGTAACCCTTTCTCATAACCATCAACTGGGATAACAAGGGAGTCTCTCAAGTACCTAGGTAGTATCATCGCTCAGCTCATCATGTATTCAGACATTCTGCCAAGCCCATGAATGCTGTATCTTGTCCCTAAAACCTCATACTACTCACCCCCGTTGTTGAGCCGTCTCGGGGACAACAAGAGCAAAAACACCTTGCGCAGTCCACTCAACAACCTCATCTACCCAAGCAGACGGTCCCCTTTGGTTGCGTTGATCAATAACGTAAATAGGACGTTCGACTTCAAATTCCCAGGTAGGGATATCATCGAATGGGTTGCATGGTTCAATGACCGTCTCGTCGTCGGCGGAGCTAGACCAATCGGAGTCATACTCATCGGAGGACTCTCCAGTTCCAGGAGGACTCGGTGGTGGACTGTAGGAGAAGAATTCGGGGCTATCTCCATAGGTGGGCCGATATCGCCGACGGTACGGGCCTCCTGCATCTCTGTCGGCCATGTTGAGATCGTCGATTCCAGTTGCGCTATTCCTTTCTGGGGACTGATCAACTATGTCATGAGCAGAGGATTCACTGTATCGACGGTAGCCAGGTGCTGGCATGGAAGAAGTCGCGAGTGGTGGTGGATGTTGTTCTTCTTCATCATTTGTGTCAACAATATTGATTGGTTCGTAACTTGCCTCGGGCATGCCGTTTGGTAGGTTTCGGTTGATGGGAGTATGGTTGGTTAGAAGACGCTGAATCTGTTGGTACACGGGGAGCAGAATGTGATGATGGAAGGCGCCGAGCTGCTGCAGAATAGAAGCATTGTAGACAGCAACAACGAAGACGAATGAGAGCATCAGGCATACAGCCGGGAAGGCAAGAGAAGCTTCCAACATGGTGGCTTTGATTCCTGAGAGTGAACGGGTGATGTGGAGGATTAAAGGAATTGCATCTGCGGATTTGGGGAGGAGAAAAGGAAGGAGAAGCGACCAAGAGGAACACAAATCGACATTGAGCATGCATTGTGAATGAACAATAGGCTGCAATTGTGGTACTTTCAACTGGCGAAAAATATCTAGACTCATTCAACACCTAGCGTCTACTATTTTACTACGCACCTAAGCCCTGTGGCATACCTACTCCTCGCCTATATAAGCTAATATCAATATACATGAAAGGAATAAGGTAGCAAGCCTTTATAGTCAATCACTTATACCCAAATTATATCGCCCAAGTTTTCATAGAGGAAACCTCCTAGTTTTCACGTATCCTGCGCTCGACCTGATGATCTCGCATAGTCACGATGCTCATTCACGATCTCTAAGTCACGCCGCTCCGAGCTTATTTGTATCTCCATATGACCTTTCACGCCCACACGTCATAAATAAAGGGTCATATTTAGTGAACACATTCTAACACTATATTCTGATTGATGCTACAGATCTCTATAGAAGTGTCAAAAATAGGATATTCAAGCATCGCATTGTACAGTGAGACATTCACAATTCATTGTCGACCTGCTCCGCCTTCTTTGTTTGGCTCGAATCAATGGGCCTAAATCAAGGCACCTTTTGTTTCGTCTTTATTTGAATTAGAATCATGGACTCTATTATTTCCTCACTCCCTTTATTCGCAACGCCGACACAAAGGCCTTTCATGCATTGTATAAGTGCACGCCAAACTGCATCGCCGTTCACTCACATCGTTCCTATTTCTCAATCAGATCAAAAAACTTTGCATATACCTTATTCCAACCATCCCTTCAGCCTTACCATGTGTCTACTCATGCGACCTTCCACTATGAAAATTCCTACACGAGCAGACAAAAACCGTGTTACCAAGCGCAAATGTGCGCCGAAGAAAAACTGGACAGAAGCTGTCAAGGAAAAGATTGTACAGTTCCTCACTGGAAAAGAGCTCTGTGGTCTATTTGCTAATAAAGCCAAGTCCTCGCAAAACGTCGCTCTACAGGAAGCCCTCGAATGCACCCAATGCAGAGATCTGCATATTATTCCATACATGATGAATTCAGACATTGCTGCGGGCTCGTACATCACATCAGAATACCCACCTTTCTTCATCAGCAAAAACATATCAGACGAATACGTCTCTCCTTTCGACACAGACATTGCGGCCCACCAAAATAGCAACGTCACATTTTGGGATGATATTACTCCTTCCCAACAACAACATTACTACAGCAAGATTGATGCCATTCTCAAGAAGGCTGAGACTGAGATAGGCAAGACGGCAGACGAAGCTGCCGTTCTTTTTGCCCACTACCAGGTGGACTTCCACATCCGCCAACACTACCTCGCTCCTCGAAGTTTCCTGAATCTATGCCGCTCTAAGGATGATATCAGGGGGCTGAACCGCTGGCAGTGGGAGACCGCCATCTCAGATGAGACAGCATATGCAGAAGTCCCCGACTGGGGTGTGGGATGGGTGCATGAGCCGAGCAATTCTATCGGCCACCAGATTACAGTATGGCGGACGGGAAAAACAAGTCGAGAGAAGCACCTTGCAGAAGTGAGGGCCCGGTGGGCAGAGATCATGGACGAGAGAAAAGAACAGAGGATGCGGACAGTCAAAATTTCGTTGAAGGGCGTGCATGTTCGGACTTACAAGTATGAGCCATGTCAACCGCGTCTGTCAGAGAAGGAGATTGTGCGTATTGCAAGGAAACAAGGTGCACAGTATGAAGCCTGTCTGGATGCTATTGCTATGTGACGAGCGATTCGTTGTATGTCATATACCTATTGAGCTTCTTTTCTTCTGTTTCGAAAAATCAACGAGCTTTATTACTTTCCCTATATATGTTTACTTCCTACTTTGTAAACTGTATAAAACAGACGAGATATAAATATGAAGTGTACATGTATATGAATTTTGCAGTGCTGACCTGGGTAAAGTATAGAGAAAGAGGGTAGTAAAGGGGAGGTAAACCCAAGCAAGGAATCAAGAGAGACTTAGCCCTTGGCTAAATGCCAAGGCTCCTACATGTTTCCCCAGGTCTACGGAAATGTAACGTCTAAATAATAAGTGAAGCTGACCAGAAATTTAGTGGTAATCTAATAATTGAATAGTAAAGCTACAAATTAACCTTGGAACCACTGAGAATGAAACCGTATTCCTAAAGAGAAGACCAATTGTTAGTTCGGGTCAGCATACTCAGTAGAATGAGTGTACATCCTATAGAGAATTATCAAGCCCAAATAATTATGTTCTTCCTAAAGCTTGATGCCTATAACACCTTAAGCCCTCGGTAATAAATATTTGCAGGTTTCATTACCAGGATCCCAAAATAGACATCTTAGGGATGATTGTGTTAGAATGGCTTATTGTAGAAGGTATGCCGACATATAGTGAAGCTATATAGATGCTCACGTGCAATGAAAATTCTTCCATCGAAGACGTCAAGGCGGACTCCGTACCTAGTCTGGATTAGCAGCGGCTGAATCAAAGCAGGCTGAGCCCGAGCCGGGGTTGATCTGCTCTGAGGCGATGGTCTGCATGCATATTTTTGGGGGAAGTCCAAAGGGTTTTTAGAATTGAATTTTGCTCAAATGCTTGCTGGTCCTTGCCTAGTTTACTACCTCCCTAGTATGTAGTATTTTTGCCATTTATTTTGACCAACCGCCTATAACGACGATCAATCTTCAGCGGGATGACATTGGCTAAAATGTTTTAGGCCAGAACATCACTATGCTTAGGCCCTTCCATGGTGCATTCCCCGCGATTACCTGACGGACCTGGGATCTTCCCTTTCGATTACTTCTCTGGGAAGAATCCCCAAACTCGAGAAACTTTACCCCGCCATATCTAGAAATATATGCAAACCCGTGGACGCAGATGTAAATTTGTTACAAGGTATAAAGTGCGAATTGAATGTGAGAAAAGGAGGGTAAATACGTTCAGGCACAGATCTCCCGGCTGTGGCTGGCCCTTGGCTTCAAGGTTATTGATTAAGGCTAAGTCGTTAGAAGGTCACAAGCAATTAGTTACCCGTAGGCCCGTGTTACTTATCCAGCATATAAGAAACCTTGGAAATCTCCATGAATCCTTCATGATTGGCGCTTCAAAGCCCTCCCTAAAGCCCCATTTTTCATTTTTTCTTAAGGCGCTGCGCCACCAATGAAACCCTGACTCTGACTAATCATTGCCATTTCGTCATTAGAAAAATGACTGAAAGCTGTGACCACGTAGATCGGGATTTGTGACGTGGGTATTCAAGATTCTGCACGACGAACAAGGGGGTTTATAAATTGGCCTTATGATCTGAGGGTTACTCCCGGATCCGACTAAAGAAGTAGTCCGTGAAGGGATCAAAATATCAACAGTTAAAGAATTTTATATAGCACACACACACACACATCATTATTATCCCACATTTTCCTTTGACCGGGAAGCCGTAACATATGACGTAACATCGCCGAATAAGGGGGGGTTCCCGAATCACCGGCCCGTGAAAGAGAAGAGTTTCCATACGAACTTGAAAATTATACGTATAAACTGAATAGAATTAAAAATATATATTGTATATAAATGTAATGATAATGATAGAAAAAAAAAAAAAAAAGAAAAGAAACCTCCCCCTCAAAACGAGGGGAACGAACATCCACTGACCCACTGCTGCGGATGAGAAAGTGGGTTGAGCCTTTGGGAATTTATAACGTCGTCAGGTCCTAAACCTGTTACCCAATCCCTTCTCTTTCTCCCACCTCTTTGATCTTCCCTTCAAATCTTCCCCTCTCACATATCTATCCATTTTGAATAACCTGAATAATTATGTCCACCAAGGTCTTACTGGTCGGAGCAGCGGGTGAAACCGGAGGTTCTATCGCCAACGGACTGTTGGATACCGGTAACTTTGTATGCAGCCCAGCTTAAGGTACTACATCAATTGACCCCAGGCTAATTGTGACATTTTTATTCCAAATAGGAGGTCATCGCCCTTGTTCGCCCTATCTCGGCTCAAAAACCAGCTATCACGCGCCTCGAGGATCGGGGATGCCAGATTCGAAAGTGCGACTTGAAGGCTCCAGAGGAGCAGCTTATTGAGGCGTTGGCTGGGATTGATGTAGTTATCAGCTGTGTCGGCCCGGCCGAACAACAAGACCAGATCCCTCTCGCCAAGGCAGCCAAGAAGACCGGCGTGAAGCGATTCATTCCATGTGGTTTCATCACCGTTTGCCCACCGGGCGGTATCATGTGGTTGCGTGACGAGGTATGAAGAATGTGGTACGGTATTCTGGACCAGTGGGCTGATCAGACTTGCTATGCGCAGAAAGAAATTGTCTACAACCAGATCCGTCAGTTGTGGCTTCCCTACACCATCGTTGATGTCGGCTGGTGGTACCAGCTGGCATACCCTCGCCTCCCCTCCGGGCGCGTCGACTATGCCATGACTTCCGGCAACGATGAAATTATTGGCGACGGCAACATGCCCACAGCACTGACCGACTTGCGAGACATCGGTCGCTACATGGCTATGATCATTTCCGACCCCCGCACTTTGAACAAGAAGATTCTCGCCTACAACCTGGTTTCCTCGCAAAACAAGATCTACGAGCTTATGGAGGAACTCAGTGAGGAGAAGGTCGATCGTAACTATGTAAGTGCCATTGACTTCCCCTTCAGAATGAGTCAATGTGGCTAATTAATTTTTTCTTTTTCCGGAGCACAGGTTCCCGAAGAAACCATCTGCAGCAGAGTCGTGGCCGCCCGACAAGCCAGTGAAACTTACCCCTTCGACCCGATTAAGTTTGTTCCGCGGTATCTAGCCGAATATCAGTTGTCTTGGGGAATCCGCGGCGACAACAATCCCGAATACGCCAAGTACCTCGGCTATCACACTACACAGGACCTGTACCCCGAATTCAAACCCACGGATTTCCGTGAATATCTTGAGTCGGTTATTCGTGGCTCCGCTAAGGGTGTCTACACTGATCGTGTGATCTCACGGAAGCACCAACGACACTTCCCACGTACCGAGTCCAGCGATTCCCTCTACACGCGCATCTTCCCTCGCACGGAGTCAAGTGACTCGCTCATGTCGCGATGAATTGATGAATAGGAAACCCTTCTTGACGTATCTCGCGTTACCCCTCCGTCTCACCCAGGGAGCGACTGCGCTAGACAAACGCCGGTCCCGAACCGCTGCCATTTGGGAATATTTGACACAGACTTTTATGATATCTCTCTACTCCTCCTCTGACCCCATTTGACGGGGCCATGGAACTCAGTATGCAACCGACTGGTGCTTTTTTTGGGGGTGTCGATTTTTGGGCGTTTGTGATTTTGTGGCCTTTTGATAGACGCTGGCTACTTTCGGTGCCACCTCGATGGGCTTGGTGGCAATCCTTAGAGCTAGCATGGGAAATGCTTCTATTTTTTTTCGTTTATGCCATTCTATTTCGACTGTCCCATGATGGGATTTCTGCATATAGAAAACAAGAATACTTATGCGGCCCTGTGATGCCTTTTCAGTGGTCTTTTCAGAGAGGTCTTCTCAGATATCATTTTGCGTAGATCTCATGTCTATAGGTCGACGGCAAAAAGAAGAAAGCAGAAAAAGGCTTTGTGCAGACGACTTTTTTATGTATAACCTTTGATATATATATCCCAATGATCTGTGATCACAACCGGTTGTGCCTCGTTCTTTCCCATACTTGCACTTGCACAACCATCATCCCGACTTCTGGAACTCCCCAGAGGCCTGCCCTCGCATTTGGTCTTTGATTCACGTTTTTGATCCCTACACTAGGTAGCTCATTTGCTTTACCTAACCTCAACAGCCAAGCCTCGTGTTCGTATCTTTCTTTTCGAAATATACTCTAAAAAATGATTCCGCGACGACGACTTGGGTCGCGGTCCTCTGCCTGCGAACTCGGGCCCATCAATGCTGGGCCAACTCCACAAACCAACCCTGAAGCGCATCAGAATGAACATGCCCTGGGCTTCACCGATATATACGGGTCATTGACACCCCGTCAAATCAGTATAATCAGTGTGTATCCCCCACCTTGTACACGGGACCTATATTCTAACACAGGCTTGCAGTCATTGGATCGGCGATTGGAACGGGCTTAATGGTCGGTACTGGGAGAGCATTGTCCATGTAAGATTCGTTCCACATACGAAGCGGGTCTTTTCTATGGTCAAGCGCTGAACAACGCTGACTCCAACACAGGAGCGGCGTAAGTTATTCTCTAGGAATCTTACGGGCAAAGATATTGATCTGTTGCAGCCAGCGGCTATAATAATCTCCTACACCATTGTCGGATTCGCGGTTTATCTCGTCCTCTGCGCCTTGGGTGAGGTGGGTTCGTGGTTACCAAAACCATATACCGTTGCAGATCAAGCTTTTCGATTTTGTGATCCTGCACTCGGATTTAGCTTGGGCTGGATGTAAGTTCCCCTATGAGCATCTGGTTTGCACTATTAACTGATCGCGCCCCCAGATTTTGGTTGAAATATGCTGTAGTCACACCCAACCAGCTCACAGCTGCAGCGCTAGTAGTCTCTTATTGGGTGGATGCTGAGCGAGTCAATCCTGGTATCTGGATCACGATTTTCCTTTCCGTCATTGTGATTCTCAACTTCATCGATCACCGCCTCCCGAGTAGAGTTGAGTTTTATGTCTCCTCATTCAAGCTTGTTGTCATGCTTGGACTCATGATACTTTCTACCGTCATTGCTCTGGGAGGGGGTCCGGATCAAGATCAAAAAGGGTTCCGATATTGGTCGTACCCCGGTGGTTTCGGCACTCATCGCCATCGCGACCACGGATTGCTAGAGAAGTTCTACATAACCTGCTCGACAATGTCATCTGCCACGTTTGCGTACATCGGCAGCGAGCGGTCTGGCATAGCTCACTTCCCGAACGTTCGAAAGGCTACCTCGAGGGCTATCCAGAACACCTTTTATCGAATCATGGTTTTCCATCTTCTAGCAATCACTCTTCTTGGGATGATCGTCCCCCAGGGCTCGGTGTCTGTGGCGTTTTCTAATCCGTCCTCCCACGAGGCTGCCGCATCAGCATTTGTTGCAGCTCTGTATTTGGCAGGCATCTCCGTATTACCGGACTTGTTAAATGGATGCATACTGCTGTTCGTGCTGTCAATCGCAAATTACGATCTCTATCTGGCAACCAAGGCAATGTGCGATCTCGCAGTGAAGCACCGTGCCCCTGCTTTTCTATCACGCACTACCCGGAGAGGCGTCCCAATCTACGCTTTGGCTGTGTGCTCGTCAACTGCAACATTAGCATATCTTAACGTCAACCAAGACTCAACCGTTGTTTTCGGATACTTCGTGGACATGGTCACAATGCTCGGGCTGCTCACATGGATTTCCATTCTCATCACCCACATATCTTTTGTGCGAGCGCGAAAAGCACAAGGCATTCCGGACAAAGCTCTAGCCTTTAGAGCTCGCTTCGGTCTACCTGGGACGTGTTTGGCTCTCGCTCTCTGCTTGTTCATCTCCGTCACCATTGTCTTTGACTCTTTCAGCTTTGATTCGGGCGTGCGGAAATTTGACGTCAAATCCTTCATTGCCTCATACATCAGCATTCCCCTCTACATCTCCTTGATGGTTGGCTACAAGCTCGCTGTCCGCAGTAAAAGCGTTGATCCCAAAGAGGCTGATTTATGGACAGATAAGATTGATCTGGGGAATTATAGGGGGGAGGGGCGCACAGAACGAAACTCATTGTAATGGTAGCTATGTATTCTGTAGCTCAATGGGTAGTCCTTGGCTACGAAGAATCAGGAACCTTGGAGTGATCAAGGATTCTGGCCATGTTGAAAAGAGAAAAAAAGCAATTACCACTCTCCTGAATGTCTATTCCCAGCATTTTACATATCTCTCCAGCTTCGATCACTATCTAGCATATTCTAGACCCTATATCAAAGGTTATACATGGAAAAGTCCATTGCACAAAGCCTTTCCAGCCTTTTTTTTTACCGACGCCCTATGAAGCTGAAACATCTAAATAGAAACATTGAAGGACCACTAAAAAGACATTACAAGGCTTATATGGCCTCCTATTCTTGTACCTTGAAAAACTACATGTAAAATTGCCCCGTTGTCACAGTGACACGTCAGACGCTAATTGCATCTACCCGAAGTTGGCGCGGGTAATCACCTAGACATTTGCATGAAACTACTCCGTATATGGAGTAGTAGATAGTAGAGAACTGCGTGCGAGAACTTCTAAAATTGACGAGTCAGAAGTAATTTTGTTAAGACATTCATTTAGGTGTTTGTTTACCCCCACCAATGTCGGGACTAAGAATCTCCTCGAAACCATTTCATTTTCCCACAGATTCCTATTTCTGAATGGGAGCTGTGCTCTTCACAACATGGAGCCAATTACCCCACAACACCAAAAAGAGGATTTCCGCACTTTCATCACAAGAGTGAACATCAAATTTGGTCTTGAGATCCCCCTCCCTGGAATTGAGTCCCCTTCAGCTCGAGAGAGAGATACCAGCCTCCCTAGTCAGATCTACAAGCATATTCGCCCATTGTTCTTCAATAACAAGTGCGATAAGAGAAGTTTGATCTACAACCTCGAGGAATGGGTCCGTGGAAACCTACCGTTGGACAAGACCCAAGTCCAGAAGCCTGTCTATCGAACCAATGCAGATCGACGGGCAAGCCAACGGCACCAGAGCGAGGAGCCCGCGCTTCCACTCTCGCTCACCGACCTTGAAAAGGATATGTGCATGAACCACCTGTTGAAGCTCATGGATGATGAGGAATGGCTTTTGACAAATGGTCGGGTGGTCAACACCAAAAAAAGGTTAGCCGCTAATTCTTTTGGGGATGCCAAGGGCTTATTACCAAAGAAACGAAGGTTTGAAGAAGATGAAGACGAAAAAGATGACTTCCACACTGCACCTAATTCCCCAGTGAAGGGGTCTGTATTAGCTCTGCCCCCTTTAGGAAAGAACGGGGATGGAGGACTACAATTCCCCGAGGTGGTACAGGCAGCATTTCAAGGCCCTCGAAGGACTTCCGGGGTTACGAACTTGCCGGTCAATAGCCATCGGGCGGTTCAGTCTTCTACACGGGGGTCGGTAGCAATTGCGTCGCCAGCAATAAGTCAAGTTCAGCCACCCAGAAGAAACGATAGACCCATTCAGTCGCCTGAGAAGAGCCAAGAGAGTGTCCGTGTACCAGCGAAGTATTCGGCGACCTTTCCTCCGCCAGCAAAGGCGCAACCAACCCAGGGCCAAGGGTTCCACCAATCGCTCCCTAAAAAAGTGGTCACTAAATCACCACCCAAGCCTCAAGGCAATATCCCCCCTCCGACGAGGTCGACCAGCGCTTCGTCGCCAGCGAAGGTTCCAGGGGCTGCCCAATCACCCGCAAAGAATCCTGGATCTGTCCAATCGCCATCCAAAACCCCCAAATCGGTCAAATCACCCTCCCAATCGCCGTTGAAACAGATGGATCTTCGATCGTTTGGGTTCGTCAACAGCCCCAGCAAAGAAATCTCTCCCGTCCGGGAAGATGTTGAGTTCAAGAAGCCTACTTTATTTGAAAAGCTTAGCGCGGTATCCAATGAATCTAAGCGCAATAGTATGACACAGTCGTTCAATGCCACCTTTTCGACGAGGGTCCCTTCGTCGGTCTTTACGTCTCGCGATTCTAGCTTGGGGCAGTCATTCGATTCGGTCATGACAGACGCGACGGAGCCAATGGATACCCAATCAACATATGCAGACTCAGTCGTCGGGTATATGGCTAGCGACGAGATGCTAAGGAGCGTGGACGCTACTGCTATTTCCATGATGGTAAATTCCGACCCCGCTGAGACTGAGTATTCCCTCAGGCAGGAGTTCATCGGTGAGCTTCTTTCTTACGGCCCGTTTTCAATGGAAGAATCCTTCTCGGCGACAATTCCATTGCGATTCCGATATGAGCTGGAACGCATTGGACGTGCTTGGGGAATTCCGTTCAAACAAATACTCGTTGGCGACCGTGTGAACTTTAACACCCAAGATGATTTCTGGTCATGGGTTAGCGGGCTTGGTCGACGTTATGACCGTCCGCTGCCAGAGAGATCGCCGCGTCGGGCCTGGGATGCTGCTGTTGGTGATTTCAAATCAGATAAGCATTCAGAGGTGGTGGTATTGTCAGGAGACTTGGACTGGTGTGACGAGTCTGAGCCGGGTGTTTTCAAATTAAAACTCAACCCACTCAAGCCAGAGCGGACGTGTCGATTTCACCGTAGATTTGGGTCGGATAGATTCCTGACCCTTACCATTCCAGCCCCGGATCGGCCTCCCGCCCATCAGAAACAACCTTCTTATCCATCTGTCCTTCGTGAGAGTATTGCTTCCTGGCTCACACGGAATGATCATCATTGCCTCGGGCGGACCTGGCGAGCTTTCTATGTCGAAGAAGTAAAAACTAAGCGAAAGGCCAAGAGTGAGCCTCGATTTCGAGTCGAGTTCTTCGCCATTGATGGTAGCGACTTTGGTCATGGGTATCAGTTACCGCCGGTGGTGACCCCTCCTCGACAGCAAAGTGACAGCCATACTACGATGAGTGTAGATGCTTTGCTGGAATGGCATATGCCAAAGACTGCGAATGCGAATCAAAGCAATTGCAAGCTCTTTCAGCGCATATCTCTGGGCTTGTCGAAGACATTTGCGACGGTTACCTTAAAGCCAACGCAAGTGCTTCGTTTGAGAGATGATCCAACCCGGCCTGTCATGAATGATGGATGTGCTCTGATGTCGAGGAATCTTGCGAACCAAATTTGCGATCAACTGGGCATAACCACTGCCACGCCTAGTTGTTTCCAGGGCAGAATAGCAGGCGCAAAGGGCCTCTGGATGGTTGATTGCCATCAGTCTAGTATCACTACCGTAAACGACGATGACATCTGGATCCAGATCTCCGACTCGCAGTTGAAAATCCATCCTCATCCAGAGGAATGGGCTGATCCGGCTGACGATGAGAAGTTGACGTTCGAGGTAGTCAACTGGGCTAAACCATTGCACCCTGTTGACCTCAATATCCAGCTTCTTGCAATTCTAGAGCATGGTGGTAAAGTGAAGGAGTATATTGCCCAGCTCACGCGTGACGGTATGCAGAGTCTTTACGACGACTTCCTTGAGGTTCTTCGATCAAACAGCCCCGTGGTTTGTCGAGCCCTGCTTCAGAAGCTCAGGCCCTCTGGTGAGGACGGAACTGGCAAAGCTCGACGAATGGAACAGTGGATGACCAGTGATGCTGAGTCTATCATCCGTTTCTCAGAGGCTGGCTTTGCCCCACGCGACTTTTTCCCCCTCCGGTTGAAGATCCGCCAATATCTGACATGGCTTCTTGAGCGACATGTTGAAGAGCTCAAAATCCAAGTTCCTCTCTCCACCTATGCATACTGCATTGCGGATCCATATGGAGTTCTCGGACCGGACGAAGTTCACTTCGGCTTCTCCAATAATTGGCGGGATCCACAGGGTCAGTTTGAAGACAACCTCCTCGATGGGTTGGATGTTCTCGTGGGCCGACTTCCAGCCCATCTACCGTCTGATATTCAACGGCGCAGGGCTGTATGGAAGACTGAACTGCGCCATTTTAAAGATGTGATTGTATTTCCCACCACAGGAAACTTTCCACTAGCCGGTATGCTATCCGGGGGAGATTACGACGGCGACACGCCATGGATCTGCTGGGATCCAATGATTGTCGAGAAATTTAGCAATTCCAAAATGCCCGACCATGAATATCCTGTAAAACACTATGGCCTCACGAAGCACTCCGTCCCGATGTCTTCGCTAGAGTCGACGGAAGACTTCTTGGAAAGTGCGTTCGCTTTCAACCTCACTCTTTCAAGCCTGGGTCGATGTACCGCTGAGCATGAGAAACTGGCATACGATGAATCAGTCGACTCTCCGAAAGCGAAAGAGTTAGCCTGTCTCTTAGGTCATCTTGTAGATGGTCGGAAAGGTGGAGTCCACCTTTCAGAGCAAGCCTGGAAAGTATACCGCAAGACCGTCAGCCCTAGGCAACGTGAGCTTCCCGCGTATCGTAACACAGACCGCAAGTACAACCGTGATAACATTGTCGACTTCCTCAAATTTAAGGTCGCACGGTCGGAGCTTCGCAGAATTCTGTCAGGTCTCAACGAGGCATTCCCTGAGAACGACATCCAGAATCAGCTCGACGATGATCTTCTTCGTCCGTGGATTGAAGCCGAGAAAGAATCGAAGAGCAGTCAAGAGTTAAAAGACGCCCTTGATGAAGTTCGAAGGTCGATAGACGAACAATACAAGCTGTGGAACCAAGGACACTCTGCTTCTACCGGCGACGAATTCTCTGCTATATCACGTCAAGCTGCCCAGACTGCAGCTGCACTCCCTCCTCCCCACGCCGGCAAACATCCGCTCATCCACACTTGGCAAAATAGCCGCAATGAGTGGCGACAGTTGGTAGCTTCGTATGCTTACCGCCGTTCTCCAAACTCCCGGTTTATTCTTCATGCCTTTGGCGAGACGTTGTGCGAGATCAAGGCGTCGGTCTCGCCATCCCGTCTTGTGACTAATGAGGTGATCGCCTGCTACCGAGTGAATCAGAAAATGGTGGCACATCTTACAGCCAATGAATTGCCTGGGGATGAGAGCGACGATGCGGATGAGTATGAAGATGGAGATGCTATTGAAGCCATGCTATCCTTTTAGAAATGGTGGATTGGACAAATTGTCCATTGAATGAGATATGAGTGACGCCATGACCTTGCATTTGATATGCCCATTCTGATTCTGAGCGATATTTTGAGATGCCTATGACTGTTGAACATCTATGGATATGACATAGATGCCTTGTTTTACATACAGGTACCTACATATGTTAGAGTTGATTCCCCATCTATGTATGTTGTTACTTAACAATAAAATAGGTTTCAACAAATATCAGACATTTGCCTAAATGCTGTAAATTATGGCTGAAATAACTCCATATTGATACAGAGAGAGTTCATTCTAGTCCCCAAATGTCAACTGCTAGAATGCCCCCACGTCACATGCCGATCTTGATGAGCCGGAATAGGAAGCACAGGCCCAACAAATATAAGATTGGGCCTATAAATTGAAAAGAACTGAAAGAATATATCCAGCCAAGTATTAAAATACATTAATACCCTTGGCAGGCTCATAAGTAAATCTCATACCCGGTGAATGGGGCAGCAAATGGGAATCGCAGGCCATTAAGATCAATAATCAGCTTTTACGTAGACGTGTGATAGGATGGGGCAAGTCTTTCCGGGAGAATGTCAATCCATAGTACATTACATGCGTACAACGTACGGAGTAGGAAAAAAAAAAGAAGTGCAACCGAAGTACTCCGGAGCGAACCAAACACCATGCTAACTAGAATTGCACTGGCTATGTTGCAGTGGAAAAAAGCTGTCAGGGATCAAGAGCAATCACATTCGTTTTCGTATTTGACCTGTCGAGCACATCCTAGCGCATGTTGGGGTACATTGATGCACACAGAAGTACTACAACAGTCGAGTTACTCGGTACATTTGGCAATGATAAAAATGGAAACATAGGGAAACGATGAACCTAAGGGTTCATGGTGCCTTTTTTTTCCGGGATGGAAACTTCTCCGTGAGACAAATATGTTTTTCCGTATAATCTACAAATGTAGTATGCATTGCGATGAGTGTGGATTGGACCTGGGTGGAACATGTGTACGGACGAAGGGATTTCTAGTATTGAAAACCCTATACAACATACAAGGCAGAGGCTACATTGTACTCCATAGGGATTGTACAATTGGTTCAGATTTTCCATCTTGAATGGTAAATAATTCATTTTCGGTAATATCAAAGCTGAGGGGCGACAGTTTGTTGGGGCGAGGGACAGACTATTTGACATGTGATGAGAAAAGGTACATGGGTTACCATAGCGGAATGTATGGCCGAACAGGTACCGTGGGAATGTGATTACCTCACTCACTTCCTTCCTAATTAGGTCTAGTGGCCTGACACTTTTTCACGTGAAAGACGATACGATGCGAATCCGACGTCTTTGGGGTTCAATATTCTTCTCTATGGACGATCTGTGACCCGCCATGGAACCTCCGAAAGCCACTAGGCCAAAACCACCTGCCCAAAAGATAAACGCCACACCTCTAACCTCGAATTCATTCCCCTCCGCGCTTACAAGTAACCTTGCCCCATCACTTACGGCTCCGCCTTATCATAATGCCCATCCATCAGTGATGGATCTTGATAAAGAAGATCGATCTCGTCGAGCTGCCAGTGTATTATCGATGGATGATCTCGAAGCTGCACAAGCCCTTGAGGGGCTTCGCTCCGGTATGTCGCTCTGATATCGCGAATCAGCCCACTAAAAGTGTCGCAACTGCGGTTTCCGCGAGATTGGGATAGCTATGCGACGGACATCCAGCTAATTTCAGCAGATTTTGGACAATCGCCTCGAACAGCGCGACAATCCCTTCCAGTCACTTCACCGGACCCACCACCACCAGAGCCACTGTTGTCTCTGCTAACTTCTTCCCATCCCCTCATCTCCTCTGCTATCAACGGCTCAGTTTCTGCGTACGCCACCTCGAAATCATACTCGCCGCGATTCAAGTCTGGTGCTGAATTCATCGAGCGCAATATCGGATCACCTGTCGCGAACACCGTCGGTACGGTAGGCCGCAAGACTGGTGTCGAGAGCGGTCTCCGATGGGCGCTGCAGCGACGAGATTCTACGAACGAAGACGCAAAACACGACCCAAAGAGACGGAAGATGGATGGGAATGTGTCGCCGAAGACGAATGCGGAGAAGGGACCAGATGGTCCAGCGCACCCGCCCCGAACACGGAGCTCGTCCGATCTCTCCATGGCCGAGTCGCTCCCTCCGTATGACGAAATAAGGTCCCCTCACTATGAAGAGAAACCAGGCCGACGTACTGAGCCGACATGGCAAAGCCGACTAGTTATTTCGACTTCCGGACTCGGAGTCGCCATGAGCGATGAATCGCTACGTAGTCTGCAATATTGTCTTACTTGGCTTCGATGGGCAAACGGTCGACTAGGCAAGTCCATTGTAGCACTACATAGTGCAGTTAACGAGTGGGAAGCCCACAAGTCACAATCGCAATCGGATATGGAGGCAGGATGCAGTGGGCAAGACAATGCCTCATTGCTTATCCAGCGCGTCCAAGCTGTCAAGGCTGATGTGCTATCGACCTTGAAACAGGTAGTGGATGTGGTTTCCAAATATGCAGGAGGCGCCCTGCCAGAGAATGCCCGCCATCTAGTTCGTCGACACTTGACGTCTTTGCCCCACCGCTTCCAGGTTGCATCCACATCGCAGCCGCCACCCGACTCCCCAGCTGCCTCCTCCGATGCCACAGTCAGTGCGCATCGCATCCTGGTGCTGGCCCAAGAAGGTCTAGACATGATGGCGCAGGTCAGTGGTGTCGTCAATGACACATTGGTCAGCGCTGAGCACTGGTGCGAGCGACTGGGCCGCAAACGACCCCAAAACGGAGCTTCATCCGACATGCCAGAGAAGCAGGGCGAAGCTGCTTCCGACGCTCAACCGTATGGCATGGATATCAAGTCTCTTCCAGAGAATGCAATTCAGGACGATGTCTCGATGTCCGGGATGGAAAAGGTATGAGCTCGTCCAAACGTTTGCTCTCGTCTTTCTTTACATATTTTCTATTACCGTCACTTCTTGCCTCTCATGTCGGCATCTCTCTTATGTCTTCCTCCTCCGGGGCCTTCTTTTCTTTTCTTTCCATTTTTCTTATGATTGATATCCTTTCTGCTATCTTCATTCCATCTGGAGTGATAGGAAAACCTCCGGAAATTATGGAGTTTGTTTATTTAAGCGTGCGATTATTGTTTTATTTTGGATGGGCTTGTCCTACTTATAGTTATGGATGGTACGGTTTTTCGGGGTATAGATATATGCAAAGAGGCTGCGCGCTCAAGCTGAATGAATACAGGCTATTCATCGATTTACACTTGAATTTGTCAGGGGATCGTGTGATCCAAATCCTGCTAACCACATGTTTGCCTTTCCGTCTAGACGCCATTGATATGTCGTGTCTATATCATTTCCAGCTTGTTCACGGTCTCTTTGAGCAAGAGACTGAGCCACAAGCTTAGACCGAGGAGCTTCTGCAATCGTCCCCTGCTGGGTTTATTCGATGCTTGACTAATTATAAGCAAGATCCAAAGACAGCAAGCATACCGGCTAATAGTCAGGCAAGGTTTCACTGTTGACATAAAATGTATCATGAGTGCTGCTGAAGCCATTGAACTGAGTAGCAGTGGTACTTGTATATGCTGGAATTGGGTCAGTTGAATTTTCAAATATAACATGACAATACTCACCTCCCATGTTTTTATATTTGATCCAATCCCCAATCTTGACTTCAGAATCAAGTGTCACTTCGCGCACAACACAATCGGTGCTGTCACATGTAGGTCCCCAGATCGAGTACCGATGAGATGTTACTTGATCGTTCTTCTCTTCCCCTTTTGATTTATGACCCCTTTTCCTACTCTTGACCAAATAAGGAACCACGATCTCTTTCTCCATAATGACATTCATAAAATTTCCATATATGCCATCATTTTGATAAAGCATGTCTGGAACAGATAGAGCAGCACTCCCAAGCTGACGGCGACGTGAAATCACTCGACATACAAGAGTATACACACTACGAGCAAAAAAACGACCTGGTTCGGCGATCGTTGTGATACCAACTGGAAACTCCGACCGAATTGCCTCTCGAATAAAAGGGGCCATAGACTCAAAGCAATCATCTTGAAAGCCGCCGCCGATATCGAGAATTTTGGGGCGGAAACCTAGTCGTTCAGCTTGTGAAAACGCCAGACGTGCATCTTTGATGCCCTTGCAAAATGATTCGGGGTTGGTAGCACCTGTCCCTAATCATCCGAATGTGAATAAATATAATCAGCAAAGGAAATTAGAGAATTCCAAGTACTTACCAACATGAAAGCTAACACCAATCACATTCAGTCCAAGCTCCCAAGCTCTTGAAAGTAGCTCCTCGGTCGTATCCAACTGCGCACCGAACTTTTCGCCCAAACAAATAAAAGCACCCTCGTCATTTGCATAGATACGAAGTAACAGCTGAGCTTCTGGCATGTGTGCGCTGATGGTATCCAATTCGTCGATATTGTCAAATGTCGTTCGCAAGACACCAACCTCGCGTGCAAAAGCTACAGCGGCGGGGGCTTTGCATGGGTTAGCGAACAGAATCCGGGCAGGATCCACACCGAGACTGAGAACTGCGCGTATCTCCTCAATTGAAGCGCAGTCGAACCCCGTCCCCAGTTCGGAAAGAACTTTGAGGAAGGTTGGGTCACAATTGCATTTCACCGCTACCAAGGCGTTAGTTTTCTCGATGAAGATGACAGGAGAGGAGTTCTATACCATAATACGGTCGTATTCCGCGCATATTCTGGGTCCAACGACGATGCTGTCGAAGTATCTGGCCCAAATCGGCAACGAAGAATGATTCATCGCCACCAAGAGGTCGTTTTACTATACGGGCAATGTGACTCTCAATGGCGAGATCGACTAGCTCGTCTGGTGGGAGGTTCCGATATCCGGTGACATGTATGACTTTGCCAATGGCCACGGCTTCACGGGGAGCAGGGAGAAGGGCCATGATTGTGGAAAATAGTCGATCGAGAACTGGGGGAAATGGCGAGGTCTGTAACTGAAACAGCATTACACAAACATATGTTGGACTATAATACAAAGCCCTGTATATGAATGTCCTTTTTAGAAAGATCACTGTGGTCTTCGGCGCCATGCGAACAGATCGTTCAAGGAGGCTTAGACCACCGATCAACTAAACGGTGAATAAAAGCTAATAAAAAGCACACTTGCATGCAATTGAAACGCTGCATTACGTTGGATCTTACGGAAAGGAATAAGCAACAAGTCACACGGGAATAAAGATCTCACTTCTCTACTCTGTAAGAGAGCGTATTATATTTTGAGACAAGTTGCGTGCTTTTAGGGCTATACGGAGAATGTATTATGTGCACGGGAAGACCTGCATTGACTAGTGACGAGATCGGTCAATTAAGCCACTTCTGCATATGGAATACTAGATGCTTCATATGACAAACGTGATCAGCTCAATAATTATCACCATAATGTAGTAAAAGGCAAAACTTCGGAATGTCACACATGTACATTGAGGTCATGTTTACAAATAGCAGGTAGTGCGAGATGTTGGTAGCATTAGAATAAGCTGAGATGCGGACTTCAGCCCTAAAAAGTCCATCGGAGGCCTTCAGAGAATCCGCTATGGGCTTCTTTCAAGTTGTGTTTTAACTGTATTTGTCGGCTTTGTCGGGTAATTATGCTGTTACACGTCGAATAGACCTATGTCAGACTTAGGGCTCTCTTAAATTTACCATCTTTGCTACTAGTTGTCTTGAGCCAGCTATAGGCCCTGTAACATTGGTATAGCTCCCTCAAGCCCGAATATTTCGAATTTCACAGGCCAGAATCAGAACGAGAAATGGAATATCGTGTTCAACATTCATTGTGATACCTAAGAATTCGAGCTAAATGTGTATGCATGTTGACAAAGCTTCTTATTTTTAACCCGACTGGGAAAACAAAAGTATCTCAATGCCACGTCCTTTGGTTTATTGGTCAATTCACAGGAACTTGCTGGGTGACGCAGTGAAATACTCCCCCAGTAAGGGGAATAGCGTTGGCATACACCTGCCGAACCACACGCTCAGGAAGCAACTGCTGAAACATTTCCAGGGCTTTCTTATCCCTTTCTTCATCACCGAATTTAGGAATTATCAGACCCCCATTAACAAAATAGAAATTCACATAACTGGCCGACAGTTCATCGTGATCTGATTTCACTAAGCCTCGTGGGTCGGGTTCTTCGATGGTGTGGATTTGCAAGTGTCGACCCTTAGCATCTGTCTCGCGGTCCAAAATCTCCAGGATCTCTGTAGACAGCTCCTTCCACAAGTCAGGCGAAATGGTATGTGGTTTTGAGTAAGCGATGACACCCGGGCGCACGAATCTTGCCTCAGCGTCCATATGCACGTCGGTAATATCGACATTGCGCCGCCCTGGGAACCATATCACTTTTTTAATTCCGAGGAGCCGCTTTAACTCCGCCTCAATATCGGCCTTGGATAACCCTGGGTTGCGCACATCACATACAATGCTACTCTCCGTGATAAGCAGGGTTCCCTCACCGTCGGTAACGAGAGCACCGCCCTCGGCGCGAATCGAAGTCTCAACTTGCGTAACAGGGCTAGGCTCGCAGTCATGTTCGATTACCCACCGCGCAAAATCCGCGTTTTCCTGCAGTGCCTTCTCGTTCATCACGGGCCATCGCTGACCCCAGCAAATTCCGTCGTCTTCGGGTTTCTTTCCTCCCCATTCGTTGAACCGGAAGTTGATTGCGAAGCGTTGGTTTGGGGATGTCCCTGTCGTGTCGCGCACGTATACTGGGCCTGTGTCCCGTACCCAGCAGTGGTTGATTGGACACGGAATGATAGATATCTTTGATGTGTCTTTCACGAAAGTCTTGACTAGAGACTCGGCCAATTGGATTTCCTCGGGTCTCACGTGCAGCCGAACAGGTTCAAACTCAGTGATTGCCGCCGCTAGCTCAGCTAACTCATTGCACACAGCATCATATTGATCGGGGGGTAGAGAACATCGAGATGGTAACCCCATTATTGTGGCTTCATGGCGCTCTGACTCTGCTGGGAAGACATAACTGCTTGGTTGAACTGTGATTTCATTGCTTATATGAGGGGATTGGAGCAGGGTACGTGTGGTGGTATAAAGGGTCGACAGCAATGTGTGGAATCGCTCGAAAATCTTCATGTTGGTAGTCACGGATCCTCGCTCTGTTCATGGCAAGCTGGACTTTCTCCCCTTCTTAAAGATGCAATTCAGCTGCCTTAGCACTCATTCTCGTACGTTATCTACCAGTGTAACTATGACTGCTACAACGTTACTCACGATTATCAAGTTGTGTTCTTGGTACGGAATGGTATTTCCCCATTCAATCGCTAAACTTCACCTGCAGTGATGCGGAACAATACTAAATCTACCTGAGCTGACTTGTCACCATCAATGCTATAAAAGAAAGCCACGTTTGTATTACTATACACAGCCTGACACATGCTACTCCCCCAGCAGGAATTCACGTTCCATTTCTTCATCAGCAGACTCAGTCCAGGAGACGTCTTTCGTAGGACCACTGAGCCATAACATAGGCATAGCAGTAATCGCAGAAAGAACTCCCAGCCCAAGAGTCATAACTTTCCAGCCATATTGGAACTCCACAAACCCACCCACCATAGGTCCTAATCCCAAACCGCCAAAACGTGCCATATTCTCTAAGCTAAAAGCCTGAGCCACGGCTCCCCTACCCCCAAAGACCCACGGGTCTTCGGCTTCCATGTCATCCAGGATACGCTGAATCTCCATTATCAAGGCCCGCTTGCATGAGTCGATCCACATTCCAATAAGGCCCAGAAGCACACCAAGAAGAGCTATGTGCGATGGCGAGTTTTCCCCAACGAAACGAAGACAAATCAGACTCGGGCCTAGAATGACAAAGCTTGCACATGCAATCACTCTCGATCCGAGGCGATCAGATAAAAATTCTAGAAATAAAGTCAGGAACATGTAATTGAAAGGGTGATAAGGTATTCGGCGTACCAAAAAAGGGTTGGAAAATAGCTACTGAAGCACCTGGCAAGAATATCAGACCAGCACCTAGAACACTCCACTGGAATGTATCCTCCACAAAGACTGGGAGTGTCTATATAGGACTGTTAGTTAAATTCCAACAGAAGAAACTGTATTCCATACCGCATCAAATGCCGAGACCACAAGAGCCCCAACTATAACTGCCCAAAGGCTAATAAGAATCCGTGGCTGCTTCAGTAGCTTCCCCAGCGCAAAAGTATTCTTATAAATTTCCGTGGCACTATGACCATTACTGGCTATAGTCCCCATAGTTCCGTATGGCGGCTGCTCGGGGATATAACCATTCTCCTGACTTGGCCGCTCGCCATCAGTGAGGCACAGCCAACGTTCAGCACTCCTCTTCTCAATAACAGCAAGTCTGAGAAAGAAGTCAAGAGCAATGATCCCAAAAGCCATACCAAAAACAGCATAGAATCCCCCGACTCCGTAAACCACTCCGCCCAGTAGTGGACCAGATATAAGTCCCAATGTCATGGCTGTGCCGAGGTATCCAATCGTTTGTCCAAGACTCGCTTTGTCTACTACATCAGTCATGATTGCAAGACCAGCTACCGAAACCATGGCTGTTGCTGCGCCTTGGAGCACCCTGGCGATTATGTACCATGTCACTGTGTGTGAAGCTGTGAAAATGACCATAGATGCGAACAATAACATGATCCCAAATAAATATGGCGCCTGGCGTGTTCCAGAGACGTCTAGCAAGTGTCCAAATAGCGGACAGCATGCAAGTGCTGAGATGGCTTCGGATATGAGGAGGATGCTGTTCCAATACTCTCCTGTCAAAAGAGACAGTTAGTAACTGGGTATCTATCTTTGTAAATAATTCGTACTATCTTCGAATGCTACTCCAGCTCGTGAAACTAATGCCTTGGGCATGACGGGGACAATCTGATGCGGTCAGGTAAGGATCGACGGCCTTGGTCAGAAAATGTGTACCATAGCATAGAGAAAGAGATCCTATACGGAAAGCAATTAGCTGGAGCTCACTTCGTTTAGATATCAGTGAATCGGGGAAGATACCGTGAACATTGACAGAGAAACCGTCGTCACTATAAAGGATTGTGACGACCTCAGTGGTAACAGCCATGGTCGTTGGTCGCGAAGCTTCAGGAATGGCTTTGACCAAGTCATGATTAGTGACCCGGTTCAATAACCGTGTTGACTTCAGGATATTTTCGACGATGCGAGGATAAAAGCTGAAGCAGACAAGTACACTTGGAAAGTCAGATAGGTGGACCTGTTCTTCGTCATGTTTTCTTTTTCTATGCAGTCCAGAACTCAATGCAGATCAACTGTCTCGATTTGGTAAAGATCCTCGTTGAGATGGCCGATGTGTTCGATTGTACGGAGTAGCTGCATTGGCAATCGGGGTTTGCGCTAGACGATGTAAGGGAGATCCTCAGATCATTGCTGATCTCGGCGCACAATGATTTAGATATAAGAATGACGTTGCTACACAAAATATAGATACCTGTTTTCAAGTTCAAATGTTCGGTGAAGCAAATCGTCGTAGGAATGGAAATGGTTGATGTTTCCAACAAATCAACCAGGTTGGACAAATATCTTCATAAATCTCCCACAACCAACTCTGTGAAACGCACTGACATAGCTTAGCTCTGTCCTTCCAAGACTGAACTATGTAGTATTCCTATACTCTGTGTACTATATCACATTCAGATATACACATCTCAGAACGTACTTCAAGGAAAATCTAAACATATGCACTAGTTACCGCTATCAACTTCCCCCTGATTATAAATCCGTCCTTGGTTCCCAATCCTCTTCTTCGCCTGTCTCGATCATCTCTTCTACCTCCTCCACGCAGCTACAAACAAAGTCCCGCACAGAGTCCCAGTGAGAGATGCCACTCCCCGACCAGGATGTCCAATGCCAGTACTGATACTTGCCGTCTTTGACCTCTTTTCCGGCCCGCACCATAGCCTCCTTCCAATGCCTAGGAGGGATAATGAAATGATCGAATCCATCACATTCCGCGCCGGGCATAAGTCGGATCATCTGGTACTCGATGTTCTCCATAACATCCTCGTAATGTATATAGCCTATCTCTCCACAGCCGTCATCTATGGTGATCGATTGAATGCCCGCTATCCCACCTGCGAAAAAGTGCCAGCCACCCACAAATCTAGACGGCCTAGTTAGTCACGGATTCTACAAAATAGGCGTCCTTCCCCGAGATCATAGAGTTTGCAGTACTTACCCGTTCGCCACTCGAACCATCTCCTTGAAATCAGCAGGCAGTTCACCAACTTTCTCCTCTGCCGCCGCGATCTCTTCTTCCGTGGCAGGCTCATACAGGAGATCCTTGGCACTCTCTATTCCCATATCCCGACACTCTTTGGGATGGGCTTTGAATGCCCCCTCAGCAAGTCGATCCAACAACTCCCTCCATCCAACCTTAGAAGGATGTAATGCCCACTGTCTCCCATGCTCAGCCCGTAGTTCCAGGGCAGCAATTATCTCCCTCGCCATCACCACTGCATCCTCCTTGGGAATGAAGAATGGATTGCTTTCCTTCCCACCACGAGCTAACAGAGGCAAAACATCATAGATACCAGGCATCATCAAAATATCTCTCAAGTCGCCCTCATCACCTAGTCCTTGGCCAAGGATATCCGCTCCTGTTTGGAATTCACCCAAGCGGATCGCGAGTTCGACAACTAACCGCCGGTACAATAAATACGACTGTCTTTTTGGCTTTTCCGGCCCCCGTCCACACTCTTCAGCCGGTGTATCCGGAATCGAGTAGAATTTCTGCGCTACCTCGAGTGCTTCCCGTGCTAAATTGTCACACGGGTAGGTACACGGGATGGTTGTTTTCGCTAACAGTCGCACACACATCGCCAGCATGGCTGGGTCTTCTGTCTCGCGCCAGATAGAAGAGGGATTCTCAGGCTCGGCGAGCCCGACATGCTCTAGCATCCAGCCTGTCCGGGTACATTCCCGATATTTGTCCCATTGATGTTTAGCTAGCCATGTATCGGGGCCTTTTGGATGGGAGGGCAGTGCTGTCTTGGGTCGGGGGAAAGTTGATTGTTTCACAGTCCAGAAAATATCGAGAGTGGTAGGAGTGTAGACCCCATCAAGGCGCTCGCCGTCGATGAAATTGAAAGCTTTGACTAGTCTGTACACTGCTGAGGCAATTAAATGGGCCTCGACAAGGTTGTTTGACAGGATCAAGAGTTCAGTTAGATGTAGGATTCCATCAACGGCCTCTGAGGGGTTTTCTTTATCGATGTAGTCCTTGGTTAACTTTGGGAGTGTTGTATATCTTCCCTGTCGGTCTACCCATTGAATAGACATGTCGTGCGGGGTAGAAATTCCAATGAAATAGATTGAAGAGCTGATTTTAATTTCCGTCTGATCAATTAGAAAGAGTTGTCTTTCGTGTGTCTCACGGTATTACCTTAATAGCCAGCAAGACCTTGTCCAATTTGAATGTACGGTTTTTAGGGCTTCACATATCTGGAGATTTCTGCGAGAGAGGTAAGGTGATGAAAGATGAAAGAATTGAAGTCTTGGCGGCTGATGCCTAAAGTGTTTTCATATCGAACGCCTGAGGGCTCAGTAGGCCCCTACGCAGCGGTATATTGGCCATGCGACAAAACCCCCTTTTCAGGCAATATTGATGCCAGATACCTGATTATTTTCCTAAATTACTTAATTAAGATCGGAGATGTATGGATTTGTATAGTGTCAAAAGCTTTATTTTCGTACTTGTCAGTTTACAATATGCAAGAATAGTCGGCCGTATAAATGGCCTTGTAATGTCTTTTCAGCAGTCTTTTTGGTTGTCTTTTCAGTGGTATCTTTAATAGTCTTCTTAGATATCATTCTGTTTAGATTGATCGACGGTGGAAAAATTGTACAAATGACTTTTTTTATGTATAACTTTTGATTGTACAGAGCGGTAGAAAAGGTGGTCAAGATTCCATGGTTAGTCAGGTTCCTAGGCATCGCATCAGTCGAGAGCTCCGGACTTTGTTATCTCTTCCATTACCTTGCATCTCTACCATCTCTCTTACCTCAATCCTACAGCATAGAAAGGAACATACTGAACTCTCGGGCCTGATATCTAAACACTTTGTTTTTTATTCTCTGTATTTATCCTTAGCCCTATCTTCCAAGAAAAAAACCCCCCGAATGACACCACAAATTCAAACCCAGAAAAGCCTGACATCTCTCGCCTTAGTCACTTCCTTAATGTCATCGACCAAAAAGTCCGCTCGAGTGAAGCGGGTGATTCGTTCCTTCTCAAAGCCCCCATAAACCATCCCAATGATAACATTCTGAGTGCCTATTGCTGTTCTTCTTTTGCAGTTAACCATTGCGCCTGAATCCCCTCGCATAGAGAAAGCCTCTCCTTCAAGCCCAGTAATGGAATGCTCAATGGTGATGACCGTGTTAACAACCCCCTCTTCCACTTCGGCTTCAATGTTGGCAGCCCGAAGTCCATTGTAAAGCCCAATTCTATTCTCAGAGCCGTGCATGTAAACTTTATCCCCATGCATCTCTATGCTTTGTATAAGCGAACGCGGAGCGAAACGCCCTGGGATAACACGGGGGTGTCCGTCGAAGAACTACAAAGATAGAATAATAGTTAGCCGATAGAAGTTGGGGCAGGTGAAAGGGTAGAAGAGAGGGGGAGAATAATCTAATTGTAGCCATATACCTGGTTAGATGGCTCGCGAGCAGGACTTAAGTGAACAAGGGCCCAGTCAAGTTTGGTAGGATAATTTTCACCATCTTTTCCAAGGACAAAGTTCTTATGCTTGAAACCAGAGGCAGAAAAAACGTGTCCAAGCAATTGATGGCCATTTTTGAAGCAGTCATGGAGAGCCTGAAGATTTTCTTTTTCCTTATTAACATTCGACTTCATCTTTTCATAGCCCCGGCGATGTTTGGTACTGAGCTTTTCGAGCGCATCATCACGTTCGAGTTGTTTCCACATCTGATACTGCTCCTCATTTTCGGTTCCTTTAATTACCTTCTTTATTATTGATGCTTCTTCTCTGTAAGCAAGACGAGTCGGGTGATCGACGCCAAGTAGACGGTTAATATCTGTGTTGGTGATGGTTGGTAGGATACCATTTTTGTTCCAGTCCTCGATCACTTGAAGGTCATGTTAGTTTTACCAGGGCTTGAAATATAGGTAAAAGGTACTTACACTTTTTATCCCCGTGGGAGAGACCAGCTAGAGGTGGGACCACCACATGCCAGCAAGTCAAAGCAAAGGTCCTCCACTTATCAGAGGATGGGTGTTTGAGATTCAGGAAACAACCCAGCGTGCCGCTGCTGTCATGACTTTGAGATGAAGCAATGGACTCAGTGGCCATAGTCTTGTCATTATTCTTCAGAAGTCCTTCGAGAAGGCCAGTACTGATCCCTTTGCGGCCCGCCTGATACACCGGCCTATCCATGACAATTTCAACAGCCACCATTTGGAGATGCCGCTTCTTCAAAATTAAAACGGCTTTCTCTCGAGTTTCAGTCCAGTCTTGGCTGCGATCGACCAGTATTAACAGGGTTGGTGCACAATCCAGGACCGTGGGGCCTCTGCCTCGTCGGAAGCATCCAATAAATCGAATTGAACTAAGGTCCAATTGAACTAAAAGTTCTTTCAGGAGAGGCTCCCATTCCCAGAATACATTGTCTCTTTGGAGAACAGGATAAGATTTCATCGGCGTGAAAAGCATGGGATGGACAATTTCTACTGAGCAACAAGCAAGGTCATTGCTAATCAAGAGATCTCGTAGCTCTCTTACGCATTGGAGCCAAGTGCCGTCCACTGTCTCTCTCTTTGCCGGGACGTAAAGAGTCAGGCAGGGTTGTGGCTCGGGGTCGATAATAGACTGCCTATTGAAGAAAGCAAACCCGAGACTGACACCGCGTTGGTTGAGATGGTACTTGGCGATGATGTTGCGAATTTTCTGCCCAAGTATCCATCCTTCATGCGTTTCGAGGCACGTCAACCGGAATTTGTCTTGATCTTTTGGGATGGGTAGGTTCGCTGTAGGAATGGAGCACAAATATGGCCCCCCGACGCGAAGATCCTCATTATTTAGGTTGTCATGGGTTAATCGGCCTTCATCGTTGCTACTTCCCCAAGAGCGACGCTTGCGTCCATCAGCCCCAAGTTTTCCATCCTCATCATTGTAATGTTCACTTCGTCGCTTCCTATCATGCCTCTCGAGAGATTCTCCGTCGGGTAAATCTCCACGCATTTGGGTGACCAGAGGAGATGCATATGAGAGCTCATGCTTAGAGCCCCGTGAAGCAGATTGCACGAGTGCAGGTACTGTCGTCATGATTTGATGAGAAAGGGTGATTGGTATCTGAAATAGATGATTTGGGGGGAAGGGGAAGTGGAAGGGTATGGAATATGAGAAGTAAAGAAAAATTCAGAGAGGAGTAGAGAAGAGTACGAGAGAAGTGAGAGAAGAGGTAGGATTATAAGGTGTCACGGGTAGGGCCAGAATGGGATGCGATTTCGTTTTATAAGATGTACTTTACAGTAACTGTTCCGTCTCTTTTATAAGGTAAGCTTTATTCTAGGAGTGAATGGAATCACATCCTTAGATTCCTTCTAGGCTCTCTTCTTCAGCGGGAGCTTAATCCTCTTCGGCATTTTGAATGGCCGATATAGGTTCAGTCCAGTCCATTTTGTTGCAAATCATAAGCTCTCGGGCTGCAAGATCGGTCAGGAACACACTCCTGGATGTTCCTAGATGTGGTGCTGTGTTGTGTGTTTGCAGATTGTGGTGTGGTATGGAGCACCTCTCAGCTTTTGTATATGTCAACAACCGTCTATACGTCCCAAGGTCACTTAAGTAGGCACTTACCAGTTATGCAATGTTCGGGTGGGGTTTGTCATATCCCGGATCGGATAAGGCCATAAGAAAGAATCCGAAGAATATTTCACGAACTGGTGGGTTTCAAGAATCGTGGAAAGGTCTGGAAAGCCGAAAGGAGAAGTCGTTGTTATGTCTTTTCAGTAGTCTTTTCGGTGGTATTTTTAGTGGTCTGTTAAGTGGTCTGTTAAGTGGTCCTCTCAGATATCATTCTGTTTAGATGTGCCAGCTTTATAGGTCAGCTGGCTTCGCTTCTCTCAATCTTGCCCCCTTCAGCTTCTTCTCTTAATATTTGACCTTTTCTCTCTGGATTGGTATTTTCCCTTGATTATAAGAAAACCAGGCGGTTACCTGGTGCTGCCTAGTCCAGCCTGATGCGATTTGGTGTGGGAACGACTACTATAAAGAATGACTTCCAAGGTTTCCTTTTGTTTGCTATCAGCAATATATGGATGACTGACACAACATTTGATGCTTTTATCAACCTCCAATGAGTTACCGATGTCATGATTCCAGGACCAATAGATCGATTCTTGCTCCAAGGCAATTTATCACCCGTGAAGAGAAGTTTAGTGGAAAATAGAAGTATATGTACTAAGCGAGATATTCGAGCTTTTATGAAATGAATCACAATGCGAATCTCAAACAGACGAATTAACAAGTACACAAACAAAAATTCCATAGAACCCCTATAACCTTTCTCATGCCCAACGGACTGGCTCCAGAGCGAGTAACTTATAGTAGGGAACCAAGGGCAACGCAAGGAAGACCAGCACCGAGGAGATCGTTGCTGGCGCTCATAGGGGAGTTGGCGCAGCAGGCGATGTTCTGCTTGCACTTCTGGTTCAGAATGTTTTGGATGGGAATACCAATGAGGACAGCAACTGGAAGGATGTTAGTAGGACGTTGGGTAAACATATTGGGTGAAAAAACTCACCCTCAAGGTTAAGCTCGGAGCACTGGTTGAAGATACCAACGCCATCAGCGCCAGAGCCAGCACCGATAAGGTTGGAGAGGAGGCCGCTGAGGATGCCAGAGTTGACGTCGGTGGTGTCACCGGCGTAGGTGGCCTTGTTGCAGCAAGAGAGCTGGGCCTGGTCACCACACTTGGCCTGGGCCTGCTCGACAGTCATGCTGTCGGGAACCTTGAAGCGAACGTCGGTGTTTCCCTTGTTGCCGACACCATTGGCGTTACCGATGCCACCGGCGACGGGAGACCCAGGAGGAAGGGCATAGACAGTGGCAGCAAGGCCGAGAACAATAGCGGAGAGAGAGAACTGCATCTTGTAGGTAGGGTATTGTAATATTAAAATATTAAATATGAAAATTGGTTGGCAGGTGTCGAAGGTAGACTATTAGTATAAGGAGTGTCGGAAAAGTAGAGAGCGGATAAAAGAAAAGACAAAACACACAGGACCTAATGCTCACCTTTTATTTTCAAGTCACGGTGTTTAGACACGAGCCTACCTACTAATTCTCATGAAGTCCAAAAGCAGAGCTCTCATTTTTGTTGATGGAATGTCCTACGCAAGGGTTCAGTCCCGATCTTGTCTTGTACCTCCTAGCAATATCATTGGCCGTCCTTGATTCTGGAATTTTACGATCAATGAGATCCCCCCCCCTTGGATCCTGGGGATGCATGGGCCCTGCATTGCGCCCTGTCAACGGTATTCCATCAAGCTACCCTATACACGATTCAATTCCCAGATGTCCAAATTTGAGCTCATTTTCTGACCCTATGAGCCTCAGATGGATCCCTAATTAAACAAGTGCCGATTTTTACATACTTCGTATATCAGATATCAGATTCAAGCTCTTCTAGAACTGATGCCTTACCGTCATCCTCGAATACCCCATTCAGTCTGAAAAGCCTATGCGCAAAATATGTGACCGTACGGTGTTTGTGGCGTTAATTGCCATACTTTTAAAGCATCTTGGGGCGTTTATGGTACCTTCATGGCATGGATTCCCCAATAACATGGACCTTATGTTCATTTCAGCCATGATTGGGGTGGCACGTCTTTGCAGCGGTCTATACTGTGTCTTTACACTCCTACATGCATCATGGTACAAAACCTATTAGATCTGTGTCCCTTGTTCGTACTTGGGTATATCTCCCAATCCAGGGAATCCACGAGCACCCTATTGATCCTTATTTCAGATTCCCTACCCTGGTTTCAGGCGTAGCATGCGATGCTACAAAATCAGTGCTGATCTACACCTTCCTCGGTCCAGATTATTAAAGCTTCACAGGGAGTGATATTAGTTGTTTTAATTGAAATTGCAATATAGGGGCATGTTATTGTCGGGCTTTATGTAAAACGAATGCCAGTAGGCGCATATGTTCCAAGGTTGTAGTAGGTTAATTTTTGAATCGTACTATACGAGGGCTCCCTAAAATCTAGGCTACAACTCAGATATAACCAGGTAGTTAACTAGTCAGATAGATAATATTAATCCAACTATATATGTATGTTGTTAATTGAGTTATTAAAAAAAAGTCGTGGTAAAAATTGAGATATCGTTCATTTACTCGGGTACTATGTCTATACCTTATTGGTCTAAGCTTCTGTACATTTTATATTGCTTCAAGACAGAGTAGTTTAGTACTGAAGAGAAGACAGGAGGGATAAAAAAGGGATAGCAAAAAAAAGGAAAAATAAAAAAGAAATGGCGCCACCCGGAATCGAACCGGGGCTAAATCAGTACCAATGTGTACAGTTGTACTTGACCACAATGATTCGTCATACCACTAGACCATGGCACCTGTTTGATGGAATTAGACTTACTTGCTATAACTATGAACGAACACTCTATATCTTCCTTATTCCTACCTATAATCGTGCTAAGCGCCTAACATGTTTTCGAGTTAAATAATTACCTATCTATGAGGGTATTACTGATACTCCAATGGAATTCACCATATATTGCATAGTTCTGGAATAACAACTGTAGAGTAAAAGGAAGTGGTTCTAATATTCATACTATGTTGTAACCTTGATGTGAATATATATCTTAGCAAAATGCCCAAACATATATGTTATCCACCCACTTTTAACTCCGCATGCCTACTTCATGGATTAAAATGCAATGCTTATTTCTACCCATGTTGAAGGCCGTATCAAAGTTATACAAAGTATACAGTGAAATGTAGGTTTTGACAAATTGAGCCGCCAGCTTTGGCCGTCTGCCTATAAAACAAGACACATAAACGGACTATATGAGAGGGCCACTGAAGAGATATCACAAGGCATAAGTGGCCAACTATTGTATTTTAATATCACTCATTGATAATGGAGCAGCAGTTCGCCCGCATCGGTGGGTTGTTCGTCCGCCACTAAACCATTTCCGTTCAAACATACGCCACTGGTGCTAGGCTTCAACTACACGGCCACAACTCTATACGATATAACCTCACTTTGCTGCTGGCTGAATCGGAGACGGATAAATATATAGGGGTCAATACAAGTTTACCCAAAATATTGCGATTACTATATAGTATAAATAATCCTTGAATCTTCCAAAGGTTGGTGTTAGGGTTCTATCGCTGCCATCACAATCCATTTAATACAAGCAAACCTCAAGCTCCAATCCCCAATCCCCAATATACGACTTGCAATTTGAATTCTAAATTATATACACCATCAATTCCCAAAATGACTACGATCGCATTCCTCGGAGCAACCGGCGGCTGCGCCAACGCCTGCCTGACCTACACGCTTCTCAACGGCTACAACGCCAGAGCCCTAGCCCGCACCCCCTCCAAACTCACAACAATGCTCCTCTCACAGCATGGTATAACAGAAGAGATTCTCTCTCGCCAACTCGAAATAATCAAAGGCGACTCAACAGACGTGGAAAGCATCACAAAAACCCTCATTACCAACTCCGACCCAAACAGCGCACCTAATGAGACCTGTACGCTCGTAACAAGCATAGTTTCCGGCATAGGCGGCACACCGACAATTTCATTTTCCAAGGAAACAAAATGTGCAAATACTCAGATACGCATACCCGCGCTGCCGCACATTGAGCTCTCAAACCCTCACATCACAGAAGAGACAACACGCGCGCTGCTGGCGGCGCTGGCACAGATTGCTTCCGAGAGGTTTACCTCCCCTGAGGCGTATCGTGCTGTTGCGCCCATGGTCACTGTGATCTCGACTACGGGACATGTAGGTAATAACGATGTGCCTTTCTGGTTCAGACCTATGTATTCTATGCTCTTGCCGATCCCGCATGCGGATAAGCGGCAGATGGAGCAATTGCTTGATGAGGATGTTAAGATGGGGGATGCTGGGGTGCTTGCAGCTGGGGTTGTTGTTGTAAGGCCTAGTTTTTTGACGGGGGATCATCGGGTTCCTGCTAGGGAGAAAGGGGGAAAGGGAGGGGGACTGGAGAAAGTGAGGGCTGGGACGGAGAGGGCTCCTGCTATTGGGTATACTATCTCACGGGCTTTGGTTGGTGAATGGATTTTTGAGGAGGTTGTTAAGGGTCGAGGGAAATGGGTTGGGGAGAAGGTTACTATCACTACTTGAGGATTTGGCCTTGTTTCAATTTCATAAGATTTGTACATTCCTGTCCGAGAGACTGTTCATATTGTTCATATTTACATTCCTTATATTCCAACGTCACATTATATCAGCAAAAAGTAAAACGCCACCGTAGGCTAGAGAACAAAATCATGAAAGCAAATATCATCCCTAAATGAGGTCCAGTGAAACTCCGTAGCAAGCATATATGACGAAGAACCAAAAATTTGTACAAACGGGGCCAAAAAAAAGAAAGAAACATCAAAGTTCCTAATACACATGTCATGACGTTCGTAAGTGAGAGCATGGAAATTGCTGGGATCAGGTGTCGCTATACGGCATTGGTCAATTCGAGCACTATACCGCAACATGTGTACTAGGCCGCTCGAGTTGGGCACTGGACCGCTCAATCTGAGCACTGCGGCGCTCCTCCTTGATCTTCTTCTTTTCCATCTTCCTCATGGCTTCTTCTGTCAGCTCTTGGCGGAAGAGCCGTTCGACAACATCCTTCTTTCGGGTTCGTCGATCACCAATCATGATCATCACACCACCTGCGATGTTACATGTGATGGAGCAGCAAAGGATAACCGTAGTCAAAGCAAATGGGCGTTTATGGGGGTCTTCCATACTCCAGGTACAGGCGCCAAGAGCCATTTGGAGCAAAGAATGACAGTCAAGGATAACGACAATAGCGATGAGCAAGCGTAGAGGGAAGGCGTGGTGGGTCATGGTTTCGTGCGGTTTATAGAAAGTATGCGACTTTGCGAATTTATTCTGATGATGCATCAATCGCAACTGTTGGCGAGCATCGAGAACAGAAAATTCGTGTTCGTCTTCCTTGGCCGTACCACCAAATTCAATATCAACGTCCTTCTCCGGGACTGACGGAAGATCATTCTTGTCCTTGAGGCCTGGCAGGGCCCGCTTGCGACGAACCTTCCACGATAAGAATGTATAATGGGCAATGAAGCTCATGTGGTAGGTATCAACAGCGCGGAAAGGAGCCAACCCATCGCCCATGATGGCGAACAGGGCAACCAAAACGTTATCTATGACATTGATAACATAAGTTTGTTTTCCACCGACATTGATCCAACCTGGACTGACTGTCAGTATACTAGTTATAAAAGTATCAGGCCAAGAAATCTCACCAATCAAGAAAAGAACCCAGGCCAAACCGAACAGGGTGATCAAAGTTGCATATAGAGTTACAAGAAAGCCGAGGGCTAGGCGAGATTAGTATCTAGCGGAAATGTTGGCGGGGAGTGTTACTCACGCTTCCGTACGTACTGCTTAAATCCTTTCATAGACCGTTTGAACTTGGACCGCCGAGAGTGAAGCATATGTCGAACGTGATCATTGAGTTCGGCAAAGTCTTCTCTAGTCCACCCTTCAAGTCCATGCCCCTCTGGTAGAACGGCATACTTGGGACCATGCAATACTGATGACATACTTGTGAATGAGTGAAGTTGTGCTAAAGTCGGCCGCTGCTCGGTCTTGTCGGCCTTGAACGGTTCACTGTCGTCCGTTGTAGTTCCCTGTTCCTCATCCGAAGAACATTGTGGTCGTGAAATCGTATAGGTGGGCATGCGATTGATGAACCCACCCAGGTTCGGCACAAAGAGAGAGTTTTGGACATTGGTGAGAGTGGAAAGCGCAGAGACCTCGGGATCTATATTATCGGGTAAGTTAAAATCATAGTTTTTGCATCACACTTGGCACCAGTGCCTACCGATCACGTCCAGCACGTCGACGACGTGGGATCCATACTCGTTCTGCCGTTGCTCCTCCTGTGTACTCAGAGTTGGCGCAGCTCCTGTCACTGTGCTTGCCCGGTTTCGGGTAAAGCGATTCAACGCAGCTTGACTAGTTCGCCGAAGCCGACTCGCCGGTCGCGCTAGTGCGGGAGGGGCCTCAACTTGCCCTAGATCAAGTTGCTCAGAGTCGGATTGAGTCTCTTGACCGGGAAATATTGCCGCTGGAGAGGTTGGTGGACTTTGGTGGGACTCTTCGGTCACAGGCCTCATTCGCATGGGAGTCGCCACTCGTGAGAGAACATCAGGAGGGGGAGACGACCATCGTCCCGGATTTGGCTCCGAGTTGCTGCGCCGTCGACCTGCTAGCCATGCTTCGTCCTCTTCATTCGGAGGAGGGGATCGGATAGGTTGCGGTTCAAACGGCGGTTGACCTTGACCCTCGGGCTGAGACACCGGTTGATTAACGCTGTCTAGTGAAGGGATAGACGGGAAACGAGATAGGCGAATACTCGGTCGCCGCGCGCGTGAGTCGTTTCGAGTGCGCAATGGGGTAGGACCTGGCCTGACGGGGCTGGACTCTGTGGATTGGCCTGTGGGTTGGGTCCCTTGAGAGTTCCCGTTAGGGGCGTTATGGTCCTCGACCGGGTCGATGCGATCCATGTTGGGAGTTCCGGAATAAGATCACAAAATACAAGTAGGTCCAAGGACCAAAATGAAAATATAAGTAAACCAAGAACCTAAACTCCCCCTTTTGATCCACATGGAAAATAGTCCCTGGATGTTCTGGATTTCTTGGGGTTCAAATCCAAGGATGACTCAGCTCTTCCCGAATCTTGTTTTTCTTTCTTTTCCACAATGACGAGCCCAGTGGAGTTCATAGGTCTGTCAATATCACGCTAACACGTCGATCTTCATGTACATTTTTGAGGTCTCTATTTTTCTCTGTTTTCCTTTCAATGTATGTTTTTTTTTTGGTGAAAGTTAGAGGTTTAGTTGGAGAGAGTTATACAGTGGGCCAATAAAATGCCCGATTGGACGACACGAAGCTTTTACATAGTGGAGGACTGAGAATCAATCTATATTCTCTGTAGCAGCAATAGTTATGGGACGTCATCGAAGAAAAATTATATAGATCTACATTAATATACAACATATTGTCTCTGACGGTGTTTTTAGTTCTCACAACCCTAGGTTAGCTTGTTCCATGGTCATTATGGAGTTGAAATATATGTATCATTGCGATATTGATAGTTCCCAGTACAACATACGATAGAAAGCCATATCAGTCCAATAGTGAAGGTTCCTGTCTAAAAAATATGCTCAATAACATATAATGGTGCAAGGATATTCTAGCCGACTTTGTAATGTACAATATTTTGGGCTATCAAGTTATACCTAAACTGCCTGTGAAGCATTTTGACTTTAAATTGGCCAATGTTTTTGTTAAATGGTACAGTAGATGAGGGGAATTATAAGATGATAAAGCTGTCTTAAATCAGAGTCACATTGAGCAGGAATTTTAAGACTGTGATATTGTGTATGGCAATAATATTCTAAGGTTGTCATCATATGTGTTACCTATGTACGCAGTAGCCTGTAACAATATTTCGAAGTTAGGACTAAATAAGTTTGAATAACAAATTTAGTCCAAAGTGTTGTGTAGACAATTTGCGTGTAAGATGAATCTGAAGTAAGAAAGTCATGGAGAATACAAAGTGATTCTAAGAAAATGCATATGATTTAAAGTAGCTTTATATATGTCAGATGTCATGCACAGAAGATGCAGAAGAGAAGAAAGAAAGATAGAAATAGGCAAAATAATGGTAAGAGATCATTGGCTCAAAAGGTCTCCATAAATGACATCAGGCCAGCTGTTATGAGTCAGGCTTTCAATGAAGGCGGGGCTGGGGAATCCGTTTCAGGCCTCAGGGAACTCGAGAGCATTTGGGGGGACTTTGTAGCCTAAAGTTAGGGGCTAATTGGGGGCTAATTGGGTATTAATTACTCCGTAGGGGGCAGGGGCCACCCCCCCAATAGGGTGATCGAGGAAAGTACCCTTCGATCGCACCTGTCCCTTCGAGCTCTCACTGGACTAGTCCTACACCGCCTCTCCTTTCCCTTTCCATCTCCTTCTCCCATCCTCCTCCTCCCTCTCTCCAAGATCTAGTGCATCAAAAACTTCAATCCCATCTTCCCTTTTCAATTGGTATCTAGGGCACGAAGCTACCCTGCTCCTTCCCTCGCTCCACCTCCTGTCAAGTCTCTTTCAGCTTTAGGCAAATAAACATCCCGACACTTTTCATCCTTCAACATCTCAACCTTCAAGATGTCCGACGTCGACCAACTTGCTGACTCCGTGGCTGCGACCACTCTGACCGATAAGCCCGATGTCAACGGTGCTGCCCCTTCCACCAAGGCTGCCGATGCCGCGGCTGCCAGTGCGGATGAGGGTCGCCGTCTTTACATCGGAAACCTCGCATACGCGACCACTGAGGAGGAGCTCAAGGAGTTCTTCAAGACCTACACCATGTGAGTAATTCCGGGCCTGTGGCTCACATCCAAATAACTTCACCTTCAACAAACAAATACGTGAAACCATCATTTATTTGGGCCCTTAATGACACATTTCATCTCACAGCGAGACCACATCGATTCCGGTGAACCCCCGTACCAACCGCCCCGTTGGCTACGCATTTGTGGATATTGCTACTGCTGCTGAAGCTGCTGCCGCTATCCAGGCCCTCTCTGGCAAGGAGATTCTTCAGCGCAAGGTGTCCGTGCAGCTTGCCCGCAAGCCCGAGCCTGTTGAGGCCAAGGAAGGTGCTGCCAGTGGTGGTGAGGGTTCCGAGGGCCGCAAGCGTGCTGGTGGTCGCGGCCGTGGCCGTGGCCGTGCCCGTGGTCGTGGTGGCCGTACCGGTCGTAGCCGTGCCGTATGTGCCCAATCTCTTTCCTTGCTTAAACCCACGCATATCGACACTATCCGATGGATACTAACATTACCGAAGGCACAGGATGGTCAGGAAGCTACCGCCGAGGCTGTTGGCGAAACCCCCCTTGCTGAGACCACAAACGACAAGGATACTGCCTCGAAGACCAGCGAGACCCGCGCCGCACGTCCCCAGAAGCAGCGTGGTCCCCCTGAGGATGGCATTCCCTCTAAGACTAAGGTCATGGTTGCCAACCTGCCGTACGACTTGACTGAGGACAAGGTGGGTTACATCTTTCCGCTATCTCTCCGCCCAAGGTTAC